AGTTATGTACTTGTACCTACCTAGCGATAAATACCTCGACTTTGAACGGGCTTCAGGGACAGGATGCCCCAGAATCAACCACATCTGATGGATGTCTCCTTTGGCACGACAGTCTTGGCTCTACTTACAAGGCTTGGCCTTTTCTACAAGTATGGTACTCTGTAGAACTGGGGTAAACCCGACTTTTTTTTTTTTTGCTAGAGCTCGAGAACCGAACCGAACCAAATCAAATCAAAATCAAATCAAATCAACTTGAATCTATGTAACCGTTATGCTTTGCTGTGACTGTGACTTGGATAGGCCAAGGCTGGTTCGTTCCACCGCAGCCAAGGATAAACCCTCTCCCCGGTTTCATAATGCTGGGAACCGGATAATTGGGCATGCATACAGTGTAGACCATAGTTACTAGTAGCAGTTGATAGGCCAGGGTCGGGAACGCCAGGATCTATCTCGCTGGGTTTCGTTAAAGACCCCCCCCCCCTCCCCTCTTCGCGGGCGGTCATTTGCATCATCTCTGCATATGCCCTCATCTACTACACCCTCAGACTAGGTAAGGTATAGACGTTTCCCATCTTCTGGGTTCGTATGCAGACTAATCTACCAGCACGGTAACCATGCCGAGAGAAATGTGTATGGCATGAGATGTTTGTATTTACTATCAAGCAAGGAACCATCAACGTTTTGAGTAGACACCCGTCGTGACCAAAAGCCACGATACCGCAGCAAGCCGTGTCTTCTCCAATCCTTTTTATTTTCTATTTTTTAATACTAAATTCTTTCGACAGGCTATCTAAAACTAAGCTTCTCGTGTTTCTTTCATCGCTATCGAGATTGTACATGTACCCTCTTTCTTTACGAGATAGTCCCCATAGTTGTGTTCTGCGCGAACCATGGTAGGTACCTACCTAGATCACTTGGAATTCGAAGGATCGAAGCACTATTTGTTACTATCATCAGTGTGACCCTCCTGTGTTACCACCATTTTTCACCACAGCTATTTTCCCCACATGGAAAGACACGGCAAAGGCGTTCCCAGTTCCAAGGATACATGTTCATTGTCAGCAGTGGGCGCCGCCGCGCCGGACAGGTGACCGATTGTAGAATTTGTCGTTGGCCGAAAATGAGGACACTAGATAGGCATGTAGGTTAGGTATTATAACTACATATACCTAGGTACCTAACTATACGGCATGTGCAGCATCACGAGGCATGAAGATGTTAGAGGATCATGTTTCAATCTTGGCCGTGAATGGTTTAAGGTCTACGGATTACCTATCAAGCAAAAGCACATGACACCAAGACATACCAAGCGTCTGCATTTCGACGACGCCATTTTCTTGTCCTCCTAACCTACCTACCTACGTACCAGGCATAATGTCACCTACACAGGTTCCATCAATGGGAAAAGAGCCCTGCCCTGTCAAAATCGGCACTTTCCCACCCCTAAAACGCATACATATGTAGCTGTTTAAATCTTTGGTACCGAGGCCGCATGATGATATGTAGCAAGTAGTAATAAGCCAAAGGTATAAGGACGTAAAGGGTAAATTTGACCTAATGGAGCTAAGGGGGCCGCGTGCCAGTTAGGTAGCGGCCGATTGCCGACTTCGCGGAACGATTCTACGACAAAGATCGGCTCCGCACTTCACTCTCGAAACACGGACGTTGCCTCTTTCGAGGAAACCCCCCAATGTTCCCCCCCGTAAATGGGAGCATAGATTTCGAAAAGGGGATGAGGAGAGAAGGGGGGGGGGGGAGGGGGGTAGCGATAAGGAGGACGTATGCGGACGCGCCTCCTGGGTTGCCTACTGGCCTATCCTACGGTGCATACGATACATGTGACTCAAAAAGCCGCCGACGAATCTTTCCATCTGGCTGCTGCTTTGCTGCAGTGGTCCCTGATTCGTTCTACCTTAGATATGGATGTGTATGCTGCTGCGCTCCCTTAGGTGGTGGAGTAACAGGCGGGCGGTCGGGGGGGTGGTGGAGGGGGCCAGAATGGATTCTCTCTAGACGTTTCTTTTTCTTGGTCCCAAGTAGCATCCCATCCCGTGTGACATGGGGAAAAAACCATGCCGTCCGTGTAACGCATCACCGACTCTAATACGCTAGCACGCCAGCGTCATTCGCATCTTTCCACGCAACACCCTCGTCCCTCCACTCAGGGGGGAGGAAGGAAGGGAGGGGGCAGATGGGGAGAGTTTTTATGTATTACACATACGTAGTAAGTTGTTTTTCTTAACAGAATAAGCCTTCTGTAGGTAAAAAGATGAAAGAAAGAAGCCCGCTCCCAGGGAAAGTTGGACGAAACCACGGTCCTGAAACCACCCCGGGGGGCCAAGAGAATCGAATACCACCGCGGCACTTCGAACTATCCACCCCGCACCGGCATGATTTCGAGACAGAAAAAAAGGAAGATCGTCTCTACGCCCGGACAACTTTGGAGAGAGATAGAGGCAAAAAGAAGAAGAGAAAAGAGGGTGGAGAGAGAGAGGGAAAGAGAGAAGAGAACGCGTTGATAGTTGGACCGACCAACCAATTGGCGCTGTACGCAGCCGAGCCCAGAATTTTGCACTCTCGCAATCCGCATGCTGCGTCGACGTGATACCAAGGCCGTTCGCTCATGTGCAAAGCTACGCGAGACGACATATGGGGTCTCGGAGGTGGAAGTGGTACAAACCAAGAACAGTCATGTATTGCCCATGCAGTGAAACGAGCGATACTGTGTCACGAGCGTAACGACCAACGTCGGTCTCTGTCTCTCCATCTCTCTCTATCTCTCTTCGTCCTCCCTCGCCTCCTCTCTTTCTCTCTCTGCTCCCATTCAACAACCCCGAGAAGACTCACTCACTAGGCTACCTAATAGGTAGCTTCCGATTTGAAGCGGCTCTTGATGGGCATCAATGGGGGAAGGAGAGAGGGGGAAAGGAGAGAGGGGGAAAGGAGAGGGGTTGTTCAAAAGCTACAGGATCTCTGACTAATGCGCCGTTCCGCAGTACTCATCCAACCGCCGCGGAAGCAATTTAAAACCGAGAGGGCCCGCAGCGTCTGTAACGAAAGCCGCAGGGCACCTCTGTCGCACGAGATTTGCAGGCGACTCTTTTACTTTTACTTTTTTTATTTTTGCTAATTTTTTATTTGTTTTATTCTATTTTATTCCATTTTTTAGATGCTGATTCGGATGGGTAGATACTTGACTTGACTTGTCTGCGTCCTTTGCGGCTGATGAAGTGCACGTGTGCTAGGATTCCGTCCCCAGGGGGGGTGGTTGAGTCATGTCCTGTATGTATGTAGTTATGTACCTAATGTATGTAGCCCTGGGAGGCATGTAAGGTAGTGTGGGCTGGCGGCGCAGGCCTGCCACGAGGTTCCTAAAACGCTCGAGACACATGAGCCGTGGGTGATAAATTCCGATTCGGACAGACGGCCTAAAACGTGGCCCCGGGGCCTGTGAGAAGAGAAAAAAAAAAAAAAAAAAGGCCCTCCCTTGCCAGCCGATCTCTGATGTGTTCACACATGAAATCCTTCCCGCTTATCAAACAGCGCACACACCAGCGTGGGCTACTACTAGGTAGTTAGGTACCAAGGTAAGTATGTATTGTACCTCCAGCCTCCAGGGCAGCAGGGCAGCAGGGCTATCTTATGCATCCATGTGTAACTACCTCTTAGCTAGGCATGTACCTACATAGTACTGGAGATGTAGTTAGGGTTCTACATAACTACCTACCCAGGACCTACATATGTAGCAGCTCTAGGTATGCACATTGCACATAGCAGTGAAGCATCAACATCAAATACTCACCGCTTTGCTTTCCCTTGAAAGTTGAGGTACAATACAAAAATGCTGCGCTGCTATTTTTGAAATTTAATTCCCTTTTGGGAAATGCGTCGCATCTTCTGCACGCGTAAAACGTATGTAGGCATGTCGGTAACAGTAAAATGTGACAGCTAAGAAAAGAAAAAGGTAATCCGAACCTTCTATTCCTTCCTGTCGAATGGGCAGATTTCCAGATCGTTTATGATGAATTGGGATCAGAGGAACCATGGCACGGCGTTCCTTCTCGCTTACTTCCGTTCTACCCCTGATAATCGGTCGGTCACCTTTTTTGTTCCTTTTTGGTTTTTTCCCCCTGTTTTCATCACCTTTTCGACTTCTTCTTCTTTGGTAACACATCTGTCCGTGCAGTATATACAGTAATGCAACTTGATTGTTCTTACCAAACAGTATACCGTAAAAGCCGGGGGTCCGAAGTGCTCCTATCGAGGTAGCAATGCAGTTCGGGATCCCTGGTCGGGCAGGCAATGATCAAAGTCCAATAGTCGGTGTTCCCCTTGCAGCACAACCGAATCGAATCTAGGTTAACAGCTGGAGCTTACATAGTACCTAGAGGCTAGGTAGGGCCTGGTAGGCATTGTCGAGCTAGCGCCCATGCTCGGTATCGCAACAAAATCCCAGCTGCTATCCCCCCTGTATCATGTTATTACGGGCGGACCGGAAGCGCTGATCTTCTGCCTGTCATTGTGTTTGCGTGCCTACGCAGCCAGGATCTGGTTTTACCTCGTCTTTGATTCACGGCCCCAAGTCGATTTATTTATATCTCCTTCTCCACTTTGAACCCTTTCTCATTCCCGTCGGAACGGAGCCGAGCGAGAGCCTTTGCCTCCATCTGAACAACCGCCCCCCGAGTTCACCAACTTTATCCAGAGCTTTCCAAAATCCATCCATACCTACCTTCGTACCTTAGGTGGTAGCTGATCAACTAATGTGCCTTTTTTACTTAGACGTTCAATCGAATTGGTTGTATTCAGGATGCCTTTAGTATCATTGACGACTCCCGCGCCAGCGCCAGCTATGCCTATCGTTAGTTGTTATCATGCGCTCGCTTGAACGCCAATAGAACGTGATTGAACCCCCGACGTTCAAATACTCAGTGTTGCTCTCGGCGACACTCGCCGGTCGTAAATGTTCCATGGAGTAGTAACACCTCGACGGCAATGAGGAAAGTGTTTTAAGTGCAACCCCATAATGAGCATCGTGAAGATAGGAGAATAAAAAGGGGGGGGGAAGAAGTTTAGCTTCTCGATTACGAATCGATGATTAAGATAAGGCTAAACTGTTACTACTGTAGGTAGGTAAGAGAAAAAAAAAAGGAAGGAAAAAAAAGATAGGCATCGAGTTATGTTATCGCAATTGAAGGAATCCAGTTTCAGCATTCCATTTGCAAGATTACATTCAGACAGCGCAAGCAACCTTACCTATAAGCATCTATCTAATAGACACTGAGGTGTGCGTACATTTTCCAGAGAAGGGTTTCATCGATCAAAAAGTAGCATTCCCCCTAATTGATCAATCAATCAATCACGCGAACGCATATCATATCCAATATGTGCAACACGCCGCTCCACGCCTTCCTCGCGGCTCTCCCCAAAGCCGAGCACCACATGCACCTGGAAGGCTCCCTCGAGCCGGAACTCCTCTTTGAGCTGGCCGCCAAGAACCGCATCACGCTGCCCTTGTCCAGCGACGCGGCCTTCGCCTCGCCAGCGTCGCTACGCGCGCGCTACGAGGCCTTCCAGAACCTCGACGACTTTCTTGGCTACTACTACATCGGCATGTCCGTTCTCGTCGACGCCGCCGACTTCGAGGCCCTCGCGTACGCGTACTTCGCCAAGGCCGCCTCCCAGGGCGTCCGCCACGCCGAGGTCTTCTTCGACCCCCAGGCCCACACGGACCGCGGCGTCGAGCTCGCCACCATCGTCGGCAGCGTGAGGAAGGCCCAGGACAGGGCCGAGGCGGACTTCGGCCTGAGCTCGGAGCTCATCATGTGTCTGCTGCGCCACCTGCCCCTTTCCAGCGCCCTGGAGACGTTCAAGCACGCGAACGACGCGGGCTACTTCAAGGACGGCACGCTTGCGGCGATAGGCATGGATTCGTCCGAGAAGCCGTTCCCGCCGCCGCTGTGGAAGGATCTCTTCGCTGCGGCGGAGGGGCTGGGCATTCGCCGGACCATCCACGCCGGAGAGGAGGGGCCGCCGCTCTACGTCACGCAGTCCCTCGACGTGCTGCATGCGCAGCGCATAGACCACGGCGTCCGCGCCCTGACGGAAGGCGACGACGCGTTGGTCGCGCGGCTGGTCGCTTCCAAGACGCTGCTGACCATGTGCCCGATATCGAACGTGAAGCTGAACTGCATCCCGTCGATTGCTGCGTTCCCGCTCAGAAGGCTTATTGAGACCGGAGTGAGGTTCAGCATCAACAGCGATGACCCGGCTTACTTTGGGGGTTACATACTTGAGAACTACTGCGCACTTCAGGATGTGTTTGACTTGAGTGTTAGGGAATGGGAGACTATTGCGAAGGGCTCTATTGCGGGAAGTTGGTGTTCTGAGGAGAGAAAGGCCCAGTTGTTCTTGGAGATTGATGATGTTGTCCATGCATATGTGATGGAAAATGAAGAGCAATAGATTAGCTGAAGAAGTTTAAATAGTAATTGAACCTACTTGTTCGATACCACCAGGATTAGTGGATGACTAGAAGATTCTCAAACTGATCTCTTAAGTGATATATCAATGCTCATGATACATAGGTAGTCTTCGTGTGATAGTCTTATTAGTCTACCTAGGTAGCAATGCATAGTATCTTACTAATCCATTCTACACGACGAATGCTCCCTATCCCTGAATTCAACATCCAACCTAGCTCGCCCCTGTTCCATTCCCAAGGAGCGCTTCCCGTGACACAAACTCCAAAATCTCAACCCGTCGTGCATGAACAAGTGGATATTCTTTTGCTAGACAATGGGTTTATTGGGGTATTCACATTCAATGTTTGCGTTTAAGTGCTCGATGACGCGTGGACCAGTCCATAATTCAGACATCTCATGATCTAGGTCGTCCAGATGCAAGTGTTGGCTTACATAGGATGATGCTGGCAGGGATGCTCCTTGATTTCGACACAGGTATCAAGTCGTCTGCCAATGGGCGTCGCAAGGAAGTTCGGAATGAAGCGGAGCAGTTGCATATTAATACACCTACATACCTAGGTCACATATTCAATATCACATATCATTTTACGTCAAAACTCGGTGAAGTTCGTTCCCTATGGTTAGAAGTTTAAGTGTTGGCCTAGGGTGAAGGTGTTGGCCGACATAATATAGCATGTAATTCTCACAGGCTGCGAAACCAGGCAAAGAGCACATCTCTTTGATATTGCTTATTGCAGATAACCTCGGCATTCTTTAACCAAGTAAATCACATTTAACTTCTTGTCATGCAGGTAGTATCACCTTTTTATTTGGTTCAAGGTTTTCAGTGTCTTCTAATAAGAGGCTATTAAGTTCTAGAAGCTGTTGAATGTTTCTCAGCCTTGCTAATGAAGTCGAGGCAGTCTTATTATGCTCAAGTGTATTTGTATGAATGAAATGAATTAGTTATATGATTGAGTACGACGTCATAGACCAAAAGTCAGAGAGAAAATAATTCGACTGTTTGCTTACATGGCAATTTGAATTGACAGTAGGTATAGTATATGACTTGTTCAATAATTCAATTATCTTCATACTTTAGATATTTATTCAATGTTTTTTTTCTTTTCCTTTTTCTTTTCTTTATTTTTTTTTTCAATTAATTAATCATGATCCAGTCCCTAAATTCACAATGGTTCATATCAAATGAAAAATGTGATGTTGGCCACGATTGGACACACCGACTGTGATTGGCAAGTGAAGTATCCACGTTGACCGGACAACGGGATGTCAACAATGATTGGGAACCAAGTTCAGCCAACCTTATAGCTGCCTTGCTACCTCTTCGACCCGCAATCCTCTTCCTATTTCACCCAACCAAATCACAGAATTGAATATTATATGTATTCGGAACTGCACATCTAGTACGTTTTACACATAATGCCAACACAACACTTCAAGGTCCCCAAAACAAATCTAACAAACCAGTAAAAGCCCCAGTGGTTTCTTTTTGTTTTTGGTTTTATTTCCTTAAGCGACCACAAACTTCATTTGATGACAATTGGTTGGTTCGTCTAACATTTTCCTTCCTTTCCTTTTCTAATGCCTCGAATTAAACTCGATTACGATTTCGAAATTTACATTGACCGTTCTTGTCTAAACACTCCAATGGATGAAAAGCTTACCGAACCACAGACACCAGACACATCATCAAACCCCAAGACCTCGACTTCCACAGAGGACATTGAATCAACTACCCCAGATACCAAGGGAGGTGACGAAGGAAACATGTCGCAACACATGGATCCAGAGTCGGAGGTGCGCCAGAGTGTAGAGAGCGACGTGGAGGAAAGCAATGCCTCTGATCAAGGTGATGACCATGGCGACGACATTGAAGATGACGGAGACGAGTCTGTATATAGTGATCAAGAAGACGAACATCCCGACTACTCCGACAACCACATCCCCCACACAGATGACGGTGGAGATAGCAGCTCTCACCACGAAGCCACAGATGAGGATGTGTTCAGTGATAAGAGCCCACGAAGCTCAATGGGATCATATGATGGCAATCCCGAGCCAAGCAAGAAGGCACACCGAGACTTGGACAACATGAGCACTGCAACCCGCTCGCCTCGAGTCTCTGGCATTTCTCAGTACGAGAAAGATGACTTCATTCCCACTACCAGGGAAACCCCGCGCCCACCTTTCCGAACCCCATCAGACGTGCGCGCCATGCAAATGTCTTCACCGCCAGCGTCCGTGCTTGGCTCCCCCCGCTCAGCAAAGAGGCAATTCCCCACCGTCTCTCGCCTCGGAACACCTAATCCCACAACGCAGTACTCACCCAAGAGAATGTCTACGCCTCAGCGTTTTAAGGGACGCAAGGAAGCACCTCTGGTGTTACTGCACGTCACTCTGCTGCCGCTGCGATGGGTATGGAGCGACCTCCTCAACACCGTGGACGCGAGTGAGATGAGCGACCAAGCCAAGACGCTGCGGGAGTCGTGGAGGGTCTTACAAGATCGTATCGGCGACACCGTGATCGAGCGAGGCATATTGCTAGGCCATCCTCAGAATGACTATGAGGTTCTGGAGGAGCGCCTGCTGGAAGCCCTCGAGCTGCCCTTCCGTCGGCGGGCCCGCATCCTCGAGTGTGGTCATTACCTAGGTCCTTCCAATGAGATGGGCCAGGCCGAGGAAGAAGAGAGTGAAGATGAGTGGAGTTCTGACAAGCCCCGAACCACCAAGAAACACCACTGGTGTGCTACGTGCAAGAACGAAATCCGATATGACTCCCTGGGCCTGGGCAAGATCTTCCGCGTGAAAGTCTACGCTAGCAACGGCCTGATGCGAGCTGGCGCCTGGGCCGCATGCTGGAAGGAGATGGAGCGCGTGGACGTCGAGATCGAGCCCCTAGTTGACCCCACGGTTCAGGAGGAGCTCGTGCGGCTTGCTGCCGCTCACCAGGAGGAAGTAAGCATGGCCAAGGAAGCTGCTCAGAAGATGGAGGAGGAACGTCTAAAGGTGGAAGATGACCTGCATTCTCGCGTCGATGCTACCTCTCCCCGCCCAGGCCGCGAGTCCGTGAGGTCGCCTACTTCAGCCGAGGAACGGCGCTGGCGGGATGAGGAGCGCATGCGTGAGATATACGGGCACACACCGCCACCTTCATCTCCACGGCCGCATTCCCGGCACTCCCAAGCCGACGCATACCGGCCCAACCCCTCCCCAATCCCCCCCCAATCACCTCGCAGCAGGCAGAACAACTACGGGCAAAAGGAACAACAACCACAACCAGCACCTTACCAGAACGCATCACTATCCGAGCTGATGAAGCAATCAATCCGCGTGCTGATGCAGGACCGGCGGAACGTGGTGATCTTCACGCTGGGGATGATCGTGCTGCTGCTGGCGATCCGCAACGCTCCGGCCTCTAACGAGATGGTCTACGAGCCGGTGATCCACCGCATGCGGGACTCGCCCGTCCTCCGCCGCGCGCCCCAGCCCGTCGAGACGACGCCCATCCAGCTGAACAACCTGCCCATCGCCGACCCCTTCAAGACGGCGCCGAGTAGCTGCGACGGGCAGCTGCTGGATGAGAAGACGGTTAGCGTGGAGGAGGCGAGGCACCGGGAGACGGTGGATTTGGTGAACGAGTACACCGCCTATGTGGTGGAGCCAATTGAGGATGGCGAGGCGGCGGCAAGTGATGACGCGGCAAGCTCGTCTCTACCCGACGAGTCTGAAACGGATTCCGCCACGGCCTCTCCCGAAACCGAGGCCGCCGCAATCCCAGCAGAGAGCGAAGAGCAAGACCCCGAGTCCTCGACCCCCGCAGACGAGGCATCCAAGCTCGACCTGCCCGCCAGCGAGGAGCCAGAAGCGCCTGTCGCGGAAGAGGCCGAACAGCCGGAAGCAAGCAACACCCTCGCGGGGTCGGAAACCGTGTCGACGGTGTACGAGCCGTGCCGGATGCCGTACGACGAGACGGAGACGGAGTTCGTGACGGAGAAGAAGGTGGTGCGCGTCGTGCACACGGTGACGGAGACGGAGGTCGAGATGGCGACGGAGACGGTCAAGCTCGCTGCGGCCACGAGCGCTGAGGAGCCGCCGTTTTTCACGTCGGTGGATGCTGTTGAGGAGGAGAAGAACGATGATGAGCAGGAGAACAGGCACGAGGAGGAGGGAGAGGAGGAGGAGGAAGGGGACAGTGAGGGGCTTGAGGTCGAGGGGAGCCACTTAGCGCTAGAGAAGGATTCCGCACCGGCCATCCTCGCCTCCTTGGACCGAGATACGCTAACGGAAATGGGGTTGGAGCTGGAGACGGAAATGGGAATCGAAGACCTCCCTTCCGTCGACGCGGACGCCGAGATCGCCGTCTAGTGCGAGTGTCGAGCCTCGCTTCCGCTGTCGTCGTCGAAGAATGATGTCTGAGAGAAAAAGTAACAAACAAACGAAAGAACGAAAGAAAGGAAAGTACATATGCCAAACAAACGGAACGGAGTCTGACGGTGTCATGTTTTTATGGTTTATGTTTTATGTTTTATGCTTGTGTTTTTCGTGGTTTCGTTTTTCCCTCGTTTTTGATGTTGAGCACTCGTTTCGTAATGTGTTGCTGCGTTGCGTTAGCCATTACCTACCTATGTAGGCAGGCTTCTCTGCATGGTGCGTGGCGGTGGGAGGTCATCTGGCATAAAGCTGAGTTGAGTTGAGATTGTTGTGATAGTTCCACGATACCAATATAGCAAGCAAGCAAGCAAGCAGCTCTGAATTGCGGAGGTGTACTATGATGGAATGAGAGGGGGTTGGTGGATGTTAATGGAGATAGATGAATGAACGTGGAATGTGGTCGAGATGAGATGTGCTTGTACCTAGGCTTCGAGACTATTTGCTGCTTGATGTGTTGATGTTGATGTGAAGGGTTAATACCTAGAGACGTAGAGACATAAGATGATATTTTAAGGGGCGTCGTCGTGACGGGTTGGTTAGACTGATGATGGGGTGTAGAATACGTTAGGTCAATCCCATAATAATACATCTAGCTGCTGCGGTATAAGCTGATAATCAGAATAAATATTCTCCTTTCACTAGTGACTGAGTCTCTCTAATCATTCATACCTATCTAATAGGTACCTATATTCTTTCTTATGCTACTCCTACCGTTACCCCACCTCCTCAAGCCCCTTAGTTATCGTCGCAAACCTCCCTAGGTATCATTCTTACCATGCTGTGAAACGCAGGCGCAGAGTTGGAGCTCTGTAGCAGGGCGTAAGACTGTCTGTCTGTGTTGGTGGGTGTGTGGGTATGACATCAGCTACCTCGGGCCTGAGATATCATCTTCGGCACACACTAACTATCCCACAGTAGTAATCTATCCTTCCTGTACTCGATTCTTCAGCAATGAAACTAACCAACAGCTCATTCAAGAAGATCGATACCTACGAGCAAAGACTGGGCAGACCACTATATTCTCTCCTATGCATGGGCTATTAATAACAAGCCATATGAAGTCACCTACCAGGACTACATTGCCAAGGAGGCTACAACGGCTGTAGAGAAGAAATGGACCAATACCGACAACGCGATAGAACTGATGAGAAAATGCAACGATCAAGTAAAGCATATATGCATCGATACATGCTGTATAAACAACACGAGCGACAGCGAGCCAAGCCAATCAATCAATTCCATGTTAAAACAGTACGCGGAAGCTGCCGTACCTAGGTAGGTATTACTATATCGTCGATTTTGAAGGCGAGTTTGAGAACATACCTACTAAACGAGTCGCAACCGTTGGCCGATGAGCTTCGAGCTTAGCCTCAGCACGACAGCTCGAATAATAGTTGTCTACAATCAACCAATGTTTCTGTCCTGGCCCTCACAAAATGCTGTTGGTTTACAAAGGAATGGACGCTACAGGAGTTAATAGCGGCGCCTCGCGTGGAGTTCATAGTTGGATATGGTCTCACGCCGGACTTGGAAGCTTGGGTGTGTGTATCATAGAGGTCAGAAGCTATTAAGATACGGTTATGTCTCAGGTCTAGGATTATATGGGTGAGTTAGGTCGGTACAGTTGAATAACAGTTGTCAGGTTTTGGAGTATGTATACGGATGAGATACAATACAATGATGTCCTGATCGCGGGCGAGGCGGTATTTGGGACGGAAGGGGGGAGTAATGGGGGTTTAATTAGGTACCTTAGGTAGGTATATAAGCGTGCGCTCAGGATCGAGACGATGGAATACGGCAAGGATGATAATGGATATTTAGAGGACGACGAGGCGGGCTGAAACATAGATTCCCAAGAAGCTTGATATTAACTTGTAAAAGTGTAATCTATGATCCTTCCAGAGTGAAGGTAGACTGGTGACATCTTCAAATGGGTTGAACATTAAGTTGTGAGCTCCTGGTTCCCATAGATGTGGCACTTATTGAGATAGTGCGTAGGTAGGCAGGTAGGAATGAAAAGAGGAAAGTGTAACACACTGTATTCTGCATATAATTGTTTCTTAGAGTTCTCTTCCTTGGCCTGACATTTCAATTCTACAATACAACGCTTTCTTCTGCCCCTTGCCCTGCCCACCAACCCCATACTCCTCGATATAGCTTCTATTGCCACACACCCCTATCATTTATAAAATAGTACACCTATAAGCTTCCTCATATAACTAATCCCCTCTTACTCTGTGCTGGAACCCCTAAAGGCCCTTGAAGACAATTGACTTAATCGTAGCGCCACCTAATGCACCAACCCAAGGTCAATCCTCTTCTTGACCTCGCGCCAATAGTCAACGCGCTTCATCTCCCGGAACTTCTTCCCCCACTTGATCATCACCAAGAAGACGGAGCAGATAGCCAGCCCAACAAACGCAACACTAATAAAGCAATTCTGCTCGCCCAGGTTAGTGAGCCAGGGGGTGATGCCGTAGCCGATGGCGAAGCTCATCGTATTGCGGATGAGAATACACGTAGTCAGCGCGTCGCCCGAGATGTCTCGGTACGTGTCGACGAGGTACGAGACGCTCAGGGTGATGCCCATCGTGTTAGCGAACGCGGTCATGCCCATCGCAAACACGAGACCGAACCAGTGCACCTGGTGCGCCGCGCCGACGCCCCAGAGGATGAGCGACGAGGGGATCACCAGCGTCGAGACAGCGAAGAGCCAGAGCCTGTGTTCGGGTTCAGAGACGCCGTTGTTTTTGCGGGCGAGCCGGATGACGAAGCGGTCTGAGAACACACCGGTGAAAGCGGCCGCTAAAGCAACCCCTATCACGCACGAGACGTAGCTCAGTCCGACCATAGAAGTACTGAAGCTGTATGGAGGCGCGCCTAGAATTATGGAGCTCGTCGCGTTGAGAATGTTGAAGTAGATGAGGTATGTCCCGTAGCTGAACCCCGAGTAAAACACCACGGGCCACGAGAGCAGCTTCAAAGACTGCCACGCGCGGTAGTGCATCATGAACGGCCGCGGCTTATCCAAGATGGACATTTTCTGCCAGAACGTTTTTGTAGCTGTTGTCGGCCGGTCTTCCGGAGACGGAATACGCTCAATATCTGACGGGTCAGCTGAGGTCTCTTTGCCTTTCTCTACACCCGGATTCGGCTCGGCTGTCCTGTCAGTAGATTCGGCGACGATACCCACCGTTCTCCGGTCGTAATTCGTCTCTTCCATGAAGAAGAATAAAAACACCCATGTCGCGGCACAGAAGATGGCTTGGATGTAGAACACCCACCGGTAACCCACCCCATCATTGATAAACCCACAGATCACCGGCGCAAAGAAATTGCTCCCAGCCAACGTGAACGCATACCAGCCCATGAAAGTCGCGCGCTCGTGGGCGAAGAACAGGTCGGCGATAGTAGTTTCGGGCAGCGCCTCGATGGGCGCCGCGAAGAAACCCGTCAGGACGCGGTTCGCGATCCACTGTCCATTTCCACGGGCATAGGGGCCCCAGGCCGTGATTGCGATGAGGGCGAGCAGCGAGACTAAGTAGGTCAGCCGCTTGCCGTACTGCAGGGCGAAGGGCTGCCAGAACAGGAGGCCCCAGCCCAGAAGCAGGAACATGTACCCGGTGCCGGCGTTGAGGTCAGCCTCTGTCACGGAGAGCGCTGTGGAAAGTGGCACGAGCACCGAGTACACGACCGACAGCGCCATGCCGTTGAACCAGGTGTACAGGAGCGCGCAAGTCAGGGCTAAATACTTGCGTCGCGGGGTCCAGTTCAAGGGGTCGTCCGGATCTGTGGACGGAGTCGGCACGAGCACAATGTCTTTCATGTCTTTGGCATGTCGCGTCGCCATCGTGTGCTCGAGATCGACGAGGTGGACAGTCCCGGGGACTGCTGATTCGTCAATGTCACCATGACTCGGCCCCAGCGGCAATGCCATCCTGAGCTTATAGCGCAAGTATTACTTGGAGTTGAGCTTGATTGAAGCAATCAATCATTGGGTGTAAGTATTAAAGGAAGTAGCTTAGATATGTGAGCTAGGTGGAAAAGTGAACTCTCTTTGTCTCTCATCAATCCCTCCCCCCGCACAGATATCTGTGGTAGCAACATAGGATTTCCGTAGCACTGGCGTCCATTCATATCTCGAGTCTGAAAAGAAAAGGGGAAAGTTTATCTAGATCCCTGTCGACCTGCAGGAAAACGGTCCAATGCAGCCAGCCTTCTCGTCGATACGATATCTCCGGGTCGATGATAAGCAAGGAAGTGTGATGTATTTGGTAAGACATTCCTCGTCATACTCTTGATAAGACATATTCTGCATAATCCCGCTTGTTCTACTTGTACACGTAAGGGGAGCAAAATGCACACCAGCCACCGCAATCAAAGAGATGGCTCGGATAGGTGATCATCGCCTCAGCATGTCGGGCCAGATGAAGATATCTAGCTTTACTAAAGAGTGACATGACTCGCCTACAATCATGGTAAAAGCATAACTCAGCGTGCATACAACCTTGAAGCCATGTCTCTTTTACAGGACTTATTATATCACTAAGGTTGAGTCTAGTAACGGCGGTTGTGGTTCCACGTGTAATCACTTGCTGACCGTGGGGTTTGAGCTTGGATATGAATCGTGACGCTTCTCGAGTTGTACGGCAGGAACAGCGTTATTATTATCCTGCGAATCGGCAATGTTATATACGGGTGTGGAGCCAAGATAGGTATCCAGGGACAACCGGGAGATTTTAGAGTCTTTCACATAAAACATAGAATGAATATTCTGTAGGGGCAACCTACTTTCTTAGATTACCTAGTGCCTAACCTGTCTACGCTTGTAACTCTAAGGTATCTTCAAAGCTCTTATAACCGGAGTTCCTCTGCTTGCAAGTACTGCAAATTATGACCGTATTCGTCGCTATCTCCAGAAGAAACGCCTTCATCGAATCTCTGCTCCCCACATACGACCACGTGCTGAGCGGTCCATGATGTGGGCCAGACTGCTCACCCTTGTCTGATTTCAAGAAGGCAACCTGATGTCTATTTCCATTTAGCGAGCAGCTCTGGGTGTGGTGCCCCAGAGAAGCCACTTTCAGCTCCTCTAAACACAGGGACTTGGCAATCTCTCGGAAGATCGAGTCCCACGCGTTGGGACTCGCAGAGTCGGTATCGAGTTCGTGCTCTCCGCGGAGAACCGACACGCCCACAGTGTATAGATGCAGCTGCCGCAGCGACCCGGAGAGAAACAGCAGAACCGCGGTTAGAGACGTGGCGGGCGCGACCATGTCTCCCAGCTGTAGCTCACGGAGAGCCTCGAATCTTTGAACCGGGGGTATACTAGCGAGGGTAGTGTGCACAGGTCTGTCAAGACGAATCACGTCGGCTTTTCCCTCGTCTGACGAGGTAGCCAAGCGCGCAAGCCATCCTATCACGCCGTCCTTCATGAAACTATAACCCTTCGATCGTACCCGGAGGGAGGTTAGGTTCGGGGTATTGGCCAGCAACGGAAACAAGTAATGCGGCTGCCACCGCAAGAACGCGAGGGACCCCTTGGAGAAACTGCCAAGAGAGACGTATGTGAAACTGATAGAAAGGTCGAGCGACCGAATGCTCTGCAGGCAAGGCTTGAGCGACTCGAGAAAATGTTGTGGCATCGCAAAGGCGGAGCTGGACAGCCCTATATCCGGCTTTTGTATTGCTGCCGTGATACTCCTTAGTTTCTTTCCACTCCTCGCTATGGCCAGCATAGACGCCGAGAAGACGATATCGGGGAACTGGTCCTGGGAGTGGATATGCGGCTCGTCGATGATAAAATCGACACCGGTCTGGCGGCGGACCTCGGCGACACCATAGCTCACACGCAGCGGCATCGCTCCCGGGCGGCCGGACTTTCTCGTCGCATTGGTATCGCGCAAGCTGAACTCGACAATGTTTGGTAAGTTTTCCAGGACTTCTTTGAGCAAAAGCTGCAGCCTTCCGCTGCTGATGAGCCAGTTCTGCTCTACCGAGAGGGCTTCCAGGTTCTCGGGAATGATTCCTCTCCTTGCATGAGGCCGGTCCGGATCCCCATCCCGACGCGCCGAGTTAGCCACGGCGTCGCTGCTGCACAGTCGATCCAGTCCGATGGTGAGCTTCGACAACCGTTTTGACAGATGTGGGTGTTTCGATATGTTAAGGAGGCATTTCAGGCTATCTGCAAACCCGTAGAAAATAAAATTAGAAACGATCTGAGAAACTTCATACTTGGATACCTAATGTACTAAGAAAAGGGATCTTGAGAGTTTAATAAGGAATAGAGATATTTTTAGCCCCTTATTTTGCACGAGAACGATATTAAAAAAGAGAATAAAACGCATACTATGTCCACAGTTAGCACCTGTAACAGAGGATATCGAGAATACAAGTACGAGGTATAAGCAAGGCTTTATCACACATACCATTCAGTCACCATGAACCGCCTATCAGAGAACAATTCTCCGGAAAAAGTTTCAAACAACAACGTCTCGGCGGAATGACATGTCAAGCGGAGGCTGAATAGGTCCTCGTGGGAAAGGTACGACGCCGTATGCACAAGCAGCTCACAGGGCAGCCCCAAAAGCGGAGGTACGTCTCCTTTATTAGTTCCAACGTGCGCATTTTTTCCCGCGTTCGTGGGATCCCCGGATTGTGACGGGCGGCTTAGCTGCGCAGCAGCGTAGATGTGATCTGCCATGCTGCTTGTAAGAGAGCAGCCGAAGCCGAAGCAGGCTGGCAGGCAAGGGTCAAGAATTGAAAAGGGGGGGAAGATGCAAAAAATAAAGAACCAAGAAAAACAACACGGACATTGTCGAGGAAGGATGGGCAATGGCAAATAGCAAATATCACCACTACAGCGTAGTGGCAACGTGGACGGTTATTACTTTTTCCTCTCTATCTCCCATTTCCTTTTTTTTCCCTCCCTCCCTATCAAACTTCCGTCTCTACCTAGGTAGGTAGTGTTGGTTTGAATTCAGTAACTCTCTCTCTTTCTCTCCAGCCAGCCAGGTTTTGTATCCTGAGAAGTAATTTAAAGTACCAATCTTAAGAAGTCCTACACACGTGTACGTACAACCTACATTTATAGACGTTGGTTTTGTCTCTCTCTAGCTATTTTCACCGCCCACTCACGTAAGAAATGCTTCATTCCTTTCTGACACTTGACCATATGCGTGTACAAAATAGGGACCAACCGGCCCGTGCTATGTTGTAGCGCAATATCTATTCGTTTACCTGAGTCTACTTTTTTCAACACTTCTGCCCCATGGGGGCTACGCATATCATGGCCGCGGCCTGTTACAACTATGTTAGTTGTGCTAGATGATACCCAACCTTCTCCCACTGCTTGTAAGCATGTGCCCAAGGTAGCGGCAATGCTACTTAAATGGGTAGGTCTCACAAGTCACATCAAAGTTCGGTAAGATGGATTTACTAGACATATTTGCTAACTCGAATGCATCTTCTGGGGTCATTGTGAGATATATGTATCTTTATATATAGCATCTATATCCTGTTGCGTGCAAATATGCTCTTGTATCGGGTAAACACAAAGCAGGCCTCCACCTGCGAAATCTTTTCTTGTTTGTCCGAAATACCTCTCCTCTTCATGAAAAGAAAAAATTGCATTCGCTGCGCTTTTAGCCCATGCCCTTTAGATTACGAAGAAGGCCGGCTTTTGGCCAAGGGAAACTCCTCATTGGTCACCAGCCAATGCAGGTCAACCAACACTCACAACCGAAATGGGGCTAACAGGTGATCCCATCCCTACGAAGCAAACCCGTCACAACGGTTAAACCGAGACGACCTCTCCATTACGTACATGTCTTGGGTCGTACTCAGTGTACCTAAACCCATGGCACTGAGAAGGTATTTCGACCTTGACGTCAACGCCCCCTGGCCCCTATACTTGTGTACTTTAGCCCCCTTCTCCCCCAATCAAGGACCCGTACGTATGGGATTTTTTCCCTCTGCCCCCCATGTACAATACATGCAAGTGACATTGTGTGATCGTCAAGCCGAGCATTGGGAAACCAGTCTACCGGTTACCAGGCAATAAACCCTTGATGTGTGGAGAAGAAGTGGTGGAAACTTTGGGTAGCAAGCATGGCTGTTGCGTGGGCATTTGCCATGCCATGCAGCTTAGTACCCAGCACCAGGCTTTTCTTCATCGCGTTTACCAAGATAAAAATCTGTCTACCTGATCTTACCAAAGATCACATGGGGGTTTTCTTGGTCTTGACTTGCATCAAACATCGCTGTCTTCCGAAATCTTGCGGCATTCCCCGTCTTCTGATTGCTTCTAGTTCCTACTAAGTACCGACCTAACTACCAACAGTAGAATCATAGATGCGTCTTCTAGTCCCACCAAAGGATAGGGCTTAGTTAAAGCATGTTTTACTGCACATGGCTCCACTAGGCCTGCCATATGTTAGCATTCCGCCATTGTAGTATGAGATAAACCAAAGCTTTCTTCCATCATTCTTCCTTCCATTTGGTTGCAGTTTGCCCTGCAACAGAGAAGAATCTTGATTGCAAAATACCACAAAAGCTCGCCTTACCTTTAGTTAAAAATAGTCCACACCCGACGCAAATCTCAGTTATATTAACGAAGCAAGCCCCAAAGCGCCTCAAGGGATATGCAAGAAACTGTGTAACCGATTTAACACCTATCAAACTAGTATGTACATAGGAGGTGTTGGTAAAAATAAGCGCCCGCTAATCAAGTCTATACAAGTCTCAAGACCTCGATTTATTACGTTACTCGGAAAGATTAGGGGTCATTGAACACGGGGGTAGGTAGGTAGGTAGGGGGGCTTGTATGGGGCTGGGCTGATCACATGAGCACCCTCTTGGCTTGGCCTGCTTAATATAGATCGAATACATCCATCCCATAGTCACTGGTTTGCTTGTGTGATTCGTTACGCAGAACAAATCTCGAAGCTTCCGAGGTTTCTAGATCTCTAGTAAAGGTAGGTAGGTAGGTATGCAGTACTACCTACTTTCCAAATCGCACAGCGTCACCAATATATTAACGACGTCACATGGCCGTGAACCACCATCCGTAGGTAGTTTACTACACTCTCGAAGCGCTGTGAAGATCACGACGCGAGCCTTTACACTCCCTATACCTAGTACCTACATTCCTCTGCTGCGATGAAGACTACGCCTAGCCACCTACCTCCTTATGTAAGTGCTAACTCGGCGTCAGTTTAACATAGAACGATAAAGAAGTCATACCCATCAAAGTGACTACGAGAAATCGCATAGCTAAACCCATAAAGAATTCCAAAACGTCTATAAACTAACACGTTAGCAGTAAAGACCACTTTCCTAACAAGCGGCTACCAAGCATACAACTACTGGTACAAAGTTAGTATCGTGAACTTTCTCGTCAGGTCTATAGGAATCGTCAACCATCACTCCGTGTGTACAGCAAGTAACTTGAGAATCATCAGCACATGAACACCCCCCTGACCTGCGAGTACTTGGTCCTTGGGAGTAGATGCCTACCTAAGTAGTATGGGTATATATATCATAGAGCCAGCCCATATTGAGAATTTGTGGTCTTTTCCTTTTTTCCTAGGTAGGTACCTATCTTACTCCCATAGCTTACCCCCCTTTTCTCTGGTTCGATAGCCCGACCTCACGTACCTCCCTAGGTGTATATTAAAGTGAATAGGAGTTAGTCAACGCACCAACAGCCAGCCAGATACCAGACACCAGACACCAGACACCAGACACCAGACACCAGACACCAGTAACTACCGCAAACACGAGAGGAAAAAAGGGACATATGAATAGCAAGGACAAAAGGTTGGGTATAGCCTGATCCTCGCCTTCACTCGATAGCAATAGCAATAGCAACAGTAGTAGGTAATGGTAGATGGTAGTTAGTATAGGTATGTATGTATTGTATATATGTAGGTATGTATATGTCCTTTCCTATCCCTATCCCTATCCCATTCCCTTGCCCTTTCCCTCTATCACCCTCTTCCCCCCCCTTTCTCCTTCTCCCCCTCTTTCTCCCTCTTTCTCTGTATCTCTTTCTAACCCAATACGTGCCCAGATATGATATGATCGATCTTGTTTCCTATTGCTTGCTTGCTTGCTTGCTTGCTTGACTGATAATTCGTTCGTTATAATTCTTCTTTCTTTTAATTTTAATTTCCCCCCTCCCATCAAAAAGCTCACGAAAACGAAAACGAAAACGAAAAAAAAAAATAAAAAAATAAAGCATCCAAGATTTGTGTGTGTTCCCATAATTTTATGCCATCCCTTTCACGCAAAAAACACTCTCTCTTTGCCCTGCCGATTTGATGATATGATGATGATGATGCAAGGTATATTGTGATATATATACGGTTAAAAACGACGACGATGACGTTGACGTTGACGTCGATGTTGATTGTTGCTGTAGGTAAAAGATAAAAGAGTAAAAAAAAAAAAGAAAAGGCCGATGTGTATCCCTTGACGCAGCGCTGTCTATCCGAAATTTTGATCCATCCTTGAGAGGTGTTTGTCTATGGAGACAAGAACGAGACATTTGTATACCTGTGTAAAAAAAAAAAAAACGAAGACAGAAAGAACCTTAAGCATGCTTTTCCTTTTTGATGAAAATATAAGAGATCTTGTAACCGGAACCCAAAAACCCTTCCCTCCCTCCCTCCCTCATTAACTACCAGGGTCTGCATACGAGGGTAGGATGCTTGCATACTGCGCGGAACCACAATCTGGGCAGAGACGCTCCGTCGTGCAGCGATTGTGCTTGTCACAGTGCCATTCCGAGCTAGGCTTACACATACGGCACTCTTGGCAGTGATCCCAGAGATCGGTAGCCACCCACCCACCCTGGCAGAAGCTATACCAGAAGCCGTGGAAGTCGTTCTGGTTACAGTTGCCCAGGGCGCCGCGGAGGAGCTCGAACTCGAGGCGCTCGCGCTCTTCGCGAGGTTTCTTTCTCTTACCGCCACGAGCCTTCTTCCAGCTGTCCTCCCACTTCTTGAACGCATCTACGTGCTCCCGGATGGTCGCCCAGGACGTGTCGTCATACAGGAGAATGTCTATCATCAGTTCTATATCCAGCTCCTCGACATTCGGTTGCTGGAAGAGCCAGGTTGCGAAGCAGGCGTTGGCACCGCAGGGTTTAGGGAACACGGAGGGAGGACCGAAAAACTGTGTTAAGTCTGCAAAGGGGTTTCCGCATGCGTCACCGCACGCACAGGTCGCGCTACAGCCGAGCCCGTGCTTGCTACAGGCACAGAAGAGACAGGCTTTTTTATCACCGCGGCCTTTCTTGCAGGAACATCTCTTAATCTTGAGTCCATTCTTGGAGGAATCTAGGGGTGGCGTGGGGACAGAATGTACAGACGGAAGCGAAGTTCGCGGGGGTTCGGAATCAGTGTAGACCTATGGTAGAGATAAGACGTTAGTGACACATAGCTACCTCTCCTGAAAATGTTGTCCCGAGAAAGAGGGTGCTAGGTATACTAGGAGATATAATATCTGTCTGTCTTACCTCGGTTGACTCATCCGCTGTCTCACCCAGCGCATCCTCGTCATCGTCACTTTCGTGCATGTCATCTTCGGGTGTGCGTCTGTGGCCGTTCGGAGGTGCGGGAGTAGGTAGAGGAGCAGGGCTATGAAGAGTTGCGGGACTGTGAAGAGCTATTGGACTATGTAGAGGGGCTGGACTGAAGTGGGAATTTAACGTGCTAGAATCCGAGTAGGAATTGGTGGCCGAGTGGTATGATGTGGCGTGTGTGGTCGGTTGGGAGGAATATGTATCTGTATACTGCGATAGATGATGTTGTGGGTGCTGTATTGTCGAGGTCTGAGAATTTGCGCGCGGTTGAGAATAACTTTGAGGGTGGTGGTTCGTCGGTATGGGAGAATACGTTCCACCTGTTCCTGGTTGTGGTGACTGTCCTTGTAAAAGTGATTGTTGTGCCTGTGCCTGTGCCTGAGCTTGTGCCTGTGCCTGAGCTTGTGCCTGAGCTTGAGCTTGTGCTTGTGCTTGTGCTTGTGCTTGTACCTGTGCCTGTGTCTCTGCAAAGTTCCCGTTCCGAATTCCATTGACGCCTGCCTGGGCGTAATGTGTAGCATGAGAGTTCATGTGCCCATTGGGGGGAGCCTGAGAGTAATGTGCCGCGAAACTGTTAGCCTGTTGTTGGGGACTGTATGGTCCAGCGCCGTATGCTGCCGAGGAAGTCTGGTATGCTCCGCCATATCCGCCGGTCGGGTTTGTTACCGTGCCGGTAGCATAAGGGTTGTAGCCGATAGGATGGCGGGTGGTAGGTTGGAGGGAATAGCCGCCATTCTCGTATCCCGTAGCCGAGTACAAGTTGAGGCCCTGGGCGACTTGCACATGTCGGAGGGCGGGAGCTGTGGTCTGCGCAGTGTTACCGACAGATTCCCGCGACGTGTTCGATCGCTGTCGCTTAGACGGTGGATACGACATTGCATGTTTGCCTCAACCCTTCCCCTTTCCTACTGTCCTGGTATATTTTCTCTTTCCTCGCACGGTTGCAGCCGAGGGGGTGGATAGAGAGGGAAAGGGGGGTTGCAGGACAGCGCAGGATCGGGTCTGATAGGACACGGCAGTAAGAGGCAGGAGGCGGCACAGAGCTACTGGATATTGGAAGTCGTAATGGAATTTTCTCTCTAAGAGCGTGTGAGCGTGTGACTTCGGTAGGTGTCAAAAAAGAATTCGATTTTGGACTTTTTGGAGGCCGGTGAAGAAAAAGGAGATATTTCCTTGGCCTTGGCTTCCTCGGCTATTTTTTTGTAGGTGAATTGAGTATATTATTTACCAGGTTGGCCAGGTTGGTAGTTTCGACAGCCAGGGTTCAGACAAGAAATTCTTTGAATGTTAGAACGTTGAGATCGTCCAAAATTCCGCGTCTTGATTGTGGCGCATGATTCTATCGGGGGCGACGCGTTAAAAAAAAAGCTGCTGCTTGTCCCTTGCTGCTAACTGTATGCAGGTGCTAAAATACTTACCTAGCAGGTAAGCTGTACCTGCTACTTAGCAGAATACCTAGCAGGAATGCGGTATGTACATCCAGATGATCCATGAATATAATCCGTAATCGCAACGGGTAACAGGAGTTGCTTTTCAAAAGTTATGTAATTGTGGATGACTGTTACCTGTAACGGTGGCGTTCAGGGGGTCCAGGCGTACTATTTAGTACTAGACATGTTCAAGAATGATGGATTATGGATATGGATATATGTGGTTTTCTAGGTTAGCTTGAGATATTATATCGCCACCTTGGGTATTCGAATATGTAATGTGAGTAGGTAAGTAACTTAAAGTAAGAAATATCAAATCAAATTGGTTCGGAATTAATAACTTGAAATACATAACTATAACTAGTTCAAATGTTAAGCCCTGAGATCAAATCAATGGTATTGGATGCCTCGGTACTACTGCTAGTAGTAATGCACCTAGTAAATATGGGATATACTCGCCGATTTATAGACAGGTATCCATGATTCCTACACTCCCAAATCCAACCTTTAACCACTTTAACCTAGAGTTTAAATCTTAATTCGTCAAGAGTCAAGACCATCGTTACTTGTCTAACGGACTCTAACCTAGTAAACACTAGGCCTAGGGACGGCACCCTAACCTTTAGGGTGGGTTGGTCCTTTTATTGCGTTCCATCGCAGGTTCGTAACGCAGTTATCGACATGCGGGTGCGGTCACACTTTATTCTGGACTACCTACAACCTGCTAACCTAGTATATACATATGTACCTAGGTTAGGTAAATAGGTATGTAGGTGTAGAATATGATATTTACCTAATACCTTTGATATCAAGGGAGACATCGACTTTGATTTATATACCTACTATTGCATACACATCCCAGGGACATCTTTGCGTCCATATGCAAATGCTATATATAATAAACGCGCAACCTGCGTTATCCCGAGTCTTACAAGGACAACGAAGCCGAGACAATCAAATAGGTTTTATATGATTCGTCACGTAATCCAAGCTAGAATTGGCCTAAAGTCGGCCTGCTATGGCCCTGGTTGGTATGCGGGTGCCCGAGACCCACTCCAGTCCGATCGGTGCGAGGCCGGTGACATCTCTAATCCTTCTAAATTCTTTGAACCACTTTATGCAATTGAAGTCATATGTATCACATATATACATTGCCTATACTATGTACATTGGTGAGGTATGTATCAGACAGGCTTATACTACATGTAGGTCAGCTACACAATGTATGTAATGCGTCGAACACTTTACCGCACTCAAGAAATGCCTCGGAAGTAAATCAACGACCCCAATCGTATGTTAGACCTGAGACAACTCAAAGCCGGCAAAATTCAACGGCAGCTGATTGCCAATTCTCATGGAGTAATGGATATGTAACATTTCTAGGCCTTTGTTCTGTTGTTTCAGCTAACCATAGCCTCAGCGCATGTCTTTCTTCGAAGCACGTTGCAGCAATTGGCGGCCGCGAACCTACTACCCGTATTCTGCGAACCCTCTCGCACCTTGAATCCTATGGTGACCTTCAATACTTCGTCGCTCACCTTAGGCGAGGTGGCCGACGTCTCGTCTGGCGAATGGGCTCTCTAGCTACTCGCTTTAAGTAGCGCTTCACCTATGCCGCCATTGACCGAAGCGATCCCCGATCCGAGGCCTGTTGCCAAAACGCGAGAAATTCGTGCATTCATAGGATGTTACTGGTGTATGTACATATCTTCACATACCGGCCTAGGTGAAAGGTTGCGGCACGGAATCCGCATTGGCTTGGGAACCAGAAGCCCGGCACAGCGACCACCACCAAGCAAAATTCCATTCGCATTTTACCTACACCAGAGAATGCGCGATGCTCTTTTTAAAATGGAAAATGGCACAAAGACCCATAACAAGTTCGTTCACACCCCAGGTTCGACGCTCAGAGAACGACTTGTTTATGGAACTTGGTCCTTGTCAAATCCGCCGTGAACTTGCTCTTCGAGATTGACACATAAAAATCGTTCTCATCTTGAAGGACTTCGAAGACGCGCCCTTTGTGAGCCTCGTTTGCTGAAAGACCTTCGTTTACTCCCTGCTGTAGGCAAGCAAGTGAATCCAGGCCCTATACTAGGGCGTCTAATCCCAGGACGACAACTTTTTCTTTGGGAAAAGTTCAATACAGGAGTGATGGATAAGATGTACTTTATCCAGGTCACTCCCCTCGCAAAGGGGAGTGTGCAAAAACATACGAAGCGATACCCCCCAACGGAAAAACAACCCCTTCGTTGCGAACCCCCCCTCATCGATGGCAGCTCGACGCAGCATCCTCAAACAATCCGATTGTCGAACGTCATCGCCATTGTCCAGCCAATCCAGGAAATATAAGCAACCCCCCTATCCCCCTATGATTTTCTTTCACATCCAACAAAGCCTTTGACCACTCCGTCCAAGCACCCACCCCCCCAACGAGCCAGTTCCATCCAAACGTACAAATACTTCGCGGCGCCACTTAGCCCATCTGCAGCAACCCTCGGAACCCGGTCTATCTACTAACCCATTGTAACCTCTTAAGCTAAACCAGAACATACATACATACATACATACTCACGTAGCAAACCAGTCAAACCAGTCAAACCAGTCAAACCCAAAAAAAAATGTGTACCAGCAAGCTCTTCCGCTACGAGCGGTGCAAGCACCCCTCGGTGCCGACGCACCAGCAGGCCTCGGTGCAGCGGTGCCTGAAGTACAAGATGGGGCTGTACCTGACGCTGACGCACACGGTGGACGTGGTGAACGCGCCGGGCGACGCGGGCGCGGCGCGGCGGCTGCCGCGCGCCGGCGGGTCGTGCCCGCGCTGCTTCCCGGGCGAGGCGGCGCGCGAGCAGCTGGGCCGGCGCTTCGCGCGCGCCACCAAGGCCAAGACCATCCGCGCCACCGTCGAGGCCGTCGACTTCTCCAACGACCGCAAGTCCTTCGAGGCCGCCAATGATGGCGAGACGTATATCTACTCCATCTAAAAAAAAGAAAAAGAAAAAAAAAGAAAAAAAAAAAAAGAAAAGAATGGTGGAGATCCGCGCGTCTGGGTGAGTTTGTTGTTTGACCGTACGCCCGTTCTTGTTTCTGCTGCCGAGGTAGGTTAGACACTGCTGTTGTTGGTGTTGTTGTTGTTGAATGGTTTGTTTAGATGCAGGCATTGCAGTAGGTATGTTTATTGTTTAGAAAAGGAAAAAAGAAAAAGAAGCGAGGTTTGAAGCGTAAGTAGGTAAGTAGGTACATAGGTATTACCTAGGTACCGTTTTTGGATGCTGTTTCCGAATTACATAGTTAGTTATTGTTTACTCGAAAATAAAGCGTTGTTTCCAAATATATATATATAAAGAGCTACTCGTGGTAGCTGCAGAGTGAGTTGCAAGGCGCCATTATGTGATGTTGGTGATTATCCCAGAGCAACTAGGTTGTAGTATGTCTTATACGGCGATTCCCATTTTCAATGCTTAATGCTCTCAGAGGTAGTTAAGACGGAAGACATGAGAAGGTGGAGGATCTTTTAAAATGCCAATGTAATTGACAATTCTTCTGCGATGCCCAGAGATGGGTATTCATTAGTAGCTAGCTACTGTATGTAAATGTGTACGCTCTAAAACGATAGTAATGCCCCCTAACTCCAATCGCTCCCTAATGCATGGCCGTAGAATATATATTTTTTATCTTCAAAAGTCCCAATCAATAGATGAGCTTGTCATCGTAAGCTCGCACGCTCTCGAGATACGACTTGACATCGCTCCAGTCCCGACACACTACTCGATCCATTAGTATATATTCAAGCTAAGTAACAACAGCCTCGTGATAGATAGGTAGGCTCGAGAATCAACTTACCGTGCTTGGAATCCCAACCATCGGACCCGCCATTGTGGTCCGGGAACGTCGTCTCCAGGCCCTCGAGGGCCATGTCGGCGCTGCACATGATGGCCTGCCGCATGTAGTCGAAGCAGTGGATCATGTGCCAGTGGTGGTCGTCTGGGATCTCGTGGCCGGACGACAGGCCCGAGTATGTCTGTGCGATGGCGAACTATTTATCGTCTGTAATTAGCTTTATCTGTCTCTATGATAGAGTTATCGAGATGATGGCAGGAACTTACGAGGCAGTGGAGTTGATGGGTCGCGGACGTCGTGAAGACGGTCTTGTCGGGCCACATGATGGGCGTGGGGAGGTCGTGGTACTTGGACGTGTCGTTCACCCAGACGAAGCCCATGCCCTCTGTTTGATAGTTAGCCTTTTGCTCTGGGTTGTTAGAAGAGGACTTTTGGGTAAAAAATACTTACGTGGCATGAGGCTATTCCATCTTTCTAGGACCTCCTCCGTGAAGAAATCGGCTGTGTTATTCGGTGCGAACGACTCATCCCGTTCGAACGTGGTGATCTTTTGGGAGACTAAGTAACACGCCATTAGTATCCCAATTTACAGGTAATTTCAGGGTTACCAAAGTAGCCTTACATCTCGGCCCAACTCCCGTCAGATCCTGGCCGAATTGCCACGGGTTGGTATCCTTCTCTCCTGTCTCCGGTTTGCGCCATTGATCTTTCACCAACAACCCTAAAATTATCAATAGCAGGGCCGTGTCGATCATCCACCTCGACGATCTAAAAGCCGCGACAACTCTCCCGCACTTCGTCCTCCGCGTAGTTGGCCTGCTCAATTCAATGTCGTGCCACTGCTTCTCATCGCCCATCAAGGACTCCTCAACCTCGGTGCTCGACCTGGAGCCGTCGCGGTCGTCGACATGTCTTAGATTAGCGTACTTGGACGTCTGGGACTCCATCGTGATCTACACAGGGGGAGTCGATTTAGAAAAAAGCTTGTTTATTAAAAGTGTTATGATGTGAGAAAGGGAAGTTGAGGATCATGGAGATCATGTATGGGGGATTGTGGCTTTTATGAAGCCGTAAATAATTTTGGTCAATAGGGGAACAGTACCATAGACCCGTAGGCTGTTTCAATCACAGGTAATTCGTAACTGTCCTATGTAACCATAGCTGTTTCGGCTTGAATCTGAGACGGGTCCATTGAGCCATGGCCGGATAGGTGGGTGGATACTCATTGGTGAAATGAAGACGATAATATCAATTCGCCAGTCATGACAAAGATTGTAACAAATATATAATAATTACAATTGATTGCCGATGAGTTGAAACTAATAGACGACGTTAAATCAATCATCAGTAGAAGTTACTGAGTACTAGGTAAATAGCACTCCTGTTTCTATTTACAACTGGATTGATTCGTGAGATGCAAAAGCAATCACCATGTCATCGCCAAATGAGCGAGTCTAGTCGGCACCATTTCGCACGGGCCTAACGAACCACGTCTCAAGATCCTGGTCTCTTTTATTCCCCGCGACGGGAATGCTGCATCTCTTAACCCCTTTGTTGAGGCAAGCTTAGCCGATGCTAGTCCTTGGAGGGTCTGTCTCCGTAGGTGCTTAGGCTTCTAGAAGCCTAGGTCGTCATATGGCGGTTTACTGGTCTGATCTATACGATAAATGGCTACACAATGGCTAGACATATTGCCTGCCTAGGTACCTACAGCAGATAACTCTGCCGCGCGCCTAAAGGTTCAATGCATAACTAAGGTAGGTAGTCATTTTGCACGTTTATTCATTCAAGGCCGTATCCTCCGTCTTGCAGCTCGTGCCAAAGTAGCCGTCGCAGCACTAGTCGACGGCGGGAGTTCCGAGGTCGTCGCGGTCGCATCCGCTCGTCCAGCATCTCCATCCCTCTCAAGCCCATTCTCGACAGGCCACCTTAGGTATCCCTTCTTGTCTGCTTCCTGAATGCTGTCCGTGAAAATATTCCCCATCAAACCGTAGCCGAAGTCGAAGGGATGCGTACCATCCGGGCCGATATCCGCTACCTGGGGCCGGTCGGGGAAGCCTTCGCTATAGTGCATTTCAGCTAGCAAGACGGGCTTCGAGTCGAATTTCTTGACGAGCTCGCGGTACTGCTGGTTGACTTCCAGGATCTTGGGCTCGCAGTCCGGGACTGTGTTCGTTAGGCACGTACTGAACACCACTGTCGACCGGGGCGATGCCTTGAGGAGGTAGTTGATAAAGCCTTCCATGTGCTCGCCGGCCTTGTCAACGTCTATATCTTGCAAGACGTTGTTACTCCCCACGTGGATGACAAACAGGTTCGGCTGTAGTTGCGACACGATGCGCGTCGCATGCTCGTGGATCTGGCTGATGCGATTGCCGCCGTAGGCTTCGAGGTCGTTGTCCAGCATATCCCCAAACCGCTGGGAGCCGACCATGTTGACGGGTACACCTAGGCCAACTAACTCGTCGCGCATTGTCTTGCGAAATCCTGTATTGGTGGTTGAGAACTCGCCTCGGATGAGCGAGGCGCCGAGCGCCATAATACGGAGTGGGACTCCATCGGCGATGCGGGTTGAATTTTCGGGCTTCCAGTTGCCTGCCCCTATCGTGATTCCGTTCGCCGTAGTAATTACGCCGGCAGGAGTGTCAGTATTGTTGTCGCTTGATTGCGGGGGGCTGTTGCTTCTGCTGTCGCTGCCGCTAGTATTGGGCCGAAGTATCCCGGTCGCAGCGAGAACTGAGGTTGGAAGATATGGGTTAGAATACGCTTAGGCAGTCTGAAGGCATGTCTAATAATATGATGAAACTTACCGATCAGCACAATTGCTACAATGGCCGTTAGAATCAAAGCGAAGATTGCCTTCTTGCTGCGAAAGAAAGAGAGGCGTGATAACCACGACTTCTTTTCGTCAACCTCCATGGTTGAGGTAGATTGTGGTAAGTTGATAGAAACTCCCTGGTTAAATAGTTTCCATGTATGAATCAAACAAGAATCGCATCGAGATCACAAGTCAGTATGCTACATGGAGTTTTCATGTATGTGCCGAGCGACCAAATGTTTGTCGTCGCCATCGCTGTCCCAACATCTTGATCCAATACTGCTCAGTCCGCGGGTCACATTCATTTTACCGAGCGCTTCCTAGGGCTGAGGTAAACGTGCCGATTACCCATCAACATAAGGTTCCAAGGCTACTATAAATGGAAGATCGACATGCATGTATGGGACTAAAGTCCAACATTTATCCAGAAGCGAACAAGTGTTGTATGATTCAAGGTTTCGGAGGATTTAGCGATCTTGGCTGATGGAATACCCAAGGCGCTTCGCCCGAGGGTTGTCGATCACAAGTCCAATTGAGATTCTGGGTAACAGAACAATCATGCCAAGTGTAACTACGTAAGACAAGAGTGTGAGCTTACGAGTTCGATTCTTTACCTGCTGGTAAACTCGACTAAAATCCATTCGAGTCTCAAAATAGCATCGTCATAAGAGCAGCTTTCCAGGAACGGGTCCATGAGCGGATGCATATATTATCTCGAGGGCTCTTGTAAGAATACTAGCCTAGGTCTGAGCTACATGTACATGCCATCGAAGCCTTCGATGGCATGTAGCGAAGGAACATTGGGAAGCCGCCCCAAGGCACTCCCCTGGACAAGAGGAAGGTTCCACTACCTACACCATCTGAGCCGCCTAACCCAGCTAGTTGTTCGTCCAATCAATGCCCTTATAGATCCTGATATTTGCCCGATTCGGAAATATTCCATCTCTGTTGTTCTTGACTCAAGCGGCGTTCTCATCTCAATTCATGTAGGGAAAAGGATCAAAATACGCTTGATTTCCAGCGAACAAGACAGTGGCCAGTTGATGGGTCACTAATGCGGTATAAAATAGAATAAATACAGCCGTTCAAGCTGTAGCTTGACCCCCAGAGCTCGTCTTCATGTCAAGGCCCTATAAGTCGCAGGAGTTTCAGTTGGTGGCCAAGCCAACATACTGCACATGCACAGAGTAGCACTTTTATCAGATCATTCAGGATGTTATCATCTCTCCATTTCACTCAATACTAGTTGCTACCTAATTTCTCTAAAAGAAAAGTCCTACAATGTTTCTAATGTCTTGTGGCAGAATATCACATAGCTCAATCGGAAGCATCATGATATCTGTCGAAAGCAACACACATGCCTTGTAGTTGCCAAGAACACTTCAAAAATGACTCTCTCGTTGTGGGGAGATACTAGCCTCCAGAAGTTCGTCCTCATGGCAGTAGGTTAGAAGGTGACTATCCCAGGCTTTTGGTCATCTATCTTGAATGCGATTATACTAGTATCGGAAACATTATCGATGCAGCGGCGTAGGAGATCTTCCGGTGGCTTGGATAATAGAAATGCTGCTAAAAGCTGTCTAGGGTTAAGTGATTACCGTTGGATCGCAAAATACTAAAAAAGTTGATGGCTACTAGGTATGGCCGATACTAATAATACGTTGCTTCGTGGGTAATATTGTCGAGAGCCAAAGTGATATAGGAGGTAGGGCAATTGAGCTGAGTGGGAAAACAAATGGTCGGCTGATCCTCATTGATTCTTAATAACACTGAAGAACCTACTCAGTAAGTTAGCAAGACAAGTGATGGATATTGGGAGCAGGGAAGACTTATCCCCAGCAGCAGGGGGCTGCCCTCCACCCGGTCAGGAGTAGAGGACAGCCTAGGACTACCCCCCAAATGGCCTGTCCTGAGAGCCAACAAAAAAGAAAATGACCGAGAAATGCGTTCCATGCTAGTAGACATGCTACGTTGATATCCTTCGACTCACAGGGAACGAGACCGGACAAGCACCAAGCTTTGACTCCAACTCAAGATGGGTCCCGGGCCTCGATCCTTGCGAAAAATGGCATTCAACGGGCCGCCTTAGCAACACCCACGCATCTCACTTCCAAAATGTGCTTCCTTGCCATCATTGACAAATCCTACCAATAAAGCCGGTGAATTGGGACATCCCAATCGCATCGATCCTGCTCTTAAGAAGAAGCTCTTTCAGTTGAACGCACTACCAACATGGACTAGTTTTTGATTCCTCCCCGTCGAACTCATTTTAGTAGCATGGGGGGCATTACCGTACGGCCAAAATACATCCATAAAAGCCGCACTATCATCTCTCCGCATTCCATTTCTGGTAGAGGGGAGGGAAGCTCGGAGGCTGTCCGAAGACAGCCGCCGAGCAGAACTTGGCGTCTTTCATCATCGTGGGACAAGACCCACGAGAGAAGGTTAACGCGTCTGGTCAGACCTCATTAAAATGACGCATCGATGGCTGTTGCCGAATGCGGTGCTAGGAGTCAGGAAGGGGTAGAGGATGAAGTGGATGGATCCGGGACAACTCGGGTTAGGTCAGGTTTTACGCTGACAGCTGCGACTAGCTAGTCCGTGACCAGAGATGAATGGGTACTGAGAATATACAACACGACGATAGGTTTGTGTCAGGAAGTGTTAGGCTAGTTTTTGTTGTAATCGCATAGTCGTCGCTCACCCTGCCTGGTCAAGAGATGGCAGCCTGGGGGATTCTGGCGAACTAGACTAGCGATGAATTATAAAACTGCCGTGGAACTTTGACTGTATGTAGCCGATGTTATCTTCTTCCCATTCTTTCTCGGTGGCACGGGTCATCCAGCTAATAGCAGCAAGTCGTCGCGGAATCGATCTTCCATCCTGCGTAGCCCTATCAGACATCACCAACACGGTATACAACGACCAGAGTACGAGTTCCAGCGGCACAGAGCTGACGAGCGACCCCGGGCCTGGGGTTCTTACCGGTACGACTCATAGCAAAGGCACCTTACGCGCGCAAGGGCGACTGGAGTGTCCAATCGCCACCCTTCCATCTCTTGGAAGCGTCGATCAGCCAAAACTACTTTTCAGCAGGGCGAGACGTCACGAATGCAACTAGAGGTTTATAAGGCGGATTCTAGACGACTATGAACGCGAGACTTAGAACCAAGGGTTTGCTTAGGGTTAAGTTCCGAAACATCATTCCCTTGACCGATCCGCTAGCCAGAACGCGGTGGCTACCCTCGCGCAACAATCCCTACGCGGCATGCTCATCAGATCCCATATCCCGAGCAGCGACGTGTTGTGCGAGGTTTTGATTTTGGGTCGACCAAGGGGCCATGAAGACACTTCTTTCGGAGAATGAGAATCGGAGAACTGTAGGGGAGGCGTCGTGCGAGTTGTGTAAGTGCTCTTGTCATTCTTCGCGACGAGAGAAGGCAAGAGCGAAAGAGCTTCAACTTGAAGGGATGCGATGCTTTTGAAGATGATCTGATTCGTATCTCGGGTTGGATATCATTGGTAGACCTATCTCTGACAAGAAATCAGAAGCTTGGTGATGTGTGTTGTGGAAGAGTGTTGAGTTGGAAGAAAAGTCAAGTACAAACGCGTCTTGAAATAAAGTAGCGCGTTCTGTTACATAATAGCTAGTTATGGGCACGTGCTAACTATCTTACATCATCAATAGGCTACGGTGACGGTATCGATAAGCAACCGTCGGTGGACCCACTATATATGCTTACGCCGTAGATACATAATTCTTTTATGGAGCTTCAAAGCCCGTATGTAATACCTACTACCTACGACTAACTACGCCTTAAACTTACACATAATACATGCATCAATCGTCATCTTTCATCAAAATCGAATTGCTACTCTGTACCAGATTAGATATACATACAATGCATAAGATGAAGAATTATATCTAGTAAAATATTCTGTGTGATGTCTCATTCATATCAACTTGCGATATACGCAGAATAAAGCCCTTCTCAACCTCATTTTATAGACAGGTCAATAAGAAGCTCCGATAAAGTAGAGATCATATTCACGATGGGCGACGAGCGACCTCATGGTGGGAAAAGGTCCCTAGAATCAGCCATTGAGGAAACCGGGCTCAAGGCATTTCAACCTTCCGGCGATGATGCCTCCCGCTTAGAAGGCCAACAAGAGTTTGGCGCTCTACTGTCGAGGTAGGAAGGTTACCTTGTCATCGAGTCGAGTTTCATCATCTGACTTCTCACTCCAGAATCAATACTATGGCACTCATGTCCGCCCTAACTAAGTTGAACCAGCCTGGTCGTGTTCCAGAATGGCTTCGAGTTCATCTCATGGACGTGCTTACCCTGCTTCCGCATCGGCCAGATGGCGTTAGAGCTACCTTAGAATTCGTCTTTTCCGTCCACCCGTCAAGTACCGTCAAGACATCCGAGGCCGAGATGCCGCAGAAGCAGGGTGCGAATATTACCATGGAGGCTTTGAAAATGGCCTCAAGGATACTATCAACTCCGCCAGCTACAGTACCACCAGAACAGTGGTTCCCCGGCATTGCGCCGCAGCTTCTGGCTCTCCTCGATGGAAACTACGGCGCAGACCTCGTGAAAGCTACCGCTTATGTTATTGGCTTTGGCGTGTTAGGGAGGAAGCAATTTGGGGCCCCAGGTACGCCCGTCCGAGACAAAGCGCTGGTAAATCATGGCTGCTTATACCCAATATCTAGGAACGCCCGGGTGGAAAGCGTTTGCTGAGCCGATGCTGGCCAAGATAGACCCCACCCTATCGTCGCAAGAACCAACGACTGAACCCCTTGTATTCAGCGCCGGCCCGGATGAGGTCATCGACTTACACAAAGAGTCTATTCTGGTCGACGCAGATGAGATTTATATTGCGTTGAAGCGCCTCTCTTCATTGCTAAACTCTCATCCTAACCCAGGCTTGACCAAGAGGCTTCTAGCACCGTTGACAACAGCCCTGTGGACCCTATCGTCATGGGCATCTGCGAACGAAGAATTTGACAACCGGTATCGACGTCCAGCAAATACGCTGCTCAGAATATACTTCAAACTCGCCGGCTCTCCAGAGAAGTTTCAACATCTGTTAAACAATTTACTTAGCAACGGCAATACGGACACTTCTAAGAAACCCCACTGGGCTTATGAAAGAGTAGGGGATTCGAATATCCAGATAAAACGGTTACGAGAGTCAAATAACACAGCCTATAACTTAGACCTAGGTCTCCTTGATTCTAAGTCCGATGCTTTCGTGGAGCTTTTAAAATATGTTGGAAGCCATATGGACGCCTCTACGCTATTTCTATCCCTACTCCGAGGCTCGCTTGGGTCTACCGGGGCTACCTCTAAGATAAAAATAACCCTTATAGATGCACAGCAAAAGGACCCAGCAGCGCAGCTCGTGGAAGCAAAGGTATTACAGAACATGATGGAGAAACTGTCCGACCGGCTTGTTTCAGGCTGGAGACAGCTGCTGGAACTTGTCAGCCAGATCTTGGGCGAGTCGCAAACGCCGTCTGCTGTCGTTAACGACGACGCGACAGGAGTCGCGCTTAGCCTACTAAACCTCGTTGTTACCGCCCCCGGCTTCCAAAAGTCGCATGCCGACCCTAGCATCCTCGCATCTATCGAAGGATCACTCGCGAAAATCGGTAAGTCGCAGGAGTCTGATTTGGCGCAAACAGCACGCAACCTCTCCCTCCTCCTCGAGTACCGGGACACCCTAGACGATCCAGCTGAACACACCACTGCACCTACGGATCGACAGGTGGAAGACCGCAAGACTTATAACCTGGCGATCTCCTACATAACACAAATAGACTCGCCCCCACCAGTGCGCACCGAGGGACTAAACCTGCTGTCCGGCCTGATACGAGCCAACAGTTCCATCCTCGACATCCAATCCACGCTCGTCCTCCTGTCGTCCTTACTAACCCAGAACGACGACTACATCAACCTAACCGTCGTGCGGCTCTTCACGCAACTAGCCAGCAAGCACCCGCGCTCCACCGTCAAAGAGATCCTAGACCACTACGTAGACGCCAACGAGCTCGAGACAACCGACACGCGCCTCCGCTTCGGCGAAGCTCTTCTCCAAGTAATCCAGCGCCGCGGCGAGACCTTCATCGGCGAGACCGCATCCCAAGTCGGCGAAGCCCTCCTCGCCCTCGCCGGCCGCCGCGCCCACCGCCCCCAGACGCAAGCGAAGCAGGAGCGCGCACAGCGCCTCCGAGAACTAAAAAACAAAGCCGCGCGCGACGCCTGGCAGGGCGAGGTCCCCGACCTCAGCGACCTCAACTCCGAAGATGACAAGCGCACAGCCGACGAAAAAACCCGCGACGAAATCATCGCGCACATCGTGTCCGGCTGGGAAAGCAAGCGCGGCGCCGAAGACCTGCGCATGCGCGCCTCCGCCCTCTCCATCTTCTCCCTGTGCCTCGAGACGCACGCCCTTGGGCTCCCCGCCCCTCTCATCCAGGCCTCCATCGATCTGTGTCTTAACATCCTATCCCTCGAGCCCGACCCCGAAGCCGGCATCCTGCGGCGCGCCGCCATCATCCTCGTGCACGAGTTCGTGCGCGCGCTCGCGCACAAGCGTCTCGGGTTCGGGGTCCCCGATGCGACGCGCCGCGATATCACGCGTGCGCTGGAGTACGTCGCACAGACGGATAACGATGGGCTTGTGCGGCGGCATGCGAGGGATGTGGTGGAGGGTTTGGGGAATTCGCAGTTGAGCATGCTTGTGCCTGCGGCCGAGACGCAGGGACCGGCGGTGCTGACGCGGCTGGCGGGCTTGGATTTGGATATCGGGTTGGATGCGAGACCGAGTTTGCCGAGTTTGGAGCCGGGGGCTAGGCCGAGGATTGAGGAGATTGAGTAGGGAGGTAATCTAGGTACCTATTTTGGGTTGTGGATTCAACAATTACGTACCTAGGTACGTATGTATGTAGAACATGACTGGGAGATGAACGTATTACACGTGTGTGTATACCTACCTACCTACCTACCTACCTCTGTATATCACAATGCATTGCGACCGTAAAGAGAAACCATCTAACCTACCCAGGGAAATCTACGAATATGAAAAGCAAGCAGTTTGTTGATTCTATTATTCCACCTGTTTAGGTAGATGCCTAGGGTAGGTAGTCTTTGAATATGAAGATCAAGTTACAAAACCAAACTGGTCTGGGAAAACACATCGAGATATTCGTGGGGTATAAACGCCGTGACAAGATGTGGCTAAAAGGACACATACCTATGTCTCATAGCTAAAAGCCTTCGGGGTATCCATTATTCCATTTCATTCCACGCCCCCCCCCCCCTCCTCCCTCCGAACCACACTAGCGATCCTCCAACTCCTTGGGCCAGAGAAGCTTCCTGTTCCACAGACAGCGGAGCATGGTGATGAAGACGAGGGCCCAGACCACGATAAGGATGCCAGTCATGACGCAGGCGGCGATGCGGAGCCCATTGCTACTGACGGCAGTCGCGAGAGCAAAGGTCGCGGTGACGAAGGCCGTGTTGGGGAAGACGAAAGACCACCAGGTCATCTGGAAAGGCATTGTGTGCTCGGGACGCACATATTTCCACAGGGAGCCGACAGAGGCCAGGAAGAACCAGACGCAGAGACCCCAGAGCCAGAGACCGGCGATAATGGAGAGCAGCTCTAGAATCGCGACGGTGTGCCCCGAGGCTTGTAAGTTGTCCGGGATAATTATTTGGGCTTGTTGGCCGAGAGAAACTGTTACGGTTAGTATATTTGAAATTGGCAAGTATGCTACGCATTTCAGGGGCGAGGAAAGCCGTACCTAATCCCGCGACCGTGAATCCACTAGGCCCAATAGAAATAAACTGGCAAGAAAATATCATTAGTAAAGACAGCCCCGGAGAACTCAATCGTCCATTGGCAGCTCACCACACCAGGCCGTTGCATATCTCTAGGCAGCTTCTGAGTCATGAGACGATAGATAAACGCGGCGCAAATCATGAAGCTGATGAGAAATCCCGTGCCTTGCACTGCCACCGCACACATCGCTATCGGGAGCCTGTTGACCGGCAAACCACTCGAGGCATCATCTGCTGCTATCAGAGTACTAGCGAAAGGTGCAGTCAGGAGCAAAGGATATCCCGGAAACACCCAGACAGGAGTCATAGTGTGGATAGGGAATATTCTATCAGGAAGCGGGTCAGTTGGGACAGCTAAGCATATAAGCCAAGGCGAGCTTGCTCACTGGGTTGACCAAAGAATCAAGTATATGCCCACACTTGCCACTATGCTGACAAAAATATAGACCCAGAACAGCCACTCCATGGTGTTCTTGAGCCATGGGCCTGTCATTGGAATCCCATATTCACAGGTGTTGATGAGGATGGTCCCGGTACTGCCATGGTGGTCAACAATGACGTGTGATCCAAAAAAATAACCCTATTGGTGACCTACGATACTACCTATTTGAGATATGTGAGACAATGCCTAAGTAGAAATTCGATGGAGCTTACCACAGCTGGTATGAAAAGAGACTCCACTTGATCTAAGAACGAGTGCATGAAGCTCCCAGGAACCATAATAAATCTCATCGTGATCAAGACACAGTTCATGACGAAGAGGCATAGGTTGAATATAAAAAAGAACAGCCCAATGCACCAAATCCAATTGCTGCGATATGGTGTCCAAACTAGGTAGTTGCCGACTATTAGATGATCTGTATTGCCTCATTATCGTTGATGAGGTCCGGGACATACCGGAATGAAGGACGTTGGCTATACCGCCGGTAGCCTATATAGGAACAGTTGAATATGAGAATAAGAAGCGACCTCGTTGCCAAGAGCTCAGCTTACCATGGTCTGAATGGATGTTAGCGGCTATGGGTAGGTATTTGTTTATCGTATCGAGGACATAATGGCATCTATTCAGAGTCATACCATCGTGAACCAGGTCCATTGATGGCAGCATATCCGATCACGAATCCCGATTTTCCCTCCCATTTTAGATTTCCGTGCGTTGGAGATCATTCTGGCCAGACTCTCGGCATTAGGTTGACCAGAAAGAGGAATAGGGGGCGGACGTCTTTTTTCCCATTGTTGCTCACGGTGTGAAATGGTTGGCGAACCACCGCGGTTGAAGTAATCCTCACTAGGGGTCACGTAGCCATTACGAGCGACTTCGATGTCAAGTTGGGTGCTCACAGCTCTGGGCATTTTGACATGCAAAAATCGTCAGGACTGCGGGTGACGAGCTTGGAGATTATATAAATGCTGATGAGTAAGACAGGCTCCGCGTGAGATAGGGCGGAATGGAAGTTGACGAGGGTTGTTAGGAATACAACAAGATGCAGTACAATAGAACCAACATTAGAAATAGACATATTCCGACCTTCGGATCGTACCAGGAGGGGATCCAGACGTAATATGTATATCAAAATGTCGGGGTGAGAGAGTGTGTGAGTGAGTGAGCGATAACCGATATTATTTACCTAGGTAGATAGATACCTAACCTAGCAGTGATGAGGTATATTAGACAGGCAGGTATCCAGGTATGATTGAATAGCTCTAGCCGTTTTGTCAATTTCACTTGGGCCAATCTTTGCTGTATCTGCGTTTGTTTGTAGAAGATGACGTGCCGATCGATGCTACGTGAGACTTGAGATTTTGTCCGGATCGGCGATAGTTAATTCTTCTGTTTTATTTTTATATTTTTCTTTGCAATGTCACTCGAAGACTGGCGTGGAGGTCGCAATGAGTTGATGTAAATAAACGAATGAACGAATGAATGAATGCACTAGTTTCTGAGGTTGAGACTACTCGGAGTTAAGTTGTACTATGAAATAAGCTTGAAAATTGGATGAGTTTAATGTTCAAGTTAATGTTCTGTAATAATGAACTTTGAAGTTTAAGATACCAGCGCTGTTTTCGCATAAGTACTACCTATTACTTACATAACTAATAAGTCCTGATATGTAGTTAATTGCCTGTTTCTTTGATATTGTTGATAAATTGATACGCTATTTTTATCCACTAACCTAAGTCCCTACCCAATCATGGTCTTTGTTACAGCAATGGCCCCGCGTGGTTTGTTCGGGTATGGCGGCATGACGGCATGGCGCATTGTTTGTACTATGGTTTATGCTAGTATCGATGGATTCATTTATCGTGCCAACGAACCCCACATCCCAACATGTGCATGTGGTGGGCAGTAACCCATAGTTATCAATAGTTGCTATTGGACCCAAGATATCGGGTTAGCAAGCTTGGGGAAGTTCCTTGCTTTATTGGAACATCAAATGGCTGTCAGCTTATTAAAGTCAAATGCGCTCTTCTGGCTAAGTCACTAACTTCCCAACCTTAAATCACTTATGCGATTCAATCGTTAGTTATTCACGTGTGCAGTTAATCAATCAAATGCTACCCTAGGTACCCTGGGTACATAGAATGCACTACATCCTCCCAACAAACACCTGAACATTTGGACTGTATGGGAACAGTATACTTGATCCTTCTATCTTACAACTTGTTTCTTTGGTGTTAATCTCGAATACGACGAGTACCTAATACTATACCAATCACATATAATACAAACAAATACCCTCACTCAAGATTATTATTCTAACCTAGGAGACTTGATCAATTGGCATCTCATTCCCGATTTCTTCTCTCTTCTAAATCTGCCTCACCAGTTACATTACATCATTGTCGTCCCAAAGACAAGGCTGCCTATCTCATCTACACAAAGCAACTTCAAATTGCTCTAGGAAAGCCAACTTTCGAATATCCTAGTCTTGCTCCTGTGCTTTCTTCAATCCTACTGCGCGTGAGCTCAATGGGTTTACGGTGTGTATTCCGGTAGACTCGACAAGGTAAATCAGTTCTGCTCCTAGGCTTGCCTAGGAAGTACCCCAACGACAATATGGGTCTCAGTCGCAGTAGGCCTCCGAAACTATGGTCTCTTAATGATACTTATGGTAAGTCAGTCAGCCAGTTGGCTAATTAGTTGATGGCTACCTGCTTTTGCATGCCGATGTCTTTCTTAACCCCCCGGAACTCTGTTAACAAGAGCCTTGTGTGTAATTATATAGGCTTCATCGCGACCTTTTGCCAGGCGAACACGCGAACCTATCCTCGCCGAACCGCTCTAAGATGTTCAGCAGTACGACTGCAAGTCAGACCGTTCTCGGTTGCGCAAGATACGAACACGACGTCGTCTCGTGTCGAACCACATAATCATCAGACACCACCCTCTCCGCACAATGTACCACGATGTGGTTTTCACACTTACTTCGTCACTCACCTTCCGTCTTCGTCGCTACATCCCGATTCGCGTGCCCCAGCCGGACTTCATCATAAGTTACCACGGGCCGCCGCCGCGCCTCACGATGCCGTTTCTGGAGCACCACCTGTGACCCCGCCCCACATATCACCTACCCGCGACTTAACCGTGGTTCGTATACCCCTCCGCAGTGCCAAGCACCATTTTGGTGCTGCGAACTCGAGAGGATCAAGGCCCTACAATGAAGACACCAACCAGGCAGGCACCATTGACATGCCTGCCTTCGCTAAACGTGCTCCTATCAGTCTAGTCAGGAGCACCATGAACAGGACGGGAGAGGGGACTTCAGCTGATAGCGCGTATGGAGACCCCCAGATCTTTTATTTTGGAGTTTTTGATGGACATGGAGGCAACCAATGCAGTGACTTTTTGAGGGATGAGCTACATGGGTACATAGAGGAAGCCGCTCAGGAGTTCGAGCTGAAAAGCAGCTTACGGACAATGAGAAAGGGACGGAAAACGGACCCAAATTCCAAGGATTCGGGAACCCAGATCCTGTCAGATACCGAAGCTGGCGGGAAAGATGCACTTGATCGATTAGATATCAAGGGGTCGGAAGCCGTCAAGGCCAAAACGAAAATCCCCGAGATTGACAAACACGGCGCAATCCAAGAAGTCAACAACCCAGGCGCTGTCAAGGGTGCGAGCCCCGCTCCTACCAAAGTCTCGCAGCCGAAAGCTCTACGATTACAACAGGAGTTGGTAGAAGAATACAAAAGTACCATTGGCGGTTATTTCCGACGCTTCCACCCTCCGCACTTTCACCGTAAACAAGACCCTAAGTCTCACGAGGCTCTGGTCAGTATTGAATCCGTCCTCACGTACGCATTTCTCCGCGCCGATCTCGACTTTGTCGCAGCGCAAGCCCGCAAACCGGACCCCGACGATCCATATGTATCCGATACGGCTCTGAACTTAGATGAGGTATTAGGAAAGCCACATCACCTACCTCCTTCCGGTCAGGGTATCGGCGGGCGAACCCGGTTCAAGGGAGGATCGACTGCCTCGGTCGCCTTGATCTCCACGCCGACCCCGGCCCCATTCTGGCATCCGGCGGCAAGTTCTACATTGCTAGTCGGGCACGTTGGCGACACACGCATACTTTTATGCGAGACTGCCACCGGTCTCCCTCGTCCATTGACATCCGATCATCGTCCAAGCGCTCCTAGTGAGTCTCACCGCCTACGACGATTTGCAGCCTCTTTCGTGACCGATTCTTTCGGCGAGGAACGAATCCAAGGCCTCGCCAACTCCCGCGCTTTCGGCGACATGGCTTCCAAACGTCTGGGCGTCTCCGCTGAGCCTGAAATCACGCGCACGGAGCTAGGGCCGGCTGAGTATAGCTTCATAGCTCTCGTATCAGACGGCGTGTCAGGGACCCTCAGCGACCAGGAAATCGTCGACATCATCAAGGAGGCCAAGACCCCCGAACAAGGTTCCCGAGACGTCGTATCATATGCCACCGAAGTCAGCCACGACGGCGACAACGCAACGTGTCTCGTTGTCCGCCTCGGCGGCTGGGAGCGCAGGAGTGAGGGCGGGTTGGGGAGTTTGGGGACAAAGGAGATTCGCGATTTCAGACGTAATGAGGCGCTGGATCCGCGACGGGGTATTAGGTAGATGGGTAAGAGTCAGAGCTTTCTTGCTGATGAAGTAGTTAGGTGGTACATAGGTAGTATAAACGTAATTATAATCTACACCAGTGGCTGCTGTTTATCACCGTGTCTCGCTGTTAATGTAGGCGAGGATTTGGTATCCTCTGCTTCTTTCACATCACAATGCATAAGCGTAGACGTAGACGGAGGCATGAGCACAAGGGTTAATACCTATATCCTCCACCCCTTTTTCTTTCGAGGGCAAATCTAGGTATATATCTTAAGAAGTTTAAGAAATGTGTTCTGTAACCTTTTGTGCGTGATGTCTGTGAAATTTCCCCTTCATTGATTGCGTCTACCGAGTCTGCCTGGAACAGCCGCTCCCTTTGTCGACAGGTAGGTAGGTAGGTAGGTAGGTAGGTAGGTAGGTAGGTAGGTAGGTAGGTAGGTAGGTACCCCTATCCAGACAGTCTTCATGTCTGTGCTTAAGTAAATGGGCGATGGGATGGGATGGGATGGGATGGGATAAAGGGGGTTTATAAAAGCCAGGTAGATTCGCTAACTATAGGATCAGATCAGACCGTCCGCGCGTATGGAGACTGAAAGCTCATAGACTGGGTAGATGGAAAGATTAGGGGGTAGGTAGGTAGATAGATACCTAGGTTAGGTAGTTAGGTATGAACGAAACGCATAGTTACCTATGATTGATCTACATTTTTTGCGTGCGCGAGCTTATAGTCACCTACCTCTCTTCAACTGCCTGCCTGCCCCTGGCTAATCAATAAGACAGCAACTGCAGAAGCGATATTAAACGCAGCCACAACACCCATCCATCCCAACCCATCCCATCCCATCCCCTAGCCTAGACCGACAGGAGTAGACAACGTCCCAAGGCTAGTAGTAAACAGAGGCGAATAGGCAAGCGGGTAGGTGAGATAGGTATATATCATTGACAATGCATGCTATCGACTCGATCCGACTCCCCTCCCAGCACAACAGAACAGAATCCCCTTCTCCCAACGCCTGGCCTTACGTATCGTTCAAAGCATCCCCCCCCCTTCTCTCTCTCCCTCCCTCCCTTCTCTCCCCGTGCTAAACTAGATAGGTGGGTGGGTAGGTAGGGTTACCTAAGCTCTTTCGCTGTGCCCGTTTCTTTTTTTTTTATGCATTAGAGGAAGAAAGAGAAAGAAAGACATTATCGTAATTTTCCTGCTTCCTTTCTTACTTTCTTTCTTTCTTTCTGTCTCTGGTGCTGTCCCCTCCTCTCTCGTAAATAGGCAGAGTAGGTTAGGTAGGTAGGTAGGTAGCTAAGCTAAACGTGATCGTTGTTTTTCGTTTCGTTTTTGCGTTATTATGCAACCAAGTAGCTCTCTATTTACGTAACCTACCTACATACCCACTTATGTGCGTTTCTTTCTTTCTTTCTTTCTTGGAACGAACAAAAAACTTTGATAAGGGCACGCGTAGGTAAGGCAAGGTAAGGCAGGGAGGTGAACGATACCCAATCGAAATCGAATCGACGCGAAAAACGCTTCCATGAACATGAAAAAAACCCAGCAATGACCCAGTTGCCCCCTTTCCCCCTCCCCCGCTTCCTCTCCCCCTATTTGCCTTTTCTTTTCTTTTCTTTTCATTCCCAGCCCCCTTGCCGTTCTCAAGCCGGGCCTTCTCGCTACCGCGCGAACCCCAGCGTCTCCATGCGTATACACGACGTCATCTCGAACTGCTCCGCGATCTTCATCTTCTCTGGATCCACGAAGAACCAGCCCTCTGCTTTTTCCAGCAGCTCCCGCTTCGTGCGCATCTCGGTCTCGCAGCGGCGGCGCAGGACGCGGCGGAAGCTGACCGAGGCCTCCTTGTCGAGCGCGCGGAACTGGTAGTCCTTCCAGTCGAGGACCTCGGCCGGGTTGACGTAGTAGTCGACACCGAGGCCCGGGATGGTGCGGTGCAGGGTTAGGGGGGGCGCGGCGTGGTCGAAGGCCATAGTGGGGGTCGCGGGCCCGCTGTCGCCGCCGGCGAAGAGCGAGGTTAGCACGGGGAAGACGAAGAGCAGGATCATGGGTAGCAGGCTGATGAAGGTGTCCCAGCCGGTCTGGGGCTCGCGCGGCTCGCCCTCGGGGTTCTGCGGCCGCCGCCGCGGGTTGCCGCCGCCCATCTGGTGCACGCGGAAGCCGCGGTTGCCGCCGAGGTTGAACACGAACTGCGGGCCCGTGTCGAACCCGCCGCCGCCGCCGAAGGGACCACCGAATCCGCCGCCGAACCCACCGCCGAAGAAGCGCTGGAACATTTCTTCTGGTGTCATCTCGTCGCCGAATCCCTGCCCGCCACCGCCGAATCCTGCCCTCGGGCCGGCGTGTCTCGCGCTCGAGAAGGGGTCCTGGGCTTGGGCTCTGGTGGTCTCGTACTTGTTGTCGGGATCGGTGCCCCAGCGGTCATACATGGCGCGCTTGTCCTTGTCGGCGAGGACGCCGAAGGCGTGGCTGACCATCTTGAAGGCCTCGTCCGCGTGCTCGTAGCCATTCTTGTCGGGATGTGTCAGCAGGGACTGCTTGCGATAAGCCTTCTTGATGTCGCCCTCCGTGCACGTACTCCTCACGGCCTCGAGGTCTAGTATGTCGTAGAAGGCGGAGGCTTTACATCGTCGGATGCGAAGGACGGCGGCTTTTTGTTCGGGGGTGTATTTCCGATCTGAGGGGCCGGTGTTGGACATGGCCACGTGCGACCGTACTCGGAAAGGGCGTGCGTAGGCTTGATGTGTTGCTGATTGTGCGTATGATTTAATGATTCGTGATGACCAGGTATGCGTTGATTTGAGGTGGCTGTGTGCCGGGGGTTCGAAGACAGGTGTAGTGGTCCGATAGGGTAGATGAGGCTTCCTTAGTTGGCTCACTTCGGGTTTGAAATGATTGAAAAGACAACGAAGTAGTTAATTGAGTTCCAAGTTAGCGTCACTATAAAGGAACACTAATTGTGAATCACGTATTGTAAAGGTAAAGGAGGCAATTGAGGTGATGTTTTGTTGATATGAAATAGTGGCTGAAAGTGGAAAGAGATACGTATGTGTAGTATTCAATAATGTTATCCTAGACTCGGGACAGGTTCTGCTGTCTTTGCAAAGTGGCTTTTCGCTGAATTGTGGCTTATCTATGGCTCGATAAGAGCCATAGTAAGGGAAAGCACCCGAGAGATAAGCATCCCAGTACAGTTCAATTGTTTAATCCATGCATGTAGTTAGTAACTATGTAGTTACATGTAGCCCCACCAAGCAAAGAGTTCCTATGAATTCACCAATAGACCAAACGCCCGGGCAGGGTTCTTTTTCTTAGCTTCCAATGAGCCTCATCGTCATTGACGTATTTTTAACGAAACCTACCTACCAGGTCCTACCTTAATACCTTGGTAGGTAAATAAATAATTCATGTCAGCTCATGCAACTCTATCACGATACATAAACCTAGAAATCTGATCTACTACTCCTGCTATATTGTCATATCAGTTCTTATTTTAGCTTAACTCTATAAAATCTGGAAAACTTGGTGCTCTACTCTTTAAGCAAAAAAAAGGAAAAGCGCCCAATGAGAAGAGAACTTTAACTATTCGCATCAAAATTTGACTTGGCTTTTTCCCAACACCACAATCCCACATCCTCCAACATGACAACGCCAGAACCACCTAAATCAATAACGTCACATCTCGAAGCATGGGGCAGTACGTACTCTATTTCCTTCTCTCTCTACGTCTTACTCTACGTTGCCCAGCAACTTCAAACTTCCCATGTAAGCAAACACCCAAGCGCTTACACAACTAACCTGCCACACAGCCAGCCCCTTCGCACCCGTGGGCCTCGCAACCTTAATAACACCGCTGCACTTCCGCCCCTTCCAGGTGCGCCCCATGCTCTTCGTGCCCGTGCTGTTCTTCTCCAGCTACGCGAACTTGCAGGGCTTCAAGATAGACAGCGCCGGGATGACTGTGGCCGCTAGCGGCACTTATGCGCTGTTGGCCATGCGGAGGAGGCCAAGCGCCTTCATGAAACGCTTCTCGATCCGGGGAATCGTCAGGGGCGCTGCTGTGGCTTTGAGCATTATCAATGTCGTCTCTGCGGGTTGGGTGTTTGCTAAGGGGGACCGCGAGAAGGAGAAGGAGGAGAGGTTGAACAATCCAAAATGGGTTTGAGCTAGGTTAACTATACTGTAAATACCAGTAGCATACCCAGTTCTAAAAAAGACTCCACTACTACTATAATCTTCAAAGAGGGCATACAATGCCATACATACCCTCTATATTCACGGATAGATGTGAGGGATATCACGAATCGCAAGCTTGCACCATGCATATCGACAAAACATAACAAAAATTTGTGTCTTTGGAAGTGGTTCTCATTCGCCTATTTTCTTACTACCTCCCCCTCCATTAACCGACACTTCCAACCCTGAGAACCTCCTGAAATGCTTCCAATTTCGTAGTCTGCAGTCTTCTGATGTATGATGCGAGCCAATGCAAAATGAGTCAAAGACAGAAAAACAAACGAAATATCGAGAATTCGTCTTAACAAAGAACAATCCAGATTTAACGCCGGGAGACACCTCAGCACTTGATTGGTCTCCTAACCGACCGACCGTGTTGTATGCAGGCTCGACCTTGCCTCGTCAGATATGCGTCCTCCCAATATCTTCTTTCCACACCTTCCACCATGCTGTGATCTTTCCATTCCCATCTCCAAATCTTGTCTTTTTTTGGTGTAATGATTGCCGTAATTTATGCTTGCCGCGATTTAATGCTCCAATTTTATATGGGTTCGCCGGATCATAGCCAGCCCGGGCTTTCTTTCGTTGTCGCCATCCTTCCCGAATCTAATAACCAGACCGTGACACCTGCCTGAACCATTTCTATACCTCTCCATCTCTAATGCCACTTTGTCGTAATAGGACACCACTGTGTTTGTGTGTCATACAGTAGTGAGAATCAACAGCCGAGTAGTTGAGTACACCCAAAATGATAGAGTGAAGGACGCCAACATCACCATGCCGTAGAATGTGCGCAGCACAAAAGGGGCTTGGCTTAAGGTTGATGGTGAGAGAGCAAGATCGCAGAGTTTGAAGTTGGTGAGATATTGTACATCTTTCTCTCGAACCTTGGGCTCAGCGTATTTGGTGTATTCGTTGATGATGCTGGCTGTGTCCCACTCGCTAGCCTTGCGGATGACGCCAACAACACATCCTGTCCGGTGCTTGCCCTGGTTGCAATGAACCAGAAGCGGGTAGTTCTTCCGATTGCCAACGACCGCGATGATGGACTGCATCGTCTTGATGGGAATGTCTGCTTTCTTGGTGCCGACCATGTCGAAGATCTCATGCTTGATACCGTTGTTGGTGATAAAGTGCTGGAAGCCATCAGGTAGGTCATCCCCGACCAGGGTAACAATGGTCTTGAGGTTCAGCGATTTCATGAATGGATAATCTGCTGCTTTGGGGTAGCTGCTGCGGTACAGGCCAGGGAGAACCATGGCGAAGTTGGTTGGCGGAGCAGTGGCAACAGCTAAGGGCCGTTCGACGGCGATGTCTTTGGCCGAGATGTATGCATCTCGGAGCACAACATCGGGAGATTCAGTTCTCATGGAGACCAAGTGTAGTGATCCGCGCTTTTCTTCCTCGTGGTGATGGTGATGAACCATAGCTTTGCAATCCTTTGGCGATGATACAGAATGCATGGCGTGCTTCTGATGATGCTGGTATGACATAGGTGTTTCTTCTTTCCAGCTCAGACTTGGGTGGGTGCTGTATGTACTGAATAGGATGAAATTCCGAGTTCTGTGATTGGATACGGGTTGTACAATTATGTATAGTCAGAATAGAATGGAAATGTCAGGATAATGTGACTCGGCGTAGATAACGTGATGGAATGGGGTGATGTTTGTGATGTAGGTAGAAAAGGGTATGGTATGTGTGGGTGAATTTGGTCAAGATGATGCGGATCTAACCAAAGACTCTTGATCACAGCGAATCCAGAGAACCTGACATATTCGCAAGATGAAAGGTAAAATACATCTTGTAAGTAAATAAGGGCAGGCTTAAATAAACGTAGAAGTCAATCAATCATCCAAGATGAGTAGGAGCAGACTTTGGTGTCTTTAAGATTCAAGTGTGAGTAGAGAACGTGAACAAGAACATTGAAGGTTATGGAGGGGATGGTAATTTTGAGGTGGAGGATTTGATCCTGTTCTTGTACAAAATACACTAAAACTTAAACAGATGTTGCACGGAAGGTACCGCGCTACATACATGTACTACTAGTAACTAGTAGTACGTACATATGTAGTTATTGTTCCTCGACAGCCTGAGTCCCTGAGCTCGCCCTGTTTTTTTAGAGTGTAGAGTGGTAAAGTCAAGTGGAAAAATGACAGGCTTCTTTAGGGGTCCTCTTCGGGTTAATTTTAGTGGAGAATTGTGTTCAATTCCGTACTATGTCAACAGTACGTACTAGACTAGGGTGTACAATGTAGTTACATACATATATGTAATATGTATTTGATGTATTGTACAAAATGTAGCTTTGATTTAAACTTGAACTAAGCCTAGATTTCAAATTCAATAACTGGCGCAACATTGAAGTATCCGGTCTGACCGGGTATGTACGTATGCACTCATTGATCTACATCTTCAAGTTCAGCAGTGCATTGGTTTGGCTTGAGATCAACGATCTCAGGTACCGAGTACGAGCTTGTAACTGCCATCAAAACTGCATACTGCCATACATGTCTTGTATGCGTGTGTACAACTTAATGTATGGCTTTGAAACGTTACTAGGTACAAAGTCAGGTACCTACGTACATACCATTCCAGAGTCCACTTTCATTGAAACGTACATGTACCTATGTACACATATTAGTATGCATTTCCAAATGTAGTCCTATTTTACACACAGCACGAGCACTGTGCTTCATGTTGTGTTCAGCCTCCACATGTACCTAGGTACCTTAAACTCGGCCCATGGGGAATTTCCTAGTATTTCCCCCTTCTCCTCCCCTTGCTGCCCCCCTTGCCCATGTGACCTCGAATCAAACAGAAGTGTATACATATTGGGAAGAATGAAACGCCAATGCGTCTCGATTGGATACTCAACATATTGCGTTCCATGGGTTACTTTGCATAGTTGCATAGTAGAAACACACCCAGTATCGGATTGGCTCCCATTTTCCTTACATACGAGCTTGAATAATCAGTCGAATCAAGTGAAGTGATATACTTGTACAAATGGGGCAGGCGGTGAGGCTCTCCCCTGGCAGAATGACGCAAATGCCATGAACTCTGGACTCCAGAGAACAAGAGGCGCTATGCTTTGATGGGACTAGCATATGCTGTGTCACCCCATAAGAGCGCTATTTTTAATCTCGCTTTTGATCTTAGCGCTAGTCGGTTTAAAGTCTTATTTGTCGGAATTAGGCCTTTGGAGCCCCGACGATTAATATCCGGAATAGAAAAAACGTGCTTGAGCCTTGAAGTCATCAAAGAAAACCAGAACCTTTCAGCGGGTAAGATGACGGTATTTCTTGATACTGAAAGATGATTCCATTGGGTGATGAGAGAGGAGATGTCCAAGACCAAGGCAAGGTACCTTTATTCAAAAGATCCTCAAACAGGTGACCAATGGTCATATGGCAATTTCCATAAACAGCCACTTACACAAAAAGCCTACATCACAGGTACAGTACCTAGGTACACACGTGCTCAACTTCTACAAGCATGATGTGTTCGAGACTCAAGAGTCGAGTGCTTCTAAGATGCATTTCTGGTATGATTTGTACATGATCTAGCCTAGGTTAGTGTATTGCCGGAATCGAAACTCAACTTCCCATCGTAGTATTCATGTACACCTACCTAGGCTATTTTACAAGGTCGGCCTTTTATATGTAAATATTGAATATTCCCGCGATCTAGAAGCTCAGGTACCACGCCGGTCCCAACTAGCATCATGTTAGTGGTTCTTTCAGCATACTACCTAGTAATCACCTAACTAGGGTAGTTAATTCGTAAGTGCTTCCCCCACAGAACATAGCATGCAGAAAATATCTTTACCCCCAAATATTCCCGCCGAAATACACATGGCAAGGATTCTATATTATTATAAATGCCATGACAATGATGAGCAATGTCTTGGAAGTGTTTGGATGCTCTTTATATAAAACCTTCAGACTGTACCAGCCCAGTAAGCTTGGGCGCCGAGGCCCACTTTGAAGAAAAGGGGTAAGGGAGCAGAGGAACGCAAGCAAATCAACATACTTGGCATGAATGGCATGAAGGGACGGGTATAGTGAATATCAGATCTTGTTTCATTTACCTAGTATTTCCAGAGATTCGCGTCGTGTGTATTGGTCGATTTACTTTTTTATTGCCAATACAATGCCGGAGACCTCAGATATTTGTAAATGGGGCGTCGAATTAATTACACAGGTAGTTAGCTAACAAAAAATTGCTCCACGTAGTTACCTACCTACCTTAGCAGGCTTAGCTAGGTAGGTAGGTATCCAACCTTACACTTATCCGCACACCTTACTGCCACCAAGGATAGCAAGCACGAAACGTAAAGTATCATCGTCTTACGATCGTCTAAAGTTTGACAAATAACAGTCTTTCTCTTCTGATAACATATCACGCCAAGCAGCGGCTTATAGCTGCTAGCAAATACCAACTAACGTAACCTTAAGTCGACCGAATTGAGGAAAAGGGGGCGTTAAACTAATGCTCTAGGATTAGAGACTCTGGCCTAAGACCAGAGACTTCTCAGCATGAGAAGAACAGAATGCTACTACACTATGTACACCGATATAGTATGCGTGGATCTCTCACTTGCTTCTGCAGGCACCTGCTGGGTATCCTAGCAGCTTCCTAGGCAATGCCTAGGCTAAGCACATTAGTAGTAAAACTACCTATCCACCCAGATCTTCAACTCAAGCGCCTCCTTTTTATGCTTTGCAGCTTATTTCTATTCGAATATACCAAGCGTCAGAACTATAATCCGGTACCCCCCCCCTCCCCCACAGGTAGTATCTAGTACCATATCAAAGCGCACACGGATCCTCGCCATACTCAGCCAGCAGAAACCCCCTTAGCTCCATCGAGAGCGCCATCCGCGCGAACTCCGCCTGGGACCGGAACGAGCCGAAGCGGTACTCCAAGCGGGCGACCGGTCCCCCGACCCCGGCCACCGTGCCGTGGTCGACCACGCAGTCGAGCTCGTACACGAACTTCCTGCTGAAGAAGTCATCGAGGTACGCGGTGTTGACGACCTCGGGGTCCCCCGCGACGAGCACCACGCGGCTGTGGTGGTGGTGGTGGGGATGGTGGCTGTGCTCCGCGGCGGCCTCGGCCTCGGCGACCCGGTTGCGGTTCCAGGTGACGCGCGGGAAGCGGCCGGCGACGACGAACTCGCCGCGCGCGGCGGCGCGGTGCAGCGCCTCGGCGTGCGCGCGCCGGAAGAAGCTGATCGATGCGGCGGCCGTGGCGTGGCCTGCGTCCGCGGCGTTGATGACGGTCGAGCGGACGCGGCCGGTCTTGGTGATTCCGGCCAGGAGCTCGTGGTGGGTTATGCCGCCGGGCAGGCCGGTGATCCAGAGGTTGGTGTTCTTCTCCTCGGGCACGCTGTTGCCCTTGTTGGACGGCAGGCTGGGGTCGCCCCGGTAGTTGTTGTTGACCAGGCTGACGCCCCGCGCGCAGTAGGAGCCGCCTTTGAGCTGCTCCGAGGGCACGAAGAATCGGTGCTCGGTCTGTGAGAGACGTTGTAAGTTTACCAACTATGGGAAAGTCGCATATTTTGAAAAGAAATCCGAAATGTTCTCCGAGGCGATGGGGATGTGTAAAAGGGGTAGCAAGTGTTACGTACGGTGGGTATAAGTGCCATGTTATCCATTATTTCTTGAGGTTTTGGGCTGGGCAAGCGTGTATCTGTGCTATAGGTAGTTGGGGAGCTTTGCGGCTGAGATTTAGTGTCGAAGTCTGACATAATGAGCTTTGTGGTTGGCGTACTAGTCTCGAGGTGTACCTAAGTGTTAACGAAAGGCGTAGGGACTGTGGACGTTGCTTGTGGGAGATGCTTGTGGGAGACTGCAAATTGAATGTTCTGTGCCAGAAGGCTTGTTATATATTCTTTGAAAGTCGATTCGGGACAGAATGAACGGTGGGAAGGAACATGATGTGACTGGGAAATCGAAATCACTAGTAAAGTGAAAGGGCCAATATGGGATCGAAAGCTGCCAACAGTCAACACAATCACGGAGCTGGGACCGTCGTACAAGTAGAGCTTGGTCAGATACCAAAATATTTCGCCTATCAAATGCAGTCACTTGTCGACAAGCGAATGTGTATAATTTCGGAATTCGCGAGATGAATGTACTCAAGAAGCTATCGTCATAACTCCATGATAGAGCTCTGTTGTTCTAGAATCGGGGTTCATATGCAGTTGTGTGGATGTGACACTAACTTAAGATGATAATTAGGTTGGTGTCAATGCCCCAAAGTACAAGAATCATAATCGTGAAATCCAGCGGAGCATATGACTTGATGGCTTATTTGCTCTAAAGGTAGATCTTTGGTATTTCCATCCTCTAGTCATGGTGTTTGACATCTTCATACCTGCGACGCTTCCTGACTTATTTGCTATGTGATACCATTATTTACTCTCATATCTCGGCACACAGGTAGATATAGAGATCTGGGCAGACACGTACACTAGGTAAATGATATGTTAAGTCAGATTGACTCTATATGCAAGTACCTAACCTAGAATAAAGTTCGCAGATTCTATGTTTCTTAGCCTTGTACTCAACGATACACCGGAGCTATTTTATGGTACTAGGTAGGGAACAAACACTACAATAGCCATAGACAACGAAGAACTACCTATCAATTCGATCATTGGTATTAATACCATGGCAGAGTTGGAGTATTCTTAAAATAAGAGTGATGTTACGTGTAGATTACTTTTTTGTCCATTGGATGGTACGAGATGGAATCTTCGCATTTTACACCTCCATGCGTTTTACGCCTCCATGTATGAAGTGGATCGATGGAGTAACTTTGTCGAGACATCCCCCAGGTTCCTAGATAAGATCACCACCATGAGAATTCCCTGAGGCTCGCCGCACACTTGACGAGGGAAACAATACTTCGTTTGCTTCGCTGTGTAGCATTCAAGATGCTGAACCGCGGGCATGTAGAGGGAATGCGGGGCCAACAGGCGATGAACTGAAGATTGATGAATGATAATGACTCCTTGTTTTTAGGAGTTGGGATGGTGAAAAGGCACATATTTGAATGGCGATAGGGGCGCATATGCGTCATATTTCGTTACAAGGCGGTTTGCATTCAGGTCTTGAGACTTCAAATGATACCCTTAGCTGGCTAGCTTCAAATGCAAATAATTCCATGTCACTGAACAGATTAAAAACAGAGAATGACTTGAATCCTGCACTCATCATCGACGTTTAAGTGTCCTATGCCTGGTGTACAGTAAGTACATAGTACATATGTAGTATCATGTACACCGGGGCACGTGCCTTCCCGAGTCGGCCATTTCAACTTCAAGTTGCCCAATGAAGTTCAATTGAAATCGGAGGGGTACTTAGGTGTCTATTATGTAAGGCATCAGTACTAGGTACCCACATTAAATGTGTGAATCAAAAGGGTCCACTTCTGACGTCGCGTTACCAATTCCTATTCTTAAATTAATCATCTTTCCTTCTACCACATGTAGGAGAGAGCTAAACGCAAGCGTTGTGCTGACTCTTGCTTTTTAATACAAACAATTCTCACTAAACCTCAGTCGACCTTCTTAAGGTATCCGACAAGGACCTGCCAGTAAATCCATGTCGGAAAAACCTACCTCTCCGCGCCCGTCGCGAGGCGAGTCACCGCCCCCTCGCAAACGAAGCCGAAGTGACGATCGGAGTCAATCGCCACGTCGCAACCGCGATCGGCGAGACAGGAACGACAACCAAAGAATGGATAGCTACAGATCGCGCGGCGATGATCGGCGTAGAGGTGGTGACCATGATTCCTGGAGGGGTCAACGAGATCGGAATCGAGACAACGGTTATGATCGACCAGGACGCGACCCAGCAAGACGAGCTGATGATCGCGAAGACAAGGGCTCGGACCGAGGACAGGGAGATGGGAAGGAAGGAAGAGAACAAGATCGACCCCGGCCGAAGAAGAGCTTTGGAGGGTTCAAATTCAAGGATAAGCGTCGTGATGATCCAGAAGACGATGATCGGCGTGGTGGCTCATTTAGAGGTTACCGAAACCGCTCCCAATCACCGCGGCGCCGAGATCGCGACCGTGACCGGGAACGTGATCGTGACGCTGGAGCTTCTTCATCCACCAAGAAGTCCAAGTCCAAATCTACTGGTGGGGATACTACTCAACCCCCTGCTCGAGCACCCGCAGCACCAACTGGTGGTGGTGAAGAGATGATCATTGTCCATGTGAACGATCGATTGGGGACCAAGGCAGCTATCCCATGTTTCGCATCGGATCGTATTAAAGAATTCAAGATCATGGTCGCGGCGCGAATCGGTCGAGAACCCCACGAGATCTTGCTAAAGAGACAAGGACAACGCCCGTTTAAGGACATGCTTACCCTCGCTGATTACGAGGTTAGTAATGGGGTCCAAATTGACTTAGAAGTCGATACCGGCGATTAGTTGGTGGATGGATGCGTATTGGGATTCAAGATTCCCATTCGAGTCGTTAAATCGAGTCATCGGCGTTCTCATAGTTACCCGACCAACCACGGTGATGCCGATATCCTTCCCATCATTCGAGTTCGTGTCTAAAATCAACGTCAAACGAAGTTATTAGGGCCCTTTTTGAATCTTATGTGTCTTGGAGTTCCTATTGTGGAATTATGAATTAAATGCCTCTGGCAAACTGCACCTAATTACACCTGTGCCGTACGTATCCTTCGCTAACATGGCCTCCTCTAGAATACACATTTGAGCGAGGACCAGGGAGTTTCTTCGCGAATTAGTTGGGCAGCGGCCCCCTGGACCTTTGCTGATCCATCCGTATCTGTTCCTTTTCTCGTTCCAGTCGTGCAATCTTGGCGTCTAATTCTTGAATCCTGAGCCTCAACGTCATATTCTCATCACTCAGCTCCGCCTTAATGCAGGCCCTCTCATCTTCCTTCCAGTCTATAGAGGAGAGAATAGGTTAGAAGGTCACAGAATGCAGCATACTTGGGTAGGGAACGACCTACGGCAAAAACATTTATGATCCAGTTCCTCTCTGCCGACATCCCTACAGCATGGTCTTAAGCAAGAATCTGACAGACATACACTATTAGCATACTCTCATCTTGGGCTTTATTAGAAGAGCTGGATTATCCTTACGAAATTCGCAGTGCCACCCATCAACTTGGACAATACAATCTTCGCAACCTTCGAAATGGCAAGAATCTAATGAAATAATCAGTTCTTCCAGCTCGCAAAGAGAGAGATATTGTGGGAAGGAATGATCTACTCACGAAGCAAACAAAATTCACCCCCTTCCCTTGGAAACCCACAATCATCCCATTGACACCGATCTAGCCATATCTACGGTCAGCTAAGTATATCCTAACTATCAGGTAGGTAGGTACCTAAGAAGTTGAAGGAAGGTACACTAACGGCTTTCACAGTACTTGTGCTCCGTAGACTTGAACATGTTACAACCTCTTACAGGGCAAGTATGATCGATACAATGCGATGAACCTTCATCTTTGGCTCTCGTGCAGCCGGGGCTGCTACACTGAGAATCTAATCATTATTAGCAACGCTTTGCAGAGATGTCACTGACGCATATGATACATACGCCCCTGGCAGTATCTTCGTCCAGGTGCTTTAGGCAGGCTGCACATCGGACGCCACTCGCATCTGTTGTCTAGAAAAGCCAGCTGAGTCAGTTAACCATATCTTCTCGTTGTAGAATGGTAAGGCGTACGAACTGTGCAGAGTACGGAATTGTTCTCTGCCATACTCATGCATCCCGGACTCGTACATGTATCTGGCTACCGGTTAGGAATTGTGCGGTTATGGGTACGTGGGTATATGATGCGAACGTCTCTGGCAGCAATGTGATGTGTTGTTTGTGGCCTCTTCTGGGCACCCGCGTGCCCGGCATTTATCTGCTGGCTGTTAGCATTTTGCATGGGGCCAATCATCACGAAGCATTGCTAACTCACGATCGTCACAATATCGGTGGTATTGACCTAGTAGTACCACGGCGCACCTATTTGGACAGACAGCCGACGAACACTTATCTGCTAGACATCAATATTCTGATCCTTCCCTCCCGCGTGATTTTTTCTTGGTGGTTCTTACGGCTGCAACAGTACCTCCAACGTCTGTACTGCGGCGTCGGACCTGCGGAGTCCCAATACTGCATCCTCCCATTCATACAATCGGGTGCCTGGCATCTTACGTCTTCCGAATGTCTTAGCGAAACGTCGCCGTCAAGTTTTCGTTATGGAGTCAGTCAATTACTCACGGAGTTTGCAGACGGAATCCTGTGGACTCTTTTCCGCCTCGCAACGGTCCGTTCCTCCGATGATCAGTTCCCAGAAATGCTCGCACGTGTCTCGAGGGATTGTTAGTTAACTATCATCAACCTTGCCGCCATGTTTCCCTCTTCTCTTCTCTTCCCTCCCCTCCCCTCGCATACTTCACGGGGGATAGATAGGTTACTCACGCTTTTTGCAATGGGGCGAACATATTAGGTCTCTCCTCTCCACCGGAATCTTGCAACACAAGGCTTTGCACCTGGCGTTACTGGCCTTGCAAGTGCAACTTGTCGGCTTGCACTTGGAGGTGCATGAATCTCGCCTATCCCCCGGACACTTACACGCCGAAGCTTTGCACACTGGTTTGGCATGGCATCCCGGTGGTCTTATGCGACAGCCCCCCATCATCATCTCGGAGGTGTCGTCGCGTTTTATCCGTCTGTGGGTTAGAAAAACACAAGAGGGCCCGATACTTTTCTTTTGCCACTATCAAGGCTCGAGCTATTTAAGGGAAGTGGTATTTTTTTCTTGCTTTCGTCCTTTTGTAGGTGTGAGGCAAGACAACTTACTTACCTAGGTAGGCTAGAGAGTTGCATTCGACTACACGGCTGTATTGCTCTCAAATCTCACCTAAGCTATAGCTCCTATATGATAGGTTCTCAGCCAACCGCAGTTTTCGGTGAACACGTACCTATCTACAGGAGCAAGTATCGCTGTTGCATGTAGAGGAGGTAGATAGGTAAGTTGGATAGCTGGGTAGGTACATGATAAACATCAAACCCATCAGCGGTGTGAGCCAAAATGCATTTTCTGCTGACTGCTGTTGCCACCGCCTTTGAAGAAAGTCCAGCAGCGAGGCTGAGAACGAGAAAATCGATACCGGTAGTAAATAAGTTCCTACCCAGCCAGGCAGGTAGCCAGGTGAGCAGGTAAGTAGTGTAGTGCAGGTCGCCGTATCTAAAACATCATCGCCGGTTCGTTTCATTCCTAAGAAAGAAAAGTCCTCCAACGCTCAACTCCTCTTCGGCGTTCACCCCAACCTCCCTTAGGGAGGGGAGGGGGGGATCTCGATTCGGCTCCTTTTGCAGCACAGCTGAAAGCGCACGCAAACGAACGCGGTAGTAACAGCGCCTGCTATTGCAGTCCCCACCCTCCGACGCCGCCGCGCCGCATGGGGTAAATAAATACCTAGGTATGATTGCTAATACGCGATTATTGATGTATATAGGTTTGTACTTTATGTCAGGCCTGTCATTTATACCTACATATATACGTACACATATCTATACATCTCTTCGGCAGTGGCGTTTCCAGTTCACAAAAAGACTCCCCCCTCCCCCCAAAAAGAAAACCAACCTTGATGTCGTGATCACCGCTGCCATCAGAGCCGCATATGTACATACGTAGGTACTCAATCTAGGTAGATATGTACATACGGTATCTTTTTGCGAGGTTGCATCGAAATGTCAGCCGCAATGCAATCTTATCATTTCCCAAGATTGCGATTGCGAACTTGAGCCGTTTGTTCCGCCTATTGAACGTTAAGTTATCTCCGACCATCCCATCTCCCCATCTTGTCATATGCCCGGGAGCTGAAAACATTCACAGGATGCTTTAAGTGCTAGGTACTAGGGAGGCTCTTAGGTTAGACGCGGTAGTGGTGGTGGTGGTGGTGGTTATTTGTGCTTAGGTAGGAAATAAGAGGACGTTCCCACACCGTTCTGGGGAAGTTCTAGCTACCCGCCTTATGGAGTAGCATAGAAACAGGGGGGATAGTTACTTGTGAGTACTAAGTAACGTGTGGCTTAAAGTTCCTCGGACTCCTCTCAGTCTCAGGGTCTTTGCGGAAACACTAATGCACTTATACGTCGGGTGACGGCTCGGCTATAGAATAAACCGCCTACAAAAGATACCTAGTCTTGCTGGCGGTAACCAACCGTATAAGCATCCAATGGGGATATCTTACAGACCTACATTTTGTCTTCTTGTTACCGGCTTTTCCTTCCTTCCATGTCCATGGAACATCTGGCTGGTGACGGCCCCCACGACTACATCTACTAACCTTGCCGTTTTATTGCATTTTATCCTAAGCCACTGTCCCAGATGAGGCTATAGTCCACAGTGGTATATACCACAATAACCCGAGTTTTGGGGCATCCTAAACCAATATTAATTCCAGCTACCTACCTAGTAAGTAGGTAACCACAAGGCTGTACGCCAGTTTCTGAGAGCCGGGGCAAGACTTAAGGATAGTTGTGATGGTAGCTATGGCAGAGTTTTGAAGGATCATTGTGATAGAGCTGGCTAACCTAGGAGTGACCTTTCGAATCTCATATTGAACTACTCCTAGCTTCTCACAGTATCTTCATAGTCATTTCTTCGAGAAAGATAGTGGGAAATACTCTCGTTGAAGGTAGATTTATTTTGTTCTGGATACTAGGTAGGTAAAGAACCGTAAGGTTGTTAGCTATTCTAAGTTGGAAGTATCTATCACAGAATGGGAAAAGAAATAACCTGAACCTGGCATCCCTTTTTAATTCTTTTCCTCTTTAGCCTGGTTCTTTTTCATGAAATATTAGACGAGGTAGTAAAAGAACTAACCGTGTTATCCCCAGATTAACTTGACCTAGGGGGGTGGAAGAACTGGCATGTATCTAAATCATCACAAGTTAGCCATAAGCGTGATTTAGATCTCGTAGTCTAACCTTAGCTCGTACCTGGCTCAAGTTGCTAAAGTGTATAAACGAACCCGGCCCCTGGGATCGACACTCGATCCTGTTATTCGGGTAGGTAGGTACCCAGTCGAGATCAGCCACAATCATACCACCTCGAGACAGCCGCTTCTTCCGTCTACTAGACCACAAGCTGTGTTTTCGTCCATCCATCCACCCCCCCTGACGCGCTAGCTAGCTGGCTGAGCTGCTCCCCCAGATGCTTCAGCTAGGAAAGCTTATAGACGCGTTCGAGCTCCTGGTTGGCCGCCTATTCATAGTATCTTCAAGCCATAATCCAAGATCGACGACCCCCCTGTTTGGGGGCCTCGGGAGACAGGGGGGAATATGTCGCTGGACCTTGTTTTAGGCATATTGTGACAGACAGGTGGGACAAAGTTCGGGATCGGATTCGAGCATCTAAGGTGAGCATGTCAATTGCGATAAAGCCACTCGGGACTCCCGTCGAAATTGGCTTGGGTTGGCTAGCTACCCCAGACACGAAGTAGGTATACACCGCCTTAACTGAGAAGTCAGAATATTATGATCTTCTACTTACATAGGTACCTCGTTAGAGCCTCATTACATATGACCAAGTCGCGTAGCGCGGATACTTCGACCTGCTTTTCACTGCCAAATGCCGATATTCAGACCGTCGTTCTCACTTCGCTCTTCGTCGCACGAGAACTTGATAACGGCGATCACGCGATTACGACGGTTTCAGTGCATAGGTACCCAACCCACCCCTTGGGTGTCCTCTTACCTCAGACGGTATATTAGGGGGAAAATGATCATGTAAGCTGGAGTCATGTGAAGAGCTTGATTATCTGTCTACTAGGTACCCATTTAGAGTGCTTACTGAGGCTAGTTCCGATTGCGTGGTGAAGTTGGCGGGAATGACGTGAAGATAATTACCTGCCTGCCTTGCACGTACGCTTTCATATAGAGCCATGCTTGGTCGAGATTGTTTTCAGATTGATTTTCGTCACCTACCAGGCCCACTTAACCCCTTTTGTTAACTAGATCATTCTATATAACTGAAGCTATTCGCAAATGCCTAAGGTACTTATATAAGCATTTTATAAGACTTTAACATTACTGACATCTCCGGCTATGTAGATCCAATGCCCCCTCCAGCTCTGTCCTATCGCTCTTGCTCGGTAGGAGGCTTATCTACATATGACCAGAATCTGAAGGTTATCATAGAAAGCTTTTGGGAGTGTTGTTTCTAATGTGCGTACCTGGATGCGTTCGACTCGATTACGAGGATTACGGCAGTCTTCATGCATAGGTAGGTAGGTAACCGGCCTACCCCTTATCACCTTACCTCAAACGAGAGGGGGGAAAGCTTGGCTATCTACCTACAAAACTATGGTAAGTAGCTGTAGCTAACGAGACCATTTCCGAATGTGTAATAGCACTAGTGGAAATGATGCGAAGATCGCTTGACACCTAGGTACCTACCTACCTACCACCTGCACGATATATACCTAGGTTCATATCTTGTTCTGGAATTTCATCCCTCGAATCCGCATCTACCAGGATCCATAGGAAGAGCTAACCTTAAACTCGATCTAGCTGTTGGCAGTGGAGCACACGACGCGTCTATACAACCTAGGTACACAGCTCCTCATAGTCAGAAAGTGGCTTCTTGCAAAAAATAAAGGGGCGGGGTTAGGGTTAGAGCAGCCCCGCTTAAATCCTAAGGATTCAACACGATAATCGACTGAAGGCAAATGTATCGACCCCAGATCAGTTCTGTACAGCAACTTGTAGTAAAAATCCATAGTATTAATAAGGTTGCTTTTACTAACTCCCCCTAGGGAGGTAGATACTATACCCTGAACATTGCCTCGAAGACTTCGAGATATAATTATGATGAACGTAAAATCGCCCCCCTCAAACCCGACGCTTTTTATACGCTACTAGTTAGGTTACCCCTATCTATCCGCCTTATCCTCACCGGCACCTTCCCAGCCGCATGGGAGACTCCACCCCCAAGCCCCTTAAGCGAGAAGTCCTCCTTGACATCCCTCCCTTCCCCCAATATCTCGCAGTCGAGCAAGCTTACCATCAGCGCGGTAGTAAGCAATATCTGGCGCTTCGCAAAGTGCCGGCCGGGACACTGTCGCGGCCCACCGCCACAAGGGATCCACGACCCTTCGAGGTCTTTGGTCGAGAACGTTGGCGGCACACCTGGGGACGAATACCTGAGAAACCGCCCAACCCAGAACTGGTCGACGGGGTGCTTGTTGTTCGCGCCGGTGTTCCACGCTTCCGCATCCATGTGCGCGTCGATCGCTGGGGTAACGATCACCTTGCGCCGGGGCATGACCCAGTCTCGGATATCTAAATCTGCCACATCCCCCATCCGAGTGCATCAGGAGGCGCAGGGTCTCCGCGTAGACGGCCTGGAGGATGGGCAGGCGAAGCAGCTTGTCGACATCGAGCTGGATGCGCCCGTCTGCACCTTCGAGCGCACAGGCACAGGCATCGACCTCGGCCCTCACGTCCGCGAGCAGCGCGGGGTCCCGGTATACGTCTAAGATAGTCCAGGAGGCGGCCGCGACCGAGTTTCTTACTCTGCGCAAAGAGTTAGTTATCTAATATTAATCCATACCTGAGTACTGCTTAAGACACAGGACAGAAAGCGCTGTAAGTAACTTTACGCCCATATAGCCCCGAAATCCTCGGACGCGATGGCGTCGTAGTCGAACCCGTCCATTTGGAAGAATGTCTGGTGCCTCTCGCGGAAGAAGCTGCTCCCATAGAACGGGTCGTCGCCCTCTGCGTCGATGGGTGGGGCATCGAAGTGGTCTCTTGCTACTTTTTTTTGTTCCTGGCGTTTAAGACTAGATTTCGAGCTCGGTAGGCCCTCGGAGCTAGAAACCAAGGGACACCTGCGAAATGAATAAAATAAAATTAGTCAAGTGCGCCTTGACGTTTTCAGGGCCGCGAGTAGAGGAACCGGTGGGGATGGGGTTGGGTGTGCTTACTTTGGGTTCAAGACAAAAGCTCTGGGGTTTCAGAAGTACCTAGGTGATTGGTAGAGTTCCTAGCAGCGGGATGGGAAGGAGGGAAATTACCCCTAGAAGGGCTGCGCGCGGTGGGAGAAGGTCCCAAAACATGGCATTGAGGAGGTTGAGTGTACCCTAATAGGTATATTTACCTGGAGTTTCTCAATTGATGAAGAGCTGTGCCTATCTTTACCAATTCAGCTTCTCGCGTGAGTGTTGGTATATTAATTCACTATCACGAGATGCTAAAACTGTCCAAGTTGATAGGAGAAAGGTGTCTTGGCTAACTTGGCTAAAGCTGTAGGTTACAACCTTGAAGCTTTAATATTATTCCAAGTTTAGTATGTTTGAGTTGAGCCTTTCAATGCTACATAGGTACTATGTATGTATGTTTCCGTGTCTTACCCTAGGACCTAGGTACCTACATATGTTATGGCAGTGATGGATAAGTGACAGCGGTTGTCACAGCTGTATAGCATGGTTGCGCAGAGGGCTATCACGTGACACCCCGTCCCTGTGGGTGTAGTCAAAATAACCATGATCGACTTTCCATAAATTTATTAGAAGTCCATCTTTAAACAAGGAGCGGAAATGTGGACCATACCCTGCATGTTGAAATACCAAGACGATCTAACGGCAAAGTATCAATGATAATGTACTTGAGCTGAATACCTACTACTAGTACGCAGTAGATACTAACAATTTATTAGTGCGATTGATTATGTACTACAGGGAGTCACTAGGTTAGGGACTGGGCTAGGAATATATTGCACTTTAACCCGCCACATGTCAAGCACCGCCACAGCAAATCAGCATCCGATAGGGTGTTTAAATCTCGATTGGTCTAGTGGTCAGGATACCTGCTTGTCATCGCACAAGCACGCAGGTGGCCGGGGTTCGATTCCCCGATCGAGAGCACAACTTTCTACTTTTTGTTCGTTCGTGCATTTATGATATTTGAGATATTCATGTGTAATTTCATTTATCACGCATTTTTGACATGTGAAAATAACGTGTTTTCGGCATTGATATGCAGCTTTAAATGATTGTGGTTATCGCTAAGTGGTCATGTGACTTGGCGTCATGTTCTTGTGAGGGGCAAGACGCGCCCTTTGCATGACATCGCGTGGTGAGTCAAGACTTGTAAGCTGAAAGATATCGACTTCCCAATTTCTGTTTTCCTATAACTCACCCCAAAGGCCAATTTTAACTGTCGATTCCAGTCCCTAGCATTATTTTACTTTCAAAAACATACCTACTGCAGCAATTCACCAAGCACATATCTTGCATATAAGGTACCTAGCAGTTATCTAGACTTCTGGCTAAGCCCGCATTATTTCGAACTATCGAAATAAACGAAATAGTTATGGCCGTGGGAATTAAACGCAAGCGCGTGGGCGAGGCACAAGAATCTTCAGTATCACTACCTCAGAAGACCATAAAGTCCGCGTCTGAAGCCGCGACACCAGTAAAGGTTATATCCGTACCCGAAGCCATGGAACCGCAACTCCAGCGCATAGCAGCATCGAACCGCACGCCGTTTGAAAAGAGAGTGGTAAGTTCCCCCTAAACTCTTCTCTGCAGCTACCTACCTAGTAGTTACCCATCCCCCCCCCTATCTCCGCCACGCCAAGCCTCGTGTCCAAGAAACCCCACTAACCACCACCCCCCAGTGGACCTCCCTCTGCCAGATCCCCCGCGGCCACGTCTCGACCTACGGGCTTCTCTCCGCGCATCTAAAATCCTCGCCCCGCGCTGTCGGCAACGCGCTGCGCCGCAACCCGTTCGCGCCGCAGGTGCCGTGTCACCGCGTCGTGGCGACGGGCGGCGCGCTCGGTGGCTTCAAGGGCAAGTGGCCGCGCGACGGCGAGGGCATCACCATCGATGAGAAGCGCAGGCTGCTGCGCGCTGAGGGGGTTAGGATTGATGAGAGGGGTAGGGTGCTCGGGACGCCGTGGGCTGGGTTTGTTTAGGTGGTGAGGCGTTTTCTTTTGGGGGGGGGGGGGGTGGGATGGGATGAAAGTGAGCGAGAGAGGGGGAGGGGCAGTTGCCCGCGAGTTCAATGAAGCATGGCCAAAAAGATTTATTGATGGGATGTCGAAGCCAAATCAATCAACACCACTCAGCCATTGGGATGCCATTATTTTCTACAACAGTCTCGTCGCCTCAGAAGCAGCAGGAGGTTTTTGTACCTTTCAGCTCCTGACAGCTCCGGAAAGCCATGCGAGGCACCCAAGATGGAGACCCACGCCAAATCCACTACTCGGATGCCAGCAGAGGGTCACAAGACGCCCAACGCCAAGAACGACTGGAATTATCAACTGAAACGCAGGGCGCAAAGTTACAGCCACATTTATAACGTGCAAGGCAACAGAGTGAGCATCTGCGTGCAGCTGGTTAGCGGAAGAGCCTCAGGTAGCCCAGTACCGTGGGTGGCGCTCGGGATAATTATCGGAGGTCTGGCATGGCAGCTGAGAAGAAAAGAAAAGCTTGAAATCGAGGGCCAAGATACCGTGGGGAAATGAGAGTATGTCGACAATGCAGGGCGAGAGAGAGGATACGGCAGACATGGTAGACATGTATTCTACATAACGCGTAATGGATTTCAGTTCCTGATCACGACTCCATTCTATTATAGGTCTTCATATATCAAACGACCATTGCAAACATTGAAGTTATGGAATGGCCGACCCTGACGAGCGAGGGTAAGGTCATGGTTAGCTATCGCCCTGCGTGTTTGACCTTCTGGATTAAGACAGGCAGTGTTGTGGTGGGCGTCGCTATCACAGTGAATCCGCCTCCTCATCTCCTACTACGGCCCTAAATATTGCGAAACCTTCAGATACTGTCAGGGGTCTATCTGGGGACTATATGGGGGTGGGATAGAACAAAGACAGCTTCACACTACCTATATGTTGCAGGTGCCTTAGGTATCATCCATGGCTCCACTAGGCCTGCCCTAGATATTAGCACAGCGCCATCGTAATCTAGAATAAACCAAGCTTTCTTCCATCCGTACTTCTTCCTTCCCATTGGTTGCAGTTCACCCTGCGATAGTATATGAATCTTTCAGCCTCGTGACAGATACATCAATGATATGTACCGCAGATACCTAGGTACCTAAGGTGTGTAACCACGATAGCCCCAAGTTACAAGACTCAATCGGACATCGATGTGACGAAAGAGACATCAGGGATGACAGGAAATTAATCATGAGACAGGCAACAATCAATCATGCGCTAGATTTCACAACATACTTCTTAGGCTCCTCTCTCTTCTCGTGCCTGGTTTTAACTCACCAATGCTTTCCTTTCTTCCCTCACCTTGCAATGGGAAAGAATTGTCAGATTTTCCACTACGCCAAATGGTGAATGATTGATCTCTCATTCAATATGTCTCGTTTATATCTGTTGCAGATGCCTTAAGCGCCATGGCTCCACTAGACCATATAGCCATATATCGGCACTCCACCAAAGTAGTAAGGAATAAAGCAAGCTTTATTCCTTCGAAAATAATCAGACCTCTTGGTTGTTGGAGGGTAAAACAACAACCGTCTTATTTTTACTCATTGACCATATCCTCACTTCTTGAACACTTACACCAGCTATTCAGGGGCAGAGCCCAGGGATGGTATCGCTCAATCTTGTCCCCAACCGTCCGGGACCTCATGCGCGCGGACTGCCAGTATGCTTTACGAAAATTGTTTGCTGAGTTTAAGTTGGACGAGATGACGGCCATGGCAAAGCTGGACCGAGCGCGTTTCACGAAAGAGGAATGTTTGAAGGGTGTACAGCTCCAGACTTGGGCCGCCGAGGATCTTCCTTCTTCTTGGTTGCAGTCATACTGCAACACTGATAAACGTCGTCCAGTGGAAAATTTGAAGCGTGGAAGCCTAAGGCGGCCTATACCTTTCTAAAAGCCAATCAATCTTCTTCGCAATACCTTTCAACACGCTATTCAAAGATCTCTACTTCTACTTGTTCTGCAAACCTTCATTCTACCGCACAATGACGACCTTCGGTTTACCCAAGCCTACTGAGATGCAGGAGGCTGCAAGCGTACTACCTTCAACCAGTTCACCAACGCTAGTAATTGAGCCCATACCAACACCACCGTGGGCACAGAAAGCAGCAAGGCCGAGCACCACCACGCGGCTCGCAACGAGCTGAAGGGAACCATGGGCCAGCAGAAAGTATCTCACTGTGTCGACATGCTTCGCGCTTCCCTCCCCGTGGGACACGCCAACAACCAGATCACCGTGATCCATGGCAGAGGGGCAGACCTCGTAGGGGGGCCCTTCTCTGTGCAGCTGTAACCACTGCCGGCATGGCCATCGGACAGTTCAGTTCCGCCCTCGGGAGGATATGAGAACTCGAAACGAAGATTCAAAACTCGAAAATGATAATCTCTGGGAAAAGGAATGAAGTGTGGGGGAAACGGTGAATAAGGGAAGAAATGGAAAAGGAAAGAGGGATGGCATGGGATAGATGTGACGATGCTGGGAGATTGAGGCATATCGATAGGACATACCGCTACGCCAAAGGGTGGAATGATTGATCTCTCATTAATAAAGATCTCTCATTAATAAAGATCTCTCGTTTATGTCATATATACCTACATAGCTAGGTAGTCAAGGGATAAGGGGGGCTCATCAACATTGCGAATTGAGCTCCCAGCATAGCTGGTTGGGTACCTAGTATTAGACAGAATACTTACAGGACCTCGAAACCTACCACATTGAAATATTCCTGTAGTCCGTTACCCTCTTCATATACATGCTCACCTGCCTGCACTTACCAACGGAGCACTAGGGTCGAAGATATATGCTCTAATCCTGCTTAAGTAATCCAGATCACGTGACGAGTGGTCATGTGGGCACCCTGCGACGACATCATTATCCCATCAAGGACTATCAGTACAAGGAACGTAGCCCCCATCTCTCTTCCGCTCCGATTCTATTATTGAAGATGTGTATCGCGATAACCTTAACTCACAAGACTCAACCCCTCTTACATGGGATGAAAATGACAGCCAAACGGAATCATGAGACAGGCACCCGCCAATTATGAGCTGGACTTCTCAACAGGCTTCTGGTGTCTTCTCTCTTCTCGTGCCTAATTTTCTTCTACTGTTTCTTTCCTTTCTTCCCTTGCCTCATTGTGGAAATCAACCAATGGAACAAGTGAAGCGTGGAAACCTGAGGAATACATTTTAATAAGTACATCAATATTCTTCGCAATGGCCTTTGCTATCACCATTGAAAACCTTCTTCGAAACTTGGGAAATATCAACCAATCCTTGGCCCTCTTTCGCTCACTGTTCAACATGCTGCCAACTTTTAGCCCAACCAGGCCCACTGACTCGCAAGCGGTCGCCCTACTACCTGCAGTCAACTCTCTAGAGTCCAACAACGAGGGTGAGCCCATCCAGACCCAGTCAGACACCAGCATGGGCACAGGAAACACCAAGAACGAGCCTGGGCGCACCGCTCACAAGGAGCCGAAGAGAGTCGCCGTGCTCCAGAAATCAAGGAACTCAAGGCACGTCACGGTGCATTGCGAGGGCCTCCTCATGGGGCACTCCAACAACCAGATCACCGTGATCCACGGCGGAGGGATAGCGCTTCTAGAGGGAGCCCTTCTCTGCTTGGCTACTGCCAGCATCACGGCCGCAGTGTTTTATCTTATAACTCGAACATAAAAGAAAAACCGAAAAACACGGAAACGGAACGAAACGTGGGAAGTAAGAGGGAATAGGGGAATAGGATCGGAAAGGTACGGCCATGGTAGGAGATTGAGGCTTACCTACATACTGTGAGCTATGTAGCCAAGTGATGAGGGAGGCACATCGGCATTGCGAATTTAGTTTCCAGCAGAGCTGGCTGGGTACCTAGTATGTAGACACAATACATGCGTGGAATTTGAAGCCTACCTATCCATCACCGTGATATCTCCCCGTAGTCCGCCACTCGCTCCACAGAGACTCTTTCCATATACTCACCCACCTACCTGCACTTACCTATTTACTAAGGCTTCATTATTAACATGGAAGCCGTAAATTTAATGATGCATTCGATTTTCTCTAAGGAATTCCGAGGACTCTAGGAGGGCTCCAGTAGGGAATCAGTTAGGTGGATATGCAATGCGTAAAGATCTTCCCATTGAACACTATCAACTTAAGGAATATAACTTCCCTCTTCCGCTCCGACCCTATAAATTGCGTAAACCGCAGATACCGTATACCTATATCAAAAGTGTGCAATCACGGTAGCCCCAATTTACACAAGCAAACCCTAGACATCGGACGAAAGAGACCTCTTAAACAGCAAGACGTACACACAAATTCCTTTAATAAGCAAGGCAACAGTCACGGAAGCTCAAGGGTTCTCAATCAATTTCTAGTGCCATCTCTCTCCCTCTCATCTATTTCCCCCATCTCCTTCTCTCGCTGTGTTATGAAAAATTCGAAGCGTGGAAGCCTAAGGCGCACGTAACTGTGCAGCCAAACATATTTCTTCATTTCATTTCTTCACCATGCCATGTCCAAACCATCAACATGGGGAAAGATTCTTTCGGATTCACAAAGAAAAAGATGAATCTAAAACAGCAACTATCATAAACAACAATAACCCAGTCTTCAATTTCACAATGTGGCCCCGACCACAAACACAACCACAACCCACCCCAATTCCACAGCCGCATCCCATCAAGACCTCCTTCGACCCCCCTCCTTCATCCATAAACAACAGCGACGCGGAGCCGCCAGATCCATCCCCCCACACCACAATCACAACGAACAACCCCGGAACCCACGCTCCCGCCGCCGCCCAAAGTCCAAGCGGCTTCGCAGGAGTCGCGGTCGGGAATGTTTGCGCGTGGGTTGTTGTGGGGGATTGGAAGTGACGATGGTAACTGAAATTTCTTTTTTTTTTGTTTTTTAAAAAAAACAATGAAAAAGGTGGAAAACTGAGAGATGGAGGCGAGGGCGAAGATGGGGGATTAAGTAAGCACAACAAATCAAGGACGAAAGCTGTCAACCACATACCTAGCATTGCGAATTGAATTTCCAGCATAGTTGGCCAACCTAGATATAGGTAGGTAGGTAGGTAGGTAGGTGCAAGACATAGTTACAGTGACTTTTTTTCGTATTTGCCTACCTACTTTGGTGCCTACCTACCTACCTACCTAGGTATCAATCATCGTGACATAATATCTTCCTGTAGGTAGTCCGTTACCGTCCATACCCTCACCGACCTACTTACCGCCCAGAAGCCTTCCCAATGCCTTCTTAGAGAAGCACCTCAGACATCTCCCGAATCACGGTCCGAGAATTCACAGCCAAACATTACGCCTCACAGAAGTTAATAGAACGAAGAAAAAAAAAGTTTAAAGGACCACAAAGGTACGATGCATTCATTAACTAGAAGACCCATTTCATCATAGGTAAAGCAGACTGCCACCAACCGATGCAACCGCCCACGCAACGCCGGCCAGAATGATGATTAATACGCCCTTGCGCCCCAAACGAAGTTCCATCGATGATGAGCTCCGTTTTGTTCTGTTCCGTTCCGTTCCGTAGCCTCCGATCCCTTCGTCGCCTTTCCCCATTTTCTCAGTCCCTATGCCATTATGTACATTTAAGGGGGGCGTGTGCGTTTGCACACATTGGCCAGTGCTCATTGTGTAAATTAAGGGAGGCCAACTGTGAATCAAAATCACTACTTTTCCATCCATCCATCCATCCGTATCCATGCGATCCTCGTCCTAGAGACAAAAGGACCTAAGTCGACTTTTGAATCCTTCCTGCCGTTGTGATTTGTGTATGCGTCACTTCAACACCTGGGGTATTATTTCCAGACCTGGGGATGAGGTCAATAGGTTTACCTATGGTAAGTAATTGATGCTTCACCGAGATGTCGAAGTATCGTGAATTCGATGTATACTGGTATTTATTAAAAAGAAACCAGTCAACCACATTGTGTACGTAAATAGGCGTCAATAGAAGGCTCCAAGGCGATTAGTGGGTATAATGTAGAGCCGCAAAAACACCCTACCAAATGCAGAATCAGCCAAGTCTCCAATTCCAGAGATAGGCACCTCCTTCAAGATTAACGTGCCAGACTTAGAAGAACGATGGCTTCGTAAGCACACGGTACTCCACGTAGTCTTCGCCGTCAATGTTAATGATTGTGCCCTGGCTGACCAGTTTGTCCTTAAATGGGCCCGTCTGCTTGCGCTCGTATCGGACACCTTGGTGAAGCATCACATCGCCTTGCTTGTTCTCCGGTGCTTGCTGAATGTTCTCCTGCTGTGAACGCCAAATGTTGTTCATTTTTTGCACGTTCTGGTCGAAGCTATGTCGAAGCTCTTGCGAGCTCAGAAACATACTGGGGCTCGGGCTGGGCATGCTGTTGCGCGTGGCTTGGTTACGAGTGGCACGCTGCTGAACTGCCTCCATCTTTGCTACCTCACGGTTGGCAAACCCTTGAACGCGCTCAATAGGATCGTTACTCAAGGGTCGGCTAACATGTCGGTACTCAACATCAGGGAGAGCATGTCGAGGTGGGTGAGGCTGTTCATGTCGTTGTTCGTGACGAATTTCACCATGCATCGGTAGCTCGCGCCGAAGGTGTCGTGGTTCATGGTGCTCCCGAGACTCTTCGCGTACGTTATTCGGGATTGATTGAGGCGGTGGGATCCGGCTTGGGCTGGCGGCGGCGATTGCGGCAGCACGAGCTTGTGCTTCATAGACCGCTTTCGTTTCATTCGCTACTTGTTCGTCAGGTGCCTCGCCGGCATCCAGCTGGCTTTGGCGAATTCGAATGTACTCTTTGACCTCGGTCCTAGTGAGGTCTTTGAGATGGTTCAGGAACTTGACGTCGTCGTAGGGAATCCACAATGCACCGGCCCCGTTAGGGTAGTTGCCATCGAGGAAACGGCCATCCATTGTTTCACGCACGAGCTTTACCCGGAACATGTCATTAGCGCCCAGGATACCATAAACAGCATGCTTGTCCTTGTCCAGTGGCTGATCAGACTTGCTCCAGCAACCGACAAGAATCCTCGTAGGTTTTCGCATCGGTGAAGCAGCCTCCGACATTGGCTGATGGGGAACAAGGGCCATCTGTTCGGCCTGCTCAATGTGATCGTTTCGATCACGCACAGTACGTTCATCCCTGTCAGCAATCGTGCCAGTTCCATTGCCAGTCCGACGACGCTTTGCTTCAGGACGGCCAACTTGTGGGTTGATGGGAACATTTCGACCCCATGCCATAAGAGGAGGTTGCTGTGTCTCTGGAGGGGGTTTGGCGTTAAGACGACGTTGTGCCTCTCGAATAGCGTCGTAGTCTGCCTCCGCGGCACGAATATGTAGGTTCTCGCCTCGTACCTTGACATATTCTTTGATTACATTGTGGTCATGGCCAACAAGATAGTCGCGGAATACGATGCGTTCAAATGTGACCCAACTACCTCCTGGGCCAGGAGGAATGGGAAATAGCCGATTGTTTATTGGCTCACCGGTAAGAGTCGTGCTTCGGATACGTGTGCGTAGGCGGTCGCGGATATCAATAAATCCAACCACCACATGCTTCCCTTCTTCTTGTGGCACGGGTGAGTCGCGCCAGTAGCCAATAGGAACATGTTTAGGTGCTTCTTCAGCCTTCGGTCGGGGCTTTCCCTTGACGGTGCTGCTCACACTATCAGCGTCTCTCGCCGGACTATCGTCTGTCTTATCATCGGGGGTTTCGCTGTATAAAGCGGATCGCTTCCTCTTCGGATAGTGTGAGACAGGCTCTTCTTCTTCCAAGTCGGGCATATATACATCACCTTGCTCGGAAGCAGCTGGGTGAATGGGGGGGTTTACACCGTTGGAACGGGTGCCAACAACAATCTCGTCTCCTAATACGTCTGGATTGAGACTAGAAACCGAGCTAGTATCAGGAGGTGAGCTTAGTTCGCCATCATTTGCCACGTCTTCAACTGCTTCGTTTGACAATGGAGTGTCCTCTAAACGGTTGTGTTGCTTTGTCTCAAGAGACTCTGCACGTCTATGAAGTATGTAAGTAGGCGTCTTTTAGAAGAGGACTAGGAGGTAGTATTGGAAGCAGAAGAAGAAAAGGTGTGTAGATCATAACAGGCTTAGTAGTAGGTTAAGTAGAGAAATGTTAGAGAGAGTGTAAAGAGGAAGGTTGATGTTGGAGACTATTCTGACAGTGGGTCATATTGTGCTCAAAAAATAAGCTCGACCTGAAAACCAAGTAGAGGCGAGCGAGATAGAGATATATTTAAGACGACTCCAACAGTAAGAAATCAAGGGTACTTACTTCTCAATGTCGACCGGCTCCGATGCGGTCTTCTCCACTGTGTCGGGGGGAGACAGTCTGGATTGGCCCGACTGGCTCGGATCCATGATGAAGAGATAACAGGAATTGACTATTATTTCTATAATAAGATTGTTAATGATTGAAGTTATGAAAGTTGAAGAGATGGATGTATTAGGAACGGGAACATGTTAAATGTTGTTGCTGTTGGTGTCGATGTTCTTGTAGGTGTAGGCGTAGTTGTCGGCGGAAGGGTTAGGCAAGAGATGATTCAGGAAAAAAGGGAAGACGTAAGGAAGAATAAGTGCGTGAACTATTGTTGTAGGATGAAAGGTGAATGGAAAAACGGATAGTGGGGCATAGAAGCGATGAGTTTATTAGTGAGAAGCGATAGCCGCCTCATGGAGTAGTTCCTCAGGCAGCCAAAGATGAGATAGGTAGCTAGCTACCCCAGCAACAAAGTTGAGATGACTAACCACCAGTATTTCCGTATTATTATTTTTAGAACTCAAAGTTCACAGTGCCTATGATACAAGACTATCAAGTCTGCTTGTTATTGGTTAATATGAGATGCCGACAAAATAGAAAGGGTTTGACATACTTGACATATGACGAGCTATCCTAGCCAGGCCTCAAAGTCACCAAGACTTATAACAGCCTTGTACTGAGGTGACAGTGTTATTAGATAGCTCTAATATGTAGACGGAACGGCCAAGGTAGGTGGCAAGTACCAAGACAGCGTAGATTGACTTCAAGTCGAAGAGCAAACGTAAAAGACTAAGTTCGTGCGTATAGAGAGTTAGTAAGGGAAGGACAAGTATTAGGCAGGTAGCTGTGGTTTGTTTCTACCTAGTAGGTATAGTAGGTAAGGCCAAAGCGCGACTAGGGGCGTTTGATGACTGATGTGAGAAGAAGACAATATTGCGTGACGTTGAGTAAGTATTGCTACTATAACGCAGCCACAAGTTATGAAAATGAAATGAATTGATGTCAAGTCTGTCAAGTTGCCTAAACGGTATGATCCAATTGGTGCGTGAATTGCTAGGACGGAAAAGGACATACGTGGCGGGGATGGAGAACGAGAGAGTGCGAGAAGAGAAAGAAAATAGAGAATGAATGGTCAGATGTATGTATCTAGTTTTCGTAGAAGATTGAACGAACTTACTGAAATGCGGTTTTAAAGATAAGGGTATATATGAGTTGCGGAATTGAGTCTGATTCGGACGAAGTTGGAAGACTATTATGCACTTACTACTGTGTACTTGAATGCTAGGTACTATGTAAGTACTTAAGTACTAGGTAGACCGTAGCGGCGTATGTAGCCCTGGAGGTTAGTACCTGGACGTTTATTCAAGTAGCTGAGCTGCTGAAGCGTCCTGATAAAAACAGCTTTATGTGGGTCGAGCAAATATGTATCGATTCAACCCTAAGGCGTACATACGTAAATGATGGAGAATGAAAAATGGAAAATGGGAAAAATGGAAAATGGAAAATGGGAAAATGGGAAAAAGAAAAGAGAGAAGATTAGAGAAAGATAGACGAATAGTTAGAAAGCAGAAAGCAAGAAAAACGGTGGGAAGTGTGGTATTGTGTTGTTAGAAAAACTATCCGGCAAAAGTAAGCGTCGTTGTTAATCAAAAAGTTGTCTGACCCAAGGGCAACCCGAACAGGGGGCATTGATATTGTGCAATACGTGCTAATACGTCTGCAATACAGGCTCTCGTAACCTAAGGGCCGACTAGGGTAGGATGATCAATTCGAGAAATTCTGATTAAGCTAATTGGCTGATGACGATGCGCTACAAACTTAAGCTAAATGATCCATTCAAATCATTGATGATTGATCATTGCAGCACTGAGTGATGTACATGTTCAGTTGTACATAACTACATACATACATACCTAAATATGTATACCATAGTAGTATGTAGTGCGCTATCGATAGACACATTAAACACCAAGTTTCGTCCAATTAAAGGTCCATGCTGTGCATCAATAGTATCATATTCAAGTACAAGAGTTACTTATATATAGATACTGCACTACGTAATATTATACATACCTACGTAGTGTAGATAATGACATTGAAACGACCTTGAACTATACCTACACACACACACATGTATATTTTATTACTACTTCAACATTTAATACTGAGATAATGCTGTTGGCCTGTGTAGGACTAATTATATATAAACGTATTAAGTACGCAGACACACACCACCAACTGACATGCCAACCTACTCAACTACCTAGGTTACTCCTGTTAGGCAATGTTGGGACCGTAACACAGCCCTCTTCCTGACCTTTCCTGATACTCACCTCTTGTCAGTGTTACTCTTACTAGCCCACCTCAACCTAAGTTGAGTTGGTATTTGGGTATGTGGCTAGCTGGCTGGTTTTTGAAGTTACTCTGCATTGTGTAACACGCATCCTACCCTTAGAAATACAACCCTACTGGCAAGCCTACTGATCGATAATTATCGTAGATGTGCGCGGCTGAAGAGTATTGATCGGACTGAAGATGATATATCATACCTAGATACAACCTGAACTGTAAGGATAGGGAGTAGTTATTGGGGTTAAGATTTCATCGATAATTACATAATCCTTACCTGATGTTTAGGCAACTCTTTACATCCAAAAGTCCCAGACCATCAAGTGCTCCTCATCGTAAAGTCCCCGTGAGGATTTGCCAAAGTACATATACCTCAGATTTGGTTGTTGTTCAAGTTTGGGGAGAGGAGGGGGGATTTCGATCGGGTTTCGCGCTGTAGTGTGGCGGGGTTATGTTGGATTGTCATTCTTGATATCTGAACCTTTGTGAAGGTCGTATAAGAAAAAAGGGTTAAACCAACCCAACAAGGTCTATCTACTATGTACACTATGAATTATAAGATCCTAGGTACCCTATGTAGTTAAGTAATATCCAACAATCGTGTATCTAGGTAATCCTTCCGGTAACTACATATGTAACTTCAATCTGCCTCCCGATGGCCTCTTCAATGGTTGGAGGATCATGTTGTTGATTAACCCAGAAACTAGTCCGTAAACGACTTACAAGAGCCGCGCTTATCCACCCTGTTCCGACCAGCCCCCCCCCCCCAGCAATAGTAAACGATTCTGGTAATTATAGCGTCCAAGGTCCATTTAGGTCCCCCTCTTACCAAAAAAAGACTATCAACTTTGATTGAATATAGAAACCACTGCAGAATAGTGGTTGGATAGTTCATTAAAGACAACCCTGAGGTATAATACAACTTACCTAAACTCGATTAGGTCATTCATCGACTTGCTATTCTTATTCGATTGCGTGTCTATAGTTACATACATAGTTGGCCACTATAGATTCTAATTCCTTAGTCTATATGTAAAGCTGAGAGAGAGGGGTGGGGAAGAGGAGGGGAAAGCAAGTGAGAATGAGAGAGATTCTCTATGTGCGTGTGTGTGTGTGTGTGTCGCAGAGAGTTTTGGTCATCGGGCGAATGATACCTATTTACTTTTTGAACAATGGGCAATTCTGGATGGGAAATGCAACGTGGACACAGCACAGCAGTTAAACGATTGCTGCATGTTCTAAACTAGAACCCTTTTTTTTTTTTTTTTACCCTCTCTCAGAGTATTTAATCGTCGTGGCCTGATAGGATATGATGATACACAAATCTTACGCCATCATGTCATCACTTCCAAATATTTATTTTTTTGCTGATTAAAACATTACGTGCCCCCGTGCGACAGTTAATATGGTGAGTCCCATTCGACTCACTCGACTTTGAGTTGAATAGCCATGATAATGAAATTGATGAAGGGGGAATGGGAAACGGAAATGACACTCTTAGGTCCAGACAGTCTGACCGAGGGGGGAAACACAGAAAAAGTGCTGCCAGCAAATAATAATCATTGAAGATACAATACAAATACAATACATAACTACAATTAATAAAAACTCAATGATACCCCTCCCAAACTGCCTAAAAAGCCTTGTCTTATAAAGTACATGCCCATCTGTATCTGTATCTGTATCTGTATTGTACTTCTCACAACATAATTCGCAAGCATGGCATGGGGTTGATTTGATTTCCGGTTTCACGCCGACAGCTCGGGATTCAGACTGACGTCTCTCTCGCACGCTTACGAGTTTCCAGACTTCGGCAGCAATTAGTTATGGTTGGGCTGGAAAGGTAAACTCGGCTTCTCTACGATGCAGTTGCATGTACATAGAGACTCGATCGGGGAATGAAAGAAAATGATTAAAGAATCCCGAGTTAAAGATCCTAGTATCCTACCCTGCTGCCCTGCTGCCCTATTAACCCAAGCAAGCAAGCCCCCCAATCCCAATCCCAATGCAAAAAAGCTCTAGGATCGAAAATGGAGAGCAGAGCAGGGGCCAAGGCAAGCTTGTTCTTCTTGGATCAACGAGCAAGCAACAAAAAGATCCCTGTAAAAGCCCGGCTCAGCCTAACCTGACCATTGAACAACAGTCCCAAGTGCCGAAAAGGGTGTTAAGGTACTTTTTCACTATGTGGGTTTGTGATCTATGTAAATCATTGATGTTATTAATAATAATATTACTGTTAGGTTGTTACTCGGACTCTTTACACACATGTCACATGCAGACCTGACCTACATAACAGTAGTATGCTGCAAAAGGACAGGCTGTAATTAACTAGTTATTAACATGAATATGTTATAGCAAGAATAAAGAACGCAGAACCTCGCAAACAAACTCGATCCTCTGAATGAATGCCAACATCCATATATACGTATGTCGCACTAGGCCTAGACTTGCTCGTGCAAACTCTCGTCTCACATCCATCCTATAGTTACCAGTACCTACCGACGCCGACGTGTCACAAAGCTCCTGTAATAAGTTAATGATTTAACTACATACCCAGTACCCTATCTCCTCGAGTTTCTCGTTCGCGTGCGACATGACCTGCCCCGTCTGTGCTGTGAGATGTGTTACAGGGAAGAAGAGAGAGAGAGAACCAAGGGGGCTTGCTTAAAGAGGAAGAATTGGACTTTTGAGGACTTTTTATCTCTCTCTCCTCCTCTTTCTCTTCTTCTTCTTCAATGCGATACGATACGATGCGATGCACTCCGCCACGTTTCCAACCTGGCATTTCATTCAAAACTACCTACCTTGGGTATGTAGGTACTATCCGGCGTCCGAGTTTGCACAGGAAAACTTTGATCCTGCCTATGTATTGTACCTACGTAGGTTAGGTTATATACATACTAGTTAGGTAGGTAGGTAGGTAGGTGAGATCTCCAGGAGCCCCTCTCTTATCTTATCCTCACTCTCTCTCTGTCAATACTTAATAGAACCATGCTGGTTGCCTACCTATTACATAGTACTGTATGACTGCATACTAGACCGGCAGGTAAACGTTTAATACACATTATGCGAATTGAAACTGATAACGTAGCATTGAAGCCCACGAGATCGCAGAGATGAATTTCCCTAATGGTCAACCAGTACGGAAGGATGTAGGGCTGCTAGGGTGGGCCTGGGGTCAGTGAGTTAAGGTTGGCGAGAAAAGTACCCGCTAGCCCTTTTCAGTAGGTTAGTATAACTACTATGCCGTATAGTGTTTGAGAGGAATAGGTAAGGATCGGCATCGTTGCTCAACTTGAAGGTTGATGCTCGAATAACTATGTCTTTTTGTAAATCCCATAGCCTATTAGGTAGCTGTATGTGGGCAGTTTAGATACCCTAGGTAGGCATGAGAAAGAGGTATATGGTTGATCCCCCAGGAAGAGAGAAGATAAGAATCAGAAGAAAGCCCCCTTTAGGTATCCAGGTAGTTAAAGACTCCTAAAACGGAGACTTCAACACATAAACTAAGTTCCAAGGTTATCTTCAATGCACTTAAACAAGGTCCATATACTTTTCATCCCAAGGAGAGGAGCTTAACTTACAGACGCTTGGAAGACACTTTGACTTCCAGCGACTAAGTATACATACCTAGGAACCTAGGAACTGTATATGTAGGTAGTAAACAAGGCTCACTAAGCAGGATCGTGAGTTGCGCGCGGCAAACACTTCGCAATCGAGTCCAAGACAGCTCACACCTTCAAACAGTCTTCATCACTTCCCCCTTCCCCTACCTCTCCCTCCTCCTCTCCCACCCCTTCCCCCTTTCTTCCCCCCTCTCCCTCCACCCCCACCCCCAATCCTCTCAAACAGCCTCTCCTCTCCAAACGCCATCTCCCCGAACCTAACAAAACTAATAATCCCCCTGTCCACGACCGCCACAACCGCGTTGCGCCAGCCGTGCTTCAGGCGTCTGTACACCTGTCCCGGCGCCACCTGCTGTCCTCCCCCCCTTCCCCCTTTCTGGTTTGGGTTAGGTTGTTCAGGCGGATCCCACGGCGTGCACCGCTCCAATAACGCCGTCATCTGCTGCAGCGTCGGCACGGCCGAGTCGCGCGCGTCGACGACGGCGATGCGGAATTCCGGGGGCGGGGGCTTGGTTTTCGGGAACGGCGTGGAGCTCTTCCAGACGTCGTAGTGGATGTTGAACGGTTCTTCGGCTGCGGGCGTGGAGGGGGAGGGGTGGGGGGTGGGTTTGTGGCGGGGGAGGAGGGCAAGGGGGGAGAAGATTTGGTTGTAGGAGCGATAGAGGCCGGGCTTGACGAGGGGGCCGTAGGAGGGGTGGGAGGAGGAGGAGGATTGCGGGTTTTTGGACGGGAGTACTAAAGTGAACAGCCATTCCCATAGTGCTTGGTACGGCGGTTTCGGCGGGGTAGGTGGCGGCAAGGGCATCAGTGTTGCGCGCATCACCTTGTAGCCCGTCCGTCGGAGGTTGGCGTAGACCTGGTACTTCTCGAGGCTGACTTTCCCCCTCTCGCCGTCTGCGCCGATGAGGAGGGAGTACACCGCTTGGAAGCTAAGCGGTATCCCGAGCTCGTAATCTTCGAACTCTTTATCCGCATCATCACCCTCCTCGCCGACTTTCTTCTCCAGGAATATATCCTCGATGCCGCGCGCAGGCCACCAGAGATCCAACGAGCCTCTCTCGACCATATACAGCGCTTCCTCGGGCAGCAGCCACGTCTTCAGCCATCCGGGCGTGTGCTTGTACCCCTCGAGGCCCGTGACCACGCGCCCCGTATTCTGGCCCAGCGGGCCCTTGATCTCACTCTCAACCGCGACAACGCGCTCCCTCGCAAATAAGCCCGCGCCCTTCTCCCCTTCCCTCTCCTCCTCCGCCGGCACATCAACCCACTTGTCCGGAAAATACCACGCCCTGGTGTGGTCCTTGGGCTTGTGCCGGCGGGTGTAGCTCAGGACCTCGTGCATCGCCGTGCGGCTGGCTTCAAGAGCACCCTCCTGCGCCCGCGTGCCGTGGGACTCGAAGTCCTTCTCGCCGCGGCGCAGCGTCTTGCCCGACGCCTGCTTCTTGTCAAACAAGGAGGAAAAGAGCCGGAAGTCCTGCATCTCGTCTCCGAGCGCATCCTCGAGCGATGGCGCATCGTCTGTGCCGCCGCCATGATGATCTCCAGCAGATGGTGTTAGGGCAGGCGCGCCGAGTGTGAGGTCTTCGTCGTCGAACGGCATTGCGATATATGCGCAAGCACGGTAGGGAAGTTAATCCGATGCCCAGTGAATCTGAATCAAATGGCCCGTCTAAATTGTGAAAAAGGTATTATCGACAATTTTGAGGTAGTATCACGTGTTGTGCCTGAAGTATTTTGCGCTGTGAAAATAAGAACATGTGTAGTCTTGATTGTTCAATGTTGATTTGTATGGATTTGGTAGTTTGTGAAACATGTGCATGATGTGATAAGTCCGAATAATCGATAATCGTGAAAGAAAAGGCTATGATGAGAACATCAATGTAAGCCCACATGTGCAGTCATTCAATTAAATATCTACCTAGGTACCTAGGCTAGGGAGGGTTGAAGGTGTGAAGTTAAAGCACTTAACCTAGCGACATCCACTTAAACTACCGACTACATGATGTAAAGGCTGCCCCTCGTCCCTAAGCGTCCCGCCACTAGGAATATAGACTGCAATAAGGACCACTAGCAACACATGAAAACCATTGGGAGTTTGGCCGAGTGGTTAAGGCGTTGTGTTTAGGTATTCTCCTGGGAAACCTTATAAACCCGCAATGGGAAACCGCGCAGGTTCGAATCCTGCAGCTCTCATCTTTTTTGATTTTTTGCTCTTTGTGAAAAATCACTTTTTTCAACTTTCCACATTATCTCACCACCCTCAGTCCCTCTTTTCACTATAGACTTCAATGAATGAACATGTAAATGAATTGTATTGACTCATCTCATCATCCTTGAGGTTTCTACCGATCGTATTGACCAAGTTAGATCCCATGCCCCTTAATACCTCCCTTCCATTACTTGGGAGATGCAATATATCAAAATGACACAAGCAACACTAGTATGCTCCCACCTCCCCTCGATCATATCTGCTTTCATGTGTAACTAGAGGATTTCATTTAATGTGCGACATACATATGTACATGCAAATGCGGTACTCATGCGACAGTACCATAATACAATATCCTCCACATTGTAACTGTCCCCAAGGAAGGTCCATAGCAACTCAGGAGTAGCGTTAAACACTAGGCCATGATGCTATTCCTCCTTGGGTCTTGGCACGATGTATACCACTACGAAATAAATAACAGGGTCGAGACGAGAACAAGCATAAGCAAGAACTCGAAATCGCCCAGACAATCATACTCTCCTTGAACGCCTGAGATCCGATACGTTGGTATCTATTCTCCGATCTCGTGCCGCCCCTTGGGAATGCGTATAACCGTAACGCCGTAAGTCCGTTATGACAGACCCTATATCCGTCAACTTCGAAGTCTATCGGGTTGCAGTTCCGTAAACTCCGATTATTTGCATTGCACCCCCGAAACCCTTTGGTGACTGCCTCTCAGGCTCCACACTCATGTACTATCTGGTCGTTCGCATAGTCCGCCGGGGAAGTCGAGTCTGATGACCGATAAAGCTTCGAGCATCCCGGGCAGAGCCCTGAAGCTATGATATGAGAAACCCTGTTTCATTTCCTGTTACTTTGGTATCGCGTGACACTGCTTCTACTTCTAAGCGGTGCTTCGATTGGCCATCTCTCATACTGACTTGCGCCGATGTGCAGATGAGACCTCACACACCTTCGCGTGCGCGAAAGGCAGGGGGCAAAGCTCATCTGTTAAAATATCGAAGCTGATACAACAGATCAACGCGCGGGGACCCTTGAGGCAATTAGACGGGTTTTCAACTAGAGTAACCCAAGATGCTTCCGATGCATTACGCGATGGATCCGGCATCCTAGCATTTGCTAACGTGGTGTAGAAACCTCATTCGATCAGTGGCTTCTTATTACCTCCCACTAAGCAAAATCCCAATGCCGCCAAAGCATTCGGGTCATTGGCTAGAACGATATTTCTTGCCGGTAACATTGGGTTGTTCTGGTCAATAGAGGACGCCTCTTTTGCTGCTTGTTCGATAGCATCCATTTCTTCCTTACAGGCTTGATGGTCCAAAGGACATATTACAATAGGCTGTCGAAGAGTAATGTCGCGAGCTGACGTGAGTGATGCCTGTGGGATTGGAACATGTCAGTAATCATCCACTAATGGTCTATTTCTGGGTCACCGCAATAATCCATTTGCGCGTACCTTGATAACAAGGAAAAACTCAATCTTGTATAGTGTAGATGTTGTTGTGAATGACGTGACTTCGTAATTCGGGAACGCAGGCTGTCCTCTTCGTATGATGCCATTTACGTCTCGTAAGTCTTTATGAGGGAAGATAATTCCCATATTAGTTACATAGCCCTCTTCAGGTAGTTTAGTCCCGACGGCCTGTGCGTATTTTTGCAGCCTGTTGACCTTTTTGGTAGGTTCATCTCCTTCAGGGTTATACGTAATCTCCTCTTCGATCGCGATGGTGATGGCTTTGATGGTGACTTTCTTCGCCTTGGACATCCAGTCCAGATTCGGGGCCAACTTTATATATACCGTAATAGGGTCCATAGGCCCGTAACTCCATCTCGGAAGAGAAATGCCCAGTGTCACTACATTGTCGGCGGTCGCAACTTTGTGCTCGGGTCGGTTATACATTCCAAAGGTTGACAAAGTATCATACCGCTGCAAAGGTATGGGGAACGCATATTTGTTCTGCACACTCTGTCCTTGTTGTACGGTCACCACCAGCTCATAGTACGTCTCGGCCGTCCTGCTTGGAAGTTGTAACGATGCGGGCGGTATCCTTCTATTTATCTCTTCGCCACCTCGCCCAAATGGAATAAACAAGACAAATGGGAGGTCCATCGCCACAACACTTTCTGCTTCTCTGCCTGTTGCGCATCGGTATAACAAGAGTTCCTTGCCGACAACATCGGTCGTATCGCGTCGGGGCGTACCCAGATGGCGCTTGGCTACATTTTCGGCGGCTGGGTGGATTGTCTCTCTTCGTTGCAGGCAGATTCTTACCAGGGAGATGGCGACGGGGGCGGAGTAGCCTGATGACGGTCTTATTTCGACCTTTCCCTCGATGCGCGGCTACATACTTGTGTTAGCTAGCTAGTCAACGTGACCCATGTATCTCGTAGCTTGGACTATTGGCATTTAACATGGTCTGACCCCACGTCGAGGCTGCGGAATCCAGGCGGGCAAACTAAACAAGGGATGTAGTGAATTGGGGAAACTCACCAAAGTCGCCGAAATGCCAGGATATCCGACGAGAAAATTACTATTTGGGGGGCCAGAAACCCGGACGGAGGCCTGTATTCGGTCTGACATCTTATCCGCGCGAAATGCCCGGCTGGTGATTGAAGATGTGGTCGAGGTTCAGCGTCGGCTGAGCGCATGTATTCGTCATGGGCGGCTGCGAGCCGACGCCTTCTTGCGAAATGCGATTCTTCGGCAATCCTAAGTGTAATATGCGGAGCATTACATGTCAGACAATAGAAATCGGTGTATTGATTGTATCTGGATTCGAATATAAGCTAAGCAAATGATCGAATCCTCAAAATTTGTTATCAGCAAGATGATGGCGTCTAGTGTTGACTGTCGAGGGAATTGAAGATGCAGGGTCACAAAAAGGCGGGACGCAGTAGTTCAGTTGAGTTGGAGGTTCCTGAAAGAGGTGGGTTTCCAAGGTTGCTAAGGTTGCTAATGGAGACGGTGGCTGAGGTAAGTGAGGGACGCGATGTTGACTGGCGGTAGGACGGCAGGGCGGTAGGGTTGTGACCGCAGACTGCAGACCGTAGACCGCAGTTCGCACTTCGCAATTCGGACTGTGACGATCAATCGAGAAATTGGCTATAACAATAGCCTTATAGCAAAAGCGGCGCAGTATTATGTCTCAAGTCTTAAGAATTAAGAATGGTTGTCCTAATTTCAAATATGAACTTGAACAAATACTGTCATGTGGATGAATAATACCTAATACTACCAATCTACCTAGGTACCTAACATAACCTTGGAAGTCTAGTAGGTAGGTAGGGGGGTAATATGTTAGATGAGCTCCGTAGCCCTAGTTTCGTAGGACTGAAGTGAAGTGAGTGAAGTAGCCTACAGTAGAGGGGGAGGCAGATGGGGAGGTAGATGGGCAGAATAAGTATCCAACGTAGAGAGGGGGTGATGGTTGGTGGGTTAAGGTTCTGAGCGACATCCGATTGCGAATAAATTGATAATTCAGCTGGGATTGCGATGAATTAAGCTTGGTCGGGCTTGAAAGAAAGTGAGCGAGCGAGTGAACTTCTGACTGAACTAGAAATGCTGAAATGCTGAAATGCCCTGTTGAACCGTTGAACCCCACAACCTTGGTATTTCCGAGAATTTGAAGTGAAGCTTTCATGCAGGTTCCGGACAACTTGAAGCTACTCTATATGTAGTATGGATATGATATATGGATATGGCTTATGAAGGTAACGACCGTGATGACCGCAAAAAGCATTCCGTTAGATAAAGATAAATTGGCAATGAAAATGCAAATATCAAAAAATAAAAAGGTAAGAAAGTCTGACAAGAAAAATGCCACCTGCCCGAAAGTTTGGAAGTTTGGAAGTTTGAAGCTGAATGGGGAAATTGACAGACATGTAACTACGTATGTGTATGTAGTTATTGTACAATACATGCTACAATGTATTAGGAGCACAAGGATTTGGGGAAACTTCCACCGACCTGATTTGAAGCCAATAAACGATCATTCCGATTCGGGCGTGCTAGGATGGGGTGGAGTTACCTTCACTGATACCCTCCCTGTCCTCCCTAGGATGTAGGTACTAACTAACTAACTAACTGCGATCTTTATTCTTTAGAGCATTTGCTACAGCACTGAGTTCAATCTTCCCCACTGCGCTATGTAGGACTTGCCTTACAAAGACACTTTTTCTGCTAGCTGGCGGTTAGCTGGCTAGATACTGTATCATTGGAACGGTCAAATCGAGTTTCTTATGTATTCCAAGGTTATCTGTTATTTCTACTAGTTTAACATATCCTAGCTCCTAGTAAGTATTGTAAATTTATAAAAGGTAAGTGCCCTTGGGTATTTTAGGTGAAGATGACAAGAATCCGTTCTGAACTCCTTCCCGTTTCTTCTGTGTTTCCTTGGGAGTTAAGGATTCGCAATGCCATGACTGTCAATAAGATTACCTATTCGTCATAACTAAGCTGAGGTACCTGAGTAGGTAAACGTAGAAATTGAAATTTAGTAATGCAAAAGGGAACGCCGTAGGCAAGCACACGTGCGTTGCAACATGGCGGCGATAGATTTCCTTGCGCATGCAAGCCCTCTGGTACGCCATGGGGTATGTATGGGGATGGGGCATGCAGTCCGTCAAGAAGTCCTACAGAAAAGGGGTGCTTTGGGGGCGAAAATAATACCTAAGTAGGTAGGTACCCAGCCTACCAGCCCACATAGGAGCCCAAACTTGACAACCCAGATGAGGCTGACGATCCTAAAGAACTAACTAGGTAGGTAGGTGCGTATCCTTGTCCATTGCATAGATAAGTGTATCATCATCTTCAACATCCAGCTCAATTCATCAGAAACGTTGAATTAACAAGTCATTATTATTACAAAGGAACGATGCCAGTTCGATAAAATTTCTAGGTTGAGTGATGATATGAATTTGTTTAAGAGACAAAGAATCCATAAAAGCCTACGTTTCAGCCATATTAGATACCTAAAGAACACAATAATGAATAATAGTCTCAACTGATTAGGATAAGCTCAACTCTTGAAGCTACATATGTCGTAACTACCTATGTTTAGCGCTTACGACCTACCGGGCATACCTACCAGACAATGGCAGACATGTCTACCAAGAGGGCAGTATGCGAGAGGCGCCTTTCCCGCTTCAGCAATGTAACCCTCCAGTTACACACGATTAATATTCCACGCGGGGAGCTAGGTTTAAGTGATTGATTCCAAGAAACGAAGAAACATTGGATGATTCGCAGAAGCTAATCCCACGTGTCTCGCCGTCAGAAAGATCCCTTTAGAGGTCGCCTACTTAACATGACAATGGAATGAAAAGGGGAGTAAGCGAACAGACGGGTAAGAACATTCGAAATGATAGGGCAATACAGGAAGGGACCTGCATTCATGGATACATCAACGTTGAATCCTCCAAGGCTACTACTACGCCGTAGGGACTAGGTACGTCCAAGCATCTCTACTAACAGCCCTAACCGAAATGCCCAGCTCAGTTACATGCCCAATTAGATTTAGAGCCATCATAGCCCACACCAGCCCCCTGGTATTCAAGGTTCTTCATTTTAGTTTCCTCCACTTCGAGATCCCCACGGCTTCTTTAATCGTCAATCGCTAGTTAATCGTTAGCTTTTTTTTTTATCTAACCTCCAACGCCAAATCATCACGCATAAGATAAAGAGTATCACATCATTTGATACTACTCACAGGTACTATTCTCATAATATTTATCATTTAGTTATGACATTATAAGAGCAACTTAACGCCATGTCTGTCACTTTACATACGACTCAAGGAGATCTCAAGATCGAGATATTTTGTGAGAGTGTACCCAAGACCGCAGAGGTACGCACATACGAAAGGTAGTCCTCGCCCATAACCGAGCTGTGTGCCTAATTTCTTACAGAACTTCCTAGCACTCTGTGCGACGAATTATTATGACAAGTCACCGTTTCACCGCCTGATTCCAAATTTCATGATTCAGACAGGTGGCCCTGCAAACCCCACGCCGGATAATCCGAAAGGTGGTCGATCAATATGGGGCGGATCATTTGAAGACGAGATCCGGCCAGCTCTTAAGCACAACGCCCGAGGAATCCTTTCCATGGCAAATAAAGGACCCGGCACTAATGGCTCGCAATTCTTCATCCTCTTTGATAAAGCGCCTCATCTGGATGGCCTCAACACCGTGTTCGGGAAGCTCATCGGCGACGACAGTCTCGTGACCTTGGCAAAGCTAGAGGCGCTCGAGATAGATAAGAAGAATCGGCCGAAGGAGAAAGTGTTGATCGAAAATATCACTATTCATGCCAATCCACTGGCAGGATGAACGGTGAAATTCATCCTCTCTTCTGGTACGCGAGGATATCTTGCAGCTAGCGAGGCTAGGCTAGAGGGTTACGAAGCCAGACGACAATATAATCTACAACTTACTACGGGTATGGATTACTCTCGGGGTGGTGCCAACCGTGGCATTTGTGGTATTCAACCAGCCGATGAGATCCTTCTCTTAGTGGCTGTTATGGTGTCACCCGCAAGTAATATTGCAAAATCATGAGATCTCGTCATGGACGAATAAGTCTCAATCTTAATACGTGAGATTTATTCTCTTTGGTGATGAGATATCACGACGCAATACCTCTCACGGCTCGCTCAAAACTGGCGATATTTCGGGTTGGTCAAAATAAAGGTACATTCCGTTCCATTACTCTGGTACGTCTTAGTAAGACGTATAAATGGTAAATGGTAAATATAATACCCAACTACACACATTATCATCTGACATAGGTAGTATAACATATATCCCACCAATATTGAAGATGCCCGTTGACCAAAAAAAAAAAAAAAAAAAAAAAAAACAAACAAGCAAGCAATCTTGATTGACTGCTAGTGTGCTGATATAATATAAGGTACCTTTCTGACCCCTGTCCAGGAACGATGTAGGTAAAGCCATATGTACTATGTAGTGCACGGGCTACAAAGACCGTTTAAACGTGACTTCTTCAACTTATTATTCCTTCTCCAACACGCTTCTAATCATTTCAGCCAATCAAGCGTGTTTTCTCACAAACGAATGCATTTACTGAGGGCCTACATCTTACTACGAAGGTGCAAGGCTGTAATACTAAGCGCTTCTGCGCCTTCCTAAATGTACAGTGTTTGCTATAAGAAACTTTGAGATGACTGGTACCTCTGGCTGTTAACCTGGAAAGGACGCGTCTAGCTTTATCTTACTTATCACCTGCGCAACTTCAAATTTTGAGTCGGTCTCCCTTATCCCCATATATTCATATCATCCATTCATATCATCTGTTCATATCATCTGTTCTCCCTGCCTTACTCAGTCCGGCTTTATCACGTACTTAGTAAGGTTAACCTCAACATCACCATAATGGCCGTTCTTAACGAAGTGCCCGGGATCGAGGTCACTGTGGCCATCAACAACGTTCAATGCGTAGAGTATGAAGATCCAGATGCTGCAGGGAAACGAACCGCTCGCCCGACATCATCGAAATTCGTCGAGTCAATAGATGAGGCTAAATTTGCAATCGACTATAAAGTGCACCATAACTACAACTGGGGTCACAAAGGACATAGCCTTCAATTTAATTGTTGGGTTGATAATAAGCATATAGGAGGTAAATTAGCCCGAAGTAGAGACGTTACGCCCTTTAAACCAGCTGGCGCCCAAATCAATGGCATGATAGTCTTCGACGACGCGACCAACTCCTGGGGTAAACAAAAGCTCAGGTTCGCTGCAGTAAAGACAGGTATGTTACCCAACACAAAATCCCTTGACTGCAAACAATTGTTGACTTTGGGTATCCAAGTCGACGTTGCGATATCAGAACGTGTTGAGGAGGACTTGCAGGTGTCTAGGAACATTGGCGTCATCAAAGTGGAGGTTAGGCGTTGCATTGAAGGTCGAAGAGTGCCATATATGCCAGGCCATCGTCGAATCCTACCACAGGATTCCTTTGAGCTTGCCGAAAAATCTCTTAAGGGAAAAGCTATCTCTCACGGTGCTACGTAAGGCAGCAATTACCTATTCAGTTTTGCATTACCCATGGTATGCTAACGCTAGACAGGTTCTCTGCTATCAAACGCACCCGGGTTCGTGATATGCTGCAGACCTGGCCCTTTCCCGGTGACAATGGCCCTATCGCCATCTTTCAATTTCAATATAGATCGAAGAGTAAATTTCAATAACTGCCCCCCCCCCCCCTTATTTGAACCCAGACTATAGCTTATTATGTTCGCAGAGGCATTGCAGCAAGAATTGATCATTCCATCCTCGCCACGCCGTTCGCTGACCCTGGGTGGCCTTTCCGAGACTGAGCGGGATCGCCTTGCGGGCGAGAGGCTGCGGCAGATCAAGGTAAGCATTCTATATCCACCTCTCATCTCAGTAGCCTGGCTCACTCTTCCCTTCTTCTAGGAAGAGGAGAAGCAGCATGTTAAGCAGGAGGCGTCGGTCATCAAGAAGGACAGCATTGATGTCATCGACTTGACTGGGGAAGATTAGCTCGGCCAGCCTTGGACCATTGAGGCCAATGAGTCTCAATATTGCGGTTTATGAGGAACGGCGAATCAAGGAGCATATTGACAATATCCATATTGCACATGTAAGAGGTCTAGGGAATGTCTGAGAGATAGTGATTGAGCACTAGCATAGCAAAAAAAGGAGTTCCAGGGTGGGAATCTTGTTACGGGAGCTGTAGCTGTTCTCGATTAGGGTTATGGCACTTTTTCTACGCAGATAGTACATTTGCTAATGGTCTGAATTTTGATTCCTTTTCCTTCTTTTCTTTTCAAGCAACTGTATAATCCAGCTCTTGCTGTTCTTACCAATGTAAAGATTTAGGAACCCGGCTTATTTGGGTCCGTATTACATAATACATACGATCTGGTTGCTATATACCTAGATTATAGGTACACACCAAGTGATAGTTGAACTTTCTGAGAATAAATCCAAAAGAGTTGTTACTAAGGCAGTATTAAAGGCTTCATAAAGAAGTTGTAGAGGAGTCATGGAGATGAATTGACATGATTGCCAGTTACTGGCTGGGTCTCAGGGTGAGCAACACGTGAAAAGATCATCAAAGGTTGAAATAGGGGTAAGCACAACTATTGTGTCTTACCAATGACTTAGCCGCAATTCTTTTTAACATTTCAATGCAATACAAGCATTTTATGCATATCAAGTGCCTACCTACCTTGATTTTGATGGAAAAGGTTAAGAGGTTAAGAAATTGCCTAGGTACCTACTCAGCTCTAAAAAAAAAAAAGATTCGAACGTACCTAGTAAGTATCTAGTTGAGATAAAGAAGGGGGGTTATTTACAACAGGCTAAAGACTTAGGTACTAACCATAGATTATTCCCCTTTGAAGGCGTTTGGGCAATATGCTTTCTACCTACTGCTTCTATGCTTTACTCACTTTCAGTGTCATAGCTACTAACTAACCTAGGTAGGTATCTGGGCAAGTACCCAAGCATTGAACTACCAACTTGGCCCTTAGCGTCAAGGTTACGCTTTGCGCAAGGTAGACAACTCCTTACCATCGTCCCCCTCTCCCCCCCAGCTACGAGAGCAGCAGATCTTGCTTACTGGCTCCAGGTAGCGCTTACGGACGCGGTCCGTCTGATCGTAATCAGAAGACTAGAACTATAAAAACAACCGCGTGTTGTTGTCTTTGGCCCACGGAACTCTAATAATGATGAGGCCCAGTCCACTACCACAGGCTATAGGGACTAAGAGGAGGAGATCAGACCACTGGTTAAGTAGGATGGAGGAGAAGAAGCGCCCCGAGAGCGAAAAAGGGCAAAGAAAAAAAGGGACACGGAAGTTTTGTTTCCTCTCTCCTTCTTTTTACTTACGGCTCTTGGATTACTTGGCTCTGCCATTCTTGTCTGTCTGTCTGTCTGTCTGTCTGTCTTTCTACACACCTTACGATTCCTACTAGGAGTGTGAAGCCGACCTAGGTCCCTCTACCTCCCTAGGCATCTACCATTCAAAAGCTCCCAAATCCTTTTTTCTTTTGCAAAAAAAAAAGAAAAAAGAAAAAAACCGCAAAACAACACACATCTCCCTCTCTTCAGCGGACCATCCCATCACCACCACCACAACAACAACAACAATGGCTCCACCACCACCTCCCCGCCAACGAGACCTCACAACCCTCTCCTCCATCTCCCCCCTCGCCGCCCTCGAGTCCCCCGCCCTCGCCCTCCTCTACTTCGCCACGACCCTCTACGCCGGCGTCTGCGTCGCCCTCGGCCTGCGCATCGCCCGCGCCCGCCTGCCGCTGAGCTCCCTCCCCTGGGTCCCGCGCTGGGCGGCGCTGCTCGCCGCCGGCCTCGCCGTCGCGTTCGCGCTGCTGTTCCTGCTCGTGCCGATTGTCTTCTTCGCCGGGGTTAGGGCGCTGGTGTTGGCGAACTTTCCGGGGTGCTGGCCGGTGGGGGGGCGGGATGGGGGTGGTGCTGGGGTTGAGGGGGGTGAAGGAAGTGGTGGGGGTGAGGATGATGCGAGCTGGACGACGGGGGGCACGCGGGGGAGCGCCGGTGTTGGTGCTGGTGCTGGTGCTGGTGCTGGTGCTGGTGCTGGTGCTGGTGGTGCTCATGGTGCTGATGTTGTTGACGATGACGACGAGGCGCTGGTCCAGCGCATAAGCCCGCCGCACTACAACCTCCACGCGCGCGACACTCTCGTCGAGGAGGACGACTTGGAACATATGCCCATTCGCTCGCCGCCGCCCGCGTACTTCCAGGGCAACTCCCTTTCCAGCAGTGGTTCTTCGTCGTCGTCGTTGGGGGTAAGGGATATCTAGGAATGGGCTCGTGAGTGTTGGCCCCTTTTCTTGGCAGCAGCGGTTTTTTTTTTTTTTTTTTTTTTGCTTACTACTTGTCTAGGCAGAGAATGAACTGATAAAGGGGTTAATAGCCGAGATAGCTCACTTTGGCTTTCTGTGGTATCTACGGTCGTGTGATCTATACACACTTGGATGGAAAAGTGACATCGTCTACGGAGCTGGGCTACTCGTTTTTTCGGTTGGGAGTTTGCGGGAGCAATAGCGTGTATACTGTCTCGGTCTGTATTGGATATGGAGTAGGATCTGTTAGATATCTCGTGACCCTAATGGTTGTTATTGGGGATATACGTGGGCTATGTCGGTGTGCTGGATTCAAAGCTGCATGCATTGGATGTAAGCTGAATGGAAAGTTAGTATGTTTGCATGCTCCCATGCTTATAAAGCCCAATTCCTCGTATTAGTACCATCGTCTTTTAAAGCTGGGCTATTTACAACGTTCGCAAGGTGATTTCTAAGACACACTTGATGGACCGTAGCTGCTGCTCCATGAATGAAGTCGGAGCCGGTCTTACTAGTTGTGTGTGTGTGTGCGTCTATTGATGGGGGCTTCATAAGCGTCTTTTCTCCCATTTGTTGTACTCACGCTATTGCTAATTACAACTATAGAAATGTTTAATGCCTGGAATCGTGTATGTAGGAATATGTAATGCAGTAATCTTTTTTACCTAGGACATATGATTTCGTTGTCTGAGAATATTACAATATTACCTACTTAAATCGAACTCAAAGGTGGTAATCAGGGTCACATAATGTGAATCGGTAGTAATAGGTAGATTACCTTATAATAGGAACTCCGTCTTTTGAACCCCTTCTCCGGCACCCTCAGCAATATGACTTCAGATCAAAATAACTAATGATTTAGACTGCGCCTTGGTAGATTTAATCTATACATAATACTCCCCTTCCTCTGGCTCACGAACATTATCCTCCTCCCCACCAAAGCCGAGGTGGAGCACGTCTGCTTCGTCCTTGATCGATTCGCATTCAGCTAAGTTTCGAGGTAGCGCAACAACCCCCCAACGGACCTTTCTCTGGGTTAAAGTAAGAGGAGTGACAATTGTGTCTGCGCCATCTTCCTCTCCTATAGAAGTGGGGGGTGTCATTCCCTGTATTTGGGTACGGGACGAGTCTGGTAGGTACTATTAGTCACAACCTTGTGAAGTGGTGGGAAGCAGTATACTTGCCGCTACTCAGGCTTCTTTCTAGCGGTTCTGAGATGACTGAACTCTGGCGTCTACTCGCGTGATCGGCAACATGGCAAGCGGCGGATATTACTAAGGAGTTCCATCCTCCAGTAGTCATCTGTCCTTTCAGTTTCCGCCGACTTAAAACTATGGGCAGGCAAGAATATGCAATTGCCAAAATGGATAGAATTATTAGTGCAAATGTAGAATATCCAATTGCAACTACGGATGTTTCTGAGACGCCGAACTGGTTCTCGAAACCTGTAAGATGGGACGTCTCGTCCAAGTATTCTAGCAAATTCATGTTATTATCACAACTGGTAGCCTACCTAGGTAGGTAGGTAATGCTTCATTGTGGAAATTGTACTTACCGCCTTCGTTTATGAAGAGATAAACCGCACTAGACAAAAGCCAGTGCAAGAGTATATTGGCACCCAGTAGAAGCAAGCTGTATTTGTATGGTAGCTCGAGGCGATAGGTGGAAGTCTGCTCGCCGGCGGGATATGACACACGAAGAGGCTTGTACGATAAACTGTACGAGTTCCATTCTTGTTCAATGTGGATTCGTGTGACAAGAGCGTTGTATGAAAAATAGCAGAGCGATAATAGGAGCTGGGGTGTGTTGACCATGATAAGTGAGCCCAGGTAGCCATAGTTAAAACCTCCCAACATAGCTACTCTTGTATTATCTCGTTCGATAAAGTTGTCGTATCTATAGAAGTGGTTAGCTGGGAGGCAGGAAGTAAGAAAGTGTTGAAATCCTAGGATATATCACTCACAAGCCATTGTCGGTTCCGTTTGTGCTGTACCCTACACCAAACAAGAGAATGACTACGCCGATAGAAAACATGAAATATGCACGACCCCACACGCCACTTGGAATGACAGACATGATTCTGCGAGGTCTCTTTATCCACTGACGCGACCTCAACATCGATGCCAGCTCCGAATCATCGTCTGGTGGCCAAGTTCTTCGTATCCCAAACTACTGGTAGTTTAGCTTAGGTCCTACTTTCATAAAAACAGGCTTATCTAGTAGGTATATCTATAGATGTCTGTCGTGGAGTTTTGGCACTGACCTCAAGTTGTTCGCTATCCAGAATGTCCAAAGTGCCAAGACCTTCGGTTCGTGGATCAGGATTCGAGATAAAAGATTCCATTGCATCTCCGAGAGTGACAAGTGACGCATTTGAAAGCTTCCAGACTACTATTATTCCTTGAATTGCTTTAATAAAGACGCAAGTGATAACGACAAGAAGTAACGCGTTCGAGACTCCAATTTTGCAGTGCTCCTGGATCGGCTGAGCTAGACAATAGCGGACCTGTAGGGGACTGATTGAATCCTCTAGCCATGGTGATGAAAATCCCAGGTGCCAGCTCTCTTGTAGCGGTGGGAACTTAGATAATGGGAGAGGGTTCGAAGGTAAGCCAACGGCGCTTGAGCAGTTGTATTCACACATATGATCATAGGCTACAAAATCTGGAACCTCTCGAATTATACTGCATTGGGTTGAGAACCACAAAGAATTGATGCCTTCAGCAGGAATTGGTGTATCCCAGTAGGATGAGAGGTTGCTAGATAAATCATGGTTGCAGATTTCCGATCTCGTCCATCCTGTTGAGTTAGTAGCACTCCCTTCAACTATGATGACTACATCACCATATTCTTTCCTTGGGTTGCAGCTTATGTACTCTGCCTGACAATCCTTACTGTCAAGCATTATCCACGAGTGGGCTTCGTTTGCAATGGAGGAGATATTCTGGCGAATAGGTGATAGAGCATTCCAGTAGTCGTTCGATTCGACGGATTGCCCAAGGGAAAACCAAGGATATGAATTGGTTGTAATTCTATTGGCGCTATGGTCCATGATAGTTCTGTTCTGGTCCCAGGGTGGGAACCCTGCTCCGGCAGGTGTCAGACTTGCCCCTGGGGGGAAGTAAAGTGCGCCTTGAGTGAAGGCTTCGGTTGCAATTGTCAGATTCCATCGAGAGGCCGAGTAGTTCGTCTCGAATATAGTACTGTTGAAAAATAAATGCAAAGGAACGGAGCTAATTAAGAAGATAAGCCAACTGATTCTCTTAAACCACGAGACGTGTCGTAGGTTTTTAATCGATGGAATTCCGATGTCAAGTGATCGAAGCCATCCATGGGCTTGATCGATCTCCTGACGGGATGGTGAATTAAGGACTTGCATAAAGAAGTTGGACGAGGCGAGAATAAGGCTAGAAATCAAATTGAGAAGGACATGAAGCATAAGGTTGGTATTTTGGGATTTGCTGCAGCTTCCGTCGAATATTATGTGGGCTTTGGAAAGAGAAGAGCCTGGCTGTGATAGACTGATTGCAAGACAAATAACGAGAGATAGACCACATGCGAAGGCCAGAGACACGTTGATTATTCCAGTACGTCGCCATCCTTGGCCAGAAGACACCTGAGATGGTTTCGTTATTTTCGTAAATTGTATAGATGTCATTGAACGTAAATAATACAGTTGCTAAGTGTGAAAAGATGCAGAAGAACTTTGTCGATTTCTGTTTAAATACTGTACTCGGTCTGCGCCATCTGCGTCATCTCCTTGTACACGGTGACCAAGCCTCATCTTGGCGTTAGAGCAATACATGGACCTGTTGTGAAACAAACCTAGGTAATGATTTCTATTATTATACTGCCTATCCCCCCAGATACTCTTGACAAGTTAAGTGTCGTACCTTCACACAAATCATCTCTAAGATTTCCGAGTATTTTTATTGTTACCGTTTAAGCTAGATAGCCCCTATCAAATCTCCAACCCTCTTCCCCTCTAGCTAAGCAAGCATACAAATGCACAGCGTCTTAACAGACATGATACCAACAACAAGCCCACCGAGCCTGCAAGAGTCAGCTCTTGATGATACGCCAACGAATTTGAACAGGCCCCAAGAGCAATGGAATAAGAGAACAAGATTCTTGCGACTTGTACGCCTAATATTATCTATGGTTTTTTTGTTTGTAAAATCCGTCCTTGATTATGGAGGGTATGCTTTTTCTTTTGGAGATGTCCAAATGATTTTTATGTGGTTCAGTGTGAGTAATATCTCCTTATCTTGCTATAACTAGAACCCCCTTAAATAGTAATAATGAATTTCTAGGTCTGGGTTGGCATCTTCTGGGACTTGATCAGTCAGCTTTTTGCATTTGGCCTGTCGCTCAGAACACCACTTGGGATTGTTACGATGCTGGAACTACTCCTCATCACAATACATTTTTGCTCGTTCGGCATCTGTATATTCAACGCCATCGCACCTTTGAGAAGAGATGTACAGTATTATTACAAGCCAAATATTGTGTACGTTTTACTTTGGATACCGATCTTGTACGTAAGGGCTCTTCTAGCCACAGATGCCTCCCATTTGAGATTCACTACATCTTGTGTTCTAACACTGAGAGATACCAGACCTACCAATGTGCTTTTGACTCGCCGCTATATCCTTGCTTATTTGCCGCGATGGCGTATTGCACGAAACTTACCCAAGACCAAACCACGCATTGTATTCACCAAGGCTGGGACCCCTGTGGCGGTACACCCGAAATACACTGATGTTGATGCGCTAGTTCCTGGGAGGCTCTCTGTTGATTCATTGATACACAATGTCGAGGATGAAAATGCGGGCATGAGATAACACTGGCTTGCAGTACTGGGTGGCTGTTTGGCACCCGGTAGGACGATATGGGTCAATGTTGTTTGGGTTAATAGGCTTGTTTCTTCCATAGCTTGACGTACTTTGATACTCACACATACCTAGGTTAGTATCTTACATAGGTAGTTTCGGATCTTTCCCCAAGAACCTCCTAATAGAAAAGAGCTTCTACAACTAGCACCTTTCAATCACAATAGAAAGAATATTGGTATTTAGCAGCCGCATTAATCGGGGGGGGGGGTCCTCCGGCCTCCGATTTTCAACCTCTCAATGCCATAAACCCCATAAAGGGGGTGGATGACTAAGCGGGAGTATATTAAAGTGGGACATCAGGAGTAAAAGGGGAAGATGAAGGAGAAAACCCATAAACCTCAATACTCGCATTAACGACACCGTCAGCCTCCTGCGATTCAATCTTACATGATCCAGGTGGGTGCCAAGTGCCAGTGGCAATCTATCGAAGCCAGTTCTCTAGCCCGTTGATGAGCCCCGTTCCACACAATCTAGATGCTCTCACATAAGCACGGGTAAACAGAGAAAGTAGGGGCCGAGAAGCATCAGCCTCCGACTATTCCTTCCCTGCACACAAGTTTCCGAGATTGCGTATGCCGTTAGGCATCGCGGCTGGGGAAGTGCTCTGCCCCAATGTGGCGGGAGTTCCTGGGCACTGGGCACACAAACAATCCTCGACATGGACGACGAAAATGCATCTAGCATACCGAGATCAGTTTCACAAGACTAAAATACGAGGCACGAAAATACGTCAAGTAGTAGGTTGGGGGCTATAACTACCTACATATGCGCATGCAGAGCCCCCCACCTATTCAGGCGAGACAAGTAGCACGTGAATTAGGCGGCGCCTTGAATAGGGGTTACACCCAACCAATAGTACTTAGATCAGCGGGATGAGAAACTCTATGGATCATATAAAGGCGTCAAGGCGTCCAATTGGGAAAGACTTGACTAATACCTACATAGGTGCCCTACGTTACCTAGGCAACCTCCCAGGCAAGGTTGACAGATCCTTAGAGGGTCTATCTCATGAAACACCAAATAAGATCGCCGGGCTTAGAAGCTGCGTTCTCATAGGGCAAGACTACAATACACATAGCCATACCAACCCTTACTACTGGGATATGATCACTATCTACCAAGACTCGTAGTACCTAATCTTGAACTCGGAGGGTTTCCAAAATCACCCTATGTAGCTGCAGTCAACCGCCGAAGTTTGCTGGATCAGATCAAGTGCGTGCCCAAGTTCCCGCAAGCCCAGCCCAAAAAGGCTAGCGACGTAAATATAACGTTATACGCCACATTATGCCACTCATCAATGGGACACACATCCAAAGCCCACGCCCCCTTCTCCCCCCGACGAGACAAGGCTGACAGGTAACATATAACGTCACAAGCCTCGGCATCTAACCTACATATCAGCCTACATCAGCATTGGATACCTAATGCCTAACAGCTAATACCTAATACCCACTTCCCATCCGTGAAGTATATCACACCTACCGCCGCGATCAGAAGTTTTGCACATCAGAAGCTGTTGCTACACAGCGCAGAAAGGCCACATACCGCACTGTGCTTCAGTAGGTAGCTAAGCGCCAGGATAAGGGTCTTGTAGCCCGGTAATCCATCCATTGCAGCTCAGGGGCTTTTACCGCTACCTAGGTATATTGTAGTGAGTACAGTCGCTGGAGCACGGTGCCGTTTACCCTTCTCCGCACTGTATAGACACAGCTTCTGATGTGCAAAGCTTTCTGGCCGCGCCAGTAATACTAGCATAGATACGTCAAAACAGACTCATGCCTACCTAGTTAAGCCTATCTACCTACCAACCTATATGAATAAATACTTGCCAAGGTTAGGTAGGTAGGTATGCACAACACAAACACACAGCGCGCAGGGCATACGCACATCACTTACGTACAAACCTACAAACTACAACCCCCCAATCGCACAAGAAAACCCCCCCCCCCCCAAAAAAAAAACCCCCAGAGCATTCCCGAAAAGGGGGAGGATGAGATGGTAGAATCAGCGAACACACAATACCTAGGTATACCTAAAATACCACGGAAAGCAGCACATGATAGCTATACCCGATACCAAACACCAAGCACCAAGCACTAACACCATAGTCAAAGGATACCCATAAAAGTATATAATATAATATAATATATACCTAGGTATATATACTAACATATATACACATGAAACGAAACCACCAAGCCCTACCCAAGAAGAAGCAGAATAAGAGGAGGAAGAAAAGGGGCAAAAGTATCCTGACGCACCCAGCCGCTCAATCGTATCGGGGTGTGTGTAAGTGTGTAAGACAAGCCAAAGAAACATAACCACCACCGCTTCCCGCATAGCATCGTATCGCATCGCCTTGTCGCAAAAAGTTGTGTACACGAATTATCCCCGAGACAATGTCTATGTCTATCCATCGCGGCACCTACTGCGTACAACCAACCAGCCACAGTGGCTCATTAATTTCCAAAACCTGTGCGAGTATGTATATCTGTCCCGCACTCACGTGGGCCAGAAGTGTCCGGTGCTGAGACCGGGGATAACCTGGTGCAGAATGGGTATGATTTCGACAGCGAGCCAGCCGATGCCTTGATTTACGGGTTAGTTGAATCAAGGTACTAGTCATAATGTCAAGGTAAAAGGGAAGGGAAGGGAAGGGAAGGAAAAGAAAACACACAACATACCAGCATAAACAACAAGCTTCGTAACCACCTCAACATCATACCGCACGCGCGGCTTTATTAGTTTTGAGAAGACCTCCTTCTCACCCAGCTCGTCATGCTGCCCAATATATACGTCCGGTTCTGGTTCTTCCGCGTCTCTGCCTTTCTTCTCATCACCCGTTTCTTGTGCTGGAGAGACTATGACGATACCCTCGCCCATCATCTTCTCAAAGTCGCTCGGCCGGGGGTGGTTCACAGCCGAGCTCCTTGCTGTGGTATGGTTGGTATTGCTAGGGCTGTTATGGTTGTTGCTATTAATAGGGTTATGCGTGCCGTTAGTGTCATCACCTGTGCCTTGAATATTCTCCACGGTCTCTTTAATCTGCATGCCCGAGGTACTATCAACGCTCTCACGGCGCCTGCGCTCGCGGTATGCTAGGGTCTCGTACGCATCTGCCGCGCTCTGCGGCCCCACACTCACGGACCTACCGCGGCCCGGGTAACGGACAGCCGTAATGAGGTTTGGCAAGTCGCTGACGTTAGGCATGACGTTGTCAACGCGCAAACGGAGGGGGATGTTTTTGTACTCGGAAGCCGGCATGAAGAACCGGCGCGGTAGATCAAGACCCTTATCTTCGATAAGGCGGAATAGATGCGGTAGGCCGCGCAGTAGCGAGGGTTTAGCTATCTCGCGCCAAGCGAAAATGACGAGAACCCCGAATAAGATCCGTAGGATTACTGCGGGCCAGCCTAGTGCTTGTAGGTCAAAAGGAATATCGGCCCATGACGAACGGCCGAAGCGCCACGTGCCGATCTCGAGACCCATCATGACGCCTGCGAATGCAACACTGTCATCGAAGCAGGGACAGTCGTCCGCGGGCTCCGGATGAATCCTAATAAGAATAATGATAACTAGTAACAGATTACAGAGGCTTGTCCAGCCATTTTCTAGGAGATACGAATTTAAAGTGGGCCCATAATGGAACTCAACGAGGGAGATAATGGCACCCATAATGGACCCCACGATAACGTCGACGAAGCCATGCATACCGCAGTAGAGGCGACCGAAGACAATGCTAATCGCATAAAAGTAGGCTAGTGCTTCGAGAGCAGATTGAGTGCTAGGTTGAAACGAATTCTCGGGTGACCTTAGGCATAAGAGGGCATATACCGCGACTGAGACAGCGTTCGCAGAATGCGTCGAGGGGAAGCCGTACTCGAGCGCTGCGGAGCCGGACATGGTGATTCGGTGGAGGGGTGGTGATAATGGTCGCGGTAAGGAGAAAAAGTCTTTTACAAACCCAGTGAAGAAGACACCGGTAGCAAGAATATGTACGATTCTAGCCGCAACATGTTAGCTATTCTCCCATTCCAATGCTATTTTTCTCGATCTGGTAAATCATACCCTTTTCCAAAAGAGGCATTCCCGCACCAGAACAAGATAGGTAACCCAATCATAAAGAACGTATGTGTGCCGAGGTTGGCCGTGATGGCGAAATAGCTATCGAGCGGGTGGGAGCGCAAAGTAGCCTGCAGCCATGCTAGGTACGGTGTTTCCCATCTGACGAGGGGAAGTGCTCGTTGTCGCAAGTCGTAGCGCCATTTTGGAAGGGCGCGCTTGTCTACAGCCGAAGCAGATGGTTAGCACCCAAGCTATTTTATTGAAAATAATCGCAGTAAATGTATGTGATCTCCGTCCCCAATTCGTAAAAAAAAAAAGCAAAAAGATCCAGGTATCACATACAATGATCCAAACTCCGCAATCCGGCGTCGATCACCGGGGGTTTCTCCTCAGGAACCCCCATCGTCTTCTCAAGCCCCGCGCCGCCATTGGCGTGGGTTTCGCTGGAATTCATCGGATACGGGGGTCTGTCCTTTTGTTTCGGGATGGTAACGTAAACAAGCGGTGCGTGGCTGGTGGTGATCCAATCCCAAGAGGGTCGATTGTTCGAGTGGTGGATCGTGGTAGGTTGTTCGAATAGCGGCGCATCGAAACTATACGGCTGTTTAGGTGTCCGCAATCGTAGCTGTGATTCACGACGGGAGCATGAATTGGGCGAATAATAAAAATAGAGAAGGGTAAGAGAGTAATTGAGGCATCCAATGAAGTGAGTAAGTAATGGCGAGAGTAAGAGAAGGAAGAGGAGAAGAGTAAGTAGGATTCAATCGATCGATCAACCTTGCTCTCAGCCACAAACAATCGCGCGTCGTGCTATGTAAAGTAGGTAGGGATATTATATAGTTCTTGTAGTTCTTTTTCCGCTTCTACTGATTATTGTCTTCGTTTGGAGGCCACCTAATGTTTATTTTGATTTTTTTGCTATTTTGAGTTTCTTGAATTATTAAAGCATATTTAATCTTTTGGCGTCTCGTTAGGATTAACTATGTATGTTCGTTCGGTGTCGTATCGTATCTCGTGTATTCGTTCATACTACTCGACAACTAGTATGTATGTATAACAAATATTACATGGTGAGTTGTATTTATTCAATGGAAGCATGTAGCAGCATTGAAATAAGTTATTAAAAAAGATTAAAAAGTAGATTGTTGGCTTCAACTCTAAATTTTGCCATTTACCTCACCAATCGAACCAACTTAAACTTAACTGAACCCCCACATTTGAATTGCCAATTGTATGTCATCGCCATGGCTTATCTTTTAATTGCTCAGGGCTGACAGGGCCATCCCAGGGACATCCCTACCTCAAAACTACCTGTACAGATACCTCGGTAGTGGTAACTTGTAAGATGCAGCGTCATCCTAAGTACCAATCAATAGGGTTGGCAGCTACCTAGTAAATCAGCAGCTATGAATAAACCTTTGCTGGCTCTGCCTTAATTATTGATATAACCTACCTAGGTAACTAGATATTTATGGATACAAAGCAGCAAAGTTACATAAACCACGGGGATTTTTAGCATGTGCCTCTCGTCTCGTAGAATAACTTAAACATCCATTTAACTCATCCTTCGAGTCTCTTTTAGCCTCCGAGCTACATGTCTACCAGCTAATCCATTCACGTGACCCTGGATCATTTAAAGTTTCCAATCAAGGACATCGAGGCACTAACCTTTGACGCCGACAGGCCGATAGCCAACTCACTACTCTATTAGTATGTAGTCGGGATGAGGCCATAACATTCAAGTATTGCAACTACCCTCCATGTACGAATAACAGGAACCAACTACACAACCCAAGATAAGACAACGGCAAGGGACCGGACAACCGCGCGCAATGCCCTCACTAGCGGGGAAACACTGCGTTATCTCCGGCGGCAGCCGGGGCATCGGCCTCGCCATCGCCCGGCTCTTCGCCTCCGAGGGCGCCGGATGCACGCTCATCGGACGGGACCCGCATCGCCTAGCCAGCGCCGTTGGATCTTTGCCTCCTTCCACCACCACCACCCAGCATCAACAACAACACGCCTCATCCGCCTTTGACGTCTCCTCAGCTACGGGATGGGAAAAGCTGCGAGCCGACATGAAAGACGTGCGTTTACTTGCCCCGTCATCTCTCCCCCCCTCCCCCCCATTCTCTCCCTCCTTCCCCTCTAGTCACACACATTTACAATTTACACTCCCTTCCACCCAATCTAGCAAAAATGCGACATCCTCATCAACGCCGCCGGCATCACGCAAAACAGCTTCCTGTTCAAAACCAGCGACTCGAGTATAAACGAGATCATCGCCACGAACCTGACAGGCACGGTCTGGGGGTGCAAGACCTTTATTCCCAAGATGATGAAGCAGAAGGAGGGTAAGTACCTTCAGCTAAACCAGTAGATTTCGTACCTACTTTGGAATCTAGAAAGTGAAGTTAATGTTTTGATACGTTATGGTGGAAAAAAAAGGCTGCATCATCAACATCTCCAGCCTCCTAGCCACGCACGGCGGAAAAGGCGCAAGCGTGTACGCCGCGTCGAAAGCCGGCGTCGTAGGTATGTATCTTATGTACCTGTCTGTACCTAGCTAGACATGCATGGAAACGAACTTCTTATTGTTTTTTTCTTCTTTCTTAAGCTCGTATGAAGCAATTATTTAGCTAAGCTTCTCTTCCCTGATTTCTAGGTCTAACGCGGTCATTGGCCTGGGAAGTGGGTAGATTTGGCATTCGCGCCAACGTCCTTCTACCCGGCTACATCCAAACAGACATGACGAAAGGTGACTGGGCCCATCTTCATTAAGCTTACCCTTTCCTGATCGCTTTTTGGTGTCTCTTTTTCCCGTCCAAAGTCCCTCGTTAAAACCTTTGCTGCCCCTGACCTGCTACATACCTTTTGCAGATTACACGATTACTAATATACAAAGTATGCGTAGAGATGGATAAAAATGGTGAGCTTTCTGCTTCGATCCCTTTGGGGCGCCAGGGGCTGGCCGAAGAAGTTGCAGATGCCGCCTTATTTTTAGCCAGAAATTCTTACGCACATAATTGCGTCCTAAACATCGACGGAGGCTTGAGTGCAACATAGGCCCACATATTCGGCTGATCTAGGATGATGAACACTCAGTCCAGGATCTCAATAGCCCCGGTACCTACATCGTCTTCGATGACGACAATATCATCGTTCTTCGACTTCTTCAACATCGGTGAATCATGATCGTCTACTCTGGCCCGTTTCTTCGGGTCCTTGATAGCGGTGTGCAAATCACTACTACGCTTGCCGTTGGCTTGGCCAACCCCATTGCTTTCCACAGGAGGGAGCACCTTCTTTGGCTTGCGAGGTATGGATGGCACTTGGTCGGCTTCGAGACCCTTGATAGGTTTATCGGCGAGCTCACTACGGAATGAAGTTAGCAATTGGCGCGGATAGTGAGAACAGTGTCACGACGTACGATTCTTGAATGTTGATGACGACATTGGTGAAGGTGTCTTCGTCATCCTCGTCAACAATCGTCACGAAACCATTGTGCTTGACACCTGTAAATTATTAGAATCAGTATCACAAACGATGAGGGATTGATTATGCCATACCAAGTTCGCTAAGGTTCTTTTCGAGGTTGTCTATTTCGTCCGGGTCGTAGAGCAGGCCGGCTTCAATATTGACTGCGAATTCTTTTTCGCCGTAACCTAGTTGTATCTTGACGAAGTCCTCGACGAGATCGTTGAGTGTCGCTTTTGATAGGTCGACATATGCAGTAGTGTTGTATGAGCCACATACTGGGCAATCCGGATTCGGTGGCCGAGGACGATCAGTCCCCAGTAATCTTTGCGGCGCGAAAGGCGTGAGGAAAACCTGAAAAGTTAGTATTGCGCGCGAGCCTACATATATCATTTATTCTATCACCTACCTCTCGTGCTTTGTCATAGTCTCCCTTGAGAACCTTGAAAGATTCAAGGACAGATAGACCAGCGACAATCGCATTAGTAGTTGCAATGGCTGGGATAATGTTGCCAGCCATTTGCTTGATATCAAATCGCGATTTACTTTCGATTCCGAATATATGTGATCGAAGATTCGCGCTCGCAGCGACAAAATCGAGAGTGTCCTCGTCATCTTTATCAAAGCTGATCGTAGGTTTCGGCATATCCACATTATGCGCCTCTATCAATTTCAACATACGCTTGCTAAGGCGATCCAAGCTGTCATTAAAAACGACTAGATTCTCCTCTGGACCCCATACGCGTTGCCCGTCCTTAATGATCGCGTCCTTGTTTGCGATGGCTTCAGAAGCCTGGGCCATGAGAGACTTGTAGTCCAGAGGCTTTGGCGGCTCTCTCGACTTCCACATGTCTTTCATAGTACGCAGACGGACGATATCCTTATGGAACACTTTGTCGAACAACATCTCAGGGAATTGCTCCGTACCAACCGACTCTCTTATCTTCCTCAAGGCCTCTGCCTCCTTCTTCAGCTCTACGATCTCCGTCGCGTTGTCTTCATTTTCGGTGACGTCGAGAGTGGCTTGGTCCTCGCTCGTGCCAAAGATTTCGTTGAGAAGGTAACTCTTACCCCAGACTATACAGTGAATAGGTTGGCTTGGCGTGCTTCGAATCGTACAGACGGGAAAACTTTTAGGTGCCTCCTTGGTAGTGCAATCGTAACAAGCTGTGACTCCTTTCTTGATGACTTGAACTTGGCCGTTGAAACCCGTAGTTCCACTCTCAATTAGCGGAACGTCGGCTGCGAGGCACATTCGATTCACATGTCGTCGCGCTTCAAGATTGTCCAGCGCATTGAAAACCAGGTTAAAACTCCTAAACCATCCAACGTGGAATTGCGCGTCCTTAATATTGTCATGGTATGCGACGATCTTGACATTCGGGTTGAATTTCTCGGCTGCTTCCTTGGCTACCTGTACCTCAAGTCAGTAGGTAATCCCATATGCACTGCAATCCACGGTTCGTTCGTACAAAGGCTTTCGATTTCTTGATATGTTCATGTCGGAAGAGAAACTGGCGGTTGAGGTTGCTCAGATCGATCGTGTCGAGGTCGACTATGTGGACTTCGCCGTATCCGGTGGAAACGAGGTTCTTCAGTAACTCACAGCCAATTCCGCCCGCGCCAACCATCAGGACTCGGGCCTGCGAGACATGGGTTAGCATAATCTTGGCCCCAAAAAAAGATTCCATATTGTAGCTTGGGGGAGATTCAGAAGTGAGGCTAAGCATGTTGTTGGTGTGTGCGTATCAAAGTATGGCGTAGAAGGCTGGATGTAGTGAATTATCGTGCAAAATGGTGAGGAAAACGGTGGTGAATCGCAAACAAATGTTTCAGCCAGGAAGCGGTGTTTTCGAGAGCTCGGGCGCAGGTGCAGGACGATGCGAAAAGATGCGAGGCGCAAATGGGAACATGCCGCGCATAGCTGCAATGCAAATCGGCGACTTACCTCCTTGACATTCGCGTTAAGTGTCGGACCTAGGGAACGGCGATAGAAAGTATCTCGAGCCACAGCCATTTTGAACAGCTCGTTTTCAGCTACCCAAGTCTCGGTATGGGGAAGTGGCCTGGTCGATGCATATGATGTAATAAATAAGTAGTTGGACGGTGTAAGAAAAGTTAGAATGTGAAGTCGGATATTAAGGCTACGTAGAGTAATGGGTTGAGTGAGTAGTTGGTCTAAGAGGGAAGAAGTAAGAAAGGGAAAAGAAGAGGAAGTTTTTGGAAAGAGGAAAAATAAAAAAGTGAATCTGGTAATTGACAGAGAGAGTAACCAGAAGGCGCCAACTAGTCTTGGGGATCTAATGTCGGGGATCTTGGGCAATGTTCTAATCGCAAGTGGCTCAATTGCAGCTGGAAGGAACCTGCAGAGTGTTGATGCTATGTAACTTCTATGTATGATTCCTTCAAAGTTCACACCATGTAGCCCTGGAAACCTTTAGAGTTAGCACGCCAGATAAGCTGGAAACAGCCCTGAAGGTTTTTAAAGAGGTTGCAAGGATTGCACTGCTGGAGGTTCCAGGTTTAACTGGATACTCACTGGAAAGTGCACTAGTAGTACTATGCTAGCTAGGCTGACGGGAACTTACGCCATTGGTCTATTATACAGATCTCTCCACTAATTCCCAGAATCAGCAACGACAGTTGCACATCATTGGGTGGCCTGTGCTTTTATCACAAAAGGCCCAGTATCTTTGTAACTTTGTATCTTTCAAGAACATCAAAATGAAACCTTTTGGCAGAAGGAACAATAGAGAGGTTGAGTTGATAAAGTTTATTGCATACATCTATCAGGCTAAAAGAGAATTTCAGGGGCTCAAATCTCTTATTTGCATCACTTCCTTAATCCAGTATAATCCAGTAAAATCCAGTAAGCAAATCTATCACCTATTAGTTATACCTAGTCCACATGCCAAATTGAACTTAAAAAAACCCTCTAAGTTGGGCACGCAAATCCTGCTCCGTGTTCAAGTACATAACCCCACCATCTGATAAAGTATTTAAACAACTTGTTGAGTTGTCACAACTCAGAAACAAGGCAAGCCAGACTCTCCGAGTTAAACTCACATAGTCATTACATATATAAGTCATCATGTCAGATGACGAGGCAGATCCAGAGCTTCTTGCTCTTTTGAGGCAGCATTTCCAAGGGAAGCTCAACCTGGATGATGAGCCCGAGACAGGTGTCTTGGAAGGCGCCGAATACGTCTACGACAACTCAATTGACGTGGCCTTGAACATGAGGGCCACCAAGAATGCGGCAGCTATGATTTATGGCCAGATGCAGCAGAAGCAGTACTCGACCGCAACATGGTCAGAGCATGAGCTACACCCCAAGACCAAAGATGAGTCCACCGTGGCTTTCATCTTTACCATGGACCTGCTCAACTTCTCCTTCTGGTCCACGCTCCCCGACGATGAGCGCTTTGCTGTCTCCTACCGAGACAAGACTTGGACCGGATACTCAAGCCTTGTTGCATCGCTGCAAAGGGCCTTAGATGAAGGTAGGTAACATCGAGTTATGTACCCAATAAAATCATCATGATTCGATCCTCACCGTCTTCAAGCTGAACATAGTTAATCTCTTTTCCTCTCAAGATATCCCCATAACCGACCCTCACTACTGGCAGAACGAAGAGGAATGCAACCTGGAGTCCCTGAGACACGTTTTCAGATCGTGCACCGACGAGGAGATTCCTCTGCTCGAGGCACGGCTTTCTTGCCTGAGAGAGGCGGGAAAGGTTCTATACGAAGTAGGTTGAAATCCACACCACGCCTTTTCAGCATATTGGAGATAACGCATTCGCCAACGCACACTTTTTCTTTTTCGGCACCTTGCAGAACTACAGCTGCAGCTTCACGAAGTGCATAGAAGCCGCCAACAAGTCCGCCGCCGGCTTGGTTAACCTGCTCGCGCGCGACTTCGACTGCTTCAGAGACGAGTTCCGCTTTGAAGGACGCCGCAAGCCCATCCGCTTCCTCAAGCGCGCGCAGATCCTCGTCGCAGACGTCTGGGCCTGCTTCAACGGCGAGAGCTATGGCGAGTTTCGAGACATCGATAAGATCACCATGTTTGCCGATTACCGCGTCCCCCAGATCCTGGCCACGCTGGGCTGCATAGGATATAGTCCGCCGTTACACGCGCAGGTTGCGAGACGGGATATCATACAAAGCGGAAGTCACTACGAATTACAACTTAGGGGTAAGTTCCCCCCCCTCCTTTGACTTTGATTTGCTTTATAAAGTTGCTAAATTGCAGTGCAGCCTGCAGTATCTGGTGTGTGGAACTCATCAAGCGTGAGATTAAACGGGACCATCCGGATGCGGATATCAATGCCATTTTAATAGACTTCTTCCTATATGACACTATGAAATCACTAGAGGCTCAGGAGAAGGAGACCATGCCGCACCATCGGACAAGAAGTATCTGGTACTAATCCACTCGAATGGAACCGGGCACATACTACATATGGAGGATATGATAATAGCAGTGTACTCGTAGTGTCCATAGTTGTTGTGCTACTTGCGTAGCAGGATAGATAGTACAGTACTGTGAGATAGCAATCGTAAGCCAAATACCAGCTTCCAGCAAGGCCTAGTAGTTTTGATCAAGCAAAGAATGAAGCGCTCCCAACGCCGACGGAAAAGTATCTTGAACATAGAAAGTAAAAGCAACCCCCATTCCCTCAATTCCCTCATTCGTCATCGTACACATGTATCCCTATCACATCATACAGACAATTAACTCTCATCTTAAATCTCAAACAGCACCCGCCGCAGTCGAGTTAAGAATCTCATCTATATGCGCCCTCTGAAAATTCTGCGTCTTCTTCTCCTCTTCCTTACGCAGCACCGCAAGGACCTCCAGAGGCGGATTCAGGCCCAATCTATCGGCTCGCTTCCAGCGCTTCATGCGATCGATGCCGACGCAGGGCTATAGTACACGTATATAGTTAGCGAACGGGGCAGAGAGGAGGGGGGAGGGGCAAAAGATGGAGAGTAAACGCACCCCGTACTGCGAGCTCACGTCCCAATACCGCAGCACCTTCTCCGCCAGCGTGAGGTCCTCCTGGTGGATCCTCGCCGCCGTGCGCCTGCGCTCCAGCAGCCGCCAGTACATGCCAATCTGCCGGTCTGTGATCGTGTCCGCGCGCTGCGCAGCCTCGGACTTCTCTACCGCTTCCTTCTCCGCCTCCGGCTCTTCTAGCTGGGCCTCTTCATTCAACTCCTCGGCGTCTTTGATCAGTGATTCTTCATCCTCGTCCGCTGCATCTTCTGGTTGCGCAGAGGTGGTGACGTTTTTGGCCAGAGGACTCTGCTTCGTGGGCTGCGAGGTGATGATGGAGGGGGAGGAGGAGGAGGAGACGAGGTCTTTCCCGGACTTGGCTTTGGTGGCATTGGGACCCGTGGGCTTCGTCACCCGGTGGTTGAAGGAGATGGTTGCCTGGCGCCCGGAGGAGGAGGCGCGGGCGTTGGCGCTGGTGCGGCGGGTGGTGGGGGGCATTGTGGGGTTTCGTTGATATATATGTATATATATGTATATCGTAAGGGTATAGAGTATCAATGATGAGAATTGATGGTGCTGTATTGATGCTATGTAGAATGAGTGATTGAAATTGTGTTTGTTAGGAATTTGAAATGAAACGATTGCAACTGGATGGTTCGATTCTAGGCAATGACGTGGGGGATTTTTGTAGAAGTCCTGTAGGTACTACTAGTAGTAAGTGGTGGCTTCTAAACCTAGGTTAGCATATTGGCGGGGCAACACGAAAGGTGAGCGCCATCACGTGATATAAAGGTTCAACGACAATTGCGAACAGCACGCTTTAATGTTTCATGCTCCTTTTTCCTCCTTCCTTTCTTAACATGAATACCTATTTGTTAGACAATGTCTTTCGCAATTCAATATCAGAAATATTGATGATCAGTCAGGCAACATGCTCAAATAACTACCGTTTACTTTGTTTTTAAAATGTAGGCATCCTACACATCGGTACTGGAGCTGGACTACACTTCGTCCTCCATAAAGGTCACCAACTGTCGTAGGAAATACGACATATCACTAACTATGAGGAAGAGCTGAAGGTCGATGGAAATTCTAGATTCCTTGTTACGTCGACTCGTTCATCCTATTATTTGTCTATTCATACCCGTATGAAAGCAAAGGTAGGCAGCAACGATAACGTGTTAGGAGACGATGCCATCTCTGACGACTTCGGCCTGGGAAGGATCACCCGAGCATAGAGATAGGGACTGCGGTGCGGTGTAGCCAAGGATTTATTCAGTAGGTAGGTACCGAACAGCTTGCCCTAAACTGATTTCAGGATTGGTGTTGGGGCAAACTTCGCATCAGTCGCAACATTTGCTGTCTGCTTACACAGGCACATGGTATCCATCCCCTTGCGGGAAGTATTATAGCTATGTATTACTTGAAGCCGCACCTGTTGCGGTTGGCCTTCGATATGTTTGATCGTCGGGTTTCCTTGCAGCGATTTCGTATAGCTATCGAGTTTGTATCTTTGGAGGGGGGTAGTCAACGAGCTAGCATTTCAAAGTAGGGGGCCAACATGTCCATACCTGGATCATAGAGACACATCAGTCTTTTAGTCGTGGGAGTGGGGAGGCTGCCTTATAGTCTGGTATAACTCAAAGTGCTGGTCGGGGAGGATTATGATCATGCGGAGATGCGTTTTCTGAAGCATCGCGTGCTGTCGATATACGAATACTACATATTTATATTTGTTAGATGCCTTGGGTAGCACGATGGGAAGCTGGATGTCCAACTTTCGCACAACATATTTACAGCTAGGTTGGTACTGTGGAAGAGTGTGGTGGTTTTACTTGGCTTTATTTTCTTTTTGATGTATACCTAGAGGAGTACCTAATTTAGGTGGAAAGTATTGGGCTTGGTACGTTGAGCAACGTATTGCTTAGCACCATTTAAGAGCCCTTCCTCCCCTCATTATTTCCGTCTTGGCCTCTATCTAGGTAGTAGGACAGGAGGTGGAAGACACTATCGTATGAAATCATATCATCATCAACCATAGCCTCCCATGCTTTCCTCTCCAAAGCCTTTCTTCAACAAGTCTCTATCTGGACGCCTTCTCAAATCGCCTTCTACCAATAACTCGGTGCAGCAAACTTCCTAACACCCCCATCGCTGCTAGTTTCTGGCTTTGGCTCCGCATCCGCATCCGCATTCACCTTCGCACGCGCTTCCGCCGCCTTCTTCTCGGCAGCCTGGACCAGCGCGGTTTCTGTGAGACGATTTGAGTCAGCGTCTCCGTTTCTCTGTCGCACGTCGTCAACATCTTCTTCAACAATGAAAAAGAAAGAAAAAGAAAAAAAGGAATCCAGCATTTCTTCCTTTTTTTCTTCTAAGACTCGTAAACTTACCTTCGTCGAGATCCTTTTGACACGCCTCGGCTGTCTTCCCGACCATCCTCGCGAGCACATCAATTGGTCGGAGGTTCATCTTCGCGGCTATGTCATGAGTAATATGGTCTAGTTCGAGTTAGCCGGTCTCGTACGCGTCAAAAGCTCATGTTAGGTCTCCCCAATAAACTAGGCAAATAAATAAAATACGTACGATCGACGATAAATTCGTAAAGCCCCTTCGCGGAGGTATCTTCCTGGTAGAGCTGATAGAGCTGATCGAAATCGGCGGGTGAAATCTGGTATCTGCCGGACATGGTGGAGAAATGATCTCTGGCGCCTTCTATGAATTCTCTAACTCGTCTTCTGATGTTGGTGGTGGATCTGGTGACGACCTCGGTTGAGGGTTCCCGAGAAACGGGGTGGTCGGCCATCTTTATCAAGGCGACGGGGAGAGTCCGTGTACAATTTCCCGTATCACAACAATGACAGTGAGGTCCGCACAAAGCCTGAGTTGCGGGAGGATGATTCACGTTGTGTTGGTGCTGTATGGGCTGCTGCTCGCTGACCTTACTCATGTTGAGGATGAGAAAAGTCGAGCAGTATCTCAAGCCTCGGGTCGTGACCCCTTGTTGCCCTGCCACCACACCACTTTGACTTGTCACCGAGTGAACAATGCCCATGAGTATTGCTTTTCATGTTGCACCACTAAAGTCGGTCTTTTCGTGATTGGTGCCTTAGAAAAATAGAAAATAAAGTGAAGGGGGTATTTTTCTCGTAAAGTCGAATAATTTACTTACGAGGCAGACAATGAATAGGGTATTGTTAGGAAATCTTTTGAGGCAGCCTTTGGGGCCCATTTATGTATGAGCCGCAGCTGACGATGTTAGTAAGATGGTATAGATACATTGACGTTTTACAGCAACCAATGACCGTTAAACATATTGCATAGAAGTGATGGCTACATGGCATACAAGCCATACAAGTCATAAAATCCTTTTCGACTAGAAGTTCTCAGATCTAAAAATGGCATTTTTGTATGTGTTAGTTATATGCGTCCTTTGAAAAATAAGCTGTGCCCAACTTTTACGAGGGGTTGGTTTTATTGTGGTGATTGTGGCCGCCTTTGTTTTTTTTGTATGGCAAAGGTGGTACGAAATAGATAATCAACCGAATGGGCGTTATTTGGCCTGTGCCCGACTCTTAATTGGCTGTAATTTGTGTCTAACGGAGAAATTCTCGAACGGTCTTTTCCCAAATAAAAAAAAGTAACTCAATCTGGTCCGTGCCATAGACTGTGGTTGGTTAGAATATGTGCATAGTGGGACAGATCGTAGTTGTATCAACCCTTAGTTATATGAGAAAACCACTCATACTGTACCAAAGTCCGCGACTGACTACTTCAACAAGTTAAAATTGATCTCTGTGATTTCTCGTCGAATTTCTCCGGCAGACTGCACCGGTGTTCCACCGCCGGGAAGTTCGGTACGGGAAAGTATTGCGCGTCAACGTGGACATAGCCTATCAAGAAATGATCAGGATTGCATGTCAGACTTTGGCGCAGAATGTTGACGTAGTAGCCTTCACGGATATGAGTTTTGGGTCTTAAGCTCAAGAAAATAGGGGCTTATGGTACCGGCAAATTGTGTACTCACCTGGCATATTTTATCAGCATGAAGCATGAGCTCCTCGAGCTGATAGTGGTAGTCTGATACAGGTTGCGCAGCCTTCCCGAGCAAATCGGGGCAATGAAGCTGATGGAATACCTCCGCCAAGACAAGGTGCTGAAGAACAAGGTTTCCGTCTTCATCCCTCCTACTTGTGAGCGCCGAACGGGGGAGGTTGGCTCTCTCGCCCAGGCATTCGGGCATTGAAACTGCTGTCCGTAGAAGCTCATGAGCTTAGCCGGGCTGAACAGGCAACAGAAGGTGATGGATATCAGGGAGGTCGGCATACAACCGATCCACTGTCGGGAACGGTGATCCTCCATAAGGAGTTCGATGATGTAGTCGAGCGTCGAATCGAACCATACCGGGGCGAGAATCTGGTGGACATTCTTCGGCCGATGGGGCTGCGTGGCCTGATCAGTCGAATCCGAAGGACGTGGAAGATAACCGTGAGACGAACATGATCTAGTTTGATCATTGGGCTCGATGTGAAGATAGATAGGCCGGGTCGGCCTTACCTTCTTACTCAGGAGGGAGAAAGGCATTGCTATACTTACGTATAAAATACGGTTTGTGGCTCCAGGCACGTTGATGAGAACCTTCGAGTCAGTGCCATAGGATCGACTGATCTATGTCTGTATCCTTAACACCGTACAGTTTTTGGTATCTTTTGGCCCGGGAACGATTTACCACCAGTGATCGCCTACGATACCTTGTATGTTCACTGCTACGCCATCCGCTCGCCTTTCTCCCAGTCTTGTTTAATGACTCGAACTAGGTCTAGCTGTGCGGTGAGACATCGCCATCATCATCATTGTCATCATTGTCATCATGCTCTTCGGAGCGGCTATTCGCATTTTGTCTAATGCGGGGACGAACCTAGTCATTTTCGACATATATGTGTCGGGCGGGATAGGGCAGAGCCACTTGAGTTGCATATTAACATTTTACAAAATAGAATGATCGTGTGCCACTGTAGAGTTAGGGTAACTTCTTACCGGTGTACTGAATAAGCATGGTACGAAATCTAGTATTGCCCGAGGTTCCGAGGATCATATCTAATCTGTTCTAACAAAGATGCATTGCATATTCACTTCAATCTTCGCCGGATAGGTCGCCAGTCAAGGACTTAACTGCGTATATCCGAATATGACCTACTTAGCACAAATCGGCGTGTGAAAAGGGACCAGGGGTAAGAGACTAATGAGATGAAGAAGACTAAAGGAGAGAGCAGTGACAGCCGCCTGTTCTCCTATTACACGACGAACGCTCTCCCCCTCCTGGGTCTGATCTCCGCTTCTAGGCTTTCGCCCCTTAGCCCCCCTTTTCGGCAAAGGTTGTCAAAATAAGAAAGTAACTCAGGGTAACTCAACAAGCAACATCGGTGCGACTTCCCCACAGCCGCTAGGCTAGCCCATGCCGTGATCCATCATGACGCCAATGTATCTGTGTGTAGTAATATGATATTGAAAACTATATCCCCAACCTACATAGTAGTAAGTGCATGTGTCGGGTAGGTACCTGCATGTAGGTAGGTATTACCAAAGTCCCGGGGACGCTCCCCGCTCTATTCCCCCCTGGATGTAGGCACGCAATTCATTTGGCCAGCTTCTCTTAGATTGTATGCACATCTATCACGTTCATCAGGTATGAGGGCCAAGCTCCATGCTAATGATTTAGGAGTGGTCCAGTACCTCGGTATGCAAGGGTCTGCTAGCCGTGGGAGTTATTATGAGCTGGTCAAATAAACAGCAAAGGACTAATACTCCTAATACTTCGATATGAGTAACTCCAAGTTCAAGGTTCAAAGAGAATGTGCCATCTCTTGAACTAGCATACTGGGTTAATCTAGGAATTATCTATGATCACTTCACCTGACCTTCTGTACGTACGTAGGTATATTCTACCCCCCTCACTTATGCACCTAGTATGCCAGTTAAAGAGCTACGACATTCACAAGCAAGCTACTCGGTACTTAGCTGAATTAGCCAAGATGAAGCGCGATCATATTGATACCTAAGCCCCTATCGAGACGGAATGATGAAACAATCGTCAAGTTGAGATTTTCGTTCGTAAGAAAAGGAAACCCTTAGACTATCTCCTTAACAACATCCTCATAACATTTCCGGCCTCTTGCAGCCTCCTAGCTGAGTAGTATTGATGCAACGATCTACCAGCACCATCCGCCAGCACCGAAAATGATGGTGACGCAGTGGTAAGGATCGCAGCATTGGCCATATGTGCACGAGTGGCCGTAATCCTGACATTTAGCTACGACGAAGACGAACAGTTAGCCTAGCCCCCACCCCCCCCCCCCCCCCCCCCTATTTTCATTACTCTCTAGGTACTCACGCTTGATATCATCGTCTCCCTTCTGCAACACCACGCTGTCAGGAGCATGATCAAAAATCTCCTGAGTGTCACCGTGGATGATCGTCTCGAGCACGATGTCGCGCTTCTCCGTCTCCGGGACGGCGGCGCCTGCGGTGAGGTGGCCGGTGATGAGGGAGAGGGTTGATAGGACGGCGAATCGCATTTTGGGTCCGAGGAAGAATTCTAGAAAGGCTGATGGGAGAGAGAAGACGAGTTGCTTAGCTCTTAAGAATAGTAGGTATTCCTGAAAAGGGGGAAGTGCTTGCGTAGTAGAAGTCTTGCGATCTGTGAGCGGGGGGACCGGCCTTGTTTAAAGTCGAGTGTGGTCTTATAGAGTTCTGGGTTTCGTAGAATAGTGTTTGAGGTCTCTCTACCACATATCATCAGTGCTAGTAGGCACAAGTGAGGGGCTTTTGTCTTTGCTTGTAAGCTTCGAGACGTATCGCCATGCCGAGTTCCGCTTCCAACTACGTATGCTGGCTGATCATCACACCCGGTTTCTATCTCTAGAAACCGGCGTAGAACCTCCTGCCGTGACTTTGAAGCCGTGATCCGAGGATTTACAGTCAAGAACGAATCATGATCGGCTAGCAGCGTTTCGTACGAAAACAGCTCCCTGCCATTCATATATGCGCCTGGCCGCCGTGAAACAGACGAGGAGGTTCTACATATCGTGTCTAACCGGCGAAATCTAATCTGCACAACGTTCTCACCGCAGAGTATATGTCCAAACGTCTCCAATATGCATGCATAGGACCCTTTTCACAAACCCAGGAGGTGGGGATCTTTTACTCGGACTGCAGAAATCGTTGACGTCGCTGGCTCTTACAAGATCGGCGTCCTTTGATGTTGGCTACGTAAGCCCAGTAGCAATTCGACGTTTCACCGCAGAGGATTCGATCGTATGGACTCACTCCTCCTCGAAGATCCGAATGGCGACTTATGTCCAGTTCCGTACCCCTCACTCCATATGGAAGGAGAAATTTACCTGGCCGACTTTGGGCAGACAAAAAGACCCCTATTAGCCAACATCATAAGCCATAACCCTAGATATATCTTCCATCTATCGCTCTACCTGTCCTCCTCCTTTGCTGCTCGCTAGCTCGCCACCAGACCTTATCCTATAGACCAATATCCCCCCAAGTATTTTCCATCACTACTTCACAACCTACATCGTTGAAAACATGAAGCTCAACTTCTTCACCTTACTCCTGCCCTTCCAGGCCTCCATAGAGCCCACCCCTCACCTCGACCACAGCCACGCTCACGCCCTAGCCCCCCCTTCAGACCTCCAAGCCGACATCGCGGGCCTCATCGCCATGTCTCGCGCCCTGTGGCTCGAAGCCTCACACGTAACCAAGGAGACGTCCGAAGTAGCCGGGCAGGTAAAAAGTCCCGTCCCACTCCCCCCCCCCCCCCCCCCCTACCTACTCTAACCACAAGCGCCCAACCCCAGGACATCATCAACGACATCGTGATCGAATTCAACACCCTAATCGTGCACAACCACACCGCCTCCTCCAGCGCGCCCGTCGGCGACAGCCGCTCCTCCCGCTCCCTCCTCGTCGGCATCGGGCACTGGGGCCACCAGACGCAGGCGTTCCTCGGCGCGCTGGCCAGGTCAGCTCAATCCTTCAAAGACGTGGGCCTCGACGGGGCCATCGCGGGGAACTTGACGACGCTGAAGACGTGCTCTGCTGTGAGTTTTTTCCTTCTTTTTTTTTCTCGGGGTTGGGTGTTGGGGGGGGGGGGGGGGGGGGTGTAATGGGTGCTGACTGAACGCTACCTAGGATTTCAGCCATAGCTTTGGGGCGCTTCTGCCGGGGCTCAAGGACTCGTTTGGGAAGGTGGTCGATGAACTACAGACGGCGTTTGACGATGCTATTGATGCGTTGAAAGAATGATTGAGCATCCTAGGGCAGAACCCATAACTGTGTGACTCACAGGGTGAGGGGTTAGGGGTAGCCTTCGTTGATGGGGCAGTTGAGATCGAGGCGGCAGAAACGTTTTGACGGCTTATACGACGTTGGATGATGATGAGGAGCAGAAGGCGACTATCATTGAGACCAAAATTTGCAGCCAGTAGCAAAAAAAAAATGTTGAAGGTTGCAATGAATTTGTTTGTAAAGCTTTATTATTATTATTTTTTCACTCTGCCCCAATCTATATTTCCGTGGAAGAGACTTTTTGATGTCATGAGGTGTTCGTGTCACCGAAAAGCACCTTGGTTGCCCTGCCTTCCGCCGCGAAGTGTTATCCGGAGCGGTACAAGTAGACGATCCGGACCCTTCGACGGCTGCTTTAAAGACGGTCATTCGGCCCCGCTGCAAAACGGAAGGCGGGCGCTTATTTATTACCCGGGAGGTAACCCAGATACGATGAATTACAAACAGCCCCAGAGGTTAGTTTTAAGTTGATGTAGGTATCTGAGCTTCTTGCTGACTCAAGTATGACTTGTCACTTATCTATATCCCACAATTATAAAATGCTTACTGCGTGGATCTTATCTTGTAAGTGTTTTAAGTGGATTAAGTCCCTAGGGCTACGTATAAACGAAATCATCAAGCTGGAATATAATAGGGAGGTATCAAAGTAGGGACAATTATTATTCTATCGTAGTCTATCACAGTTAAGAAATCTGGCAGCCCAAGTCTGCAAAGCTGCCGACGACACTCTACTTCATTCCACAACAGAAAACTTCACCACAGAATCAATGCCCGGAAAGTCATCTCACAAAAATTCGGCGGTATCATAAAAAGAGATGCCAAAGTTTGACTTCTATGTACTGCACAAAAGCGCACATCTAACGTAAGATACAAAGAAGCCCTGAATCCTAGTGCCGCGCGACGGAAAACATCGATTACAAGGGGGGGGAATAAAGCACATTATAAACACCATCATACTCCACCACTATTTCTGCGCGGAACACAAAACGTCATTATTCAGTGACTTTTCAACCAATCACCTAGATCAGGGTGAAGCCTGCTGTCATTGACAAGGCCACAATAGCCGGGATGATCATGACAGCGGCAGAGAGGGCGCCTTGGGGTCCTGAGGTAGGCGCGGCATTTTCAGTCGAGTCGGAGCTACCGGATGAACTGGTTGAAGAAGAAGAGCTAGTGGTTCCGGGGGTGTTGATCTCGCCCTCGGAAAGGGGCTTAACGGCAAGGTTGCTGAGAGTAGTGCCGTCGGCATTCTTGACCACGTGGTTGACAGTGTAGTCAGTAATCTCGACGATTTGGCCCACAGGCTTAGGCGAGATACCATCGTCGATGAGCTCCTGAGCTCCGGGGGGAGGGACGGGGAGGGTGAAGTTGTTGTTGAATCCGTCTTCCTTGATCAAGCTAGCCTTGCACTCCGGGGCCGTCACTTTAGCTCCGGTGGCTTTAACGTTCTGGACCTTGCTGAAGTCGACCTTCTTGTACTGGCTCTGGAGAGTGGCGAAGTCAGATAGGAGGTTGACGGTTCCGTCGTCGTTGCATTCAGCGAGACCGTAGTTGTTGGCTTCCTGAGCATATTCGTAGACAACACCACCGGAGAAGACACCAGTCATCTTATCGCTGTAGATGGTCTCAATTTCGGTGAAGACACGGGGCGAGGGAGTGTTGCATCCGAACTCGGAGTAAAAGACGGGGACGGAGCTGGTCTTGAACAGGTCGACAAGCGTATTGTAACCAGATTCTTCGAAGCTGCTGTCACCGCACCACGAGTAGCTGTTCAGAGCGAAGATATCAGCTCGGGACATGTCGTTCTCGTCGCCGTCGATGGCGCACTGGAAGTAGTTCCAGGTATCCTCGAGAACGGAACGAACATCGGCAGCCGAATATCCAACAGGAATAGCCCGGTCGGCATGGTTCTTGACGTAGTTCTTAAGGTCACGGGTCACGGCACGAACGTAAGGAGGTACGAACTTGGCCGAGTCCACGCTCTGGATGACTTCGTTGCCGGAGAAGAAGGCTAGGGTGTTAGGGTAAGATTTAAATGCCTCCACGATAGCAAAGGTGCGGTTGAGATATGCGGTGTAGTAAGACTCCCACGGCTTGTCACTACCAAGAGACTCCCCAACCAGGGGTGAGTTCACATCGATAATCATGTACATGCCCGCCTATTTAACGGTTAACATGGTGTCACATACATGTGATGGTTCAAACAACTTACAGCGTTGAAGATGCTGGCGCATTCGTCGTGGTTCAAGTTGGGGTCCAAGTTGTAGACACGGATAGAGTTTGCGCCCAACTCCTGCATCAGAGCAGCATCTCGCTTGCAGATGTCAGCGTTGGAAAGGGGATCCTTGCCGTGACTTGGGTCGTAGCCGGCACTTCCACCAATCTGATAAGCCATTCCCACGATTTGGAACGCATTACCAGTCTTGGAATCGACGAACTGGTTACCCTGAACTTCGAGAGGGTTGACAGCGGCCGCTAGGGTCGCGCCGCCCAAGGCGACGAGCGCAGAGTTGAAGAACATTGCGATTCGATGTTTGTTGTTCTTTTTGATAGGGATTTAGACGTTTGGGTTCTTTAATAAATGTCCTGTTCGCGGGAGTCGATTGTACCACTTTTCGCAAGTATCACCAAGTAGGTTAGCTTTTTCAAATATATTATCCTGAGGGAGAGACGAGAATAGGCCAAGAGGCCAAGAAACGATTGTTGTTTAAAAAGTATATGAAGAGAGTGTAGTTGAAAGAAAAAAACACCTTGGTGCTGGAGAAAGGTGAGTTGAGGGTGAGTATAAAACTAAAAAGTGATATGGAAAGAGTGACGAGGAGGAAAAGGTTCCAAGGTTGGATGCGAAAGAGGAAAAACAGGCGCATACATACGTGATTGGAGGTGGAAGGGCGGGTAGGTACTAAGGCACAACACAAAAAAAAAGAACGTTACAATTTGTACCTGAGTGTTACTTAAAATTGTACTTGGTGTATTTGGCACGATGCCAATCAGGGATCGCGTTCAAGGATGGTCGAGGGGGTTTGACCGTTTTTACTGGCCAGGATACAACTGGTTAGGGATGTCTCGTAAGTACCTTACTAGGTGTAATTTGTACTGTACAAGTACTATATAGTCCAGTGGACGACAATGGACAGTGAACAGTGAAGCTCCCTCCACAAAGGAGTGAAAGGACCCGCAAAATGCAGGTTCATCGCAACTCCTGTTGGAATTGGTTTCCATTTGTTCCATTTTGTCCCATCTCTACCAATCCATCGCAGCACCCTAATAACTTCCCTAACTTCCCTAACTTCCATCATCTTGCTTGGGTACCCAGCAACATGCCTAGCAGCCCTAGTCGAAATTCGACTTAATTCGGTGTCATGCTCTCGCACTATCATTTGAGGTTATGCAACTTCACCACCGATCCCTACTGGATACAACAGTAGTTTCACAGTCCTCCATGTGCTTGCTCCTGGCGGATCATATAATTTTTCTTCTTACTGTTCATACAGTTGCACACCTATTTGACAAAATTTAAACAAAATACCTACCTATCCTGTCTATCTGTAAGTTACTGTAACACCATGTACTGTACCCGTGCAGCCAGTGGAAACTGGAGAATGGCGATAGGCTTTATGATGACGATCTAAGTCGTGTTGTTTGCTCAAAACCTTCTCTCGTCACTCGTCAGACGTGATAGACAGCAACTCCCAAGCAACTAGATGGACTAGTCGCTCTCTGACAAACGCTGAGCCTCTGAGGCCTAATACGAGGTCAGCAACACTTTTCTTGTCTCCTCTTGGCGGGGCCTTGGTAGCAATGGTAAGTTCATCCTACATAATAGTTACCGCCGTATATAGATGCCTCTATTCGCTGTTGTCAGATAATACGAGGGTCCCTATTGTTACATGCCTACAATACTATACCTACCTAGGCTGTCTTATAGTAACTCCGTATTCTCGGCACCTAGTCCTGCTACATTGTTAGTCTAGTTTTTTGGCGTGCATCGTATGAGGTAACCGTACAAACGAACGTCACATGCCTGAACGTTGAAGGGATAGGCTACTTCAAAAAAGGACTCAGGACTCCAGAGTGACTCCTTAGTTCATCTCCCTCTTTTGTTCGTCTTTCGATGTCTTAAGTTGAAAATGAATGTTCGATGTTCTACAACATCGCTGTGGCGTCAGAGCCCCTCATATGATATAATATACTCGGAGATTCGCAACAAGAAAAAAAAACCAGAATTTTGATTATTTAAAGAGGGAAAATAAATTTGAAACATGGAGAGTTTTTCGTGCGCGTGGGTACTAACGACAATCCTAATTCGACTTGTATGAGATTTCCCCTGAAGATCCATTTATGATGTTTGGTTGTCGAAAAAAAAGAAGAAAGGAATCCGGGGGGTAATGACTTAAGGTAGGGGTACCCCTGTTTTAGGGGACTTCATTTGGCAGCTTCGAAGCCTTCGATAATCAAAAATGGAATTAGGCATAGGACATTGGGCAACGTTCTAATGCAACATTGAACCGTTAGACGACTGCAACTAGAACAGCGGTTGACCTTGACGTACTACGCAGTACCTAGCCTTGAACCTTGGTAGTCAAATTGAAATGTAAAGCCACTGAACTGGACCGTGCCCACTGCAGCCACCGAAGGATTTACACACCAGCCTCATCCATACCGCCCTTCCCCCGCCTTCCTTCTAAAGTTCGGCGCCAGCAATTCTGCCCCGTTCCACTACTTTTTCTCGGGCTGCGCCGAGTGATTTGTTGCAGTGCAGTCTGCTGTGTGACATTGAAAAGGAAAAGGAATATATCTCCAATTGAAGAAGAGAGGAAGCAAAATACGAAATACAAAATACAACCAAAAGGAAAGAAAGGAAGTGAAGGGAAAAGGGACAAAAAGAGAAAAAAAAGGTGGTGGTTCCATAAACACCACAAATCTAATCCGAGCAAACCTACCACTCAATTGCTTGAGCGTCACATGTACATGTATGGTTTAACCGCGTCACCTCTGCGCAGACTTTGTACTCACCCTCACCGCGAACGACGCTCTCTCTCCTCTCACGTCACTCGTTCCTACACACCACCAGCCGCTCGCTTCCACCACCTCCTTAGAAGTGCAAATACCATGGCATCCAGTACGTACTGTCACTTTCTTCCCCGCCTCCCCCCTCATCCCATTATGCGCGCCCACACCCTCAAGCGCACCCCCCCTCTCAGCCCGAGAAACCAATAGAAACGGACAATCAACACATGCCTGCCACCTGCTGACCACCCCACCACCTTCACAGCCCTCCCCCAAGACCGCCGCCCCGTCGTGATATCCGGCCCCTCGGGCGTCGGCAAGGGGACGCTCTTCAAGAAGCTGTTCAGCGCGCACGAGGACTGCTTCGCGCTGTCGGTGTCGCACACGACGCGGCAGCCGCGGGCGGGCGAGGCCCACGGCGTCGACTACTACTACGTGACGGCCGACGCCTTCGAGGCCCTCGCCCAGGCCGACGGCTTCGTCGAGCACGCCAAGTTCGGCTCCAACCGCTACGGCACCTCCAAGCAGACCATCGCCGACCAGTCCGCTAAAGGTCGCGTTGTTGTTCTGGATATTGAGATGGAGGTGAGTTTTCTTTTTATCTTTCGTTCCTTTTTTTCCTTTTTTTTTTGGCTTTTATGCCTATACTCGACATCCTTTCCCCTTCCTCTATTCCAGTGTCCTGTCTGGGGTGTTTGAGAAAAGACGAAAAGAGAAAGGAAAGCCACTAACCCACCACCACCACCACCACAGGGCGTCAAGCAAATGAAGAAAAGCGGCATAGACGCGCGCTACGTCTTCATCAAGCCCCCCTCCTTCGCCGAGCTCGAGAAGCGCCTGCGCGGCCGCGGCACCGAGAACGAGGACGCCATCGTCAAGCGCCTGGCCCAGGCCAAGCTCGAGCTCGAGTACGCCGACACCCCCGGCGTCCACGATGTCATCATCGTTAACGACGACGTTGAGAAAGCTTACAAGGAGCTCGAGGAGTTCATCTACAAGCCTTTACCGGCGAAGAAATAAAAATAAAATAAAATAAAAAGGGGAGAGGGAGAGAAATCAAATGAAATCGAATCAAAATCAAATCAGATCCGGAGCTAAATTACATATACACGTACCTACCTATATATATCATGTTGGTTGTTGGTCGTTGGTTGATTGATACATTAATACCCACAAATTAGAGGCCGTATAACTCGAAGGGTTCCAGGAATACATATACATAGTACAAGACAAGAGACAAAAAATTCTGGCATAATAGAATCACCGAGTCATCAAAAGAAGAAGATAAGATTTTTTTTGGGCATAAGTCTCGTATTTATTCCATCAGGTATCAGAGCGGACTCCTTATTAGAGTACAGTAGAGGCTTGACCACGGTGATTAATCTTAACAACTGTAGATGAAAATGAAGAAAGCTTCAGGGGGGAATACTAAAAGGAAATAATAAGAACGTCAAGTCGCCAGACTGGTGTAGATGGTAATACTGCTTGCTCGGCCAACAAACACACATAACAAGGCCTCAACAACCCAAGCAGGTCAATATAGCTGCTGAACTCAGCTTCAAGCACGCTTCCTCACGGCTCACGGACCCTGGAGTGTTCTTCCATGCGGATACAATTTCTGGTATCCCACCCAAGAGCAACTTTGGGCTCATGGCAGGTGGTTTTTGTTTTTAAAACAAGTCGCCTCTCCCATGTCGTTCCCCAATCATCGGAGAGCGGCTCGTTTTAATAGTCGTAAGGGGATAAATTAGAGATCTCTCGCCAGGACGAGAAAGCCTGTGAACCAGGGGAACGCCTCGTAGAAAGCATACATAGAAAAAATGAGGCCTTAGTAGCCATTCATGGTCATGCGTTGAGAGCTCCGGCTCATTTCGCGGTCTGCGGCGGGACTGATCGGTCTGCTTCCGTGGCCTTGTGCGCTGCTCTCCTTGAGCGCCAACAATTGCTTGGCACGGAAGGTCTCGTAATGGATCTGCGAAGTGGTCTCGATGAGATCCTGGAGGTGCGTTCGGAGCAAGAAGTTTCGCAAGTAAACGAATTCGCAGTGGTTCTCATCCTCAACGTTGATGACACCCCATCGGTTTTGACGTCCACGGACCTGCTTGCCATTTACAATGATAGACTTCTCAGAACCAACGACAGCAAAGGGAACAAGGCTCTGTACTATTCGTTAGTATGAATACAAATCAGTGTATCAAAAAATCCAACATACCTTGATCTGAGTGTTAATCGAGCGCTCCTCCTCGTCCAACTCATCATTGTCATAGGGGTACATCTTGAGGTTGTGGAAAGCAAACTCCTCCTTAATGCGCGCCTTGAAAGCTTCTCTCTCCTCTAGAGTAAGAGAGTCAGCCTTGGCAATAACCGGCACAACGTTAACGACATCCGAGAGCTTCTTCAGGACCACAATGTCAATCGGCTTAAGCGAGTGTCCGGAAGGCTGGATGAAGAACAAGCAGCAGTGGATACGAGTGTCCGGGATGTAACGTTCTCGCTGCGCTGTAAGTTCCTTTCGTAGGTACGCGGAGTGCTGATCCTTGATGTACTTGACGATGGGGTCCCAGCAGCGGTCGTTGTTGACTAGGTCACCATAGCCCGGGGTGTCGACAATGTTCAACTTCAGGCGGACGCCATTCTCCTCGACGAGATGCGAGACAGGGTGGATCTCGGTGGTAGAGCGGATCTGCTCATCAGGTACCAATCTACCCTTGGAATCGATCAAATGAGAAGCGAAGATGGTGTTGATCAAAGTCGATTTTCCCAAACCAGTCTGGCCTATGAGGTGACACGAGACACGTAAGCTATCAGAGTAGAGAAATAAAATAATAGGACGCGATATTATAGCAATAATCGCATCGTTGGGAAAGTTTGAATGGTGGAGCTACTTACCAACGCAAATGACGTTGAACTGGAATCCTCTCTTCAAGAGCTTGCGCTCAATCTGAGAGGTAATGCTGTCGAAACCGACGTGGGTGGTAGGGTAGATGGTTTGCGCCGCCATTTCTCCTGACAATTACTTGACAGATCAATGAATGAATAAAAAGTCAAACTCCTATTCCAAGAAATAGCCTAATTGGCAATTAGAGGAACGAAAAAAACGAATGTCGGGGTAGAGTTGACGATGAGGCTCTGTGACAAGGCAGAAAATTGAAGTTGATGATGATGAAAGAAGAGAAGGGTTGAAGTTTTGGTGTAATTTTTTGGACGTGAAGGGAAATGGATCCTCTCTTGATTGCTTGCTTTTCTGCGATTTCCTTGCCAAACAAATAATTTCCTTGAAGAAGGTCCAGGTTGGGCTTGGGGACTTGCGAGAAAGGGGGAAAGCCGTTTTAGGGCATCTGATAGGTCAATGAAGTGTCTGTGCATATTTTATATGGGTCATACTCTATACTATGTACCTACCCTAGGTAGATTTGGTATGAGCTTGGGGTCTACCTAGTAGGGTCGTACGTGCTTTGGTGCCGGCTGATAATTACAACTTGCATCGATAAGTTACATGTACCGTTAACATTAATTAACTAGGTACTTAGGTACATACATAGTATGTATTAGGTAACCAACTTTCAACCTTGAATTGCTTTTTTGCGCTAGAAACTTTTTAGTCGACAGCAAGCTGTATCGTCGCATAGAACCTTTACTTACCTTTAAACAGTCTATTTAGGTACATTTGCCACAACCGTGGAGTGTACAACGACTACGACATAGGAGGAAAGAAAAAGGCTTGGTTTAGTCGATTCCAAAGCCGACTTGCGACTACGACGCACTATCATCAGTACGATAAATACAAACCTATAGTACAGTAGATACGATATAGGCAATCTTGCCGAAGATTACCAGCCATGGCAGCTCTACAGCAGTTACGAACGGCCTCGATATTTTCCTTGCTATTCCCAAGGATAGCGTCAACGACCTTCAGCACACCCTTCAAGTCTACACTCATTTACACACATCAAGCGCAAGCGCAACAACCGCGATTTCCGTCGATATCCTCAATCGCCATCGCCATTCCCGCTGCTATATCGAGCATACCGGACTTCCTAGGTGACATATGGGAAGGAATACTCCGAGCGGTGCCTAAGAAAAAGACTTCTCATATGAAGAAGAGACACAGACAGATGGCAGGCAAGGCGCTCAAGGATGTGACGGCGTTGAACAAGTGTCCAGCTTGTGGAGGAGTCAAGAAAATGCACACATTATGTCCCAACTGCATGGGTCGTAAGTTGTTTTCCATTTTCCCCTTTTCTAGACACGCACTGGCATATACGTATACTAATTAGTGTATGCTTAGGTATTGGGAGTATGTTAGATCGCGACTTTAAACAAAAGGTATAACCACCGAGTTAGCCATGTACCTATCTAGCATAAGTATCAATACCTTAATGACAACAGAAAGAAATGCATATGAACAAACCTCACTTGTACAGATCATCTGCTGAACACATATCCAATGACTGAAGACGTGCATATGACTTTGTTTCCTAGGCTAGGGAATATGTAATTCTCCACACAAGTGCTGCTTATTGCAAATACCTATCACTATGAACGTCACGTTTGGTTTTGTTCAAACTGTTCAACCGCATAATAGTACTACGCAGTCTTTGGAGTTCTCATTATTGGATCGAGAAGTTAAGTCTAAGGATAAATTACGTCATTCCTGGAAGTAACAATGGGGTTTGCGATAGGTAAGAGCGAACGAAGTGTTTATAATATGCTATGAGACAATATCATATGATAGATACCTGTATACCTACTGGGCAACCTCTGCTTGATGTCTCCAATTTTTATCTTTTTAAGTTATTTTCAGTTTTATTGTTCACCCCACCATAGCAGCCAAAGCTGTGTGCTAGCTGCGAATCTCCAGCAGCTTGAGATCCAGAATTTCTAGGTACTGAGTACTGTACATCACATCAACCCCACCAACTTCAACTTCTTTTCAATTCAAACAGCAGCAATCACCAGAAATCCACATGGATCGGTAACAACCATGGTAAGTAAAATATGAATTGTGAACTACACAATGAAGGAACAACTAACTCATATGTCCACTCATTTCTAGTCGAAACAATATCTCACAGCGCATACCATTGACAATGGTAAGCATAAAACTCTTTCCTTGATCACGGCCTCGAAGCACTTTCTATGCAACTCGGACCAGCACTTCAAACTCTTAAACCCGTACCTAAGCTTAAATCTAACGTGCCTATTCTAGCACACATAACCGACATATTCTCCCTCGCATCTACGCCAACATCCTTAATCTCCGCCAGCGGCTCTTCAACAATACATATACATGCCACCTCTGAGCCCGGTATACCACTAGCCCAATCCCTCGACGGTTCACACAAACTTGGCTGTCACCATCTTGCCGTTTCGAATAACGGTAAGGTTGCAGCGTCAGCTGGCTTCGGCGGCGATGTGAAGATATGGAAGCTTGCCGAATCGGGTGGTTGGCAACCGTTCGGGGAGTTAGACCTTACCAAAGGCCCCGGTAAGGCTGCCGGCGAAGTATGGGCTCTAGCTCTTAGCGAAGAAGGCCAATACCTAGCTTCAACCACATACGATGGACGAGTCAACGTGTGGGATCTATTTGGGGATAGATCGGAAAAATTACGAGAATACGAGGCCGGGCATGCGGGCTCTGGTTCCTTCGGTTTATGTGTGGATCTGAGTCGGGATGGAAAATACACTGCCAGCGGTCATCAAAATGGCGCTGTCTATGTCTTCAACAATGACACAGGCCGATTACAATACTCGCTTCCTGGTAGGTCCAAGGATTGAATAGCAGGCATTTATGTGGCATTTGAAAGATCTAACTCGTGAGTAGGTCTCGTTAAACCCATCCGGGCAGTGGCATTCTCACCTGCTGGCACACGCCTTGCTGCCGCTGGCGACGCAGGCATTATTGCTATTTATGACACCAAGCACGGCGAACATATTGGCAACCTGACTGGCCACTCAGCCTGGATAACTTCTATCGATTGGAGTGATACTGGAGAATACCTTCTCAGTGGTGCTTTTGATGGGAAAGTAAAGGTCTGGTCCGTTGAAAGAGGCGCCTGCGTCGCGACACATGGCGAGACAGATAAGGCACTCTGGGCTGTCAAGTGGTTGCCTAAGACCGGACGTAATGAAATGTTCTGCACAGCTGGTGCGAATAGAAGTCTCACTTTCTATCGCGAGGCTACTGGCGCATAATGCCTCTGATATCTGCTTTGTTGGCGTTCGAAAAGGGTCGGAAAAGGGGTTAAAACACGTGCGATAGTTGATCACGAGACACATGTGCTATGGATGTTTTAGATGTTTGGGAGCGGTCTGTGAAGGAATGAGATGTAGATGCGATGATACCAATCGAGCACGCTTCTATAGACATTTTTGCTTGTCGTTATGGTCGCTATTAATAAGTATCCCTATCACCATTAGGGGGTATTTCCTGTCATGAGTGAAGGCTAAGTCAGATCTGGTTACATAGAGATTCGACATATATCATGGATGTCCATATCTACTATAGAAGGCTAGGCAACCAAATTGACGGTTGACATCTACTTGTTCAGCGCAGGGGATAGCAAATGTGGAAGTATTAGGACAGATGCATCGGCCCGGTGACTCAGTCAGCCATCTACTAGGTAACCCCTGAACATTACTCTCATTGGCTCATCATGGTTATACCATCTCTATACTTGTATAATAAAAGTTTAACCAGCCACTTCCCTCCGCGGAGAAGTTGGGAGTCTGCGAGGGTTGAGGCGGGGCCGCTACATGTTGGGGCCGCTGATGCTGACACTAATACTATCGATGCTGGTGCTGGTGGTGGTAGTGGTACTGGTGAGTGGTTTCCTTTTAGTTTGGCTTGGTTGGTTGGTTTATTAGGTGCCTAGAGGCTTTGGTTTCTCTTCATTTGGGAGGGAGTTTTGCTTCGCGGATTGTCGTGTTCAAAATCTCTCCTCTCCACAACACATAACCCCTAACCTAGCCCCTTTCATCCGGAAACAATGGCTTTAGGGCTCTGTCTAAGTGTAAGAAGAGATTTTAAAGGGACTGGCTTCTCAGGTGGGCAAGAGAATTATGAGGGTATTGGATTATATTCTTCGTCCCTTATAGAAATGTCGTTAAAAGGCGTTACTCAGCACGGGTGATATTGATGTTGAATAAAAAAAATAAAAGAAAAACAAAAAAAAGACAAAAGGTTTCTGGCGGGATTGAACCCGCACCCTCAGGCGTCTCCCAGTGGTTTTCGTTCTGAACCCGCACTTTAAGGGAGCCGCATGGTGGTTTTCGCACCTTACCGCTGAGCCAACATGGGTGAAAGCCCGTGTTTCTGAGTTCTCACCCAGGAAGTGGTAGTTATTGTTTTCCGGGGCCTTATAAGTTTAACTTCGGAGGAAAAATAGTATCACCGGGGAGGGTTTGTTGCCTTAGGCATAAGGGCATGTTTTGGGCACAGTACGTAGCACAGCCCAAGGTAGAGGGGTATCTACCTACTAGGTAGGCCAAAATAAATATATTCAGATAGCATAGGCTTCACGCAGACTTACCATGGTCCTGTGTATATACCAAGTGCTCATCCAGTTATCTACCTAGGTACACAACCCCTCCAACCCTCCATGGTTATAGGTAGGTATGATGGTGGCAGTAGTGCTTCGTTGTATGATAGGCACCTAGGTATGTAGTGAAAGCTAACCATATACTAAATCTAATCGGCAGAAAAGCAAGCATATCAAAGAAATCTTGGATAGCAATTAACTCATGTAAGGCGTTGACATCTAACCTGGTGTTCCAAAAGAGCATTGACTTGCTTTCAAGGCTTGGGAAACAGATCACCGCCCCTACCCCCCTTAACCTTTCCACATCTAACCTCCATTGTGTGCACCAGAGACCATGCCCGAAATATCCTCACCATTGCAGACCAGGCTCCTGCCCGCAACAAAGTTCCCCGTCGCGCACGCGTCCACGCGCTCCTGCGCCGCACACGCGATGTCCCTGTTCGTCGCCTTGACGAGCCCCGTCGTCCTGCTGATGATCTTGACCAGCGAGTACGCGTCGCCCGGCTCGCGGATGATGCAGACGTCCCTCTGGGTCGTGAACTGCGGGCCGTTGAGCTCGACTACCCGGTTGGGGTCCGCGTTCAGCTGCACGATGCACTGCCTGATGCGGTCGACGCGGGCGCTGGCAGTTAGGCTAGGGACGAGAGGAGTGAGAGCTTCATGTTGTCGTGAGCAGGTATAGATTTGTATTGAACGACTGATTGGGGGTTGAGATGAGTTGACTGGGCCGCTTTTCGAGTTGATGGGGTGATCTCGATGGTCTTCCGGTTTGTGTGAAGAGGAGCCGGTGCGTTGAAACCTCATAACTCTGAAAGCGATATCCTCCTGCCCTCTTTATACAACATCTCGACCTGGAGTCAAGTCTCCTGTGTACGCCTCTTTAATTTCATGATAGCATTTCGAAGACTTGGGATATATGCAATGCCATGGCGCAAGTTACGGTCACAAAGAAGATCATTTCTTCATCTGTAGGTACGATTGATTCCGGTCTTACGCCTCCAACTTCATTTCCATAACCCAACGGTGTAGCTCTATACCCTTAGGAATCTCGTAAAACACACGGGCAGACGCCACTATGAACCTCCACCATCGGATTCACTTCTCCTATCCTATTAGCTACCTAGGGATGGGGTTGAATAGTGTGGTCAGTATTACGAATCAACAACTAGTTAGTTACTGGGCAGTCTTTGTCATAGAGATGTTGTGTTTATCAACTTCTCCTTTACATGAGCCAAGAGCATTTAGCTACACTAGGTTAACTAGGTAGGTAAGTTGACTTTGATCGTATGATTAGGCCCATAGAGATCCTGGGTTTGAGTATAACATAATAGAGATAAGAGTTGAAGAAATGTGAACGGATAAGTTATATACTAAAAACACCTAGCAACTACTCAGAGATGCCTAGCTTAGAGGAGCTTGAGCCTCACATAATGAGGCCAAGAAGTTTATACACATTTAGCATAGTTACCAGGATATTTGTCACACTTGTTGTGAGTTCAAAGTTGTGTTGTGGACTTCTATACATCGAGCTAGTTAGTTGAAACCCCCTTCCTACCTACACACAGGCAATGTTTTCTTTTGAACACTTGGCATGTCAAAATGGGAACAGATATATTAATACATACTAGGCATATGATGATAACTCTTAACCTAGGTTGTCTCTGTAGTCTTAAGTTAACACCTCCTTGTTGAGTCAAGTACCTTCCATAACTCACTCTCTTAGCCTTCCTTCATTTCATGTACGTGAAGTAACAGACATTCAGGATGTCCTTGTAAAGCCCCATAGTGTGATTGTTATTCATAAAGCATCCCTTAACTAACAACATCCTGCCATGTATATTCATACTCGGGAAAATGTAACCGAAGAAACCCTGAATAGATACTATACTAGGTATATAGAGCTGTGCCCCCGTTCCACGCCGGTTCTAATACCAACATCAACATATGTACCGTTGGTTACTCCCACTCACCCAGCTTGCAGGTCTAATATCCTAGTAACTCGACCATACTCGAAGATGATAACTTGAAATTATGTCTACCTACTTGGTCATGACATGATATCTCAATCACTATCAAGCTAGATAGACAGGGGCCTAAACTATTGGTTCTCTATGGCGAACCATCCGTGCCTTACATGTAACCTTAGTACATAGCAGGCACACCCATCGAAGCATTGAAGTTCCCGCAGGGTTCGGACCAACCCAACTACATCTCCGACCCCCTCTGGTGTAGTTGGGTTGGTTATAATACACGACCACCTCCGGTGTAGTGTATACACGACCCCCTCTGGTGTATTACACTTACGAAAATTGCTGGTGTACATTAAAAGCGGGGCAAAAGCGCTCGCAAAATGAGGCTATTTTACCTACCTAAAGTATCATCTCGTGATAAAGTTTGGTGTTTTGGCTATGACGTAATTGCCAACCTGTTGAAGGTATCGCGAGCGCCACTGTCGCCATAAATGAAGATATCATTGTAAATGAAGATATCATTGATGATGATTGAAAATGATTGTTTAATGGGCAGATGCTTAGGCTTATATATGACAAGAAGGGAGGTTTACTGATTAGAAAGACCTGAAAGGGCTTGAGTGTTTGATTTTTGTGATTGGCTAATTTAATCAAAAAGGAACGGGCGTTGAATATCAAACGCGTTGAATATCAGACGCGTTGAATATTAAACATTAAACGCGTTGAATACAATCAGTAAGTGGGACTTTTCAGAAATTTGAGGGCAAATCTCACGATATTTCCTTAGGTCTCGGGCCATCCCAGCCTTCTTTTAATATTTCAGCCTTACTGTTAGTGTTTACACCAAAAATACTAGTAAACACTAACAGTGGCTGTGCCCTGTGGCTTGGGTGGCTGGTATCCACTATAAATACACGTTATTACACCCAATCCAACTACACGGGACATAAAAGTGTAATTGGGTGGATTTAGAAAGTGGGTCTGGTGTAGTTGGATTGGGTTGGATGTAATACACTTGGTGTACACCGGTGTAATAGCGTGTAGTTGGTCCGAACCCTGAGTTCCCGTGCCACATTTCCAGAAACAAGGCGAGGCGCGGGAATAAGGCGTGGATGGATTCTAAGGCATCGAATCGGATGGGCGAGAGGACTAGGACCAACTTACGATGGACTCATCAGGCACCCCAGGTAGTCAGTAGCACAGCATCTACCTCAGCATCTAGAACACCTGTAAAACAGCCCTGAAGCCTTTCTTTGCGGAGGAAGATGGAAATGGGACATGAATGAAATTGTCCCTGGCAATGTATACTCACATGCGTACCAAAACTTCCACGGTTCGATGAAAAGGGGTCTAAGATTCGAACGATCACCCTCTCCCTCTCCCGCGACCGCGACCACGACCAGTGAAGCGAGTGATGCCATATGTCGCGCATCGACCAGCCATTCCTAGCAACTGCAGGCACCAAGCTTACAGCTCGCAGCTCGCAGCTCGCATATCAGGCACACCTGCTTACCTACGTACATAACCTGCAACTGCGGGTTTTTATACCTACCCACATACGCGCCTACCTTCCCTACCTACCTACCAACCTATACTTAGATGTCATCGTTATTCAAGATTCCATGCCTACCTACCTAGGTAGCCAAGTACCTAACCTACATAGGTATGTAGGTAAGTAGGCTTTCGAAACCTCGCCCGCAGACAGACAGACAGACAGACGAAACGTACCACCGGATCACTTGCCGCAAAAGAATAAAACCGATCAAGTCCCGTACGTACATACCTAGTACACGAGAATCTGGGATTCTGCGGCCAATGATGACTTGCTTGCCTAACCTAAGGTATTAAAGCATGTATGTCATGTATGTCATGTAGGTATGATATGTATGTACGGTAAGTGGGCACGTATGTCTGTATGTATGTAATGTAAGTATGTACCTAGGTAGGCATATATCGCACCGCATCGGCATCGGCATAATGTAACGTTAGGCTGTATACCTACATACCCATACCCCTATCCCTATCCCTATCCCTATCCCAATCCGTGGAACGTGATGGCGTTGCCTTCTTTTTCTCCTTTTTACTTTTTTTTCTTCTTAATCTTATCACCTTTCTTTCCCCGGAGATGCACGTTTCTGTTTTACGTGTGCGCTTTTTTGCTTTGCCTCGTGTTGTGTTACCTTGACACGCAAAGGGGAATTGGGGGGTTGTTTGGGGGTTTTCGGTTATCAAGTGAGACCCCCCCCCCAGAGAAGATTTTGTATGGGTCTCCCGGTCCGCTTCATTTTCGGGGGCCCGATCAGAGAGGGCTGCGAACATCGAACCCGGTGGTCCCGAAGCGGGCTTCCGTAATCCAGTTGCTACCTATACATACCCACGTAGGTAGGGTACGTAAGGTCATGCCATTCAATTCGTTTCAATATTGTTTGTTGGTAGCACAAGAAAGCCCCATACTCCCCCACCCCCCCCTTTTCGCCTTTCAATACTCAAATGTTAGGAAGAAACCATCACGAACTCTTGGCGACCGATGAACAAAACAAATTCGAAATACTTAACACAAATCATTCACCGTAGGAAAGGAACGAAACATCCACGTGACAAATAACTAGGTAAACATTGTGTATTGCATACAATTGTATCCTCGACTAATCTTGCCCCTTTTTGCTTCCACGCTTATCCACCTACATACCTACATATGTAGTCCCTACAGAGGATTTCAATTGAGCTGTTTTTTCACCGAACCTGTCCTTGCCCTGTGTGCATTGGACTACGAAAGGACATTCTTATTCCCCCGAAGTCGTACAAGATAACAAACCAAAACTAAGAAAAAAAAAACCACGAATCGGAGAGAGGGGTAAAGGCCACAGCAAGTTAAGTTGTATGCAGGTGGTGTGGTGCGGGGGATTCGCAATCATTGATCGGTTGCCGGTGGCGGGTTTTCTGTGCGCGTGAAGGTCACGATCCCTTTTTCCTACAAATGTCTAACACCTTGGATCCCAAGGGCCAATGACAGCCCATTTTACAGTCATAGGCGCCGACACTCTGACGTACACGGCATACAAGTTTCGAGTTATACGTCCTTTTTATCTTCCTCCCACCGGCATCTCTCTTTCGCTACCACAGAAATCATGACGCATGGCTTTGATCACCGGCGCTTCCACAGGCATCGCTGTCGGTACAGCTCACAAACTTGCTGCCCGGGAATTTAACGTTGTATTTCCAGGTCGCTTGCCTGCAGAATCCGAGACTGCTGCCGCCTCATCAAGGCCGAATGCCGAAATCTTGATATCAAAATGATACTCCTCGATGCAAATGCCGCAACACGAAGAATTATTGAGATAGCTTTCGAATCTAAACCAAGCACTCAATGTTCTCGTGCTGGTGCTGAACTTGAGTTCGACTTTTTAGGTGAGTATACCTACCCGGGTGGGATGGCGTTTTACGCTGGCTGTAAAGGGTTGATATATTTTATTTTATGTGGTGATAGCCCGACATATGGCTGCTGCAGGCAGACTGGTCGATTGCCTTGCAATTCTACCCGGCGACGCGCGAACATAGATCGAATACTGTGGGACTAAGGCCAAGTGCATACGGGGCGCGATTGTATGTGAACATGCACTTGATCGCGGGCCCAGGGCAATGGAAAGAGGGCGATTAGAATATGCGTTATGGTGGTCACATGGTGTTTCGATTGCGATGTGGGAAAGACTTCCACGATCAGTTGTTTTGGAGTTCTGTTCTTATTGATCAAGCTTGGCAAGAAGATAACAGCTATGGTAAAGACACTGAAGGGTTGAATGACTGTGGTCGTGGCTTTGGCATGCGGCTAGTCTGTATAAAGGTAGATTGGGTAGGTAGGTACTATCATATCGTCCATAAATTGCTGTTTTTATACACCCATGATGCTGGGTTCCACGTTCTTCGTGGGTCAGATTGTTAGATCTGTAGTGGTGTAGAGAAAAGGGGAAACGTCCAAAAATTGTAGTCGCGAAATTACATTGCTATGTGCTGAAGTTGCACTAATATATAGTAGTTACTGTTCCTTCAGGTAAGGTATTGATCGTAATCATACATGTTCGGTGTAAATAGCTCGGGTATCGTCAATCTTTTCTCATAAGGCCCGTTCCTGGAAGACGGGGAACGTCCAACTACTCGTTAACTTGAGTAGTAAAGTGTGACATAATCGTGATGGCATTAGGATGACTCCTTTGGGTCATATCGTGGCATGTGGATAGGATGTGGTTGTGAAATGTGAATGAGAAAAAGCAGATTGGGTCCTAATTGGGCGTCTACCCATATGGCAATGGGTTAGTGAGTGGTGACGGAGAATAATTAGTCTGCTTTCATCGTAAATACTATAATTGCCAGACCTGGCCTGGCTACCGCTATGACAAAAGCCACTACCATCACCAATTCCATACCCATCTCTAGTAGGTTTGGGTAGATTTTCATGTCTTGTCACAGTACGGCAGCCGTCGGAATTGAAAATTGGTGTCAGCGACATCCTATCCATTCTGGAAAGTCCTAAAGGATAAAACATCGCTGAATCCTCGACAAGGCGGGATGCTGGAGCTGGATGGATCCACGGCCACCGAAACAAAAGGTGGCCCATGTTTAAGAAGGAGTCGACCAGCTGTTGCAGGACTCCCCTAATTGCCCCATTTCTGTGCGGCTGATGAAACCCAAGGGTTATAGGTATGTGAGGGGAAATTTTCGTTAGAAAGTGGTGACGATACGTCAATCATCGAGCCTCGTAGGGCAGGATCTACTAAATCTTGTTCTAGGTTCGGGTCATGATAATAAGGACTCCATTCCGGGGGCAAGCCAGGACCATCTGAGAAATTGTGTAGCTCCTGGAAGGGGTGTTCAAACCCCGAATAGTTTTGGCCTATCGGAGGATTAGCAATCTGGCAGAGAAAATGGGACACAAAGTGATCTATGTTTGTGTCGCGTGATCTGAATGGGTGACAGGGTAGCAACACTGGAAGTTCTCAACTAACCGTCGTAGAAGCCTTGGCCTGTAATCAGCTGATTATAGGGCTGTTGGCTGACAGCATGGTTATGAATACTAAAATCATGGCCTCCAGTAGAATACTGGGTTTGTTGCTGAATATCATGATTCATAGTCAAGTCCGGAATAGAAGCCGTAGAGGATGAGGCGGCAGCATCCTCGGAGGGCGGATCCGAGTCGGTTGCACCCAACTGATGACTGTCTTCCGATGCTGGGGCGTCAGGCGACCTGGGAGACAAAGTCTCGTGGGTAATTCGTTGATGGCGGGTCAAGAGATCCCGCCGCGAATAAGCCGATCCACAATGGCAGACATATGGCTTTTCCTTTGTGTCTGTTTTGTTTCATAAAGAATATAAATTAGCAATTTGCAATGCGATACGATACGATACGATATGATGTAGGATAATAGTAAATGTATGAAGAGTTGGTGGAGCAATGGTTCAAATGTTGTGCAGATCAAAGAAGAATTCCCAATATTCATTCTCTTCTCTAATTGGAATATTTGGATTTTGGGAATATTGGGGTTGGGGTAACCAACGGGTTCGGACATGACGCTCCAAGTGCTCAGACCGCTTGAAGTTTCTTCCACAGTGAGTACACAAACGCTGTTGTGCACCAGAAGATCCATCACGTCGTCGTCGTCGAGCTTGGGACTGATCCATCTGTTTTTCAGCCATTGAATAAGAGTTGTAAGTATTGAGTTAAGACGAAAGTCTGCAAAAGTTGGAGAAAGAATAGAGAACTGATCTTTCATCGTCAAAAATTGTGGGGGCAAAACGCTCACAAGGGCTTACACGGGCTCTAAGGGTCACGAACGTACCTACCTAGGTATTAGACTCGGGGAAAAAGAGGGGAGGGGGGAGGGGAGAGGGTCCAAAAGCTGGGGCTTATGGATGGGTAATGGGCATTGGGTATTGGATATTTGGCAAGTATGAGCGGAGGCGGGGAGACCACGGGGTCAAGAAGCCACCCGATTTTAGCTTCAAATGTTCTGTAGGGGGGTCATGTACATTACATATGTAGTTGGTTCCTTTGAACTTTCCATACCATACACATACCATACAGTAGCTACATAGTCATATATAGTCATATGTACCTAGGTAGGTATGATCAATGATGTGGATGCTATTTCCCCACCATCATCGCATAACTGCAGGCAAGAAGTATATGTAGGTAGGTATTATGTGTATGTAGGTATGTATGTAATGTACATACATCTCGCAGCCCTGGAGATGGTCGTACTTGACATTGCTATCATTGAGTTTGCAAGGATGCATCATGTACCTAACTAGGTACCTAGAGGCTATCTTATTGAAAAGGAGGGGGTGGTTTGTGGGGTAACCAATCCAATTTCACCAATACCGCCCGGCAGTGTCGTAGGCCGTAGCTACCACATACATGTATGTAATTACTACCTGCTACAACTTCGATGCTACAACCTCAACTACATATATGTACTGTTTCCAGTACTACCTCTAGTACTACTAGGTATTTGATGTCGTACTACATACATGTACCCTTTATTAACCAAGGTTTCTTTCTCCCTCGTGCAACTCTCAGCCGCCCCTTAAACCAATAGGATCCCCAATTGTCCACATCATTTTCCTGTCAACACACTCAACACACTTGCTTGTTTTGACGATCCGAAGGTTTAGGCGAACTCCATTAGCGATTCTTGCCGGTACGTTTCATTCTATCTTCTCTATCATTCAATCATTCATAACACTTCTCTCCTCCATACCAATCATAAGCTTTTACTGTATCATTGATTTTCATTATTGTCCTCGCTTACTTGTCCTAAAACTGCAAAAAAGGGAGAGAGAGAGCCATATGCCAGAACCGGCTATCGACCCTAAACAGAAGGTCGACTTATCACCGGGAACGGGAATATCATTTCAGATGTATTATATAAGCAATGTCTACTAGGTACGTAAATCTTAGAAACATTCCGTAAGTCCCGGACAATTATATCCACCTATCACAGCCCGACTTATTTTCTCATACTTACGTGTACTCATACGTGGAAGGCTTGAAATTCTTTCTAAAATATATTGACAGTAACTTGAGCTTGTTCCTTGTTCCTAGACCCATACGACCGGAAGAAATATCCATCCTTGGGGCATGTTGCAGAGCCTTGCAGAGCCTTGCAGAGCCTTGGGCTATTCAAGGAATTGGGACCGTCCAGATGGAGGACGAAATATACTCATTAGCTCCCGGGGATACATTATGACAGGTGCACTACGTAGTAGGTACGGGTAGATGCTAAAGTTTCTATAGGTGCCCCTTGCTTACGCATGACTTCTCAAAAAGCAAACATGAATAAACTTAGCCGCAATGCCTTAAATCGACGTTCTGGAAGCCGGACACGTTATGCCACCAAACGGCGTCTAAACTTCATTCGCCTAGTATCAGATACCTGGCCTTGCGGCTATGAACCCGTACCATGAGTTGCTCGAATCGGGTCCAATCCGTGTAATCTGCATGCGAAGCATAACGTACATCAATGCCCAAAAGGAAATAAGGGGGGAGAATACAGTCCCACCAAGGATATCCATATTACATGAACCACATACCAGGAATCACCACTAGCTCACTTTGCTCTTCTAGAGTTGAGTACCAGCAAGAATGGAATGAAAGTTTCTTGGCCATTTCCAAGGCGATGCCTCTAAATTAGGAATTGTCTTGCTTTGCTCAGGCACTTACTGAGTTGGCGCTAAGCATATACACGGTCTCGAAGTGATACATACCTACTGAATACTCGGTAGATATTTGCTATCTACAATATCCCCAGGGCTGTGTTTTCAACCAGGTTCGTACACAGAAACGACATAGACATATATCAAGGGGCGCCGGCAATTCAGCACATGAAAGCATACTCCTGATTTAAGGTTATGAACGAGGGTGCCAGCAAAATCATAGCCACCTCAGAGCCTGGAGTCTGTGATCTGTAGGTAAAAGTCATGTGTGTGAAGCGAGAGCTTACTTGATGTCATCTCGGATGAGCTTAGCTACCAAAATATCATAGCATGCTAAGGGGCAAGGGGTCACATCAACACTTTGATGGCTCTCCTGAAGTAAAGAGGGCAACCCTTTATACTAGGACTAGAGTCCTTTAAAACGCCTTCTCTCTATGCCTCCAAGGCACCTAGTGCCCTTTATAAGGGGTATAAAGAGGATCGAGTATTAAATCAGGGGCTATATACTTCCTTCCGCCCCTCTCCCTTTTCATTTAATATCATGGCTGGACCCAAGAGCATATAGCTGCTGGAAGCCATGTCATTCTAACCCACTCGAGTCTCAAAAACCCCTCCCCCCGTCAACAACTCACTCAAGCCAAGCCTCCAATGCAGTAATTTATATAATATCAAGTAACAATCTCAATTCTAGGAGCATCTGGGCCCTCTAATATCATCTAGCGACAATTCCATACCAAACCACTCCCGGATGCGAACCATGCAAGTCCTACCTATCTATGAGTGCCTAGCCTAGGTACCTACACAGGTAGGTACTAGAAAGGCAGCCTTACATAGCATAGGTAGCCACCCAAGCAAGCAAAAAACCCATACACCACCCATATAAACCCTAGGTTAACAAACCCTCCAAACCCCTTCCCTCTCTGCTATATACAAAATGCCAGAGAAGCCAATATACGGCGACTCGTCCATCTAACCTAACCTAGGTACATCTATAGGTATATGTATGTATATGTATATATTTTTTTCTCGCCGAGAGAAGCCCTTTAAAAACCCCCCGTTTTATGAAATAAAATAAAAACTTGCAGATGGTGGAGGCCATCCTTGGTATCTCGAAGATGAATATGAATATGATGAATATGAAGATGGTGATGAAGAAGAGAAGAAGAAACAAATCCAAGAAACCAATTCTGTATACGCCGGCTGCTGGACTCGTAAAAAAAAACTCATGCTGTGGTCGTATCGTGTCGTGTCGTGTCCCCCGCAAATCGGGAGGGCTTAGGTACCTCGGCTCAGTATCTAATGTTTTGTTTTGTTTTGTTTTGTTTTGTCTTTCCCCTTGTATTTTGTTTTCTGTAAGGCTTCCTTTTTTTCAATATATCTCCATCTCACGTCGACGGCACCCCTATCGGCCCCGCGGCGTTGGGCTCCCCTCCCACCACCGGCTCAAGCGGTTTCTGCGCCCACACCGCGACCCAGGGAAAGTACAGCCGCGCCTGCGACGTCAGCAGACTCTTCCTCACATCGACAAGGTAGACCTCGACCTCCTCGGGCGTCCATCCGAGCCCGTGGGTAAAGGGGCGAATGCTGAAGGCGTGCAGGCCGCTGTAGATCATGTTGCGATTGAAGAGGCCGATCTTGGCGTCGTGGGCGTTGTCGGGCCAGGTGCCGAGGGGGGCCTTGAGGGTGGCGGTCTGGACGTTGGCGAAGCCGGCGGCGCGCAGCCAGGGCTCGTAGTGGTCGATGGAGTGGATGCAGTCGATGCCGAGGCCGCGCAGGGCCTGCACGAGGGTGCTGGTGAAGCGGTGGCACGGCTCGTCGGCGGGGAGCGCGTCCTCGCACCTCGTGATGCACTTCAGGTCTTGGATCTCGATCCAGCCGCCGGGCTTGAGGGCTCTTTTGGGGGAGACTACGGGTAAGCCATGCTTGCTTGTGGCGAGGAAGTGACTTGAAAAGGAGAGAAGAAAAAAAAGGGTTAAGGGAGGGGAGGGGGATTTGAGGTAGGTAGGTAGCCTTACTTATACGCTTCCGAGAAAATGGTAGGCCAGTCCCGTATCGACGGCGCCATCTGGCGCGAATGGATGTAGTCCAGCGAGTTCGCCGGCTGAACCCACTCCTCCTCTACATTGTCCACGAGGAACTGCACGTTTCGGGGCACCCATAGCGGCTGTATTGGGCTGAGGTCTATGCCCAAGATATCTGCCTGAGGGTACTCGTCGCCCACTGATGATCAACCAACCAAAGGGGGTTTTCTGTCAGTGCTTACTTATACAGAACTTACGCACCTATCTAATCTAGGCAGGTAGGTAGATAGGCTTTTTTTTTTAGCAGAAGGTGGGCTGGCTTACTTTCTATGGCCCAAATACCTGTCCCGGTGCCGATGTCGAGTACGGACTGGGGGTTGTCTAGCGGCGCGAAGTGCAGCTTACCTTCGCAGAGGAGGATGACCATGGCATGCTGCAGATCCTCGCGCTCCTGCTCGGCGTCGTCATTGGGGAAGTGGTACAGCCCGTCGTAGTACTTGTGGTAGCGCCGCGAGTTCTCGAAAATGTAGTCGCGGACGTCGTCCGAGACGGACACGGAGTCGAGGGAGAATCTGCTGGAGTAGCCGTCATAGCCGTCTTCCTCCTCATCATCATCAGCGACTGATGCTGACAGGATGGAATCGATATCATCAGAGATATCCTCCCCTTGATGGAAGCTCATCGCGGGCGACGGCTTACCTGGATGGCTCTGGCACGTGTTTGATGGTTCCGTCATTGATCCCGGGGTTGTGATAAGACGAGTGATATCTAAGAGGAGATATGGTGGCGAAGGGAAAGATATGAAAAGTGATAGGTAATTATTTATTTTTCTTAGGTGAGGGTTAGAGACTGGGGTGGGTGGTTACGAGGTAGATCTTTGGTGGTGATCAGTGATCCCGATGGGTTCCAGCGTAACGGAGAAGAGCCCTGCCAGGATAAAGGGCCAATATGTATAGAATTAAAGGTATATTGGTTTATGGACTAGAGAGATCCCCGCTTGCCCGCAGATGGAGAATCATCGAGACCATTCAATGGGATGCAAGCGGAGCCTACTAGAAACGAGGCACTGGTACCGTTGGGACACTTGGAACCCCGGAAACAGGAACGCGCCGGCCCAGCAATTTGGAACTCACCGCAGGGTGGTTTAGCTGGGTAGATAATTGGGTAGGTATTGTACGAAGTTCGTAGTTGGGCGCACTAATGGCTTAATGGCTGATGGTACACTTTTTTGATAGAGCGAAACTAACAAAAAAAAAATAAGATAAAAAGAAAAGTGAACCTATTGAGTCGGTGAGAGAGGAACCCTGGCCTCGGACTCGTTTCGTAAGTGGAGATTCTGGAGGGTTTGGAGATTTTGTGAGATGGTAGCTCTTCTTACACTGTTAAGGTGGATGTTTTAAGTAAATAAAGCGAATACGGGTCTAGATAAAATAGGGTGTTGAAAGTTCGAAACATCAAGGAAGTAGTAGTGTAAGTTCTCAGGCGCAAATCGGTTGATGATTTCAGGGTATTTTCATGATGTAGGGAGGTAGTATGGATGTAAATACTTATATGGTAGTATTGCAAAAATGTATACCCTACCCTAGGTAGGCCTGGTAAGGTGTAGATCTACGTTGATAAAGTTATCTCTCGCCCTGCTTTACCGGGGATGGAGACATCTGTTAGCCGGACATGGTAAGCCTACAATAGCAGACGCACATATAGTAAGGGCTTTTCCTAGTTTTCAAAGTAGAGGAATATCATAACCCACTTCCAAGGCTGTCTTGACAGTCTTGGAAGTTCATGATACAGATTTAGAAATCACTAATCCATTCTTCATGAAAAGATGGGGAAGGTTAAATATGGCATGATGAAGCCCTGAAGATCCAACGTTCTGGGATCAAAATTTCCAAAGGAAAGGATGATACCACTCGCTGATATATACGGTAACATAGTTAGTAGTTAACTAACTACCTAAGTTAGGTATGTATGTACTTTATTACTTGGCCACGAACATCTGGACCCAGCTGTCTGGCAAGTCCCGACACAAAGGTTCCGCGACCCAGTTGGCTGACACGACACGTGCATAGGGATTTATGCTGTGCAACTATGGCTCAACCAACGTGTCGGGAATGCTCAAGGTCCTAACGTTGTAGTAAAGTAGAGTGAGGCCCTGAAGTTGGCATATGCCCCTGGCTGATGGCTCGAGTACTCTTGGATTGGTTCCGACGATGTGATCCAATGAAGAAACATTAACTTGAACGCAGATCAGTGGCTCAGATGATGCACTGGTCTTTTCCCCCTTATTATCTATCTCTCGTGTCTTACCTTGTTTTTCCCTTCTTCTTTTCTATCTTCTTTTCTATCTTCCCCCCCTGATAAAATAAGAGAGAAGAATACCGGCTTTGAAGCGAAGGATTGCCTAGGCCAAGCCCCTGGTTACATCCACTTACATCTACCGAGACACACACTCCCGGCCGTCTTTAGCCAGTGGTGAGGTTAAATATGATAAGAATCAGGTATATGAAGTATTCTTGGTGAGCAATTAAGAATCAGGTAAACATTAAGAAAGGAAGATTACCTACATGAGGGGTGTCATGTCTTTAGCCTCCAATCAACCGATACAGTTAACAAACTTGCCAAAAAGCTCCGAATAGTTATTTAGTGTAGAACAAGATGCGCGCCATTACTCGGAACAATGTGCCCGAGCGCATGGCAGCATAAAATGGCATTACTAGCCTCGAGACTAAAAACGAAAATAGTTACCCCCCTAAACTGCTAGGTAAACAACTTGCGAGCCATGCCAAGGCTTCTTGCGCGATCTCATCAAGTTGCCTACACTAGAAACCATTAGAATCTATTTTCCTCGGCACGACTGCGGCGGCGTAGTCTGCTAAACTAAAAAAAATCACATCAATTATTATTTACTCATCATCGCTCATCGTTTCCGCAGCCCATCAAAAGATGATAAATACAGCATCTTTCATCTTGGCAATGGTGCATGTAAAACCATTCTCTATTAGGTAGGCAAATTAGTAATAACTAGTTACCAAATACCGGGAAAGCCTTTGCGATCACTCAACTCCATCGCACCAAAAAAGAAAACTGAGCTGTCACTTTTTTCCCCTTCCCCTTCCAGTCCCCGCAAAGTAGTTCTGCCATAGTTATGTCAAATGTCAGAAAGTCAAATCATTGCGACAGACAAAACAAAACGATGCGATTGACCGTCCGTCGACAGTCCGTCGAGTTGCTCGGAAATTTTACGTAAGAACATGTAACTAACTACACAACTACATACAACGTAGTAAATAGGCTGCTGTACCGCTTCTTTGGGTCCGCTGCCTACCTAGGTAGTTATTTGTTCGCGCGACAATACCATACCTACCTAACCTAGGTAGTTAGTTAACCTAGAGCGAGCACAACCTGAACCTGTCCCTTCCAACCTACATGCCTACCTACCAGGTAACTACCAACCTAGGAAGACGTTAACCCGGTCCCGGGTGCCTGGGTATGTACACTACGGTATTCTCATTGGGAAACGGAACCCCCCATTCCCACTTTTGATATACATGACCACCCAGCTCCATTTCCCGCAGACGCTCTCTATTGGCCTGTCAAAACCCACCGACCACGAGGAAAAGGGAACCACTACTACATTCCCCCCCTGAATGATGTGTATCCAGGGAAGACATCACCACGGGCGGAAGCAAAAAGTTGGTGGGGAGGGGAGGGGGAAGCTACACCACATGTGTGCCTAGCCAGCCGGGCAGCAGATCGCCATGACAAGAAATCCAAAATATGTAGGTACAGAACACTCTACCACTTTGTATAGGCCAATTCCCATCGTCGTACCTGGGAACCCTATCATTCCAAGACCTGGGTAATGTAATCTACATACATACATACATACATACCTACCTACCTACATATGCATACCTATGTACTCGAGCGTTTTTCCTATTAGTTAGGTAACTATGTAGTGCGTCAAAAAAAACCCAAGTACCGGTAACTATTCGCACAAGAGAGATTTACCAGAAGATCGTATGGGGCACATCCCATTGGGCCCCATCCCATCCCATCCCATCGGCACTTATTGGAGCACGGAGACGTGTCATGAAGAGTAGTTACACTCTTTCGTTTTCGTTCCTGCCACGGATCAAGCCGAGGTGCATCAATCTGCCCAATTGAGCCACGCAGTGCCACAAGACGGAAGCCAAGGAACATTGGAACATTACAGATGGTTAAGGCTATCTCTACCTACCTACAGTAGTACCTAGACAAGCGATCCCCCATGTGCCGTAACAGTTCCCATTCCCATCAAAAGTCCTCCTCCCGTTTTTACTAAACCATACGTAGAGATAGTCATGATTGTACCGCTCTGCCTATCATCAAAGCTCAAGTTGTATTGTACCTACCTATCACAAATAGTCCGAGTAATTACGTAGAACGGCTACCCGCGCAGAAGCCAGCGCCGCTTAAGCTGACCTACCGGCTATAAAAGGCTCAGAACCCCAAGGCTCAAACACAGACCAGTCATAAATGCGGTGGTGTTAGTATGCAGATAACTACGTCTTCTCTTCGCGTTCACATCCACAATAGTTACTCGTCAATGCCAGCGGTGGACCAATGCGACCGACTATAAAACGCTTCTCTGTTATAGACCTCGGTCGCCCGACTACCTAATTAACTCAGCACACCCGGATAGTGATACATATTATACTCACATCGCCGGCAGATCTCCAGCTAACAAATGTTACCACCATCGACGCCAACTTTCCTCGACTAGAAACGGCCTATTCCCATCCACTCCGGACTCACTACGTCTTTGCCCATCATGACCATTCCAACAATATATTATACCTTCATCATATCAATGTATTAAACAGGAGTGCCTATGCGTATCATTGTAGTCATAATTATCCACGGGATAGCCTTAACTAGATTATACTATGCCTCTCGCGTATGACGGTCTTTCGCCGCTGCTATGCCATTGTCTGCAGGAGGCTCATCTTCCAGCATGTGCTTCGGTACACAATCCTCATAACCGATATGGGATTCGGATGCTTCATGATAGTCGGTCGCTTCTGAGGTCCCCGGGGGAGTTAAAAGTATCTTCTTAGGAGTGATAGGAGAGCCTGTAGGTGCAGTCAGGTCAACGCCCTCGCTACACTGGCAATCATCCCCAGATAGTGCATCCTGCATCTTTTGAACTTGCTCGGCAAGGCGCAAGCTCAATGGTGTTCTCGCTTGATCGGGGCTGGTTCGTGATATTTGACTTTCTGCGGGGACAGACCTTCGTTTCATAGTGCCGATTTGCTGTTCAAGTGCTTGTAGCTCTTTATAACCTCCCTGCATGGGGAGAATTTCGAGTTCGGGATACTCCAAATGGCCATCAAACCTTTGGCGGCTACGTTCTGAGTCCGCTGAGGGTTTTGCGTCGCGATTCAGAGTCACTGGGACGACTTTACTCAGGCCTCCTTTCATCGCCTTACCAAATTGCGCAGACAGACTTCGAGATGAAGGGGTGATGTATTTCTTCGCCGATTCGCTTGGCTTATCTGTAAACCATGTTGTTTCATCGCCACTGGATTCTTTCCGGACTGCAAAGTCTCTTGGAATCACTTTGTCTTCTTTTCCCGCCGGTCCCGTTCGTTCATGGCGTGTATGCGATGGCCACTTCGCCCACGACGCCGGAGGTGTCTTTAGCTTCCGAGGACCTCTAATTTCAGTATCTGCCTTTAGTTCTACTTGAGATTGTGATTCTTCCCCATTCATGAGGTTTACCCATTCCCTCAAAACACTATTCGATATATCCGATTGCTGACTACCATCGTCCTCGAGACGACCTGGTGGTTTAAGAGTAGGCCCATGATCTATTCTTAGTTTTGGCCCAGAGCGACTCTTACCAATTGAAGTACTTTGCACTTGGCCGTTCTGAGCAGTCTCTGCACATTCCTGCTCTTGCTGTGTCTCTCGGTGCTGAGTATCGGGAAAATACTTGCGCCTACTCCTCCGTTTCTGTGAACCTTCGGAAGCTTGCATATCTCCAGACGTCCAGCCCAGGTTTGGTGGCACCCCCAGTTTTCCATCAACGACGTCTTTCTCGGGATTTCCCTTGTTTTCTTGTTTCCCATCGAGCGTATTAGAGCTTTGGATATCTTTCGTCGAAGACTTTGTTCTCTTGACTATCGGTAAATGGAATTTACCAAATAGAGTCTTCTTGCTAATTATTGAAGCCCGGGGCTCGTTGAACTCCTCGCGAAACTTGCTGACAATTGGTGACGTGGTATCTCGGCGGAGACGGGCATCTCCAAACCGTTTCGCAATAGACTTGAGCTCAGCTTCCCTCAGCTTGAAGCTCGCCGTATCCGATGCTATTACCGAACATACATCCACTATTGGGCGTTGCTGATGTCGAACTTCACCCACAGCCACTGCTACCGTTGGTGATTCAATGGGAGCGGTTCTATACGAGCTAGCTTCCGAGTTCGCAGCTTCTGTCGTATGACTTGGGGATCTGAGGCCTAATGCAATGATTAGGCGTTACCGAAGCCCGTTTCTACCAGAGATGAACTCACGATTGATACCTGGGATTGGAGGTATAGCTTTCTGCCCTCCTACAAACTCGGCTAAACTTAAACGTGGCTCCTTCTCTGCAGCCTGGCAGCTGTTGGGCCTAGTGGTATATCGTGAAGATGTATAGTGAGACGAAGCTTTCGGCACATAGTCTACTGTGTTCTGAACCACATCGCCAGAAAGGTCATCAGTCCCCTTCATAGGATGCTGTAATTGGTCAAACCCGGGAGGTAACTCAATTGGGTCGATATCCGTACCCATGGGAGAAGCAGGTAACGAGGGCCACGCTCCTGGTGGTGTATTGCGTGATGTGGGCAGAGGGTTAGGGTCGCTCTGATGCTTACTAGCCTCTCCCTTTTGGCATGATGAGCGTTCCGGGTTGGAACTCTCTGGGACCATCTCCAGAATCATGTTGCTAGTCTTTCTACTCGATACAGCCGGACTTGACTGCAACTCCTGGCTCCGTAACCACATTTCCAGCGGCGAATCCTGGCTAGATTCTGTGTCGGGAGGAATATCATTAGGTACGTCTCCCTGACTCAATACGTCGTCGTTCGGGGCATGTTGTTGGTCATCCGACGCTATTTGCTGCTGGTGTACTTCAGTTTCATGTTTCAGGTTCTCTGTTGATCCTCGGTCGCTATAGGAGCTTCTATTAACATTATTATCATACTTGCTCTCATGCTTGCTGTCTTGTTTGCTGACTGTATCCTTCTGACTTGTAGTATCAGAATGATCAGACTCCTTGTTGAACCTGAGGTCGTCACAAACTCCAAGATAATTGGCAAGCTGTTCGGCACTGTAAGAGAGTCGCCATGAACAGGGAGACTCGGAGCCATGCAAGTCTGATAGATGGGCTGGGGCCAGCTGGGGAGAAGGTGGAAATTGAGGCATTGAACCTCGTTCATTAAGAGCTCCGTGACTATCTGAAGTAGAATTCTCACATGACCGATGGGTTGGACCCGGGAAACTACTTCGATGTAAGGAATTTCTTGGTTGTGAGTTACTAATCGGAAGTGCTGGGGGCGCGGGATCCGGAGAGGCACTCCCAAGGTCCCTAGATCCGACTTCGTTTACAACTGAGGCAGGAAACTCTATATTGTCTCGAGGCCCACTACCGAGTAACTCAACGTTAGTGAAATTATCCGGTTTCGCTTTGCTAGGGCCATCAATCTTGTTACTCGATTCTTCTCGTTCTTCCTGTTCTTCCTCGCTCTTCAGCTCTTCTCGAATCCTCTTGTGCATCAGACGCTTGAGTTCGGCTCTCCTTGCAATCTCTTCGTCGCTTGTACCAAGAGAGTGCTGTGAATGTCTCTTGGACTCGGACTTCTGAGATAGACGTCTGATAAGCCGAGTTTTGATAGCCCCAAGCGTGCCCGTGCTAGAGTTCCTGGCACTCCTCACAGGCTCATCGTCGTCGGAATCATCAACTTCTAGGATAGCTGGGTCCACTGTAGCTTCTGCTATCGAGCTCCGTAATAATGACGGGGCCTGGGTTGTTAAGATTGGAGGTGATGATGATTCGGGTTCGAATGTGTGGAATGGTTGTTTGACTAGTTTTACGGGCGGTGGTTGAGCTGGGAGTTCGATTGCGTCTTGGTGAGGTTCTCGGCAGGTCATCCGTCTGCGCCCATGATAGCAACAGAAAAAGGACATCCTCGAGATTCACAAATTGAAGATGAATTGCCAGTTTTTATGATATCTAGGTAGTGTTGTCATGGGTTTCCAAGAAAGACTTAACAGCCATCTATCTGGCGAGAAGTTGAACAGAAGGTCGATGCCTTCAATATCAAGAAACGACTTGATACATTTGATGTCAAACCATTCAACCTTATGGCGAAGCTGGAGACCTACCCTACCTAGGTATTACATGGGAAGTAGATGTGAGCGTGTTTTGTCTTTGAGCTTTTCGAGACCACGACAGGGCTAAGAAACTGAATTTCTACACAGCAGGTAGTAATTGCCATCTTGGAGTAAAGTGTATATTTTTACATGGTATGTATTTTGAAGTTGCCCCTTCTCAAGTAAGCGTTCCTAACGTGTACCAACTATTGCGATGGGACATCACGAACCTGTTAATAGAACTTTGAATATGGAATTCCTTTTATCCCTTCTACTTGCCTTGATTGAATTACAAGTAGCGTCTAGCTTTACGTCCTTGGACTGCTTTTTCTCTATATACTATGCACACACGTGCATCAACTGCTCATATGTAGCGAAGAATGTGATCTAGACTTAACAAACCTCACAAATGTTTATAGCTGGAGGTTTGAATGTTCAGGGCATGCTGTCATTATAGTATAGACATAACCTGTAGGTATCTATTACCAGGTAGGCCTGTCGCTATCCAATTATCAATTGAACGTTGGCTTTATTACCTTCATTTCATACTTCTGATACCAACAAATATCCATTCAAGAGTAATCCTGAACGTAGACATTCCAAGTTGGCACCTAGATGGTAGATTGGTGAGCATTATGACAGACCTCCCCGACGAACATATCGAAACTTTAGCATATAACTGAACCAAAATATCATTCAAAGGTTAGTTAGTGTGATTAGTTTGAGACGGATTGCATGTGTATGGACTTAAAGCAGCTTGAGCCTAACCTAGAAGTTTGTGATGTGTTATTTCAGCATCCCGCAAATCCACTAATTCAAGCCAAGCATCTAGACTGTTGGAATTGCTACTTGGTCTGCAGTAGTCACATCATGGATGTTAGTGCGGCTGTTAGGCGGTGACCTGGATATGCCTCTAGTGTTGAACTCGCAAGCTACTTAGCACCTAATAGCAGTTTAGTCCGGGAATAAACTATAAGCTAATACGACCTTAATATGAGGAATGTAACGACGGTGATGGCCCTGGTCCAGGAACTTGGCTCGGGCAGCGGCGGAATAGATTATGGTCGCATCCATTGATGCAAACAAGGATAGTGAACTACCGTAGCATAGTATTAGTAGCATGTATCTAGTAGTAGTAATAGTACTTAACCCACGATCTACATAATCAACTCCACGATTCTTACCTAAGGCTGTATACAACAAAAGCATCCATACCTGGTGTTCAATGGTTGATGTTTGCGTGGCCCGGAGAAACAAACATGGACATCTTCCGTTGCGATTCGGCGAATCACTTCTTGCGGGTCTCCTTCATCCTTTTCAATGTTGCCTGGTAGTCGTCCGAACCCCGAGTACATTAGTGCTAGGTACGTCGATGGCTTGAGGAGGGTGGTCCAATGAAAAGCTCGTCATCCACGGATCACATCAGAGTCCCACACACCAACTCCGTTCCATGGAGAGAAAAATAAAAAAAAATGCATAGAGAACAAGTTGAAGTAGATACTAGTAACTATTGTAAGCACCACTGGATGCAGCAACAAACCTATAGGGCATACCTGCATGTGCGTGCTAACCAGGTAGGTACTAACTACCTAGGGTATGTATATAAAAACGTCCGACAGAAGGCGGACTAGAAATATTAAATCAGACGGACTAGATGTACTATCATGATGAATGTACAGAATCATGTCAGAAATTCAGAATGCATGTGCATCCACGGACAGGAGTAGAGAAGTACGTGGGCCCATTAGAACATCACATCAAGTTTGAACTTGGAACCGTAGAACCTTATCTATCCCGCTAACGCCAATAAGTGTAGAGGCAGCAACGGCACAGTTAGAAAGTTACTAACTGATTCGAGGAACGTCAGGAAACAAATGGAGTAATTTGCTCCCCGCTTTCGGACCCTGGATGCATTTTGTTGGCCAGGTTAGGTGCTACTCATGTACATCCATACTAACCCTATGTAGTAGCTTATGTTAGGTAAGAATGTTGAAAGCTGGTAATGGGGTGGTGGAAGGAAGGCAAGCACGACAGCTAAGAAAAAAATTATTAACCCCTCATCCATTGAATTCTTCACATCGATTTGAGCTTTGCTTTCCTTCCTACCTTCCCATAAGAACCCCTCTACACCGCTAAACTTTCTGCTTACTTCCCTTTAAATCCTTCTTCCTTCCCAGATCCCCTTCTTTCTTCCTCTCCCTCTCCTTCTCCTTCCTCTTCCTCTTCCCTTCGACTGTTATTCCCACCATTCGATTATCCTGATTCTCTAAACACTAGAGAGTTGGAAATAACAGCCTGTTTTCTTTGTAGGTCCAACTGTCACCACCTCTTCGTAGAAACCATTATGCTAGAAAACTCATTGCTGACTGAACCTTCTCAACAGAAAATCCCTCTTTCCCCAGATACCCCGGATCACCGTCAAGATGGTCCAATCTGCAGTTCTGGGTTTCCCCCGCATGGGTGTGAACCGTGACCTAAAGAAGGCAACTGAAGCTTGTAAGTTGCCTTACCGGACTTCTCATGCTGGTATTCGTAAAATCAGTTGCTAATATCAATATTTCATTCTAGACTGGGCTGGCAACCTCTCCCAAGCTGATCTCCTAGCTGAGGCTAAGCGTCTTCGTCTTGCCCACTGGAACATCCAGAAGAATGCCGGCGTCGACGTCATCCCTAGCAACGACTTTGCTCTCTATGACCAGGTCCTCTCCCACATCCAGGACTTCGGTGTAAGTTTCTTCCATCCTTATTCCTGACTATAATGAACCTTGTTAACATGGAACTTGCTAGGCCGTACCCGAGCGATACTCCAGCGCAAACCTTGACCGTGTCGATGAATACTTCGCCATGGGCCGTGGTCACCAAAAGGGTGGCGTGGATGTCCCTAGTTTAGAGATGGTTAAATGGTTTGACTCCAACTACCATTACGTCAAGCCTACCCTCCAGGACAACCAGACTTTCAAGCTGGCTGCCAGCCCTAAGGCCGTCGCCGAGTTCCTCGAGGCCAAGGAGGCCGGTATTGTTACCCGACCTGTTCTACTTGGTCCTGTTTCTTTCCTACACCTAGGCAAGGCCGACCGTGGCCAAACCGTTCAACCCATTGACCTCCTCAGCAAGCTTCTGCCTGTTTACGAGGAGCTCCTGACCAAGTTGAAGGAGGCTGGTGCCGAGACGGTCCAGATTGACGAGCCTGTTCTCGTCTATGACCTGCCTGCCAAGACCAAGGCTGCTTTCAAGCCCGCCTATGAGAAGTTGGCTAGCATCGCTGCTAACATTCCCAAGCTTGTCTTTACCACTTACTTCGGTGATATCGTACACAACCTTGACCTCGTCCCTAAGGACATTTACGCTCTCCATGTTGATCTCGTCCGCAATCCCGAACAGCTAGACACTGTCCTGGGCTCCCTTGGTCCCAAGACCATTCTATCTGTCGGTGTCGTTGACGGCCGAAACATTTGGAAGACTAACTTGAAGCGTGCCATTGAGGTTGCCGAGACTGCTATCCAGAAGCTGGGAAAGGACCGTGTTATTGTTGCCACTTCCAGCTCTCTCCTCCACACACCCCACACACTTGCCAGTGAGAAGAAGCTAGACCCCGAGATTGCTGACTGGTTTTCCTTTGCCTCTGAGAAGACAATCGAGATTGCTGTCATCGCCAAGGCTGTCACGGAGGGGCCTGCCTCAGTCCGAGAAGCTCTCGAGGCTAACGCCAAGTCCATGAACGCTCGTGCTACTTCGAAGCGAACAAACAACCCACAAGTTAAGGAGAGGCAGTCCAAGATTGTCCCCTCTGACTACGAGCGCAAGTCTCAATTCCCCTCCAGAATTTCGCTACAACAGAAGAAGCTCAACCTTCCTCTCTTCCCCACCACTACCATTGGCTCTTTCCCCCAGACCAAGGAGATCCGAGTGCAGCGAAACAAGTTCACCAAGGGAGAGCTTAACGAGTCTCAATATGACAAGTTCATTGAGCAGGAAATTGATATGAATGTCAAGATCCAAGATGAGCTTGAGCTGGATGTCTACGTCCACGGCGAGCCGGAGCGAAATGACATGGTTCAATACTTCGGTGAGCGTCTGGATGGTTATACCTTCACTACACACGCTTGGGTCCAGAGCTACGGTTCCCGCTGCGTGAGACCTCCGATCATTGTCGGAGATATTTCTCGCCCTGCCCCTATGACTGTCAAGGAGTCTAAGTACGCCGTGTCAGTCTCCAAGAAACCCATGAAGGGTATGTTGACTGGCCCTGTCACATGCTTGCGATGGTCTTTCCCTCGTGATGATGTCCACCAGTCCGTCCAGGCTGAGCAACTTGCCCTGGCCCTACGTGACGAGGTCGTTGACCTTGAGAAGGCTGGCATTGATGTTATCCAGGTCGACGAGCCTGCCCTTCGTGAGGGTCTGCCCCTCCGAGCCGGCAAGGAGCGTGAGGCTTACCTTGAGTGGGCCGTCAAGGCCTTCAAGCTCTCTACTGTCGGTGTTGAGGATTCCACTCAGATTCACTCGCATTTCTGCTACTCTGAGTTCCAGGACTTCTTCCACGCCATTGCCGCGCTCGACGCTGACGTGCTGTCCATTGAGAACAGCAAGTCGGACTCGAAGCTTCTGAGCGTGTTCGTTGATGAGGCGTACCCTCGTCACATTGGCCCTGGTGTCTACGACATCCACTCGCCGCGTGTGCCGAGCGAGCAGGAGATCAAGGACCGCATCGAGGAGATGCTTCAGTATCTCAAGCCTGAGCAGCTCTGGATTAACCCTGACTGCGGTCTCAAGACCCGCCAGTGGAAGGAGACCAAGGAGGCATTGGTGAACATGGTCAACGCGGCCAAGTTCTTCCGTGCCAAGTACAACAAATAGATGACTTTTCGTCGAGTGGAGGTCATCGTTTCTCAATTTTATTTACGAAGTTGATGATAATTGCATGAGTAGTTGGGGGAGTTGAAGTCTTGCCTAACATTTCCGTGGGAACTGCATATCTAATCGATTTCAACATCGGCGTTTTAACAGGGCTGGGTTCTCAAAGGGGATCTATACCAAATCAAAAGTTCCATAGGAAAGACTGGCGGGGATCGGGAGCATTCAACATTAGGCATATTAAGGGCGGAAAAGAATTATACCAGATAAGTCCATCAACCGGACTTTGGGGGGAGTAGGTGGCGTTTCTGACATTTGGTTTCCCTGTTGCTTGAAAGGGGGGAGCGGGAATATCTTCGCGATCCAATTCAATGCGACATAGGGGGTAGCTAGTCCAATTCAACTGGGCAATAGTTAGGAAGAAATAAAATCTTCTAGAAACACTTGGCATTTGTTGAGATGATGTTGAATGTGACAAGTAAATATGAGTGAGAATGGGTAATTTGCCTAGGTTACTACTTAATAGTTATCTATTCCGAACATGATATTGATATTGATGCTAGTTAAGTATCCATGAATGTAATATCACATGATGTGCCGGTGCTGGCAATGATGTACAATGTACTTGGCATTTCGAAATTAGAATTTTAAGTTTGGTGTATCAAGGCATCAAGCGTTATATCCGTAAATGCTGGGCGATGGACTAGTGAAACAAGCCCGTGGACTTGTCGACTTTTTTCATTTGTCGGGCAGCCCCTTAACCCTGGCGGCTACGTACTAGGTACCTCAACTAGTGTAGCGCACCAAATGTTAGTACCTACTACCTAGGGTGCCCACTGCCTAGGTAATAAGCATTAGGGGTCCACTGAAGGAAGCGGTTCCTTTTTAATTCAATCAATGGATTCTTCTCCTTTCCCCGAACTTCCCTGACTTGACTTTTCCTTGATTTAGATAACAGCCCTATCCCTAGCTTCCTAAGACGAGTTTCATTCTTCTTATTAAGGCAACTTGCTTCCGAAGAAGAAGAAGAAAATAGGGCAGTGCTCGCTCTGGAAACGGATGACCGAAGCGAAATGGATTTCATGCCAAGCGGTGTGGTGTAGATGACTAGATGTCTGTCTGGACTCTGGAGTCTGGAGTCTGCCTAGGCGGAGGCGCTATACACAGCATGATACAGTATCTCCAGCTATGTTCATGATGGTGGTGGACTGCATACTAGACAGGCTTGTACCTAGGCATCTAACTGCATGCTGTACACGTGCAGCAGCACGCACGAACGATCTACAATGTAATCTGAACATGTATCGAAGCCAAGCAAGCAAGATTCATGCCATTCTTTTCCTCTGCAGCGTAGCAATTTTAATCAATCGTACATACTACATACATACCTACTACATACAAGTTCAAGGCTTGTATAACCAACGCCACAGAGCACGGGAAAGTAGACTATAAATCAAGGAAAAGAAGGCTTTGGATTAAGGATGTTGACCTGATGCTTAAATTATTAATGATGCCTACTAACTAACTATGTATAATGTAGTTCCTGGTAAGCCGCACCTCAAGGATCATGGAATATTCTGTAGGTACGCATAATACTAGGTAGCCAGCCTGCTTGCCGCTGGCGATTACATATGATTATCAGGACAGCGGTGGCGTCATGGGTAAGGGACGTTTTGTTTGAGGTTTGATATAATTAGTATCTTATCTTTTTCGTTGTATCTTTTTTCTTCTTTTTTTTCTTTTTTTGTTGAAAATTTGAAATCTGGGCTTGCTGCCTCGGTCTAGAACTTTCAAACCACCGTCACCGCATAAGGTAGATTAGTGCGACTCCATCCCTTTTCTTCTATATCACTATATTAGAGTGAAAAAAAAAAGAAAGAAAGAGAAAAGAGAGAAAAAAAATTTTAGATGGAATTTACGAGCCGCCCTTAAGTGAACTGGCGGCATCCCAGAGCTGGAATGAACTGAACTGAGAGGGCGCGTCATGTTATTATGTACTCGTGTTAATATCCCATGCGGATTCCTTCTCGACCAATACCTACCACTAGCCATTCCCTCCTACCTAAGTCGGGAAGTACGATGCCATTTCAGCTTTCGGGACCGTTACATGGTGTAGAATACATACGGATAGTTACTATGTTAGTAGCAATATTGAATAGTTTTAGTCCTAGTTATTCGTACCTATTCGGCCGATGATAGGTCGGATTTTCCATAAGAAGAGCACACAAACTCCACACCGGGGCTGGGCAGCATTCGTTCTCACGAGAAAAAGGGCCCCTGGGGACCTTGCCGCTTACCTTAAAGCTGCATGCCCGTCCGACGTGTGTGTGTGTGTGTGTGTGTGTGTGTTCCACCATTCGTCCAAACTTCCACAAAACGTTAACAATCCATGGCTAGCCACGAGAACGGTGATACTGACGCAATTGATGGTTTCGTGGTACCATGCCATCAATCAATTGCAATCCGGCAACACATAACTACTCCGTAGGTACCTAGGCGTTCTAACCTACATGTTTGCTCCCAACATTGCCTAGGTACACCTGGTAAGTTAATAAATGAGAGATTGAAGTTGAACAGTTGGCAAGTCTACCTAAGCATAGGCACTATTATATCTAGTTAATTGTAATATCCAAGCAATATAAAATTCGCAAAAAAGTATGGCGCTTGCATCGCAGATCATCAACTCAATCGAGCGGTATCGATCGCCCATCATCTGAAGAAAAAGAATACGGTACAATGCTACATCGCACCAGCAGAACATGGGCATGTGTGTATCCCGCTACGAAGAACCTTGTGCAGATTACGAGAAGTATTTTAAAGTAAGTAACTATGTATGTATTAAAGTAGAGAATATTCATTCCATCTTGACTCAAAGATCCGATGATGTATTACCACCATACATGTACATGTAAGTTACTAGGTTAGGCCTGTTGTGTAGGGTATGTAGGCATCCAGCTACATAATGTGCGACGCGGCCACTATGGGTTGTTGTCGCACGAGCTGAGCATGTAACTAACCTACATAGCTACATAACTACATGTATGTTGAACAGTTGAAAGTTCAAAGTTGGTGCTTCATTCCCGAAGTCCCTCCAGCCTGCCTAGCTTCGCTCGGTGACTTTTCCCAGGTTCTGCACCTACATATGTACACATGTATTCTCTTCCTCGAACTCCCATTGGCCTCTTTGCCGGTTTCACGATGTCGTACCTGCGTCTTAGCAGACAGGGGTGCCATACAGGGGGGTTCAATACAGGGATATCTATGTAGCGCAGTGTAGCGCAGTGTAGTGTAGTAGTGTATTTCTGTTGGTGTCGCGTTGGTGCTGGCTGCTAGTTAAACCGTTGCTTAAGAGGCTTAATGGCTTGGTACGTGGGGCTCAGGGGTAGTTAATACATACATAGTGCCTGAATGCTCGTAATTCGCTTCCTTTCTTTTTCCTTACTCGTAGTGTAGATTCGTACTACATAGTTAACTACCTACTGTACATAATAAGCATCTTTCCTCCTTCATCCCATCCTGGTCATCTCATCCCAGGCCCCCCCCCGCTTAGATCAATCTCGCCAATTCGCCATCTTATGGGCCGACCATCGTCAGTGGAGTCACAGCCAGTCCTCAATTGACTAGGTTAGGTCGCTGTCCGTCAACTAAAATATGATGAGGGGGGCTAGGGGGGTACCTAGTACTGCTAATATGGGATGAATGTATTATGTATGTATGTATCTTGATACTACTCCGTACTTTGAGCAGTAGTTAACTAACCTAGAGCAGCATAGTTATTGCTTGAAAGACATACACCATCCTTACCATGTAAGTAATATGTAGCCCATGTATGTATTATGTATTATGTAGTATGTAGTCCATGTAGTCCATGTAGTGTAGTATCCCACACTAGCCGCCAAGGTAAAGGAGCCCGCGAGGAGTCTCTAAAAGGGCTCACCATCCTCCCAGTCGCGAACATATGTCTCTCTTCCTTTCTCCTCCCTTAATTCTTCGCCATCTGCGTGTTGTTCTCTCTCTTTCTCAAAAACAAAAAAGTCTTCATCTCCAGTCTCTCATTTATTTTTTAACATTCAAACCGCTGTCGGTTCAAAAAAGGTCCCTTTCTTGCAAAAAAGCCCTCCCCTCCCCAACAGCTTCTTATTCTTCTAAGCACCACCAATTGTTTTTCTTCTCAAAAAACGGCAGCAGCTTTCGCGGAATCGACTTTCGCTCACTCATTCATAAAAACCGTACTTGCTTCGCATATACGTCCACTCTTTCGACAGACAGCAACGAAGGATCAAAGACTTATTGAATAAAGAGCAAAAGGATTACTACTAGAATTGTGAGATTACAAGTACACACACAAGATTCAAAATGAAGTCCACAACCGTCGCCCTCGGCCTCTTCGCCGGAGTCACCTCAGCCACCTACAACAACCACCCGCGCCACTTCCACAACCCCTACTGGCGCCGGAACGAGACCGCCTCCCCGGAGAGCTCCACCACCCTGACCGTCGCCATCACCACCGTCCACACCATCACCTCGTGCGCCCCCACCGTCACCAACTGCCCCGCCGCCACCGGCAACAGCACCGGCCCCGCCGTCGTGACCGAGGTCATCGACCTGACCACGACGGTGTGCCCCGTGACCGCCATCGAGTCCGTCTCCAGCGCCGTCGTCGGCGACCACAGCAGCGGCCTCATCACCGGCGTCACCCGCACCGTGACCGCCATCCCCACCCAGAGCGTTAGCGACGTCTCTCCCGAGGCCACCGGCCCCGCCGCCCCCGGCGTCTCCGTCTACCCTACCGTCGGCGTCGTGGACGAGACCCTGACCATGACCGTCGGGCCCGAGAGCTCCCGCTCCATCCTCGTCACCACCCTCAAGTCCACGCAGACGCACCTCGTCACTGTCACCGCCGTCCCCGTCCCCGAGTCCACCGCCGGCGTCGACAGCAACGGCAGCGGTGGCGGCTACCCCACCGCCGAGGACGAGAAGACCACCACCACCACCATGACCTCCACCGGCACCCGCACCGTCACCGTCACCCCCGCTGAGTCCTCCACCACCACCGGCGTCACTGCCCAGGAGACCGGCACCGGCTCCAACACCGGTTCCAGCGAAAACAACAACAACAACGACAACTCCGGCGAATGCGTCGCCACGACCGTCACCGTGACCGAGACCCAGCCCGCCAGCACCGTGTACATCACCGCCACCGTCCCCGTCGTCGCCGAGGCCAGCACCCCTGCCGTCGCCACCACCCCCACCGCGACCGTCAGCGAGGCCAAGCCCACCGGCACCGGCACCAGCACGACCGGCTCAGGTGAAGGAGGCGAGGAGGACGACTGCCCGCCCGAGGAGGCCGATGTGACCGCCACCGCCACCGCCACCTTGGTCCCCTACCCCACCGGCAACAACGGCTCCGCGCCCACGTACCCCTCCGGTGCCGCCATCCCCACCGTCACCCTCCGATAAATGACTTTGTGAAAAAAGTCTCTCCTCCCTGAAACCTAGGTAACCTAGTTTGATCTCTTCTAGGAGATTAGATTTACGAGGGAGCTGGACGGAGTGAAAAGAAACTTGCAACGTACACGCTTCTGTAAAAAACTACGATGCTTTCTTGGATAAAAAAAAGAAGAGGAAACACCTTGTAGTATTCATATTATAGAGAGCATGAGACGAGGGATGATTGCACGACAAATACGTATACCTACACCACCAACTACCACAAACATACCTAACCTACTTTTACCTACTTACTTAACCTACTTCTCTGTACACATATACATATATCAATCAATTTTCTCGTTTACCTCACCCATTACTAAAAAGCGTTGCTTGTGCCTCATCTATCCTCTTTGGGGGTCCCCCTTCATCCCGTCCCTCCCCTGCCCTGGCTGGTCTACCGCATTTAGTTCTTCGTCGTTCTTCCTGGCCAGGCAGCCAGCTGTAGGGGTACCTAAGGAGCGGATTTGTTTTTAGCATGAGGAAAGAAAAAGCGAGAAAAACGCATATGGGGTACGGATGGAAAGCCTAGTTGGTTAGGTAGTTGGCTTCTGGTTTATGGCTTGGTTTGGTTTGGTTTTGGGTGGGTGATTTGGATGGGTTGGTTGGTTAGTCCCAGGTGAACTCAGCCATACCTACTTTTATGAGCTCGCCGCGTGCGGCGGGCGGTGCTTTTTTGTTGTTATTCCTTCCTCCCCTTTCCGTCCGCGACGTGGATGCGATGCCGTAGACGGCGACCCCCCTTTTTATCGTTTATTCAATTCTTTTGTATGTATGTACGTGTGTGTACGTGTGTATACATATGTATGCAAGTGTTGGTGGTGGTGATGGTAGTTTAGTGTGTCGGTAGACGAAGCTATTTCGCAATCAAGAGTTATGGCACAATTATCAGGGCACTTCTGTTGTGTGACTCGTCGTGATGCTAGCTTTGTTAGAGTCTTGTCGGACTTATAGAAGATGACAAGATGATGCGTACCGGGGAAATCATCTAATCTTCCCAGCACCTTTAATACTCCTATCCATGCGTCCGTCCCACGACGTTCAGGAGCAAGCCTGTCTCTACGTAGTTGAGTGTATTCGTCTTCGGCATCAGACCATTTCCAGCTCTCTCTCAAGTACGGTTCCAGCAGAGAAGAAATGGATACTCTATGAGAATGTACTGATGACAATTGTTCAATGAGAAATATTCTATCTTCATGTCGTAAGCTTCGTAAAAGAGCTTCGTAGCCCCTGCTCCCATCTTTCCAAGCCTATATGCTATCGGGATGCACATGGCCGAATTTGGACCAGTCTTGGATACAATCCAGTGACGAAAACACCGTCCTGGAGAGTGCATCGGCCACTCTATTCCTTTCTCCCTTCATGAACACAATTCGTATGTTTAGAGGTCTGAGTTCATTCGCCCGACGGGCATAAATACCCTCCACATTCGAAGAGGTCTGATGGGACTCAATCAGTCAATCGTCAATGGAATATATAAAAGAAGAGAGGAAGAGAACGAAGCTCTCAACCTCTCAGGCTAGCTATATATGCATGGATAAGGTTCAGGAAGCTGCGGCAGCAGCAATGGAGATGCCTACATGGCAGCAGCTATAGATAGCCACGGGAGTGGCTATCCACGTCCATGGCCACGTCCATCCATGTCCTAACAAGGTCATGAAAAAGGTTAGAGGCTTATTGTCGGTATAAATGATCGAAGGAACGCGCGCTTGGGCGTAGTTTGGGCACTTGCAGTATTTGCAAGCGCAACGCCGGCGTTGTTGGGGGGAAGAGTTGGTGCTACTGAGTGTTGACTATGTGTTATCGGAAGTATCTCTCGTGCCGTCTGGTGAATTCCACAATAGCTGGCGAAGTGCCAAATAGGCAGCCCGAAGGCTACCCTCGTGAGGCTAATGGCTCACGCAACAGCAATATAGCCATTTTCTACCTCGAAAGCCATTATACCTAAGCCCGACGTGTTGTCGTAATCTGATGGTTTGGGTAGTTTACCATCACATGAGAATGAAAGGCTGAAGAGTCATTTCTGTCCATTTCGAACTAGGTATCCTCCGCTATCTCTTTCATTCGCCGAGTGAATCCCATGTCTAGATCACAATCCTAAAAGGGGCTGGTGGGTTCAACAACAATGGTCGTAACTACCTTTCAGGCTCCTTTCCTTTTCTTTGTGTTGGATTTGGAACGCCCATAGGAACATGTCCCTGAAATGGGGATGATCAATCTGATCGAGTTTGGTGTTATTGGTGTTGTCCTTTGGAACAAATTGTTAGAATACTAGATAAGCTGTAGTTGTCTGTGGATTATCTGGTGTTGCTCGTCCATCTTTTGCTGCATAGAGACCTTCAATACGTCCAGGGTTTGGATTTGTTTGTTTGTACTGTTAAATTCACGGACTATCGCGCATGTCAACCTATCGACTCTGGTATATACTGCGCGGACAATTTTCCCATTAATGTCTTCGATGATACTTTGGAAGTCGTCATCTGAATTTTCTCCTCTAGCACGCCCGCCCAATTTTGGCGGGATCTCTAACTATTCAGTCATTGGACGAGTACGTGGTGGAATAGAAGAATAGGTGGGGTGATATTGTGAGTGGGAGTGAGAGCACAGAGTCCTATTGAGCTTTAGTAAATCGTAACCTTTGGATGATACTAAGATGTTGACCTCGTTTGGCGAGCGTCCCACGACAGAATTGAAATTGAAATTGAAATTGTCGTATGCCAAGAGAGGCACAAGTAGTAATGGATTACGCTGCGACGAATGCGAAGAGTATTAGAGATTCCATGTTCTTTATCTCTGGAGGTGCATCTTCTCAAGCAAAATAGTTCCTCTCCCATCAAACAGTATGAACATCCTTCAAGCCTGGCGACTAGACCGTGGGTACAACGCCCGACATGGATATTCTAGTCGTGTCTTATTTACGCTTATTGGCGGGGAAGTCCTCTAGGTCATTGGCAAGTTCTTTATCCTCTTGGTGCTTGGTATTTATCACCATCTGTTCTTTGGCGTGTTGCTCTCAGCATCATGAGCTACAAGCTGCTCCACTGTCATCGCGTGTCTGGAAGTCCCTCTGTATATAGCCCGTCGAACTTTGCTTCTGGTGTGGCTATGATGACGGAAGCACAAGATATGGGCGGTTTCGAATTCCATGCATGTGCTTCTATGCCCAAGGCGATTAGCCTCGCCCCCTTAGTTATCCAACTCCATTCCGGCCAGTTCACTACTGAAGGTCAGAGAAGTCAAAGTCGAATTGGCTTGGGGCCAGGCTGTTGGCCAAACATGAACTGGCTGTCACTGTTGACCCCATTGACCTGGTGGGCCTGCCCGAAGAAGCCAAGCAGCTGCAGCTGCGGTTGGCTCTTCGAGGCATTTGTTGATTGTACCACCACCATACAGCTGACGGGCCGAATCCAGACAGATGTGTATCTGACGTATCTCGGATCAGCTCTGATACTCCAAGGCCCGTACGATCTTGGTGTTATTCTTACTTGTGGCGACACTGTTCACAACGTCCCCGCGGCTTTATAGGCTCAAGATCGCTACATGATGGAGGTCGTCCTATGAGGGCATCTCAACACATTTGATGACATGTGTAGAGCCTATACAATACACGCTGGGTGGCTGAGTGCTTAGGGAAAATGACGCATGGCCTTTGGGTAATTGATCGGCCAGGGATGAGAATATTCCATCAGGCCTTGCTGGCTATCATCACCCAAGGGGTTATGATCAATCAAGAACCATGGTAGAGTAATCAATTGTAAAATGCTTGTCTGGAATGGATGGTTCTTGGTCAAGTGATACAGGAGTGAAGATGAATTGGCTGGTGTTGTGATAGAAATGAATTGGTCGTGAACTTTTGTGTTGAGGGAGAGAAGGGACATGCATAGTAGTGATTCATGAAGAGGGGGGAAATGTTATTTGGTTATGCTTTGACTTCTGATAGGTACCGTATGTACTATATATGAAGAAGGCAAGAGTTACATAGTACTGAATTAAGCTCCGTGTAACTTCCAAGGCCACGACTACTTCAAGTAAGGTGCCGCTATATGCCTAGGGTAGTTACATGTTAATGTTGATATATGTATAGTTATGGCGCGTTACAGGTCATTTATTTGCTGTCTCAACTTCCAAGTATCAGGGTCCTACCCAGACAATACCCCTTACCCCTTCCCGTCATTCACCTAGGTTAGCTTGTCACGGTTATTTCATTGGCGCTATATAACACCGGTAAATAATAATTAACTTGTTCTCTTCTTGCAAACACACACACCTGAGGAGTAGTAGTTGCTTTGATTTCAACGTTGATTTCAGCTTTGACTGTTGTGGCGGGTGATCTTGGTTATATGAACACTCGTGCTATATTGTTAGCTAGTCTACATCAACCTGCATAGATTATATCTGATACGAAACGTTTATAACTAGGCAAGTAATACATAGGAACTCGACATGTGCTGTAATATAATGATAACATGTTGAAACCAAACAAACGATTATACTAATTTGATAAGTAGACCCAATATAAGAGGCCTCTTCGTCTTTTCTGAATCGAGGGCACATGGGAGACCAATACTACGAAGAATCAAACAAGTACATGATTTAAGGCATTATCATTTGCTCATGATTTTGACAGTTGCCTGCTTCACTATTTCGGATATACGTTAAACTTTTGCATCCCCTTTGCCATTCCTGTCTATCTGATATCGTGGGGTCGGTCCTATCGATCCGCTTCTACGAACCACCTGGCCCACCAAGTAGAGCGAATCTTCGCACGATACCAGGTCCGTATTCTTGGTACTACTCCGAGTTAGTCCCTGGCTAAAAACAAGTAGAAGAATCAAAATTTACTCACCTCTGCTTTGGTGTGGCAATAAGATCGGAACTCAGGGGTCTGCCCCAATAAGCTGCCACCAAACCATGGGCCATGCCGTTGTCGCTTGTGCGAGATAACCTGAACCTCCAAGCCACCGCTCTTGGCTCCTCCACTGCGGACTTCGCTAGCACGAATTCTTGCGTCTACCAAGTGCTTGATGTCACGCTGCAATCTTCGCCCAAAATCCTTGTATAACGTGCTGCCTCCTGATAAAACAATATTCTTGTATAGCCCTCTTCGGACGTCGATCGGACTTGATTGGATAACACCATCAACAACGACAGGCAGCGGCGTGAGGAAGTCGGAGGAGTAGATTTCCGGGTTGAAGAATATTTCAGGGGCTAGGAATCGCTCATATCCCACGTCGACGGTCACTTGGCGGCCACCTGGCTGCGAAACAACGTGCTTGGCAAATCGACTTCGATCTCGGTCGAATCTCGAAAATTCCTTGACAATATCTGGGCATACGTAGCAGTGCTCTTCCTTAATTTCTTGGGCCGTCTTTAAAGAGCTGTCGGGCTCGCCTCGGTCACGTAGCAAAGATTGGACGAAATAGGTTATATCACGACCGGCGATCGGGATGGACTTTATAGACGATCCAATCACGTAGCCTTCGGCAACGGGAATGACGTGAGTGACACCGTCGCCCGAATCAATAACAGTACCTGTTAGAGAGCGATCAGACACTTTCGCGGATGTCCACGACGCAGCAAGAGCGAGAACGGCCTGAACTGCGATGTAGAGTCCGGCGCAGTTGAAAGACTCGAAGAAGATCTCGGCGGTATTTTCTCGGTTTTCGGGAGGGTTCAAAGGCTGTTATATGTTAGCGGGCGGCTGGTGCTGGCTATGATTGCTGTTGTTGCATACAGGCTCGGTCAAGAGGAAGTAGTGGTCTTCGGGCTCGACACGTAAATACTTGAAGATAGAGTTTGACCAGAATCTTTCCATATGGTCCTGAAAGGGAGTATCAGTATTGCATCGGAGGGTAGTGGGTTCGGAGTTTATACCCAGTTCTCTATTTGACCATGTCGAATTGGGTAGTGTAGCCCATAACCTATGCTAACGTCAACATCCTGTTCGGATAACTTCGTCAGATGCTAAGCACTGACCCGGCCCATTTGAAGCGGCAATGGCCTCGTCGCCGATAAAGAAGTCCAAGTCTTCGGTGCCTCGTTTGGACGATAAATTACCGCCAGGGCCGGTACCTCCTGTAAGGAAAGTTGGCTTGTTTGCCACGGCCGGTCGACCCGATCCGGTTCCTCCAGCACCTCCAGCGGGGCCTTTCGTAGCTATCGCTGTCGGGAAGACGAAGGAGGGAGAATCGTTTCCGGCGAAACCTGTTGTCGCAAAGGAGCGGTGGGTTAATAAGGCCGTAGTTGGCACAACAATAGGAGACGTCTCAAAGAGCTTGAAGAGCTTGCTTACCAAGCTTTGAGAAACCCGTGCCGCTGTTTATCACATTAGAGTTAGCATCACCTCCAAATTCATTATGTGCTTTATATGTCTCAAATGAGTAGCTCAGCTATTGGTTGCGGGGTCAAGAAAGAGGCCATACTTGTCCATGACAACGGCAGGGGTTTGGTTCGCCATTATGTCGAGAGAGAAGCTGCGCAAGCTTCCTGATTTAGAAAGGTTAAGGCAGAGAATTAGAGGAGGAAGGCTTTATTATAGTATCGAAGAGGAAGCTCGCGGGATAGCTGTTGGGGAAATTGGCTGACAATGATACGGCCTAGAAAGTTGAAATTACGTGCCTATCGTGAGGTTTAGGTACTTGGGTAACGTAGCCAAAAGGTGGCTGTGCTCAACTGCCCCTGTTCCCCGCTTTCTGTGGCTGATATGTAGCTACTGCTGAAGATGGTTGACTTGGGAACTGCTGGCAGGTGCAGTGAGTGAGCGGTGGCTGTCATTCGAACCATGTGGGGGTAGTACATGGATCCTGGTCTTCAAGGTTGCACATGTGTCTTACATAACTTTGTACTAGCGTGGTACAATACATCCCATCTAGGCCCACAGCTGCCTGCCACTTGCAAAGTCTTGAACTTGACTTTGACTTCATCCCAAGTCTTACCTCGTCTTATAGACGATCTTCAGAGGATATCATGGATAAAATCTAAGAGATTACCTGCCTACCTTCCTAGGTAATATTATCTATATCAACTATAAGTCAACAACATGGATAGTGATATTCGAATTTGTGTCTTGATTGAAACAAGACTCTTTAAGTTAATACAGTCAAAAAAGACCTAGAAAAGGTTACTGAAGGGAAGGACCAACCTGAGAAACGAGGAAGGTACGATTCTCATATCCATATAATTTATTCGTATATTGGGCGCCTTATCAATTCTCAATATCAGGCAGTTTCCACTTGCTCAGGAAAGGACGATCTTGGTTCTTCCATCTGCAGGTAGGTGTTTTTTAAACTTCGATACTGGCCAGTTGCATTGTCTTTAACAATCTTGCCTTCTCACTTTACTCACTTCCACTCACTTCACCTACTTCACCTACTTCACCTACTTCACCTACATACATTACATACATCACTCCACCACCGTATTTCATCATTCAACCCAATACTTATTCTTATTCTTAGCTATACCGTATGTGCTCTTAACTAAGCCAGGCCCCCATCAAGGTTTCAGCTTCCGTCTCTCAAATCATCTTCTCGGTATTCTCATTCTCAAACATATCATATTGGCTGGTAGGACCTTATCATAGAGGTGTATATGCTTTCTCATTATTTCCATCTCCTGTCTACCTAGCTTATTCCACTTCCTCGAAATCTCCCTATTTATATTTCTACCCTCCGTTGACGCCTGTCTATCTTGGGTATCGTAAAGTATTCCTTCAATATCCAAATTATATTCTTTCTCTTCTAATCAACGCTTACTTGGTATTGATTCTCATAACTCCTGTCCACGGCCCATGTCCTTCCGAATGTTCTTGAATCTATTACTACTCTGGGCCAACCGTACCTAGTAGTTCTTGAATTTGCCAGGCAAACATTAAGCCCTACTTTACCACACAATCTTCCTAGTCTGAATACTGGACAAGCCGTTTCCTTGCTCGCGCAAACAGGAGTTTAGCACAATCTGAACGACGAGAGAAAATCCATTTTGTTACGTGGTGGTATATGTTGACCAGACCTGCTCTTCCCTAGACCAAGAGAAATTAGACTATCCCGACCCTCTCATTTTTTCTAGCATCGGTACTTTTTCTATTAATCTCATACCTCGAAATGGACCATTGCGGTTTTCAAGACATCGAAGACTTGAATTCTGCACAGAACGATAGTAAAAGCGAGGATGTTATTGACGACATGCCCAATGTTACAAAGCGTTCGGCAATCCCTTCTCTTCCGAATAAAGATGACTTTCTTTCCACGGATGGAACAGCGGATCGTCGAGCGAAGCGTATACGACTACCTGTAGCCGCCATTTTCGTTCATGCTGGTGCCGGATTTCATAGCCCCGCCAATGAGAGAATGCACCTAGATGCTTGCAATGAGTAAGCAGATCTTTCAATCCATCTGTAGAAATTCGCTGACACCCTCTGTAGAGCTTGCCGTCTAAGTATACGAATCCTCCGGTCCGGTGGCTCGGCCGTTGAGGCTGTCGAAATAGCTATAAAGACCCTCGAAGATAATGAAATTACCAATTGTGGGTATGGAAGCAATCTGGCAATCGATGGGACCGTCGAGTGCGATGCGACCATTGTCGATCATCTTGGTCGAAGCGGAGCTTGTGGTGCAGTTCCTAGTAAGTTTATACCTCATGCATTCGCAGCAAATTTTCGGTGCGCTCATGCATGGATCTGTAGACATTGGGAACCCCATCAGCTTGGCCAAGGTCATACTCCAGCGTAGCAATACACCCCTCTCTTTACGCCGCGTTCCTCCGAACCTGCTTATGGGAGATGGTGCTAAGGAGTTCGCTCGAGAGTCGGGTATACCGCTGATTCGTAACGAGTTTCTCGTGTCAAGAAATGCCAGGGACCGCTTTTTTAGATGGCAAGAAGAACTGCGGCGAGCCGAGAGCCAACGGAGTCCATCAACCAGCCCTGAGAGCTATACTCAAGCCAGTGATATCGATTATGATAACAAAATTCGTCAAGCCGCACAACGGGATCATACCAATGCTATATTGACCGGAACTTGGAACGAGGGCCAGCCAGACTCGCCAGGTTCACCATGGAGAAGCCCGACGTATCTACCTGGTACGTACTCAGGAAGTCCTCCTTCGCCCCCGCCAACAAGCCTGCTTCCACCCGCAACTACGCTTGTGCATGGTATGCGTAATCTCTACGACCCATCTCATCCTCGCCCTAAACCTTGGCTGGGAAAGGAGTCAACACCGTCTTCAAGGTTCCCTCCATTCATTGGAGGCCAAAACAACGAGTCTTTCAAATCAGATCCTAGCACGTCGGCATCTAACGATACGACCAGTGTAGCTCCCCATGATGGTGCTTGCTCGAACGACTTCCCAACCCCTCTCACGCTCCAGATTGAAGATACCCCTACCACCACAGCGACGTCACATTATGTTGGTGATCAACAGTCGCCTCGGACTATCGGTAGCCACCAAAACGAAGACGAAGACGATAACATAACCGATACGGTAGGTGCAATTGCAATTGACCAGTCCGGAAGGATTGCGGCAGGTTCATCTTCAGGGGGTATTGGCATGAAACACCGAGGACGAATTGGGCCAGCAGCCTTGGTAGGGATTGGAACAGCTGTCATCCCGGCCGATGAACATGACCCGGATGGCATAGCCGTCGCCGCCGTAACAAGCGGCACAGGCGAGCACATGGCTACCACTATGGCGTCCCAAAAATGTGCGGAACGCATATATCAAAGTACACGCCGCGGGCCCCGCGGGAAGGACATTGACGAGGATGATGAGAGTCTAGTACTCGAGGGTTTCATCATCAATGATTTTCAAGAACACCCTGGCGTCAAGCAATCAACCTCAGCCGGCGCCATTGGCGTCATGGCTGTAAAGAAGAGCTCGAAGGGGTATTATTTATATTTTGCGCATAATACCGACTCGTTCGCCCTTGCCTCGATGAGCTCTAACGACCGTGAGCCGGCTTGTGTCATGTCTCGAAATAGTATAGGAAGCACTGGATATGCAAACGGCATCGCCCAGGGAGCTCGGAAGATTCACATCTGAATCAGTCATATTGAGACCAAGTTATGACCTGACCCTCGAACTAAATTTCAATTCTCGCTGGCTTACTGGTTTCACTACCATTCAATACTCACACACTACTCGATCCAAATCGGTTCATCCTTAAAAGATTCTCTAACCCTTTCCTATTCACTTTCCTAGACGTAGTGGTTTACATGGCGTTGTGTTGGGAAGTGGTACTGGCACTTAGATAAGTTGGCGTTCTGTATAGGTTGTGGCCATCCTTGGCTGAACTCGGCGCAATTCTCGAAAGTCCGGAGACGGCTTTCCCCATCCAGATCCAAGAAGGCGTACGTGGAATGGCTTGGGCAGTTTTCAGTAGAGCAATAAAAATAACAATCCACGAGCACGGTCGCCAAACTGAAAATTGAAGCAATAGGTAGCTTGAGCACCGGTAGCATAGCAAATCGCCTGGACAACTTAGATAGAATGGATATAATATGAGGATTTAAGCTATCCTGAGAGCAATATGCAGACCGTAGTCGTCAACACTGATGACTATTCTTGTTTGGCAGTGTAGCCTTTCTAAACCTAAACCAAACGCCTTTTCCTATCTATGCAAGAGTTAAATTCATTATGGTACAACGCCGGCCCACCCTTGCGCAAAACCGGGGGGTTTTTTTTCTTGTGTGTGATGGTAATACATTGAGGGTATAAAGCATGCTAACAAACTTGTCGCCTGCCACTTATTTGGTAGGTTGCCACACAGGGCTGCCTTGGACTACCTACTCTTTCGTCATCCTACCTACACTTGGTACCTATCTAGGGTAGATACCTACCCCTGCCTCGGTAGATAAGAATGCATAGGTAAGCACTCATCAGGTAGGCACAGGCGTCCCCGTAGCACTACCGGTCTCCTCCCTACTACGGACGCCGTTAAGGCCGGCGGCGGCGGCTGTGGCGGCGCTGCGGGAGCCGGCATTGTTGGTGTTGTTGTTCTTCTTCTTCTTGCGCTTGAGGCGGGGGACGACGGCGGGCTTGGCGCCGTAGTTGCCGAGGGCGAGCTTGGTGCCGCAGGTGAGGCACTCTGCGTCGGGGGGCACCTCGCAGAAGATGCTGAGGCAGATGCTGCAGACGAAGCCGGTGTCGACGACGCGGCGGTGGCAGAAGCAGGCGGCGCGGAAGTCGACGGTGTCCTGGGTGGGGGTGACGAGGGAGACGCGGGCGGAGGCGTCAGAGAGGAAGCCGAACATGAGGTACGTGAGCAGGCCGCGAGGGTTGGTGGCGGCGGAGAGGAAGGTGCCGGAGGTGATGAAGGCGGCTTGCTGCAGGAAGCTGGGGGCGCCGTAGAGGGAGAGGGTGTCGAGGGGTATGCGCGCGTGCGAGGCGGCGAAGACGGCGTTCATGGTGGGGATGTACTGCGCGGGCTCGGAGTCGGAGACGGAGAGGACGAGGATGCGGGAGTGCAGGGTTGCGGTGGGGACCGCGCCTGTGGAAGACTGGTTTGTAGACCCTACGCCACCGGCGGCGGCAGTGTTTGAGGAGCTGGCTTGGTCGGAGGAGGATGTCTTGCCGGGCTCGAAGGTGTGTGACATCTTATTTATGTAGGATAGTGCGAGAGTGAGGGCGCCGGCGATGAGGGTTGTTGGATTCAGGTCCGACGGTGTGGTGTCCTCGATAAGGGAGCGTAGTGATGTTAAGATGGAGGATTCGACCTCGGAGAACTGAGGAAATTTGTTCGCAGACATCGTTTTCGCGTTGGGGACAGCCGCGTCGGCATCTGTCATTTCAACATCTTGGTCGTTACCATGATGGCCACTCCTTTTGCCACCATGCTTGCGATCTGGGTTCGGGGATTTCGGATACAGCCACACGGCGCGGTTGGGGTGCGCCGCGACGATGGCGACGTGGCTGTCATTGCCGAAAGCTAGATGGGCGTTGACAAAGACGAGCAGATTGGCAAGGGCCTTGGATATCGGGAGGAGAGGTGCTAGAGCGGCCCATGCGCGAGGGTTGGTGTCGATAACGATGGTGAGAAGAGAGGGAATCTGGGCAGCGGTGGAGGCGGGCTCGCTATAGTGTTTCGAGGCGTCAATGCGATTCATTGTGGCATAACAGTTGAGGGCTTACAGCCCGGTGGCCTCTGTTCTCTTCAGTAGAGTTGTAATTTTGTTTTTTTCTAATTTTTAGTTGCCGGTTTATGATTCAGCACTATTTTTTAGATTAATATTATTCGGATGTGGAGAGAGGAAATGGTTGAATTGTTTTATGAGGTGTTTGTATAAACAATTTATGAAGAACATTGAAGTTTGTAAAAGAAGTAATGTTGGTAAGAGAAAGGGACGTGAAGCTGTTTCGATCGGAATGAATCCGACCGATAACGATAAGAGCTGAAGAATTGCAAGGTTTAAAACTTAAAAACAAAGGCAAAAAACTTACTATGGATGCCTTTCACCTAGCTACACCGAAAATAAGGACCCACCACTAAGGGTGCTTATTGCCTCATTGGGTAAGGTGGTATTGGTGCTCATACTACGTACCGCGCCGAGCCGGATGTGATCTCGTGCTGGCCGCTAACACAAAGACGCCAGCTCACATGACTAATAGCTCGACGTCATATTTCTTATGGAACGCACACCCCTGTGCTCATCCATGCTCTCACACCCCTGCAGACACTTTATCTCTGGCGTTTGTCCAAGGTTGTGTCTAGATAACCTTATTGGGTGGCTACAAGCTTCGGCGGGGTAATTGAAGCAGAAGTTATTACATAGCACTATGTACCTACTACATACATAGTGCTATGATAGTACGAAGTTACTGTAGACCTACTGTAGATATTGTAGATAGTACCTACTAACTACATACATAGTGCTATGATAGTAGGTAGGTTACAGGCTGAGGTAGGCACAGATGGCGCTACTACATAATTATAACACTTTCCACGGGATTAAAGTGCGAAATAGAATTTGGAAGTAGATTAGTTTTATTTCTATTTCTATTTGCTTATTTTGCTTATTTTGCTTATTTTCTGATTTCAGTCGGAGATAGATTTATTGTTCAGTATATCTATCTTCCTTACATCTGCCTACATTTTCATCATCCATCAAAAATCAACAGATCCATCATACATCCATCCATCCATCCAATCCAAATACCCACTACACACACCTAGATATATCATAGTACATTTTCACATGTCATCCTGCAACCTGCAACACTAAAACCTATCTGTCTCTGTATCCTACCATACAAGTCAAAACCAAACCCACAGACAGACAGCCTTACGTATACTATTTTCCCCCACACCACCCTTCCATCAAATTCCCTTGCGGCACTTTGCATACTGCATGTTGCATGAGCTCACTTCATCATTCATCTTTCAACCAACCAACCGACCAGTCTAGTCAGGTCACTTCTGCTACCCTGCACATTTCGGACCTCATACAGGTCTAGATTGAGTTGTAGCAACCGACACCCCGCCAGTCCGGGTTGTGTGAGCGAATTTATCTCCGTATACACTCCATACCTCGATACTCTAAATTCACCTATTCCTGCTACACGCGTGTAGCTTACTCCAAAAGGCACTTTACGGTACGTCGCTACTTACTTACCTAGGTGGGCAATATTTTCTGACGATACCCGCAGCTGACCAGGATCGTCATTCAGCCAGTCAAATCTCAAGCCTTATATACCCGAGTAGGTAAGAAGTGTACGGCGTTTGTCTTAGGCATCATAACGACTTCTATGTCCGCCACGAGTACGGTGTTTACTCGTTACCATCCCCTTTCTTCTCCATCGCCCAACCCCACGATAAGTTAAGCTGCAAAGTCTGAGAAAGTTGTTCTTGGGTTTATCTTGAACAATTATAGCTTCTCCTCACAGTTATCAAGAGCTCTCAGCCTTCGTCGAATTTTACATCTCCCCAGAGACCAATCACTAACTAATAATACCAGCATAAGGGCTGAAATCCCCATACTCTGAAGCATAGACTTGCCGACATATTTCTTTTCCACACTCACTTCTATCACGTTCAACAATCCTAACCTGCCTTATTTCCTATAGTTGAAATATTAACAGCAAACGTCCCAGCACGAATAAAATGGACGAGTCACCCATTGACCTGACCTCGAACCGCGAGGAGATGGCTAAGTTTGACCCCGTGGGACAAGCACAGCTCATCCTCGCGCGATTAATGGAAGGTGGCCAGGAAGATGACGACACTTGCCGAGAGCTTGATCGCCTTACTAAGCTCCTGGATGAAGATTTCGCCAACAAAGATAAAAAGCAGTCGATCTGCGAGGTGATCGATGATGTATGTGTCGACACCATATTCGGGTATCTTGACATGAGACAGCCCGACTCAGTTCGCTACCATGCCACCTTAACTGCCTCGTCATACCTAAAAGCAGCTACCGATAAAGCCAATGATGCTCTCAAGAAATTCTTTTTTGATCGAGTCGAGAGGGGCACCTACGACGACTACATCGTTGCCTTCTGTGTCGCGGCATCCATGTTTCCCATTGCCCCAGATATCACGGCTAACATGTTCCTCAGCGAGGGGTTCTTGCCGAGCCTGGATCCCTTGATGCGACGAAAGTGGAAGAGCAGAAAGGTCGAGACTGCGTGCCTGGAGATGCTCAACACAGCCTCCATGAACGTGCAGTGTCGTGGTGCCATCTTGAAGTACTGCGCTGACTGGTTGGAAGAAGTCGTTGATCAAGATCCAGATGAACTTGCCAAGGCAGTCTACACGGCGGATCCCGAGGTTCATGTTAGCGAAGGTTCTATTGCTTTGAGAAAGCACTCCCAATCAGTTCGCAACTTGGCCGCGGTTATCCTAGCCAAATTGAGAGTAGGCACCCTAAAGTTCCCGTCCGTGGTACCACCATCACTCGAAAATCTCGTTTGGAGGTGATTGGGGGTAATGAGGAAACGGAGTTGGGCTGACCTGATGGCTTCAGGCGGTGCCATCGTCGGCGCAACAAACGACGGCAGAGGGATTCGAAGGTAGTAGAATTCAACCAGCGACTACCAGTATCGAAGATCTCTCTAAAATGTTCGGCACGATGTTACTCAAAGACCCAGAAACCACCAAGCGATATTCCGTGGAGGGATTGGCTTACGCAACGATACAACCTACAGTTAAAGAAGAGATTGCGAAGAACCAGGAGCTGCTTAAGACATTGGTGAAAATTTTGAATGAAGCGCCCCCGAAATCACCCCTTACATATGGTGCTCTAAGTATATTTATGAACCTTACACAATATCGACCTACCCAAACTGAAGAAGAGAAAAAGATGACTCAACTCAAGGCATATGCTAACGCCGCTGGCAAACTCGCACAACCGAATCCCTTGAATGACGATCAACATGTCTCGGAACGATGTAAAAGAGTTTTTGAGGCTGGTCTTGTACCAGTCTTAGTGACTCATAGCCGACACGGTTCCGTTGCCTCGCTAAGTCTTATCGTGTCCATTATTTCTGCTTTATCGGCCAACACTGGCTCTCGCGGTCAACTCTCGCAACAAGGAGCCGTCAACCTTCTTATCGCTGCGTGGACGGCCTTGCCGGAATCCGAAACGCAAGCCAGACGCACTGCGGCTCAGGCACTCGCTCGCATACTGATCAGCACGAATCCCGCTCTCGTTTTCGGTGGCACACGAGCACGACCACAGAATTCAGCGATCCGACCTCTCATTTCTATACTCCCTACCGACCCCGCAGCCGAAATGCGAGATCTCTTGCCGACGTTCGAGGCGTTGATGGCCCTTACTAATCTCGCATCCACAGATGATGATACTCGCACAACTATTATTCGTACTGCTTGGCCTGTGGTAGAGGAGCAGCAGTTATCCTCTAACAACATGGTCTCGAAAGCTGCTGTGGAGCTGATTTGCAACTTGGTGCAGAGCATCGAGGGCGTTGCTTTATATGCAGCTGACAACCCTCAAGCAGCAAATCGACTCCATATTCTTCTTGCGCTGGCAGACGCCGAGGATGAAGGAACTCGTAGTGCGGCTGGCGGCGCCTTGGCATCTCTGACAGCATACGACGCCATTGTACTTGGCATCCTCAAGCGAAATCGTGGCGTAGAGGTGGTGCTCGGTCTGTGCAAGGAAGGGAGCGAGGATCTCCGCCACAGAGGCGTGTTTGTGTTGTACAACATGGTCGCTTGCGAAGGGGAAGCGGGCGAGAAGGCCCGGAAGGAAGTGCGTGATAAGAACGGGGTCGAAATACTGAAGGAGTGCGCGAAGCTGAGCAGGAGGTCCGAGGTTGTCGAGGTTACCGTCCAAGCCTTGAAGGTTTTGCTTGACCAGAAGGACTGAGGATTTGTATGTTACCTAGGTACTTATCTAGGTACTTGCAAGTCTGGTTGGTACTCTGCTCTGCTTTATTTGCTTCCAGGACCGCTTCGATTGATTTTGTTTTTTGAGTTTTTGGTACGATATGTTATTTCCTAGGTCAATTATTTATTTCCAGGTAGTAGATTGGTGCGCGAGACGAGATGAGATTTTGTCTTGCGTTATTGATCTTTACTTTCTTCTTAATTTCATTTCATTTCTTCTTCGATTATTAGGCACGCTTAATGGAATTCGAGTTTGATGTTTACGGCAATTGATCATGCTTATATGTGTACTTGCCTAAGTATGTAATAGGGGGTATCGTACCTATGTAGCTATGCCTACAATTTGTATAACCCTAGGTAAGCAAATATTTACACGATTCTCACTTGGACCTCAAGACTGGTTCTTTCATCGCCTGATTTGTTGAAAGGTGTTGTTGTATGATACGCACACAGGCTTTTGGTTCCGCGCTTCCCTACTACTTACTAAGGTATGTACTAAGTAGAATGTCTCTTGGAAATAGTACCTACCTAAACTAGGTAGGTAGGTAAGTAGGTAAGTAGGTAAGTAGGTACATAAGGAGGTGGATATATATAGATTATGGTTTACGTTGCAATTCTCGGGCTGCTTGTATGTAGGTAGTATATACGTATTAAACACTTGGTACCTAGTAGATCGGTAGGTAGATAGCCTAGTACTTGGACATCTATCTACTCGTCAACCCTATTCAAAACAGCCACACCCTCCACATGGCCCGTCTGCGGGAAGAAGTCGAAGCCGCGGACACTCTCGATCGTGTACCTTGTCGTCTTCTTCTTCTGCTGCTGCTCGGTAGTAGCGGTAGTAGCAGCGACGACGTCAGTAGCAGTGACAGCAGTGGTAGTGTCGATAGCACCACCAAGCGGCGCAGCCGTCTCGCCGCGAACGAGGACGCCGATGTCGCGGGCCTGGGTGTGGACGTTGCAGCTGACGTAGACGACGCGGCGGGGGGCGTAGTCGAGGAGCTGGCGGAGGAAGTCGGCGTCGCAGCCCTTGCGGGGAGGGTCGAGGACGACGACGGTCTGGTCGGCGGGGTACTGGGAGGCGACGGCGTCGTTGGCGAAGAGGGCGGTGGCGTCCGCGGCGAGGAAGCGGACGCGGTCGGCGGAGAGGTTGTTGGCGCGCGCGTTGCGGCTGGCGTAGGCGATGCTGGTGTCGGCGATGTCGATACCGACGCTGCCGCCGGGGACGAGGGAGGAGAGGGTGATGGTGAAGAGGCCGGAGCCGGAGTAGGCGTCGATGAGGTATTTGATTTCAGGGGAGGTAGAGGGGGTAGGAGGAGAAGAAGATGATGATGAAGGGGGGTGGATTTGTTGGCGGATGTAATCAGTGAAGACGGGGAGGATGGAGTTGTTATTTTGGAAGAAGGAGCCGGCGGGATTATGGAAGACATATGGCCCGACGTACTCGGTCGACTCGCTGTTGTTGTCTGTTATGCACATTTTCAGGTCCGTGTACTCGTCCCCCTCGACGCGGATTGCATCCGCGGGCAAGGGTGGGAAATGCTCCTTGGTGTTTTCCGCCGCTTCAATAAGCTTCTTCGGGACACGCCTTGTAGTTTCCCGTAGCAGGATCGTGGCACCGCGTAAGTAATTACCGAATTCAGCCGCCATTCTCTCACGCTCACGCTTCATACCTTGTCGAACGGCATCGGTTCCGATGGGGCAATCTTCGATATCCACCGTATCTCGCTTGCCCTTCTGCATGAAACCGATCGACGGACACTTCTGGAGAGGTTGCTTACCCCTGCGCCAACCTGTGGGGCCGTCAAAATGAGGTGTGAGCTTTGTGCGATAGCCATACTGCAGCGGGCTGCCAATAGTGTCCTGGATGGCAGGGATAAGCTCGAAGGGGAGCTGAGAGAAATTGCGGAAGGCCTTCTCGACGATCCGCTTCTTAAGCTGTAGCTGGTCGGCGTAGTCGAGCATCTGGAATTGGCACCCCGAGCACTTCGAGAAGTATTTGCATTTGACGCGGCTATCGTCGCGGTCTGGAGACGGCTTTACGACGGAGATGAAGTCGGCAACTGTGTAGTTCTCCTCCTTCAAATGGCGGTACACTTTCACTCTGACGGTGTCACCGGGTATTGCGAATGGCACAACGTAGACCCGTTTGGATCCTTTCTGTACGGCTAAGCCGTCTCCTGTTGATGAAAGCTCCATGACCTCGACATCAATCTCAGTGCGCTCTTGAGGTAAGTCCGCAGGTAGGCCTGTAGCGGGTGTTGAGTTTCCTGCATCGTTCTTTTCAACCTCTTCAGACTTTTCGGCACCTTCAACGCTTTCAACACTTTCCACGTTTTCAACCTTGCTTTCCTTCTCCGCTTCATTAAGCTTGTTGATCAGATTCTGCACATCTATGGCTAACACCTCATCGGCGGTACCGGATCCCATAGCCCGTTCCCTCTTGCGGGCCTTCTTCTGGTTTCCCTTGCTTTCCTCCTTCTTCGGCTCCGCATCAGCAGCCTCTTGAGCAATTCGTTTCTTTGCCCGTGCCGCCATTATGTCTTCAGACATAATAACTATCACGTTACCTTGAGGAATATCAAAGGGATCGGTGTTCAAGATTTGGTCGGCGCTCAAGCCACCCGATTTACCCCTGTGGTTTCTTCCCCTGCTTCTACCGCCCTTGCTTGTCGAAGCTTGGCGCACGCCTTTTATTCTTTGTGATAAAAGGGAAGCGCCGTTGATGGGCTTGGGGAAGTTAGCTGGGAAAGGAAGCGATGTAATAGCAAGAGTACGATTTGTGAGCCTGCCTCTGAAGAGCAGTTGGGGGACCACTGAGGTATAAGCCTTCATTGGACTATGTTCAGATCCTACTTCGTTTTTTTTCTCTTTGCATGAGACGAAAATTGATGAAATATTGAAATTAGAAATTCTTCATTTTTTACTGGAGGAAAGATTTCACTTTAGTGATATAAAGTGGGTCCTTAAATCTTATCCATCTTATCGTGCTGATCTTATGGGTCCTGTACCTCCATATCTACATATGTGCCTAGGTAGGTACTTAGCATATGACGTCTAGTTGTTCTACCCAAACACGAAGTTACAGATTACGTAGATGCATGTATGGTATGTAGATGAAAAGGGGCTCTTTTCAATCACCATTGAATCATCTGATCATAACTCCTTTTTTTTTCATTGATAGCTGCACAATAGCTGAACCTATACTGAATAGATGTCAACAATGATACCCAGTGGCCTGCAACCCTTATTCCCCTAACCTATTTCTTTTGCAAATACGCCTCCCATCCGACCTCCCTTAACTTTTCAGCCTTAGCCTCAACCTCATCGCACATGCCCTTCATAAAGTCCGCCATGGCCTGCTGATATTTCCCATCGCTCGTGCCCAGGATTCTAACAGCGAGTATGCCTGCGTTCGTCGAGTTGTTAATCCCTACCGTGGCCACGGGGCAACCGCGTGGCATCTGCACAATGCTGAGTAAGCTATCGTTTCCATCGAGATGTGTGGCTTTGACGGGGACGCCGATGACGGGGACTGTAGTCTCCGAGGCCAACATTCCGGGGAGCGCCGCCGCCCCTCCCGCCGCCGCAATGAGTACGCGGATGCCACGACTGGCGGCCGATTTTGCGAGCTCGCTCATGAGGTGCGGCGTTCTGTGTGCTGAGGTGATGGTGAAATCATAGGGGACCTTGAAGCGCTCAAGGATCTCGAATGCCCCTTTTAAGACATGAAGATCCGAGTCGGAGCCCATGGTGACGACTACCAAGGGGTTCTTGGTATCACGAGACGAGGCTGAGATAGGTGCCGGTTTGGAGGTTGCAGGGGCATCAGGACGTAGCTGAGCTGATTTGGCTTCGAGACGTACTTGACGGATGTGGTCGACCTCTTTTATGAGTGGTGTCGCCAACTGCTCGAGGTTTGCTGTAGGTGAATAGGAGGTGAGGGTGATGTGGCCAATCTTCCGACTTGGCTTTGAGGATTTGCCGTACAGATGTAGAAAGACGTCCATATCATCGTGATAAAATGACTCAGCTAGACTAACCAGGGCGTCATGGGAGTCCTCCTGCACACCACCTAAAATGTTGAGCATAATCGCGCCTGATACTCGAGGCTGCAACTTGATAGATGGAGGGACTAGGTCTAGTATAGCGTAGAGTTGTGCCTTGTACTGGGACATGAAGGGCACAGCTTCAATGGTATAGTGACCAGAGTTGTGGCTATAATTAAGGTAATAAGTGATTAGTCAGGGGATGAGAGTAGTCAGTTTGAGAATGAGCGCTCTCCGGCGAGCTGAAGAAAAAGGGAGAAAAGGGGACAGAAAGGGGGGTGGTTGAAGACGGAATTTACTCACGGTCTTGGGGCGACTTCGTTGACCACCAGTTCATCTATCATGATGTAAGCTTCAATCGCAGTCTTGTGCAGGATGACTTACCATTTTCTAATACGAACATCTCCACACCAAAAACACCTCTGCCTTTCAACGTCCGAATGGTATCGGAAGCCAATTTCCTCGCCTTTTCAATTATTTCTTTAGACACATCTCGCGGGGGATAGAATGTCTTGGCGCATATAGAATCCTCGTGAATAGTTTCAACGGCCGGATAGGCATAAACCTGCTTCAGCACACCCTCATCATCCTCCGTTCTTATGACCATGACGGCAAGCTCCTTTTTAAAGGGGATGAACTTCTCAGCGTAGAGAGACAACTTTCCCATAGTGCTAATGGCCTCTTTGAAGTCTTCTGATTTGCTGACCTTAAAGTTACCACGGCCATCATAGGATAGCTTCCGTGCCTTGAGCATAAAGGGGAAGCCAAATTCCTTGGCAGCCTCTACTAATGAGTCTATCATGGGGTCGAAGTCATTGGAGTGAATATCCATCTGAGTAGCAATAGGCAAGCCTTTCTGGGCGAGATGTTCTTTCTGTAGATACTTGTCTTGGATCAGGCGCAGGGTCTCCCATGCCGGTTGCACAGGCACTTTCTTCAACTGGCCATTGACCTCGACGCCCTGGGTAGCAATTTCTTCCAGGACGTGGGTATCAACATGCTCGATCTCCACGGTAAGCACATCACACCTTCTGGCGAGTTCGCGAATCTTTTCCGGATCTTTGAAGGAGCCAGCAACGTGCTTGTCGTTCTGGTTTATCTGCCGAGCAGGGCAGTTGACTTCATCTAGTAATACGATTTCGATGCCGAGCAATGCAGCTTGCTCTTGTAGCATGCGCCCCAGCTGGCCTCCGCCTAGAAGGCCAATGACCGGTTTCTTAGCCATTAGATTGCTTGCCTTTGGCTATTCAAGAGTGATATATGTGTCGTATATCGGGAATGTGTGCACACATATGAGTAAGGAAGCTAATGACGCCGGTCCGGTTCTATTGAGAAATTTTGATTTTGCTCAAACTTGTACCTAAGTACTTTGCACTAAGTTCAATGGTGTTTGTTTGAACCAATCATAGCCAAGTTTCACGTTCTTCTTGAAGAAACGGTTTTGTGGGGGCAAATGCATTGTGCTTTCCTTACATAATTAAACCTTTATGCATACAGATGTCACTCTCATCATGAAATGAGTATCAGTGTCATAAGTTGTAGATATTGTAAGAGAGTCTTGATTTCTAACATCTCTTGGAACGTTTGTTATGAGTCTCTTTGGAAATGAAGGCATTTGGTAAAGGGGAAGCCGATACCAAACGGAGCAACTAATCAGTCCATGCCGAGAGTCGGGGACATCTGGAGTGAACAAGGGTCATTAAGAAGGTTTATTTTAAAACAACTGTATTTCTAAGCTAAGCTCCTAGACTAGCCTGGGTTAATTGATTGGTTGTTAGTTACCAGTGTCTACTGGGTTACAGTCTGGGTAAGTTGCTTAGGTATCAAGTGTAGGGAGGTACAGACTCAATACCTGTACTTTCTACATACATGTATCCGAGATTATCTTGTGTAAAGTACACGATAGGTATTCCAGAAGTGCCCGACGGTCCCGATTATACTCTTTTATTATTGTTATTATTGTTATTGTTAATCTAAACTCATTCATTCAATTATCATTCAAAGACCTTTTTCCTAAGCGAGCCTTAATTGAGAGTGATAGTGTTATTTCCTTATCTCTCTTGGTGGAAGTGCGCATGTCTGTGTTTTGAGACATCTGGAGTACATACCTGAATTCAAAGCATTACATGTACCTCGTAGGCATGTGAACGGGATCACAACATATAGGACTTGTATGGCAACATTTAGAATGAGTGAGTAGATGGACTGTCTGAGGGACACCACCCTATTTATAGCACACTAACCCAACTCATCTCACAGAACCCTTCGCGACACTTCCGCGGAATCTTCTGCTACTACTCCTAACCGTCGCATCCTCGACAGCAGCTCCTCATGGATGGGAACCGGCCGGACAGTCTGTATTAAAACACCAACCTAGTTCAGGAAGACGAGGCGCTGTCGCCTCCGAGAGCAAAATATGTAGTCAAATCGGTATTGATCTTCTTGCTCAGGGTGTAAGTTAAAGACATCCTTTCCGTATTCATGCCAACTATAAGTATATAATTGTCATTGCTCATCTCATAAATCCTAGGGTAATGCTGTCGATGCCTTTGTTGGTACCCAGCTATGTGTTGGCGTTATTGGCATGTATCATTCGGGTCTTGGTGGCGGAGGATTTAGTCTGATCCGCGGCAACGATGGCAATTACACCGTCATTGACTATCGCGAATCTGCGCCTCTCGCAGCGCACGAAAATATGTATAAGGATAACATCATAGGTAGCGTTTTCGGCGGGCTGTCTGTAGGTGTACCGGGCGAACTGCGAGGTTTAGAATACGCTCATAATAAGTTCGGCTCATTATCTTGGAAATCCGTCGTCCAACCTGCGGCCTCCGTAGCGCGAGATGGGTTCTCTGTTGGGCAAGATATGGTGGCTTATATGGGATTCGGTCTCAAGGTAGCCGGCTGGAATTTCTTGGTAGAAGATCCCGCATGGGCACCAGACTTTGCGCCGAATGGTAAGATTTACCACCTTACCCTGCAGCTTTGACACGTAAGCTAATGTCTGGTTTAGGGACGTTGGTGAAGTTGGGCGATATCATGACGCGAAAGCGCTACGCAGAGTATGTGGACGCTCTATCAAGATAGACATACTCTTCGTCCTTGCCGTTTACTTACTTCTATCCCAGAACCCTTGAGCAGGTAGCCGAACACGGCGCCGATATCTTCTACAACGGCCCGATAGGTTTGTAATCCCTTCAACCCTCGTGCACTTTCTTCTCTAATAATCTCCTTAAGCCGAGGCCACGATCAGATATATCCAGCAACATAACGGGACCATGACCCTCGAGGATATGCGTAGCTACGAGGCCGTCATCCGCGAGCCCGTCAACATCCATTACCGAGGCTATAAGCTCTTCTCCGCAGGTGTCCCCAGCAGCGGCGCTGTGTGTCTCAGTACACTCAAGACGATGGAAGGTTACGACTCTGCCGACACCTTTGCCGATGCTAATCTAACCTTACATCGCTTCGACGAATCCATGCGCTTCGCCTACGGCGCCCACCAAGCCCTCGGGGACCCCGCCTTCGTGTCCTCCGCCGCACCCCTCGAGGCTGCCATGCTGGATACCTCGCACCTCTCCTCGATCCGCGACCGGATCCGCGACGACACCACGCAACCCGTGAAGAATTATGACCCACAGGGCATATACGTTCCCTCGACTCACGGCACTTCGCACATATCCACGGCTGACAGCGACGGGATGGCCGTCTCCTCGACCACAACGGTGAACCTGCTCTTCGGTAGCCTCCTCATGGTCCCCGAGACGGGCGTCGTGCTCAACGACGAGATGAACGACTTCTCCATCCCCGGCTTCCACAACGAATTCGGCTACGCCCCCAGCCCCGCCAACTACGTGCGCCCCGGCAAGCGGCCCCTCTCCTCCATCACCCCCGTCATCGCCGAGACCTCCCACGGCCACCTCGCCGCCGTCGTCGGCGCCGCAGGCGGCTCCCGCATCATCAGCTCCACCACCCAGGTCCTCTGGCACCTCCTCGACCGCAACCTCTCCGCCATAAACGCCGTCGCCGCCCCCCGCTTCCACGACCAGCTCATGCCCAACCAGGTCACCTTCGAGTACTCCTTCGACAACGCCACCGTCGCCAGCATGCGCGGCAGGGGCCACAATGTCACGTGGGTGCGCGAGGGGTTCAGTGCCGTGCAGGCTATTCGCGTGCTTGATGATGAGGATAACGATGGCGATGAGAGTAGGAAGGGGAAGGGGAAGGGACCGAGGTTCGAGGCGGCGAGCGAGAGGAGACAGAAGGATAGCGGGGGGTTGACTTTGTAGTTAGAGAGTTTGGGGATGTTAGATCGGTGTGTACCTAGGTGTTGTGGCTCTCTGGTTTTGTTGTTATTGTTGTTGTTGTTATTTTATAGATGTCATCATGGGTGATAAATATAGATTTCTGTATACCTACCTACCTACCTTAGATCTATGTGGATACCTACTTTAAACTATTAGATGTAGTATACCCCGTAGATGAGTGTAAAAGAGGCACAGCGTGATTAACAAACAACATCGACGATCTTCACCAAGGCCGATTTCCAGATTCAACGCACTGATATCACATGGATACCCAGCCGCGGATCTCGTCCATAAAATACGTTGGAGACCTGTTACGTACCTACCTACTCGTCAAAAACAGAGGCATATATGTACAACTACTAGTAATGATAATAATATTTGCAACCCCCCCCTAGACTACCTACTACGGCCACCTATGTATGTATACTCCAGCACCCTATTTTCCACGTTCATTCCCATCCTTCCCCTCGAAACCCCCCTAACCCTTATTCGTTCATCTATCCCCGATACTGTCATCTCGTTTCATCATACCACCACACAACAGCGCAAAGCAAAGTAAAGGAAACGCAACGATGAAAAAAATCCGAGTGCCGCCTCCCACCGTTACAAGCCCTGGGGGTATCGGATGTGCAAGTCTATCATGAATATCTATGTAGTAGGTAGGCAATAGGTAGTAGGTTCAGGGGGGGATGGCGGGAATGGGGTTTTCGATATGATATGGATTTGGTAGTGGCAATAATACTAGTGCCTACGTAGTGGAGGTGAGAGGCTTAGGGGATGTGATATGATACGATAGAGGGATGTGTTTAATGAATTCACAGCTTCATAGCGACTAGCTTTTCAATTTGGGCTAGCCACCTTCTGACGAATTCCTCTTCTGTGAATCGTTTGGAAGAAAGCCGAGCCCTGCGCCGCACAGTAAGCGGGTCGGGGTGCGAGAGAGCCTTTTCAAAGCCCTCAGCGAATTCCGATGTAGTTGTCGCGTGGAAACCTGTATAAACTTGTTAACTTTTTAAATCTGTTGGAAAATGAAACGCAATAAATAGTCCACGTACCTGTAGGTTCACCGTCAACCTCAGTGACGATGTCTAGTTTTGGACCACCACTATTATGGACAACGGAAATCAGGCCCGCTGCGAGATATTCAACAACGCCAATTCCGAAGTGCTCGTTCCACATGCCATTCACGCCCACAAAAGCCTTGCCAAGCCACTGGAGGATCTCCGACCACGGGGCGTCGAGTTGAAAGATTACCTGCTCCTTGATGTGTAGCTCGTTGACTAGCAACCGAAGTTTGTAAACGCGCCTCGAATCGTTATCGTCCCTTACACTACCCAGAAGCACTAATTTTGCTTCCTTTGCCGAAGGAGTGCCCGTCTTGACGAATTCCGAGAACGACTGTAGAATGAGCTGGTGGTTCTTCTCGGGTCGGAACTGAGCGATATACACTAAATATTTCTGGCGCTGCTTCTCACTTTCTTCTGACAACTCAATTTGTCGTTCGATCTCGTTTACGGCACACGGGGGGTATACAACCGCGATAGGATTCACTCTGCCCCTTTGCTTTCGGCGTGGTCCCCATAAAGATTGGATGTGTCCTTGAGTCCAAGTGGAATTTGTCATGACCACATCTACTGATGCACCCATCCAGGAGTAGATTGCGGCGAACAGTTTCCAGTATTGCTTCTTGGCGAAACCCTTGGTGCCGACCCCCTTTCCAGCATTGACGCCTTGACTTCCAACTGTTGTTGTAGGGTCGAGAGAATCGAGCATATCGGTGGAAATGGTAGGATAATGTACATACGCAGCAGTCGGCATATCCGGGAATAGAATCTTGCAGAGACCAAGGACAAAAGCGTACCCCATGGTGTCCACGAAAATATCAGGTACCAAAAGAGATAAGGCTTCCCATCCCATGATTAAAGAGCCCAATGATTGTCCCAGTAAAGTCATATGCGGCCAAGTAGACGAAAGAACCCAGTGTCGAGTAGATAGATAGATGAAGTGAATTGTGGGAGGGTGAATGTCGATACTGAAGGTATTCTACAACATTATTAGCAATCCCGCTCCATACTTGTTGTAGCCTAGACCTCGAACCTTAACGCGAGAAAGCATGCTATCCTTGGACACATCGTGATCGCCTGTATATACCACGATTTTGGCATTGGGCCATCTCTTCTGGGTAGCTCGCACGGCAGCCCACAAGACTCTTTCACCGCCGCCTCCTGCATTGCAAAAGGGATGGAAGAATCCCACGATACCGTCCCATTCGCGATCACCTACTTCGCCGTTTCTAGAGGTTCCGGCTATGGAGCCATCAACATTCTCCCAACCTTCGTCCTCGCTGTTAGAGGCAGCCTCCTTTTGTAGATTCTCCCTCTCTCTAAATCTGGTTTCGTTTTCGGTGGTGGTGCGAACAAGTAGGGTGCGACGTCCTTCGGATCCTTTTCTCAGACACCAGCCTAATGTCGATCCAATCGTGCGGGAAAATATGCGGAATAGAAGAGGAACGATAAAGTTCCAGAATAAGAGTATCGCAAAGGGGGTACATGCGACGGCGATGGCCGTGAAGGCTAGAGTTTTGGGATCCATACCGAAAGAGAAGGGGCCGTCTTTCTGGCAGGAGGTTGAGCAGGTTGATGATGAATCGTGTAGTAAATCCGACATTGGCATTTGCCTAATACCGGTCACTAGTTAAATATTGGAATTAAAATGAAATATGCGAGCAGTTGTGCCTATCTGCCTAGGCGTAGGCATAGACATACGTGTCAAGAATAGAATAATGTTTTGGCCTGGTCAGGCTGTGCCAAAAAGTAGAACAGTTGACCCATTGATGTGACCTGATGATGTTGCTGTAGTGGACAGTTGGACAGTTTAAACAAGCTTGAGCTTTCTAAAAAAAAATGATGGAATGATGGAATTTGAAATTTGGCGTGTGATCTAGAACTTTAGAGGTACCTATTGTCACAGGTACCTACATCCTGGCGATGCCACTAGGTACCTACCTACATATGTAGTACAGTGGGTGGCATTAAGTTTGAAACTTTTTTGTGTATTACAAGGTGCTGCTGAGCCACAATATTTACATACTAACCCATATGGGCTAGCTTTAAAAGTCCGCCACATTTGCAACTACTTACCCAACAACACCTGCCACACCGGATGGTGCCCAGCTTATTGAATAATCAATCCGTTTCAAATCAAATAACTTTCCGAAAGTAACATTGATAAGCATGTAATTAATGGAATAATATATATATCTAGCTCAGAAGCATTTTAAATTTTGTTGCACTATATTGCGACAAGATCTGCTCCATCTATTCAAATAAAAGAAAATACTTAAAGGAGATGGTGATGCTGAAGGTAGTCACGTGATGGATGTAGCGTGGCTGCTTTTCATGTCAAGCGCTAGCCACTATTGAGCTAGACTGTGTCCAAAACCGGTCTAGCGGCTTGGTGCTACTTTGCTGTACAGAAAAAAGTTTCAAACTTAATGCCACCCACTGTACCTAGTGGTATTTAGTAAGCTACATACATTGTACCTAGTAGGTGCTGCTAGGGTGCCTTGAATCTGCCTGCCTTATTCAATATATCCCCACCTGCTCTGCCCTGTCTGCCCTGACTGACCCGCCTTCCACTGCATGCGATTCTTATCGATACGATGCTGTCACTTCACTACCAGAATTCTCAACCCAATTCCCAACTTGAGGGGCACATCTCATATCCTATCATATTCAATTCTAGGATTCATCTCAATTTTTAATAGACCAATCGTGTTGTGGGGCTTATGGGGTTGGTAGTGATATACATATATATCTCACACCAGCCCATGTCAAGCCAACATGGTTCATTATGAGCTCCATCCATTATTCTCATACTCTAAGGGCAGCTAGATCCCTCGGCCTACCATCAAGAACCGGAACTCGATTTCAGCCTGGCAGCTTAGGCTCAAGTCTTACCTCAAGTCTTGCCCGTCACCAATGGCAGCCACCTAAGTCGAGAACATTTCACTTCTCCGCAGCCGCCGTTGCGCAAGCAACCCAGGACGCCGTCATAGGGCTCCATGCCGCCTCAGGCCTCCCATGGTTCGCCGTGATCCCTCTCGTAGCCGTAGGGGTCAACCTCATTTTCCGCCTGCCTCTAAACATCTACACCCACAAGCTCTCCCAGCAGCGAGCGAAGCTCACCCCGCTCTATTCAGGATGGGCATGGCGTATTAACCTAAATGTTTCGCGGGAAGGGTTGCCCAAGGGGAAGGAGGAAAAGGTGGCTGTGAAGAGATACGAGAAGGCAGTATCGAGGCTCCACCGTTCCTTGGGTCTGCAGAACTGGAAGATGTATTCCAGTCTTCTGGCCATCCCCTTTTGGCTCGTTGGCATCGACTCCATCAGACGGATAAGCGGGGGTCCGGAGGGAATTTTCGGGTTGTTGTTCTCAGAAACTCCTGTAGATGCCGGCAACTCGGCTTCAAGCAGTCTCGGAGCCACTGCGTCGGCGGTGAACAGCTCAGCTACTGCTCCAGCCGCCCAAGTTTCTGCGGTCGACACATCCGCAGCTACCGCAGCACTAACTGACAATATCCAAGACCTACCAGACCCAAGCATCGCACTAGAAGGCTGTCTCTGGTTCCAGGACCTCACCGCTGCCGACCCCTACTGCATCCTTCCCTTCGCCTTAACCGTCATGCTAGTCGCGAACCAGCTCCCGTCAACCGAAAGAGGGATACGCCGGCTCTTCGACCTGCGGTCTAAAGAGGGGCGCGTCGTCATCACGACAGCGGCCAAGAGAAGTCTACGTTTCCGCCGAGCACTACTCCTCTTGTCCCTCATTATAGGTCCCATCACTGCCTCCATGCCGGCCGCGCTGCATATGTACTGGCTGACGACGTCTGCTTCGCAATTGTTCGTGGGCAGGATCCTGTCGTACTTGATGCCGGTCAAGAACCATGTCGTTAAGGAGTATAAGGAGAAGAATTTTGATACCGTACGGCCAGATCCTAGCGAGAGGCCGATAGCTCAAGCTAACAGGTAGTGAGGGTGGTATATACAGACCCCGCCCCTGGCTGTGTGTGCATTTCACATTGCGAATATACTTTGTAGTTGTAACCATGTAAATTTACAATACGTAGCGATTTACGCGAAATACTCGCACTCGCCAACTATGTAAGAGTATCCCTAGGTATTTGGATTGCCTAAAAACAACCTAGAGTAAAAAGAAAGCGATAACTAGCTCCTTTCGAGCCTGTATAGCGCAAACGTGATACACACCCAACTACATAGAACATAAGAATCTCCAGCTATTTGCGCTGACTCCAGAACGCCCCAGATGCCCACTCGTACACTAACTAGTCGATCTATACTCTTTACGCCGAGGGCTCAGGCTCGATCTATCCCAGGAACACGGCCAACAAGACGATAGCCATAATGACAGCCAGAATCAAGAGCAAGCAGCACGCCTTGCTCCGCGCATTCTTCTGATATCGGGCCGCGCTGCGCAACTCGTAATCAGCACCACGCGTGTCATCACGGACGTTAACGGCGTTGCTCTCGATGGTCTGGAGTTGCTCTCCCTGCTCGCTGACGATCTGCGCAACTTGCTGGAACAGCACGTTTAGGTCGCCGACACCCTCCTCGATCTGCCGGATTTCTTCCTCACGTTCGGTGATTAAAGCTTCCTGGAAGTCAACCTCGTCTTGCGGCGCTAGGTGTACTTGCTCCTGTTGCTGGAGCTGCTGGAGCTGATCGCCTGCGGGGCTGGATGGGGCACCTTCGGTTTCATGGTCGAGCGCAGCCTTTGCGGCGGTGACAGAGGCCCGTTGTTTTTCGATAGCAGTGCGTTGGAGGGATTGAAATTCACCGAGGGCGGCCTTGAACTCGCGCGAAAGTTTTTGTTGAGAGTACTTCTGGGTGGGCTTCACAGGTAAAAATATTAGAAATGCGTCTTTTACGCTGGCTAGACCACAGCAAATCGTAAGTCCTTTACGAGGTGGGGGTTACTTGCCGTAGCATCTTCCCAGGTCTGGATTTTCTTGATACCCTCGCCAACCTCTTTGAATTGCTCAGTCGATTCCTCAATCGTGGCATGGACTCTTTCGCGCAATCGAGGGTTGTCCCGGCGCGTGCCGAGTAGGCCGATGTCCGAATTGAGTTTTGATATGTTGCCCTGCAAATGGAAGAGTTTGTTCATCAAACTTTGCGATAGGCGAGAGAATTCCGGGTCATCCGCATAGCTGCCATTGTTTTGGCGACGGGCACCGCCACCACCACCGGATTCTATCGAGGATAATTGATCGAATGACATGGCTGGCGATAAGGGATTCAAATCAGGACAATGACAACTCGGGGATGGGGTTAGATGCAGAAAATGAAAGAAAGATGATAACTTGATCGATGAGTTGAGACAATGATGTTGAGGGTGGGCTCGCTGCGCTGCAGACAAAGTTGTCGGAGATTGAAGAGTGAAAGTTGAAGTTGAAGGTTTGAAGGTTTAAAGGTTAAGGACTGAATTGGATTGGTCACCTGGGGTTAACTAACGGTTACGTGACCGGCAAGGCAGCTGAATTAACCTAAGCAGCTAACTTAGGTAAGTAAAGACGCTGCAGTGCATGTTTCTTGCACATGCAACTTATAGCGCTGCGTCATAGCGTCGATTCATCAACTAAGCCACAAATCATTCAGCGTTTGCACATTAGTTAGTTAGTAAGTTACCCCATGTAATCCACTTCAGACCCATTTTAACCTGGTTTCCTGTGGCTAAACATTCGCCTTGCATTCTCTAGCTTCAGAGCACCAACAAAGCTCTATAATTTTTTTTATTTACTTTCACCTTCGCTCACCCTGTCAGTACTTAGAGCAGGTAACCACTTTTCAACATAGCAACCGTGCCTAGGGTCCGTCATTCCTTTCTCATCAATCTTGACCACTGCGCTTTTTCGCATTTTTCGCATACGCATACTACTCTGCATTTTCTAGTTCTCAGACCGTACGATGCGGTAATCTAATTATTCTATTTCTTTACTCTCTCCAAAGTCGCCAAGATGGCTCCCGCAATTGCGCGCCGAGTGCCCTACAAGGATTTCCTACAGCCAGCCTTGCAGAGACGGTTTGCCTCAACGACTGGTGTTTTGCTAGCTATCGCGTATGTCCAGGCAATCATTTTGGCCAGATGGAATTCCTGTACGTGATTACTCGACTCGTTGTCTGGTTGTTTTTCTTTTGGCTATACCTTCTAACTAACCGTCAAATAAGTCATATGGGCTTGGTTCCCTATCGGACCTACTGGTCTACGTACTTTGTGTATCTTCGGTAGCATCCTCCCCGTCATCATACTACGAATTGCCCATTCGCACATCGGCATTCGAACATCCAACTCCCCCTTCGAGACCTTCCGCCAGAATGCGTTTTCCTTTGCCACTATTGAGACAATCATTACATTTACCATCTCCGCTTGGTTGTTTAGCCAGACGTTTCTCTTCTCAACTCCCGCCGATGCCAACCTGGGATGGATCACGTATTACAGTGGGGATCGCACACGGCTAAACGAGAGGGCTCTATTCTACACCGTTGACCTGATCATATTAGGTATTGTTCAAGGGGTCTTACATATATCACTAGACTATGATCGTATGCTTTTAGGATTAGTGAAGCCGCAACGCGAAGGAGAGGTCAACAACCAAGGAGGTGAACCCTGGACTAAACTAGGCGAATGGATCCCTGTTCTCGTGGTTCGCTCGGGAATGCTCTCGATGACCGTGGGGTTGGCCAATTATGTGGTACTCTACCATTTCCTAAGGCGCTCAGCTTGGGGCTGGGCCATGTCCTTTTTCCGCGTGTTCTACAATCTCCCGAAGTCCAATATCCCGCCTAGTCAAGCGCCATGGAGTCTCTGGATGCTGGGACGATCCATGTGGGCGGGCTTCCTATTATGTCTATTATGGTACATCGGCGACATGGCCTTCAGACTACAGCTCGCAAAGGCACCTCTTAAGAACAACCTGCCACTTAGTTCCGAGTCGAAAGATCCAAACGGAAGCCTGCTAAACGGGTTGAAGAGCACGAAACCGCGCATAGCTGTGAGTTATCTATGCTATTTTACATAAAGAGATTGCTAATAGTTTAGGCATTCGCTATGTGGGAACTAGCTTTAATCGCACGAGACTTTGATATTCGGAGACTGAGCATCTTCGAGGACATTGATCGAAAGGACGGCCCAATGTGGTCCCAAGTCTATGTTACTTGCCTAAATGTGATCAAGTCCATCGAGGAGAGAATTGACAATTACGGGAAGCCACCTATCCCTCCACCAGCGGCAGCACCCGCTGCTGATCCTCTTCAGCCACCTCAACGAATTGTCGAGCCCCCGAGGACCGATAATGTGTGGGCAGCAGCACCGGCTCGAACAGGTTTGCGAAGTTCTATAGGCAAGCTTGCTACCAGGGTGGTAACATCACCTGGCAAGACGCCCGCCGAGGTGTATTTGCCTGAAGCCAAGAGAAAGGCAATAGAGGCGACCGATCATTTTCTTACCAAGGAGCAAAGAGAAGCCCTCACAACTGAAGGCGTGAATACGCTATTCCAAAATTTAGTGTTGCGTGTTTTGAGTTTGCCTCAGATTGGATCATTCTTTCAGCAGCCATTTGGCCGCCAATTTACGACTGCTGTGCTTGGCCAGCCTTTTGGTGAAGTTAGCATTTACGTCAACGCAGCTTGCGCCTTGTCCCGGCTAGCGGTCTCTAGCCTGGTAGAGGACCGATACGGCAATGTGCAACGAGATGTACCCACCATCATTCGCACATTCACCACAGTCATCAAGAAACTCGAGCTATTTAGGGATAATCTGCCGATACACTGGACAGATCTTGGGAAGACTCGGGAATATGCTAAAATACAAGATATCTTGGATGCATTGAAGGATGGCCTACAGGATCTCATTGATGCGTTCGGACAGTATAGTACCGACTTAAGACTTACTCGCGCAGACATGAGATTGGCAAGGGAGGCAGCTGAAAGGCCGCGGGAGGCTGCAAATGCGGGAGCGGCAAATGCTGTTGTGGCAGCGCCAGAGGCACAAATCCCGATGCAACAAGTGCGTTAGTGGCAGCAATTGCTTGTGTCGAGTTTGACTGACGAACGAATGGGCTGGATTTGGATGTGAGGCATGGAAGTGTCAAGTACCTACTACCTACTATTTAATAGGTATAGGTACATAGTACGACCGACTGATATGATGATAGAAAAAAAGTAACTGTAATGAAGTTCAACTTTCCATGAATACCTAATTAACCAACAACTTTTTTCACCCCTCTAAGTTTTAATTCATATGTAAGTCATCAGTCATTATTTTGAAGTTGTTGCGGCAATGCGGCTCTACGGCGTTATAGCGGCTCTATGCATGTGTATGTATTGTACCTCTTAGTTACGTGTCCCCGTTAACTGCGAGGTGCTAGGAACCGGTTAGTTACCCATAGATTTAAGGTTACATAGCACACGTGTTATGCATACCTGTATAAATCAGGTATCCAATCATGAGTGCAATCATGAGTGCAATGATGAGTGCAATGCATCCACCAAGTGGGGAACCCCACTGCCAAGGCGGGATCTTGGTCCATCATGCAATCTTATCTCTTATTACGAAGGACAAACTTCCCAACTTCCGAAGTGAATTTCAACTTCACCCTTCTTTCCGTCCATCCTTCCCATCCCTTTCTTTTTATCGTCATCCCTTTTCGATCTCCCATGTCCCGCCACGCCGCCCCTCATGACCGTAATAATTGACCGACCCTAATTTGACCATTCAAGCATTCGACCTACGCGACTACCTACTATAATTTATTCTCTCTTAATATGAACTCTGGATATTTCCCTTTCACCCTTCGTCGCGGTCACGCAATAATAGCCGCAGCCTTACCGCGCTCCGCGGCACAAGAATGTCATACCTATCCCTCCTACTCCGAATAATACATACGGTACCACCATGAAGGGCACCAGCCTCATATTCCGCATAGCCTATACTTTCGCCTACGTTTTTTTATGCCTTTTCCTCGCCGCCCTTCTTCTTGTCGTGCCTGGCGATTTCGTTCGCCAAGTTCTTAAATCCGGAAGTCGATATGTCGACCTAATCGTCCTAGCCGTGGTATTTGTTCTTACGGTACTTATCGTTTTATTTGTTTACGCGCTCAGGCTCTACGTGACACGCACTGTTTTAGCCTCCATCCCAAAGGCCTGGATTCCGATCGAGAAAGGAGACGTACCGAAGGAGGTTCGCAAGATGATCGTTACGGATCTTAGCAGAAGTGCGGCTATAGCATGGGAGGCTCATCCAAAGATCATCACGCCAGCGGCCCGTCTTGCATCAGCGAGAGAGGCCGCCGCCAGAGAGTCGATGGCTGGTGATGGCCAGCAACGAAAATCGTTTCAACTACTTAGGCCGAAGCCACCCGCGACCGTGGAGGAAGAAATGGGCATCTCCTTCCCGCCGTTGCGGCCCGTCTGGGGCGAAATTGAGCATGATGGTTGGGGCTCACCAAACTCCCCAGACCTAGCCAATTTACAATATAGCACCGTACTCGGCGAGCTTCCCAACCTCATCGAAGCTAAGGCTGTCTCCATGGCACCACCAGACCCGGATTCCGTTGCGGACCCTCCGGCTCTTGATTTAGATGTCGTCGCACTTCTACAGCGTGCCCCAAACATGACAATGCGAGATTATGTTACGCGCCTCATAACTGTCGGTGTGCTGCCACGTTCCGTCAAAATAGCATCTGAGTTCGTCGACCGCTATGAACGAGCGCGCTTTGGCGCCAAGCCTCTATCTAACGCGGCCTTTAGGCAGCTTATGCGCCTTTTTGCCGAGCTCCTACGCTCCATGCAGCCCTTAGAGTCTGCTTCCACGTATGACAGCAAGCGCAGTAGCAGTATAAATGGCGACGGGTATCCAGATAGTTACGGGCACATCGATGACGATGCCCCCAGGGACACTACGCCGACGACGCCTGCGCGAAGCATCTCTGGCTCGATTAGTGCAAGGAGTTTTAGAAGTACTCAAAGCGGGAGTAGCGCACGCAGAACTCATCCACATGTGCGCACCGACTCCAATCGTACGTCTTGGCAGCGATATCAGACGGCGCCTACGACTCCGCGTAGCAAGCTTACCTTCGGTCACCGTAACCGTGGCGATGGGAGGAACTCGCCGAGCACACACGGCAGTAATAGAGATAGTCTAGGCGGGAGCAGTGTGTCGCGTTTAAGGCACGTGTATCCGGACAGCCAGGGCTCGAGCTCAAGTCCGAAGTCCATATCCCAGGCCTCGGTAATCCGGCTTGCAACAAGAGACGATAGAGGGGATTTGCCTTACGTGCTTAGGGTTGGGGAGTCGTTCTAAGGGGTGTATCAAAAAAATCAAAAGGTACGGGCGTTAGCAAAAAGGAAATGCGAAGCATGTTGGGACCGGCGTTGCGTTGTTCAACAACAACTTTACTACTATGAAAGAGTTGGTGATTTTTGTGGGGAAAAGGGGGGAAGGAAGGGGGGGCGTTAGGGAAGATAAAAAAAAAAGTGTCCCGAGAAGAAGCAAGAACGAAAGCATTTCCAGCGTCGGCGTTCCGGGTTTACCAGGCCTACTTAAAATACAGCTGCTGATTGATATGCTATGTTTTGTTTTGCTTCGGCAGGGACATTTGGTTTGTATAACGTCTTTTTTATGCACGTTTGTTTAATCTACATAATGTCTTTTATTATACCCCCGTTTCAAAGATGTCGTTAACGGGTCTGGTTTTTTTCCCCGTGTCCTACATACCTATCTATGGCGTCCCGTCCCGTCTGTCTGTCTGTGTTATGATATATCTGATCCATTGCCTTGGGTGTGTTGTACAGCATAGGTGGTACGTCATGTTGGGTCACGTGCCCGCTTACTAACACTAATACTAACACTGAGGTGTACTAACTCACTCAAATGAGTTTCGCGACTAGACCAAGCCCCCCTATTATCCCCTATTATCCCACTGTTATTCATTCCTTTACCTAGGTTAGGGTCCTTTCTAACCAAAAAGCAACGCCTATCCCGAGGATTTTTTTTACGATCCCGTCTTTCCTATATTCCGATTCCCATCCATACCTATCCGTGCCCATACCTACCTGGTTAGGTACATTATATTCAAGAGCCTAGGTACCTTACCGATATATATCCGACGCCATTGATGCTTTCCCGAAACTCCACCGATGAGTTTTAAAGTTCAAAATGGGGGGTTTTTGGTTTTGGCAGTTGGGATAGCGGTTAGCGGCGGTTTTCTTCTTCTTTCTTTTCTTACTAAATCGAAGTATCGAAGCATCGAAGTACCGAAGCACACGGGACGGCTTTGTGTGTATGGAATGGATGGGTGGATGGATGGAATGGTATACAGCTTTACTTGAACAGGTACACTACTGGGCTAGAGCGTCGTTGATCTCGCTGCACGCCTTGGCACGGCGCGCGGCTACGCTGGAGCTGGCGGTGGGGTGCTGGTGGAGGGTTGCAATGTATAAGGATATGTCGGGTTTGGCTATTGAAGACAGCTTGACGAACCGCCCAGGTAGTCATGATATCAATGCTGTTACTTAACAGTTGATTCTCGCTCCGCTCCCAGGGTGAGGAAGGAAGAAAAGGGGGTAAAGCAGGTCAAGGTGATGAACAAGACGAAGAGAGACTGTCTGGTACTGACCCATTGGCGGCTGGGGCGTTGCATTGGTTGTCCGTGGTGTTGAGATGAGGGAAGTGAGTATCTACCTACACTTAAGCCATCGCGATGTTCATAGTTGTGTGAAACCATTGTACTAAATTTGCCGTAGATCTTATCTGATATAATTTTTTGAAGAGCGAAGAGCCGTAGGAATGACTTGGCTAGCAGCATCAAAAAGACTAGTACATGAAAAGGTACTACAATGACTAAGTGAGGTATGTAATATGAATACCTCACGAGACTTTCGAACCGAGTTACGAAGTGCGAAAACCTCAAATCGCAAAATTTCAAGGTTGCACTATTGAGATCAATGATAACAGGTATTCGTACATAAGCATACTGCTTGCACCGCATACTATGTAGACCGGTTTTGGATACGGTTTAACTCAATAATGGTTAACGTTTAATTTAAAAAAACAGCTACGATACATTTATCCAGTACGTCTAAAAACACTACAACTATTTTCTAAAAACACTACACCTTCCTATTTGAGTCTAGCAATTACATACGACACTCCACCACCTAATTTCATAACGTTTTTATTCAACTACATAATTTAAGAGTTTTGCTATGTGCACTACCATTAAGTATTGTACATCCCATAAGTCCACTAAACCTTAAAAGCCAGGGCCCGTCCAAGCCATCCATCCCATCCACCCAAATAACTCTTCAGCCATATGTCGCATCATGATGCAACTGGATTCAATTGAAAGAGAATCCGATTTCCAATTGATTGATATAGGTCTCAAATTGAGGCAATACGTGGTCGCAAAGTTATTCAAGTAAATAGGTGGCAGGACGGGAGGCACGTGATCACCCTTAGAGCCACACTATGGGCCCTTAGCGCCCTTGGAGCCCTTAGACCCAAACCTTATTCAACAGCTTCAACCTTGAATAACTCCCTGAAACAAATAGCTACAAACGTGCAACCGGATTTGATTGAAAGAGGATTCAATTACTGATTGATTGATACCGGCTACACCTTGGGGCGATACGTGGTTGAAGAGTTATGTTGGTATTTGTCTCGAGAGTAGTCACGTGACACTTACTAGCGTGACCCCAGGCGGCTCTAGGGCTTTTTGGCGGCTCTAAGGGCTCTTAGCGTGGCACTAAGAGGTCTTAGTGTGGCTCCAAGGGTAGTCACGTGCCTCCCGTCCTGCCACCTTTTTACTTGAATAACTTTGCGACCACGTATCGCCTCAATTAGAGACCTATATCATTCAATCGGTAATTAAATGCACTTTCAATTAAACCCGGTTGCACGTTTGTGGCTATATGTTTCAGAGAGTTATTTGGATTCAATTGATGTGGGCAGCTGGGGGCGCTAGATGAGGTCCGGATTTAAAGTTTTAAGGGATGTACTAGGTGTACGGATAAGCCCCGATAGCAAAACTCATAATAAATAGGTATGTAAAGTAGTAAAAAGGTGATGTAATTGTAAATTGTATTAAATTATGTAGTTGGATAAAAACGTTATGAAATTAGGTGGTGGAGTGTCGCATGTAATTGCTAGACTCAAATAGGAAGGTGTAGTGTTTTTAGAAAATAGTTGTAGTGTTTTTAGACGTACTGACATTTATCACAAGACACCCCTTAACATTTATCTCAGTGAACTCAGACCACAAGTCTGTGCTCATGCATCTTTCCAGCCACATTGGCTTTCAGCCAATCACAACGAATAGGCAAGCTAAAAAGATGAACACATAGAAATCAAAAAACATCATTTTTGGCCCCACATGTAACTACATGTGCATGGGCCAAAAAATGATGTGCCTGTGGCACACGTCCATTGACGATACGGGCTTCTGTATAGGGTTGGCTACCTAGGTAGATGTATCAATCATACAAGTATTTTCAATCGCCTAAAAATTCCAACGTTTTCATTTGAACCTCAAAGTCGAGTTACTACTAGTAGTACATGGTGAGAGTTCGACTTCCCACACCCGTCCACTAACACCACATGTAGATCAAAAATCTGTATGTAAGGCAACCGACCTCCCACCTAGCAACCACCCACCTAGCTAATGAAAAGCATAAGCATCCCTTAGCAGGCACGTGTTGGGACTGGGCCTTACTTCCTTGACGCCTGATTGAATCTTGCCATCGCATCGTTCACTTCGCGGTAAACCCTGGCTCGCCGTGCAGCTATGCTTGCCTCGGTGCTGTCGTGCTGGTACACAGCAGCCATGAAAGGGGCTTCGCCCTGGGGAACGGCAGCCTTTTTCTCGTGGGTTCTCTGCGCCGAGGCCCGATCTCCCTGCGCGTTGGCGGCGACGCCACTCGAGGGGGTGCAGCTAGGTTGAGCGGAAGAGTGTCAGTGTGGGTGATATTGAAGAGCAACGAGTCCTAATCACTAGGCGGTCTTCGGGAAGAGGGCTCTGGCTGAGGGTAAAGAATGGCGATTGTTTGTGTAACAGAGGAAATCCCAGCAGGCTACAGCTTGGCCTAGGCTGTACAGTACCTGGATAGGGGGACGAAAAGGACAACAGCGAGGAATGGTAGGGAATCGGGCAGGGAGCAGACGTGTAAGAGCCCAATCATCAAGCCAGTACTTACTCCTTGGCAGCGGACGGCTGTAGTGGATTACCCATGATTACTCGAGGATATTCTGAGAAGAGCGCACGGGAGATGATAGAGGGAAATTGGTATAGGTCGGATGAGGACTATTGATTTGTGTCTAGCAACGAGTCTGGTCTTCTTCTACTTCTCCTCTAAAAGAACAGCGGAGGGGAGGCTGTTCTTATAGACGATTTTGCGACTGGCCAACGAAAGAGTCGCTATCTGGCGCCTACACTTTTTGAACCCCTTCGATAGACTTGCCCCTTCGACAGACTTGCATATTGAATTACCAGAGATTCGATAAACCTGCATATTTCCTCACCATGGCGCAGGTCTTGTGAGACGGAACCTATTGGTGCTCTCATCTAGGTCCACATTTATTTCCAGAACTTGTGGAGATAGGGAGAACAGAATGGTGAGAAACTGTACAGTACATACCTACCTTCCCTTGTATCTGAAATCATGATAAAAATCTAAGTAGGATGCAATAGGCGTGCAACCATGCTTCGACTCACTTAGACGCAGGGTCATGTCTAGGGCCGATTCCGCTACGACCTGGCATGCCAGTGCAGCCCGTGATTGGTTCAAATGGATCATGTACAAAATCAGACAAAAACTAAAGTATACCGAGTGAATACCCCACCACCGCCACTGGGAGATCCTGACAACCTCCGTCAGTCGATGTTGCAAATATTTCAAAATGATATGCAATTGCTGCAAGGTTGACTAGATAGTGAAGTACATATCAGAAGAGGGGGTAAACAAAAGGGATTATGCGCCTAAGCAGGGAACAAACATGGCAGAACTTTAGGGGTACTTCGTTAATACCAGGTTCGGTGTACTCTAAGCATATTTCAGCTCCAATTCCGGTACAATACACCGCCACACTGCCTAATCTAATCCAAGCTATAAAAAAGATCTTGTATAGTACTACCAAACCTCGTGGCGCCCATGTTACCTACCTACTCGGTTAGGTAGGTAGGTAGGTAGTATGCTTAACTCCCATCACATCATAACACTCTTTCGTTCCGTACCCTGTTCTAATCTCACCCAATCTCAACTTCACTTCCCACTCATGGCCTCTCCGTCTCAGTGCAAATGGCCAGTCCTTAACCTCGCCCCATAATTCTCAGACTCGACCCCCCTACAGCTTCCCAACCGGCGGATCCGTGTTCGCCTTCCCGTGGTCGCAAACCGCGAGTAACGACCCTTCTCGGCCGTTCTCGTCCACGGCCCGCATCTCCCCCCTCAGGGCGCAGAGCGTGCGCCCCACGTGGAGAAGCTCGCACCTGATGTGGATGGTGGCGCCGACGGGGATGGGCCGCAGGTAGGTGACGTTGAGGGTGCGGGTGACCCCTTGGCGCTGCCAGAAGCCCGGCTTCGAAACCAGGTGCAGAGGCAGCGTGGTGCACGTGTCGAACAGGGTCGACGTGCAGCCGCCGTGCATGGTCCGCAGGCCGTTGGTGTGAAGGGGGTTCACGGTGAATCGGAAGGTGATGTAGGGGTGTGGGCCAGAGGCGGAGTGCGAGACGATGGAGAGGTATGGCAGTATGAAATTCATCCATCCCTAACGCGTTGTTAGTCATGTATGCATTGGGGGTTTAACATGATGTTGCGACTGAGTGCTGAAACGCTAGGGGCTATCAATTCAAGCTGTCACTACACTGAACCTGTCCGGAACCAGCTATGGTGCACTTATATGCCCTTGGATAGCTCCCAATTCACATAGTTAGATAGGTAAGTACGCATATTATGAGAGTGAGCTTACTTGCTGGTCCGGGTCTTCAAGTGACTCTGGTCTCCATGCCAGAAACGCCTCGGTTTTCTTGATGCCTTCAAGCTTGCTCAATGTGTTCACGAAATCTTGGCGAACGGTCGTGTTTTTATCCTTGGAAGACCCCGCCATGTTGGCGTGATTGATGAGGGTTGAGAGTAATGAACAAGTTTCGTGAGTAGTTATAGTTGCTACCGGATCATGTGGTGAACAGTTTCAATGGCGATAATTGTGAGTATATATAGTTAGAAATCGTGTAAATTAGTAAGTCCGAGTGGTTGATAATGTAAGACAAATGTGTATGAAGTTGATTAACGTACATACATATACAATGTATATAGTATGTAGTATGTAATATGTAGTATGTAGTATGTAGTATGTAGTATGCATGTAGGTATTATTAGAAGCTCTCTTTACCAAGATTACCCATGTATGTACCTTACCTAACCTAGGTATGTATGTAGGTCATCACGCATCGTGCCGAGGACTTCAATTGATGCATATTGGTTCAGATGTCAATAACTACTACCCTAGGTAGGATATGCACTTACCAAAGTACCTAGCCCTACAATATGTACTGCATTCTGCACATGTGCTGTGTATGTACTCTGTATGTAGGTAGTTACTAGGTACATAGCAGGCGCACAACACGGTAGAGGCGCAATGTTAAGCTTTCCTACATGTAAGCCGGTGCGTATCTTCCAATAGGTACTATGTATGTTAGCCGTGCGACATTGTGTTCGTCTTATCAGCAAAGCTTTAACCTCTACATGAAGCTTAACAACGGCCGCTTGCATGATGTCTGGTGTTGTTGTTAATACATACATGTAGTTAACTACTACGTAGTTTGTATCTACATAGGTACATGTAGCTTGAGGCATCTAACGCGCACAGACACACATGATCTGGATCTTTAAAAGGAATAAAGAGGTAAAAGAACCCGACAATCAAGGCAAGTATGATGAAAGAAACATTAACATGTGGAAGCTTACAACCGCATACGTAGTACATAGTATTTATTACTAGGCACCTAGTTAAATAGAATATAATAAGTGGTCTAAGCTTCTTGATATGGAACTTGAAAGATGCAAAACATTGAAGTTCAGGGGCAGTTTCGCTAGCATTACTAGGTACCTAGTACCTAGTACCAGACAAATACTACTAAACGCAGCCTTGTGTGGTAGATAGGTTTGCAGAGATTTGATTGGTCAAACAAGCATGGGTTCGGGGCGACAATGACCTAATCGGGCCACAGCAAGGGAAGGTAGTACGTATCTCCTTAAACATTCAATCTGCCCTATCTGGTTTAAGGTTCAAGTTAGTAACAGCTTTCCATTTCCAAATCCATCACGTCTCAACTTTTCTAATCATTTCGATAATTTCGAACCACCCACCACAGACGCCAACGCCAACGCCAGCCTCTACTCCAACGACTTTTCGAATCCTTTTCCTATTGTCCATTACCACACGGACCTCATACCACCAAAAATCCCGGTACTTTAACGAAATATCGCATTGCGTTTGCGTTTTGTTTTTGAGTCAAGTAATTTCATCAACTATCTTGATTCTCTTCGCTCATTTACTCCCTTTTTTTTTCTCTTTTCTCTTTTCGCTATTTACTTTTCGCTTTCCCCTGTTCCCTGTTCCCTTGTCTGCTTCATTCCTCCTCTTTTTCTATTCCCCTCCCCCCCCAAACGTGATATCAAGAGCCCTCCTTTTCTTGCCTCGGCTACAACAACTTATTACGACGACGACGACGTTTCGATTACTTAATATTCCGCAATCGAAAAAGAATACATAGGACTTTCCCTCGCTAGCGCATCCCACATCATTTACTCTACTTATTAAGCGTGGAGACAATTGATCTTCTACCCTCCGTCGCATCTTCTGCCTTTGCCTAGCCAGGCAGCCTTCTTGTTCAACGGCCTGCAACGCCGATGCGCATGTCGAGAAACGACCTCTAATTCAACGGCGAAGACGGTAGTGAGGGCTGAATACCGTCATAGGGGTAAACCGGACTAGTAGATACCCATGAGCTGGCAACAGTTCTCCACCATGGGAGCTGGTGGGAATGGCCCCGGGATGCCAGGCGTTGGCGGCGGCCAAGAGATGCCCGGGGGAGGAGGACCTGGGGGTCAATCAAACCAGCCGCATGCTACTGAATATACTTTGCAAGGTATTGCTCTCATTGGATGATACCATATATCAAATGCCTCTTCGCTAACTCGCACGTGCCCCACAGGTGTTATGCGCTTCCTCCAAACAGAGTGGCATCGACACGAAAGAGACCGAAATGCCTGGGAGATCGAACGTCAGGAGATGAAAGGCAGAATTGCCAACCTCGAGGGCTCGGCTAGAAGAGCGGATGCCACACAGAAGGCTCTCAAGAGATATGTGACCATCCTAGAGAAGAAGGTAAAAGACCAGGCTGCCCAGTTAAAGGTCGCCTCTTCTACTCCTTCTAGCACCGACCATTCTGTAAAGCAACCCCCTAAAATCGATAGGGCATCCTCAATCCAGGAGAAGTTGAAATGTATGCATACAACAACATGCTAGATTACTAGGAGCATCTGATACTGACTTCGTTTATAGCATCTTCTGAGAAACCTAAAGACTTGGTACCTGGCCAAGAGAGTCTAGCAAACGAGCGTGTACACGAGGATGATGAGCGCGAAAATCTCCGGGTCTTCCTGGACCAGTGCCAGGCTGAATTTACTTATCTTATGGTCACTCCAGCTAATCCCATTCCTCCTCGAGAGTCGCCGCCATTGCCTTTAATCGACGATCTAAGAGAGGGAGATTTCGGGCTTCCTATCGGTCAACAGCCACTCGAGTCAGCTTTCAATGGGCTAAGGATTAACAATCAGAACCATTTGAAAGACCCTGCCACCCGGGGTGGCGCACCAACCACGAACAACCATCATCTACAAATGATGTCACAGGCAAATTCGGGGGCGAACATGCCCCAAAGGAACGCTGATATACAATCTGCGCCTATGGTTCGGTCTGGAGAGGGTCCCGCACCCATGTACTCGCACGCCGGTGAATGGTCCGCCTCCGGTCCGGCCACGGGCCGTATACAGGATGACCCAAACACAAAGCCCAACCACTCGAATGAGTCCGCGCGTACTGAATTTTCCGAAGGCCAGTCGGAGAGGCGAGGATCGGTGGAAGCGGACGGTTGGGATTTCGGCGAAGGAACCTTCGATACACCCTCCACGCAGCCTATGCAGCCTCTTACACACCGTCCAGATACCGACGCCTTTCCCAATGCCGAAAACCTACCAAAGTCTCCCAATCGTGGCCCTACTTCTCACAGGAGGAAGACTTCGATGTCTCGTAGGAAAAGTGCGGACCAAGAACTCTCCCTTAATGGTACAGCGCAGAAGATAGACAACAGCAGCTTTAAATTTCGATTTGGATTGCGCGGTCATCTTAATACTGTCCGCACTGTAATATTCTCTGGAGGTGGAAGCCCTGGCGAGCCAGAGATCTGCACAGCCGGCGACGACGGCTTGGTTAAACGTTTCCACATTCCACGTGAGAATCCAAATCACGTAGGAAGCATATCATCCGATCTCGACGTACCTGCCGACTTTACTCATCGCGGGCACACCGGTGCTGTGCTGAGTCTGGCGGCGTGGTCGCCATCTCCTAACTTCTCTACTGGTGGTCGTGCCCAAGGCGATGGCTGGATCTTTTCCGGTGGACAGGATGCGACTATTAGGGTATGGGAAAGGGGTAGGGTAGACCCCAAAGCGACTCTCGTGGGCCATAGCGACGCCGTGTGGGCTCTCTGCGTCCTGCCCGCGACCCTCGGCGCCATCTTTGGCCAATCAAGCCAGCATGGCACACCCGATCGCATCTTGGTCGTTTCCGGAGCGGCTGATGGTGTCGTGAAGATCTGGGCTGTGAGTGCGCCGCCACAGCTCACATCACCACAACCGGCACCTCCTCGACGCGGCACAGGAAGCGGCCGAGTCAGGGGCAATTCCATGAGCTCCGGATCACAATTCCCAAGTTCGCCCCAACCCAACACGGCTTCCAGTTCACCTTTTAATCACACCCTAGTCCATGACATTCGTCGCTCGAATAATTCTAAGGCGTCACCAACTTGCATTACTCCATTATCAGCGAATGGGGAAGCATTCGTAGTTAGCTACTCGGATGCTGCCATCGTTGTATTCAACACAAGGACGGGCGAGGAGATCGGATCCATGACCAGTCTTGAAACCTACGATAATACGATAAACACAGGCGTCAACGCTGTCGTCGCAACAACAGCTAGTCTAGACCAGAGTTCGGGCCCAGGGCTAGGCGACGAAGACACCAGTGGACCTACCGGCGGAAGTGGTGTGGCAGGTAGCGGCGTGGAAGGTGTCATTATATCCGGGCACGAAGATCGCTTCATTCGGTTCTTCGATGCGAATAGCGGTAAGTTTAGGAAATCACATTTTTATCATTATTCTAAGTTGCACCTCGCTGACTCGCTCGAAGGACAATGTACATACAACATGCTCGCTCACCCGGCTTCCATATCATCTCTATCATTAAGCCCCGATGGTCGTGAGCTTGTTTCTGCCGGCCACGACGCAAGCCTTCGGTTTTGGTCGCTGGAAAAGCGAAGTTGCACTCAAGAGATCACTAGCCACCGAATTATGAGGGGAGAAGGTGTGTGTGCCGTCGTGTGGAGTCAAGACGGCCGATGGGTGGTTAGCGGTGGAGGCGATGGAATTGTAAAGGTCTTTGCGCGGTAATAAGCGCCCCCCCAAAGGAGTTGATAGGAGGGACATAAGGGGACAAAATTCAAGTAACTGTCTACATGCAGCTGAGGAGTTGGTGGAATTGTTTTACGGCAGGAAAGCACATCTCACTCAAACAGATGGTTTAGACCGCGGTGCTCTCAACTTGATATACCATACGAGACAACGCCCGCAGTTCTTTTTCTTCTTTTTCCTCCAGGAAGATTGCCAGCTTAACATGCATGGCCAAAATGGGGGGAGGATAGGATAGGGGTATCATACTTTTAACAGCAAAGCTGCCTATGTTTTGAGTCCCAAAGGCAGGCAGGTAGGGACTCGTGTATAAAAAGAAAGCAAGAAAGAAAGAAAGAAAAGATCAGAGAAACGATGAAAATTCAGCATAGCGAGGGAGAGATGTAACATGGCGCTATAGCTTGCCATGATCGCAGATCTACCTACGTATCTCATGTAGGTACATTATTAACCCCCCTATGTATTATGGTCCGGATCACATGACAACATGACAGAGTAGGTGCCTACCTACGTAGGTAATAACTAGGCAAAATCTCAGGATAGTAAGTAGGCCGGAAAAGAAAAGCTGTCTACCTATCTACAATACTCACCCGCACACCTAGGTAGCAGCTTAGCTAGCGAGCTAGATTAGGTACGTACTAGTTGAGGTCATTCAATCAATGTGCAACCTGATGGGAGCTTGCCTAATTACCTAGGCCAATATAAGTGTCTAGGTAGGTATTCACCTCTTCAATTAAGTTAGGTATTGGGAATGATGGTTAGAAGATAGTTAAAGGGAAAGGGGGATTCTTTGATCGTAGGATACCTACATAAGTGATCGACTGGCTGTAAGGGGCTGTTTTTGGGATTTTCTGTTATTTGCCTGCGATAGTTAGTCACTGGGTTAGTTAAGTCGGTACCTACTATGTATTATACATTGTAGATAGTTAATACGCACTGCTCAGTGCAGTGCATGTTCTGTGTTTTTGTTGAATTTTGCCTATGTAGTAGGTAGTTAGATGCCCGCTTAACATACATAACCAACCTGCATAGCCATATAGTTAGTACAATACATACATAAAATGCGTGCTAAAGACTAAGCAAACTTTGAACCACAACAACACTAACTTAGTGAGCACACTAATAACTACCCAACACTGGGGGGGGATATAGTGGAAAATAACAGGTCGCACTTTCATCCAATGAAATCCGAATTGGTGTAGTGGCCAACATTTGACGCTCTCAAGATTGGTTTCTCCTAGTAAGAAACCATGAAAGGTCCGTCAAGCCCGGGGTTCGATTCCCCGATTCGGAGGTCTATCTTTTTGATTTTTGATTTTTTTTTCTATCATCGATGATTTAACTACTTTTTACAGCAAACAAAAAACATCGTCGTTTATGATGTGATTGATATTGGGATTTGAGGTTAAACAAGATGTGAGGTGCGACTTGTAGTTAATTATCACGATTAACTATAACTCAGGTTTCTTCCTACCTAACCTAGGCACTTATGTTATTTAGTTAGGTAGGTCGACTACACAAGTTGATTAAAAACGTGCATGCACATTGATCTCTGTCTAAAGTGAATCTATCTCGACTCAATTCAACTTGTTCTTTTATATACTCTCCCTTTTTTTTTGTGTATCGCCTTAACTCCCTCACTCTCTCCACTACCCGCGCAAGCAATGCATGCAAGCAAGCATGCATGCATTGCATTCTTCTCCATTTTAATCCTTACTTTCATTTTCAATTCCATCTCTCTCCCCTGCCTAGGTTGGGCACATAGGCCTCCTTTTCACAACAGCACACCTGTCCCTCCCCTATTCACTCTCTAGTAAGTACGTATGTACGTATACTATATGTGTATGCATAGGTACTTCACAAAGAAAAGATATACTCTAATAATAAAAAAGGGGGGGAGGGAGAGAAGGGGGGGAATAACATTAAGAAAAGCCCCGAAAAAGGGGGTGGTGTAGTTCCGTACTGGGAAGAAAGAAAAGGGGGTATCATAGCATGGTAGGTAGGTAGGTACTTGTAATGGTCCAATTTCACTCACTCACTCCCACTCTCACAATTTTCACTCTCTTCACTCTGCACTATTTTTACTTTCATCCTCACTCTTTTCACTTCCTTCACTTCAAACTTTTCTTCTTTCACTTCACTGTTCTCCACTTCCACCCACTCTCAACCGCCACCTTCCCTCTCTCACGTCACTCTTCTTTTCACTCCTAGGTATCTGACTCTGAAGAAAAGAGATGAAACAAGCAAACAATTAGGGGAACATGGAAGACGACACACAGAAAGGAGGGGAAAAAATTGAGTATGCCACCGACCCTGCTCCGCAGTGATATTTAGGTAGGTAGGTAGGTAGGTACTCAAATACGCAATACTCCATTCCAACCAACCCCCAATTCCAATGACTCCTCCCCCCCCCCATCCCATTGCCCGGTATGCTCCTGGGTAGTGCTTTGTTCAATGTATTGTTTCTCTTTTCTCATTTTGCGCCTGATATAGTTTGGGTTGATTTGGGTTGTAGTTGTAGTGTTTATTTCTATTGAACATCCCCTGCATAACACTTCAACTATTTACCTAGGTAGGTGGGCAGGCAGGAAGGTAGACAGGCGCCTAAGTAGGTACTTAACCACCCATCCCTATGCTCCAAGCCCAAACGACGCTTCCACATCTCCCGGCATCGGCGTTCTCGGCTCGTGACCATCCTGCGTTTCATCATCGTCCAAGGCGCTCAGGCTCGTTATACTGCCACCCTCGCTATCATCTCGTATTATAGTTGGGTTCGGAATCGGGCTTGGACACGCGGAGGAGGTGGCAGAGGCACTGGTTTCCGTGATGAGCGCGGGCACTGATAAGCCTTTCTGCTGGTTGCGTTGTCGTTGAAGACTGCGTTCTTCCCGTTCCTTCATGAACTGCTTATCCGCCTCGATAGCTTTGGTCCTCCGCTCCTCCACATCTTCTCTGCGGACGACACGTCGAAGACCCTCGGAGGCTTGAATTAGGCCGTCGATGCTGATGGCGTGATTGGTCATCTGGTGGTTGATGTAAGTGTATATGGACGCGGGAGTATCGCAATCTAGTAGCTGGCGTTCGTTGAGTTTGAGGAGGGCGAGTGCGACTTGGAATAGGAATGTGCTGCCATCATTGATGCAAAGCACCACGTCCCAGACCCGGAATAGGGCCTCGGCAGAAAGACAATCGGTAAAGACGCTGAGGAACCATTGGAAGGTCAAGGCTTCAAGCTCTATGCATAGTGCCTCGAGGTGTTGAGATAGCTTAGGGAGGACTTCCCTGACGTATAGACGCAAGACCTGTTGATCTGCACGGGATGCCATTAGACTGTGGTCATAGTACCCCTGGGGCAAGATACGTTCAATGATAGACACGAAGACCCAAAAGGCATCCTCGGCAGACGGCATGATAAGTAATAGATTGGCCGCGATTAAATTCATGCCTTGGCAGTATCCCACTTCGGGGTTGTGCCTAGCATACGCCCGTAGAACTTCATTGAGCTTAGGAACACCGGGTCCTTTGCGGAAGAAAATGTTATCCGTAAGCGTACGGTTGATATCCATTTCGATCTGAGAGATAACGGCCGCATCGTCAGCATCGCTGGGTCGTGTGACAAGGTCCATATAATAGCCGGGCGTCCTCTTAGAAAGAGCACCAGAGCATTCTGCCCAGATCTTGGGTCGGTGCGCAACGGGGATACCACCGAGCACGAGGTTTCGAAATTCATTCCATTTTGCACGTCCAACTTTTCCTTTGACACCAAGATCTGCTATACCAATGGTCTCGCCATCAGTAAGCTTGGCTTCAGGAATCATGACAGGCGCTAGCTGGAAACGAGCCTCCGCGGCGGCGGCGGCAGTAGCAGCAGCGGCCTCTCCTTCGCGCCGGCGCTCAGCACGCACTTTTCGTAGAAATTCGTTCCAGCGGACGGACTTATCTTTTTGTAGGGTGTCATGAACATCGCTCAACTGCTTAAGAAGAAGCTTTACAGGTTCCGTATCTTCATGCACTAACGTGGCAGTAGGCGAATCTTCGTCCTGTTTCGGGCTCGCTTCTCTGTCTAGAGCCGAAGTAGTTGTATAGGCGGATGGGACGAAACCTCGGTCGTCCGAGTTGATCAGGCTTGGGGACTTGGGTGGCTCAGTCCCTTCTAGGACCTGTATATTCGAGGCCGTCATAGAAGGTGTGTGAGAGAGTAGTTCAGTTGGAAAAGTGGCAATCTTGAGGTAATCCTGCCATCGTTTTGGCCTACCCTGTTCAACAGGTTCTTCAATGGACGTGGGGCTCGCAGAGCGACCATCGCTGCCGAGGTTTGGAATCGAAGCTGCATCATCTTCAAGCAAATTAGGCGAGATGTTCGACCTTCCACCAGAAAGCATTTCATGCCCCTTCTTCATCTGAAGAGCGACCTGGTTTGCTTCGCGTTGTCTCTTCTTTCGTCGTTGATCGTAGATGAAGCCAAAGCGATCAATCAAGTACTCGCCGTCATTGTGATTGTTATAGAGTTGTGATAAAGCAGGCGGTTGGCCCTCTGGGGAAAATATGGTATCCATTTCAACAGGTCCATAGTTATCAGACCTTATTGCTGACGGACTCTCCGGATTTGCCCCTATGCTTTCCCATCTCTCACGTGGTCGCAAATGTTGAATACTTGATGGTTTGGGGGTCGATCGTCGCATCGACATCAGCGCCTTAGGACCCCCTTGCGAAGATACGGCTCGGTTCGAGGCTCCTGTGTTAGAGCTAGCGTTGGACGAGGACCTCACAGAACCACCCTGACCTGCGGAATTTGACCTCCCCCTAACAGAGTCAGAATCGCGGATCGAGGCTTTCCCAGCTACAAGCTGCAAAGCCATGCTTGCAAATGATGCCGAGGGTTTTCTATTTGCATCCTTTGAGTAGATGCTCGAAGCGCGACTTGAGCTTCGTATAGATTCGGCATCCGGTGGGGTGAAGAGGTCTTCTTGGATAACAGGTCGTCGATCTCCAGGAGTTGGTGCACGAATGACCGTTTTGGTAATTTCTTCGTTGATGCTACCTGCTCTGCTAGTCTTTCTACTCGTACCACCACCCCATAGATAATCCTTTAAAGTTTTTATTGTGCCTTTATTTGCATTGCTGTCTTTTGGAACGGATAAGCTCGTTGCTCTGAGGGTCGCGTCGTTTGGTTCGTTGATGCCCAAGGCGTTGTAAGACATGGATTCGTGCATCGCATCACTCATCATACCGGAGACATCACCTGTCGAAGCACATTCTATCTTGTTCTGTGATTGCAGTTCTGCTTCTACCGCACGGAGTTTCGTTTCGAGGTCCAAACTAGATAATCCGCACCCAAGTAGTATTTTTCGCAGCGCCCTCTCTCTCTCGTCCGCTCTCCTCCTCAATTTCGCAATCTGATGGTCACGATGCGCTAGATCCTCAGCGATCTGGCGCACGAGATTAACAGCCCCATGTTTCGCGATTAAACGTTCAATGTGCTTATCATCGGCGTGGTGGAGGGCACCGGGTATCTTTTTTGGAGCTAGGAGAGTGTCGTCGAACAGCGCATTACGGGCCGACTTCTGGTTTTCGGATGACGTCAAAGTATCAACGATGGAGGTTGTGGTAGTAGTCATGACCTCGGAAAGTTTTCTCTCGGCATTGATCGTAGAAGACGAAGATTCGGGAGTGGCCAAGGAAAATTCGCGGTGAGGTGACTGGGGAGAGAATGAAGGAAATGAAGTGAGAGACTTGTCAGAGGCGGCGATAGACGAAGCTGAGCTTGAGGGTTGCGAAATCAATTTCCTAGACTTGGACTTTGCGCGCGTGGAATGGTTTCGAGTGACCCGTGCTGAGGCTGAGGCAGAGGCCGAGACCGAGGTCGCGGAGAGCTGTGACGTCGATCGCTCCAGGGGCGCAGATGACTCGGGATCCATATTGTCTTCCTAGGAATCATGGCTTTCTCTTTCTTCGAGTTCGTCTGCCTCCGTTACTACAGCCAGCGCTTTCTTCGTCTTTCTGTGCTGCTCCGATACAAGTCTCCCACCTTTATCTGTTATAAGCAATCAATCATAAGTGATAGGTCGAACGCTTTGAGACGTGATAATAAAGTGGAAATGGGTAGAATAGAAAGAAGGATGTATTATCAAAGAGCGTAAAGTAACAAGTATGTAATAGAATAGTGAGATGATATATTTGTGATGGGAGGAATAATAATGAGAATGATCAGTCGCCTGTGGTTTATGCAAGAATGAGAAGAATGGATGCCACTATGGGGGGGAGATACATATGGCGATATGGGTAATATGGGCAATATGGGCATATGGCGTTATGGAGATTATGGAGATTATAAATTTGGAGAATTGATGACTGCAGGTGGGCAAAGCTGCAGGTGGAATACGGCAGTCACTTAAGGTTCCAAGGGTTCGTATCATATTATTTTTATTTTATTTACGGAGTATCTAGGGTACCTTTGATGTTATTATGGATTCTAAATCCATGTGCATACATTCCTTCCTTCCCATTCTAAGCTACCTAATGCAACATTCCACCAAGGTTGTTTCACTAGCCACTTGAACCGCTATCCTTATCGCTATCAGGCGTCATCACCTTCATTACCCGACCCATTAGCCAGCCAATATTGCATCTACATTTCACTTAATACATAACGTTACCTACGTACCTAATCGTGAATTCATCTTCCTTTCCTTCACGTTTTGCTACTTTTGCTTTTGCTCAACACATCTATTAGATAACGACTTTTACAAAAAGATACTCTCAATCTATGGAAGTACTTCGCTCGTTCAATAATTTACACCAAAGAACCACAATAATTCCAAGATGCCCATCCGCTAATATTCAATGTCTCAAAAAGTCAATCACTTCGCCTATCCCTTCACAAGTCCTTCACTCAGGGCTTCCCGTCAACCCCCCTTCTGACTTAGAACATGATGAAAGGGGGATGGATATCAAATGAAAACCTCGGACCATAGGCATCCTCCTTGAAAAGGTACCTACCAAGTATCTTCGTCTGAAGATGCACTTCCCGGGTACCCGCTTGGATCAGATCTGCTCTGAAATCTTCTGCTCCCTGGAGTTTTATAATAGGGCGATTCTGCTAGGTTCTGCTGTATCTGGGCTGGAGAATTCATGGATGACTGAGAATCCTGCTTGTAATTCAGCAAAGGGCTACCTCGAGATGCCTTGATCCCGGTACTAGAGGGCTGAGGCGCCTGAAGTGCCAGTGGCTGCATTGCTGGGCAACACGGGGGTGATCCCGATACTACCTGGAGTCCCGGTTGCGGATACGGGGAAAACTGCGGCATTTGCGGCGGCCATGGTGGCCATGCCATCTGCGCTAACCGTAGATCTGACAACGATTGTGAACTTGGATATTGTTGTGGTCCCATTTGGTTTGGATCCCAGGATGCAGGTTGTTGTTCATAATATTGTCCATGTTGCTGTCCATGTTGCTGTCTACGTTGCTGTCTACGTTTTTGCTGTATACGTTGCTGTCCACGTTGCTGTCCACGTTTCTGTCCACGTTTCTGTCCACGTTTCTGTCCACGTTTCTGTCCACGTTTCTGTCCATACTGTTGTCCATACTGTTGTTCAGGTTGTGGTAGTGGACTCGACCCTTGGTGGCTTTGAGGTGTAGCATACCCTGTCAGGCCCGGTACAAACGCTTCAGATGACGCCAAAGAAGATGCCTGTTTATGCGGAGGTAAGTACCCCCAACCGCTACTTTCGTTCCCATTGGATGTATTGCATTCCATACACTGCCCAGGTTGTTGACTTGGTGGTTGATTTGGTGCTGCGTCAGTCAGATTCATCGAGCTCTGAAAGGCTTGTGGCTGTACTTGGGGAGCTTGCGGCTCGTATGTCAAGTTTCGCTCATCTCCTGAGTAGAACGAACGTGTTTGCTCTTCAAATGGTTGTGTCAAGATTTCTGGGGCGATGACCTTAAAACGCCTCTTTAAGCCTCGCATCTGTAATGCATCATTTTCTATCTGGTTGGGATTTGCGGGTTCGCTCTCAGTAAACTGGGAAGATTCCTGGCTTACAGCCGCGTCTTCACTATCTCCATAGTCCCCACTAATAAGGCAACTCGTCCCCTATGAAGTTCCTTCTTGATCATTGCACTGACTGGAAGGATCCCTTTCGACCTCGCTATAGTCTACGCTACCGATGGTTCGGACCTGGCTAGAATTGTCAAGGTCCTTGGGGCCCTCAAGCTTCCTTTGCCGAGCCTGCTCATGTTCTACCCTTCTCCTCTCCTTAACCCATTGCTTGGTATATTCTTTATTTTGCTTGATCGCCCACTGTTCGACCGCCTTCTTCCTTTTTCTGAGCTTTGCCTTTTGATTCCTCTTTCTCCTCTGAGACGCATCATCTGCCATTGAGGAACCTCCAAGACTTCCGCCGTTGCTTGAGGGTACAAGGGTAGTCCCAGATAGGTCACTACTCGTTGTGGTTGAACGGCTGCAACTACCATCTTTGGTGTCTTTATCACCTTTGGTATGGTCTTCCTCGCCCCCAGAACATAGAAACGAGAAAGGCAAGAATTGAGTCAAAAGAATCAAAGAAGCATATCCCAAGATCCAGGCAAAAAACTGAATCACCCACTCTTTCAGAATTATTGCATTTGAGGCCGGGTTCTCTGGTTGTTGTCTACCCGGGGTTGAGTCGGGGGTACCTGAGACTGGCTGTTCTCGTTCTCGTCCACGTCCTCGTTGCTCTTGTTCTTCTTGTTCTCTTCTGGCTATTTCGCCAGCACTCGAGCGGGCTGCTGCCTCCCTGCTTCTTCTCTGCGCATCTTTTACGCTTGCTACTAGTTCGGCTACCCTATGTTGCGGATTCTCCGGACCTTGGCCATCAACCCACCAGTGAACATCTTCCTGGATTCTATCCATCCCTACTGAACTTGGTGGCGTTCTTGTTATCGTTCCTGAATCCGAAGAGTCCGCCCTCCATGTTACATATTGTTGGTCCTGAGGTGGAAGATGCTCTTGCTCGGACCCTTGAACTGGTTGCTGTGAACGGACCGACTCGACTAAATCCTTTCGGAGATTACTATTAGAAAGCCTGAGAGTTTGCGGTTCGCCTCCCGGGGATGGTAAGTCAATGCCTGACTGCCCTTCAGGTATCGCATCTTGTTTTCCAGATTCTACTGCATCCCCATTCTGCTGGTTCAGTTCCTCCTTGTCCTTTGCTCTGTTTTGTTCCTTTTTTGCCTTCTTTTTGGCATTCTTGCGGTCCCTCCTTGCACGTTGGGCAGGTGTCAGAACTTTAGCTTTTGCTTCGACAGTGGACGGAGCGCCACTGACTTCACCTGGATTAGACTGTGGTTGCCCTGAACCCTTTGTGCTCATGCTAGAGTTCGGTTCGTTGCCGTTCTTGTCCCCGTCTACTAGGTCTGCTGGATCCGAGACCCTGGTAGGGATAGAGGGATAAGGGGATAGATCTAGACAAGATGGATCACCCATCATGATGGCCTGAGCAAGAGGCGAGTATTGATAAATACGATAGTTAAAAAGAGTGTCCATCAAATATCCTTGATGAGTCAGTGACGAGTAAAAATGTCTTCAACACCTAGGTAGAGCAGAGAGTGAATGATTGATGTTACAGGTTGGAGAGAGAAGAAAAAGAATAATTTACGCAACTACCATATACCTGGACACTAGAGTAAAGTATTGCTTAATGTTGCCTGGGAAACTATTTCGATGGACAGCTAAGAAGGCTAAAGGTAGAGAAAGATTACTCTTCGGCTTCTAGGCATTTAAGTTAGGCAGGCACTTTGATATCTCAAACCATCGCTACGTCCCCGAAGGCACTATTTAGCAGGCTGACATTAAGGAAAAAGTTCAATATAGTTATTCTTGAGTTTGCCCTAGTTTAGGGGCAAGGTCAAGACCACTGTCACTCACTATAGCTACGATGAGTTCTTTTTCCTGCCAACATATACACCCCCCTGATAAACACTAAATAGTCATCTCTACTGGATATTGCTAGTAGATGGCTATACTCAAGCTGACTTGTAAGGTAGGTAACCTAGTTATTTTCCTACTAAGTTTTGGTTGCCAGGAGAACGACAACCCACGTAAGGCTGTACGTAAGCATTGAATAACTGGATGTCTTGTCACACTAGGATAATGCTGAGTGATGCTAAGGAGGTACCGGCTTGAGATAGGCTTTCAGGAAACCGGACAGGCACAGGATACAGAGCAACCACGTGTACAAATGCAAAGAGCAGCACTAGGACGTGAGTGATACTTGGGTTGGACTACAAGCGGGAGCTAGGAAGACTAGATGCAACAGGATCTGAGATGACGTGGACTGAACTGGAATAAAGAAGAGCTGCGGTAGGGAATGTAACACTAGAGACAATTCAAGCTTTTTAGTTTATGTCGTGTCGTATCGACCCAATACTAATAAATATAATAAATATCATCTGTCGCTATATCTACCGGCGATCCTCTAAAGTACAGGCGGATCAGCAGTTAAAACAGACCAATCTAGTTGCCCTATTCCACATATTTGACTTGCCAGCACGGGCAGATCCTTACTAGCCGATTGTACCGCTAAGCTTTTTTGCCAAGAGTTGGCAGCTTTTGGTCCCTGCCCCATGCATGTGCTCGTTCGGGCCCCTCCCCCCTGTTTTCCAGAGTCTACCCCTGAGATTGTACTTGTACGATAGGAAGCCTTTGACAGTACTAGGTAGAATTCCCTCAAGTCTAGATCCCACGCGCGTCATAGTGTAACTAGTAGACACCTCAATATTGCCTAGTACTTGCCCAGTACTTGCCTAGGTAGTACTACTTGCCTACCTACATACCTGGATTTGGAGCTGCATTTATTATCCAGGACTTAAAAGGCTATAGAATTGCATTCACCGCCACAACATCGAACATATCAATTCTTCGTATCCCATAGAGGCATAATGCATATGATGTTGATCGGTGTGCTGATTCATGGCCAGTTCAAGGGTATGGGAGTGATTCATGTATATTACAGGATGTAGCTTTGTTACGTACAATGCTATGCAGCAAGCTACAGTACCTACATATGTAGGTAGATATGCCGTATATTTTATATTCACACTACAACATAGTATTTATCTACTACTATGTAGTAGTACTAACCCTGAGATGCCTCCCCAAGGAAAGCTACCCCGCATAATGCACCCAATTCACATCCCTACCTCCCTCCCTACCCAACTACAGGGTAGATAGGCTAGTGGTCTACATGTGTAATGTGTAGGTACATACTACGTACATATGTCCCTGACGTACATAACATACAATATAGCAGCTGCAACCTGTAGAGAAACAATGCGGTGGAACGTGGGGTCATGCAATTGGAAGAGACCTTCCGCATATATCAAGAAACTAGGTTAGACAGGTAGGCACTACGTAGCGTGTGAGGTATATTAAAATACATATCACCCCCTTCCCTTCCACAACTCCAACTATTTCCCTTTGAATATAATACATATATATAATACATATATATATCCTACCTCGACTTTCTTTTGCTGCTGTGTGACATTAAAAATCCAAACCCGCCTTATCCGAACATATCAACTCCTTTGCCGCAAAAATGGTGCACTTGGCCCAAATCCCCAACGATGCAGAAATCGGACAGGGACATCTGCCCGAAGCTGTCCGAAAGATCAGCCTGCATCTGAGCAACGACGAGGACAGCTTCACGACCAGCGTCTATGGCTCCAAGTTCGCTGCCGAAGATCTCCCCAAGCACGAGATGCCCGAGGGGGAGATGCCCAAGGAGATCGCCTACCGCATGATCAAGGACGAGCTGAGCCTGGATGGCAACCCGATGCTGAAGTAAGTTAATCAACGCCCCATCTCCTGACGATATGCCGATGCAAATCTCTCGGCAATGACACTACGTGGTATTGTGTACCTACATAGCTGTAGCTTGGCTGCACGTGGCAAATAAGATCAAGTATGCTGACACAAGCTTTCTCCTGTAGCTTGGCCTCGTTCGTTACCACTTACATGGTTAGTTGGCATCCTCCTTCATCCATCCTACCCAATGATCTACCCTACCCCATACCTACCCCCTTAGACTCTTGGCTCTCAGCCGCAGTTGGGGCATTCCAGCGTTACATTACATGGCTGCGCCCGCACCCGCACCCACCTACCTATCTAAACCCTACTAGAGAAAATCGTACTAACCCCTTTCCGCCATGGTAGGAAGAAGAGGCCGAGAAGCTGATGGCCGAGAGCTTCTCCAAGAACTTCATCGACTACGAAGAGTACCCCCAGTCGGCCGACATCCAGAACCGATGCGTGTCCATGATCGGACGTCTGTTCCACGCGCCGACAGCGGAGCACGAGGCGGAAGGTGGTGACGACGCGGCCGCTGTGGGGACATCTTGCGTGGGCAGCTCGGAGGCGATCATGCTGGCGGTGCTAGCGATGAAGAAGCGGTGGAAGAACGCACGCGTAGCGGCGGGCAAGAGCACCGACCGCCCCAACATCATCATGTCGTCCGCTGTCCAGGTGTGCTGGGAAAAGGCGACGCGCTACTTCGAGGTCGAGGAGAAGCTTGTCTACTGCACCCCCGACCGCTTCGTCATCGACCCCAAGGAGACGGTCGATCTCGTCGACGAGAACACGATCGGTATTTGCGTCATTCTCGGCACGACGTACACCGGCGAGTACGAGGACGTGAAGAGCGTCAATGACTTATTGATCGAGAGGGGCCTCGATATCCCGATCCATGTCGATGCCGCTTCCGGTGGGTTTGTGGCCCCCTTTGTGGTTCCGGACTTGGAGTGGGATTTTAGGTGTGAGAAGGTCGTGTCGATCAATGTCTCGGGGCACAAGGTAAGTCGAATCACTCCCCATCTCCCAAAAGAAAAGCCATAGCAAACTAACAGCCGCATGTAGTACGGTCTAGTATACCCCGGAGTCGGCTGGGTCGTCTGGCGGGACGCCAAGTTCCTGCCCAAGGAGCTCGTCTTCAACATCAACTACCTGGGCGCCGACCAGTCCTCCTTCACGCTAAACTTCTCCAAGGGCGCTAGTCAGGTCATCGGGCAGTACTACCAGCTCATCCGGCTCGGTAAAAAGGGGTACCGGTCCATCATGTCGAACCTGACGCGGACGGCGGACTACCTCGCCAACTCGCTCGAAGCTTTAGGTTTTGTCATCATGAGCAAGAAGTCCGGCGAGGGGTTACCGCTGGTCGCCTTCCGGCTGAAGGAGCTAGAAACCACGAATGAGGAGGGCGAGAAACTGGAGCGCAACTACGACGAGTTTGCTCTGGCGCATAAGCTGCGCGCGCGCGGGTGGGTGGTACCCGCCTACACGATGGCGCCGCACACAAACGACCTGAAGATGCTACGCGTCGTTGTGCGCGAGGACTTCACCAAGAACCGTTGCGATGCCTTGATTTCGGATATTCGGCTGTGCCAGCAGCTGCTCGACCAGCTCGATACCGAGTCCGTCCGTAAGCAGGAGGAGTTCATCCGCAAGCACACGATGAATAGCGGGCAGGCGAAGCATAATCACCCGAGGTTCCGCGTACGTATTCGCCCCACACACCTTCTTTTCTTTTCCTTCCCCCCTTTCAAATTTTGTACTTTAATATTGTATATACTCTCACCACAGAGAAATAATGCTAACCTGTTCGAACAGAAAGAGAAACATTCCATCCAGGGGAAACACGGCAAGACGCATTCTATATGCTAGAACAAAATAAAAGGAAAAGAAAAGAAAAAAGCTTGGGTGGGAGATTAGGCATTACCTATATCGTGCTTTCCTTACTACTTACTCTAGGTATTTAGTATAGGTATCAAAAAAAAAAAACGAAAGAAAAGAAGCAAAATGGATATGGTGGTGAAACATTGTTTGGGTAAGGGTAAGGACTAGATAGGCGTCTTGAGATAGAGATTTATAGATCTGCTTTACCTCCTATACCTCCTATGCCTGCCTAGGAACTATACTAGTAGTCTGCGTAGGCAATATCTTATACTTGTTTGTTACCTGTTGATATGTTCCTATCATCGTTGAATACTTGTGGATACGTCGAAACACAAAGCCTACCTAATGTATAATGGAAAAGTAACTGGCTCGGACAGTATCATGTACATACCTAGGTTAGTAGTGACGCAAACGTCTTATAACTAACTAGGTACGTGTGGGATCGCATAGCACATGTCTAGGTACCTAGTAGGGACCTAAGCAGCAAGTGTTTAATCTTCCAATGCGGTATTCTTTATTCACTTCATCTTCTCTCATCCACCTACCTACCCCTTTTCTCCCAACTTCCCTAGCGCGCAATACCATTCCTCCTCCTACCGCCCGACTTACTCCTGTCAATGTGATTCTTCAGGATATTCCTCGTGGTGACCAAGCTCCTCTTCTGCTTGATCTTGGCCTTGCCGAGCGTCATCATGAAGTTCTTCTTCCGGGCCTTCTCTTTGTTGGTGGTGGACTTGCCCTCGGCCTCCTTCTTGGCCTTGCGGATGGCCTGCGTGGACTTGTGCTCCTCGCGGTCGGGCTTCCCCTCCTTGGCGAGCGCGATGCGCTCCTCCTTGGTGCTCTTGCGCAGCTTGGAGGGCGCCTCGATTTGTTCCGCCGTCAGGCCCTCGTCGATGTGGCGGGACTCCATGTCTTGCTTGCGCTTGCGGCCCATGGCTTTGTCGACGTTGGACTCGATTCGCAGTTCGCGGAGCTTGGCCAGGTCGGCAGGCGTGAGTATTTGGGTCGTGGCTAGGTGCATGAAATCGATGGCTTCGGTCTCTGCATTTTCCTTGTCGTCCTCCTCCGCGTCAGGATCGTCGGGGTCGACTTTTTGCCGCTTGGTATCCGGCTCAGGCTCCCCTTCGTCCTCCGAATCGCTGACTCGGATCCACTCCCCAGAGTCGCTGCTATCCGACGAAGCGACCTCCCACTCATCTGAATCCCATCCGTCTTCTTCACCCTCGGGCTTTTCACCAGCCTCGGCTTCTTCAGGGAGGCCTCGTTCCACGCGCTTGCGTTTCCGTTGCTCCTCTTTCCACTTCGCCAGAAGTTCCAGACCTTCAATCTCGCCAGTTTGCTCCTCGCCAAACTTCACCTGCTTGATACTTCCTTTCTTGAGTCCAATGGTCGCGTCCTTGCCGCGGTCTTTCTTCTTCAACATATCTGCGCCCTGCTCGCGATACAATGACAGTAACCCCTTTGCTGCCATCACCACCCCCTTATCCTTACTTTTCCTGTACTCGACCAAGTCTTGTAATAATGTTTCGTTCATCGCGAGGGGCTGCCGGGCACAGATCTCACGGATGGCGTTGAGACCTGCTGAGCAAACCTCGGTGGCCGATGCTTCGGAGACAAATTCGTTTGCGATCTTTTGTATTAATGGCTCAATTGCATCTGGGGGTACTAGGTTGTGAGTTCCCTGAGCAAGCGACGCCAGGAAAGACGAAGCTGACTGCTGTTTCGGAGACAGGTACTTGATGAACCAAGAATACAGCGATATGACGGTCAACTTGTGCAGACCGACTAAACGTGTAACAAGCTGTAGGACCAAAAGCCGGCTCTCAAGAGCTAGCTTAGCCTTGGAGTTCTGAAGATGCTTCTCAAACAAATTCTCACTGAAGCCCTGAGGATCCTGAAGTAGGTGAAGAGCAGAAAAGTTGAGTGGATGCGGTGAATGCTTCTTGCGCTCCTGCTTCTTGACTTTATCGACGGCCCTGTCCAGGGCTTTCTTGGCTTTCTTAGACTTCTTGTTAATTTCGATCGAGTGTTTGACCTTCTTGACGTCGACGGTCTCTTCGTCACTGCTGTCGTCTTCGAACTCTTCTCGCTCCTTGTCTCCCCCCAGAAAAAATCTTACACCTCCGACGGCTACCTTCTCGTTATCGGCTAAACAAGCTTGACGCATAATATCGACCGTTTTGGCATCAGTCCATATTTGGCGCCTCCATAATTCGCGTACCAGCTTCACAGCCCATAGAGCTTTCGGCGATGATCGGTCTGAGGTAACAAGATTATAGAGAGCGATCTGCATGGATCGGTTTACTCGGTGATTCGTTGCCTTGGTGTTGGTATTCCGCAAGTCGCTAAGTATTTTCTGGTAGAGAATCATCCGTAACGACTTGGACGGGGTGCTAATGAGGATAGGGAGGAGGGTGGTGAGCAGATAGCTGCTGTCGATAACATCCTTCCGTCTCAAGAGGGTAAGACTGGATACTATCTTCTCCCGCAAGGTAGGCTCCAACACGGCATGGTGTTTGGTAAGGACATCTTTGAGGGCGTCGGGAAATGTAGCAGTTATCCGCGGATACAGCTCAGCGCAATGTGCGATTAAGTCTATTTGCTCACGGAAGCTGATTAGGGAATTAGAATCGGCGTTGATAGGAGCAGCTAGGAACTTTTCGTGGGCGGCGTCGAATTGTTGCCAATTTTCTATGAATTCCTTTTCGTATGCTCTATATACGTATATATCGATTAGCAGGAGTGTACGTATGAAGCGAGCGGATGGGATAATGTATGTGTATTACCTACAGTGGATCTTTTCGAATTCTATACTGAAGACCGGCAAGGTCTGCCTCGACCTTCTCGAGTGCTGCCACTTTTCTCTTTCCCATTGTATTAATCGTTGAATTATATACAGTTGAAGTGGTGTAAAGGTTGTAGATAGTAGCAAGTTCGCTCTAATCGACTTCAAAAAGTTGGAGACTAAAAAGAAAAATTATAGGAAAAGTCGCTGATTATCATTATCTCTTATCTTATCTCGTTAGTGGCATTCACTTTACAAGGGTAGAATCGGTAGATAGGCCCATCTTAAAGCACCTGCATTAGGGGCTTGGCAAAGCTTAATCTTGAACACCTCGGAACCTCAGTCTTTATTAATAAGTTGTGGTTCTTCCCCTTTTTAGATTCTCTTTTCATACTACTAGTAATAGTACATACATGTATCCCTCATATATATGCATAATGGCTCAACTGGCCGTAATATTCCATCATTTCACTGACCAACTTTAGGCCTCTTCTAATTAATTCTATATCATCTATCTAGCCTGCCTTAGCGTCCCCCAAAATATCATCCGTCGCTTTCTCAGCAATCATGAAAACAGGACAGACCGGGAACGCACCAATCGCGGCAGGGAAAGAAGATGCATCAACCACGCGCAGGTTTTTTACACCATGGACTCTGAACTTGGAGTCCAAGACCGCCATCTCATCGTCTGCAGGGCCGATTCCACACGTGCTCGCCGCGTGGTGCGAGTATGTTTGCAGCTTGAGGAACTCCTTTTGCGCCTCGTCAGTACAATTCTGATTCGTCCCGGGACATGGATGCTTCTCGTTGAAAGGGCCAATGGGCTCACCCACGGAAGTAATGGCCTCTCGGAATATTTTCGCCGCATCTAGCATCTCTGTGAGGTCCTCGTCCTCTCCATTCTCAAAGAAGTTGAAGTTGATCTCGGGTGGCTCCTGAGGGTCGCTAGAACGTAGGCGTACGTAGCCCGACTGTGACCGCGAGTTCATGTGCACGAAGGCGCATTCATACTGCGCTGGCCCGTATTCCGTCGGGAATCCAGGCCAGAACCCCTCGAATGAGAAGGATTTACACCACCCATAAATATTACGATTCTTGCGCGCTGTTGGTGTCTTCAACAGCACCGCGATTGGGCCCGATGTTCCGTTCAACGGCTTGCTAGCTAGTGCGAGCACGCCACCTTCATAGTTATCTGCGAGCTTTTCGCCCACCCCAGGAAGGTCTTTGACGACGGGAATGTTAAACTTTTTAAGCTCTTCTTCAGGGCCAATGCCACTGAGTTTTAGAATCTGGGGTGAGTTGAAGGCTCCGCCGGCAACAATAACTTCTTTATTGGCAAATATCTGGACGACTTCCCCTTTGGTTCCGTTGTAACGTGGGTCGGCCTTGTACAGGGAGGGTCCTCGTATAAGCTCTACACCGATCGCAGTGGGCTCCTCGGTATCCTCTGCAAACAGGACTTTGGTCACGAGACTCTGCAGCTGCACAGTCAGTGGGTATTCGGCTGGGTCATCTAACGTCGCCCGGAGGTAAGTATTGGACCCAACCCTGTGTCCATTGGGATCCGCGTGACTGGCGAGACCGAAGACGCCCGTGGCTAGGTCTCTGTCGGGATCAAGTGCGTTGATATCCCGTGTTACATCGCCACCGACTGCTTTGATAATGTTGCCCGCAATCTCTTGCACATCAGATGTTTGCTGCATAAATGTTGGGTCACTGATTGTCACGTTAACGTAGCCACTGTACCCATGCCCAGGAGTATCGGCTGGTACATAGTGTGCGGTTTCTATCCTTTCAAAGTATTGCCGCATGTTCTTCGCCAACCAACTCTCATCACCGGTACTCTCAGCAATCGCATCCCAATCGTCATCGGAGGGCAGTGCGCATACGCCACCGTTGTGCATTGCGCAACCCCCTAAAGTGGCCGAGCGAGGATAATAAATGCCGAGTTGCTCGGAGCCCTCCGGAGGTTCCAAGCCGACGTAAAAGGACCCATCCGGCTTACGCCACGTCATGTGCTCATATTTACCCTCGCGCTCCTCGTCCGAAGAATGTTTCACGAAGAAGTCCCATCGTGATTTATCGTCGTTAGCCGCGAGGTTAAAGTTGATCATATCCGAGTAGTTTTTGTTGTTTCCTAGATCATCGCCTGCTTCGAGGAGCAGCGTCGGATATCCTGCTCGTGCCAAGTTGGCCGCAAGCGGTGCGCCACCGGGACCCGATCCTATAACGATATAATCATACGGAGACGCCGTGTGGGCAAATGCCTGCGTAGCAGCAAATAACCCTGTTAAAAGGAATTGACCGGCCATCTTGAACCTCTAGAGCCTTCTACAATTCTACACATGAGATACTTCTATTATATCACGGTAGGTAGGCGCTTGTGAGGTGACAAGCAACTCTTTATAATCACGATATTACTATTCCCCAACACCGAGCCAGCTCCTCGAGGAAAGTCGAGGCCCATGTCGACTGCCACGCTGCTATCAGTCATATACCCATTGACAACAGCTGGGGTGACCTTTGGCTAAATGAGTTAAATGGACAGTTGGAGAAGGTTCTTGGGGTTTTTCGTGTGAACACCGGTTTGGGGTACCTTGGCGTCGTGTTGCGATATTACCCGGCAGACAAAAGCCGTTGCGGCTGATTAAGGATATGTGGAATCGGAAAGTCTGTCCTGTCCCTCCCACGAGATGCTCACACGACACGGACAGCTTCATTTCGGGCCTAATGTGCTTGATTATCTGATTGATTCATTATAGAAGATTTCCTGAGTATATGCCTGTACAGTCTATGATCCTTACAACCTTTTCCATTTCCCATCAAATCCCCATCGTTTGATTCACTTACCTAGAGCAGGTAGTATGCATCGATCATGCTTTTTGAGAACAGACTATCAAGTGATGGTGCTGAGAGCGGTTTAGTCAGCCTGGGTTATGTGAGTGATTTACTTGACTTTCCCTGTCACGCAACAGTAGGTGTCGCCTAAGAGTTCTCCGTGGCAAATTTCATCTTTAGAAGGGATGTTTGCAAAAGCGTACTACTATTTAGGGGCTCTCGAATAGTCAAAATCCATGTGACCCGTGTCCTGTCCTGGGGACCGTACTGAACCGAGCTTCGATCAATGAATCGATATTTGCGAGAAAATGGCTGTCGACACTACCTGAATCTATACCGATCTATCGTGTAATGTTAGTAGTTCTAGCAAGACGGTCCCCATATATAAGTTCATCAACCATCAATGATCTGGACTCTGTCGCCATCTCCAGAAGGAGTCATTTTGATGCTTGCCTTGGTGGGTCTAGAACGCATCGGGCCTGCAACTGTGGGCTTTTCTGCTCTCCGGTTTTTTTTTTCTTCGGGGTTTTTTTCATCCATGTTTTGGCCTATCTATCGTTTCATGCCTCGGAGTGTGAGACTTGAATATGCCTAAGTCGAATGAATCGGGATGAACGATGCATAGGTAAGTTTTTTTGTTTTTGTTTTTTTTGAAAAACATGACTAGTAAATACAGGCACAGATCTTACTCCACGCACAGATGTACGAATCTGACTAGTAGGTGATCTGAGCATCAAGGTAAGGCCTGCTGCATTATACCGGTACATGTAGTCTTTTCTCCTTAGCTTTTTTATAGCCTAGATCTTGATTGCTCGACCCTTGCGTACCGACCGAAGTACTAATAGCAGTCTAACATAGATCCTGACTACTGAGTTAGCACCTACTCATAAAATTGGACAGCTACCTATTAGTAGTCACGGCTGCAAATAATACGTTAGGGACGGGTCTTCGTACGCGAGTCCCGCTTCTACTAGGTATGTAGGGTTGACAAGACTGACTTTTTTTTAAAAAAAAACCTCCGTCGGTAAAGATGCAGCAAGGTCAATTATGGCTCGTAACATTGAAGTACAATCTAGGATAGGGCATCAATGTGCAGGTCACAAGCTTTCTTTTAAGCTTATTATCCTTTTTCTATCTTACGAGACATCATATCTTTACGGTAATGCGTAGGTGCGTGTGCTTACACGGAGCGCGGTGTCAATCTGTACGCGTAGGGATTTGAATTAGACTTCATCCTACTCATCCTACTATTCCTGATATGTTGCTACGGTCAAGGGGCAACGTAACATTCAACGTCTGCCTAGGTACGACGTATAGTATCTGGTAAGATCTTGCCTTGGATGTCATAGTGCATGGCTCCAAGTTGAGTGTGTGTTGCTCAGCAGACGCCACACTGCGGATCATGCCGGCTAACCCGGAACCAAGTAAGATTTGGTTATTCGTTTTCGCTATTCCCAGGGAATAATTAGAATTGGAGGGGGCGGAGGATGGAGGATGGGAATATGGAGAAGGGAGAGAAGAATGGAGAGGAAAGATAGGTATTTATTTACACTTTCAAGTTTACGGTATAACACCATTAAATCACATAATAAATGTGAATAACAATTATTGTTATAATTATTAACTTCTTTGGTTTATCTTATTTCTTACGTACGGTTTACAGGTAGTTCGGCCAATGGTCGTATGTTTGTTTATATGTCTCATTTTTGGAACCCTTTATTTCGTATTTCAATGTATGTATTTACTAGAAGTTGCATGTACCTACATTTCATAAGAATCATAACCAGTGTCGAGTTACTCATTACTAACAGTGACGGTCTTTGTGGATGATCGGTTCATTCCAAGATCGAAACCGATCATTTTCACTCATTGTCTCTTATTACTTACGTTAAATAATGGAGAGAAACGAGAAACGAGAAACAAGAAACAAGAAAGGAGATGGTCCGAGTTGAAGCAATCCATGCGTAATGCCATGCCTCACCCCGCGATCGTAACTAGGATTCCGAGATGCAGAATCAGATGATGACATACTTAGGTAGGTAACCGTAGGTTAGGTAGTTAGGTACTGTACATACATGTCTACCTCCAAACATACATACATTGTCATACAATACTGCAGACAGCAGTCTGCACTGACTCTGCAGAAAACATTACAATACCCTATGTACAGGACCTACTACAGGACCGTACAGGTAGAATAGAAATGGGTCGAGAAGTTGCTTAGGAATGCGGCGTCAGCCAACGGTAACGTGGTCTGGATGTGGATATATCTTAACCATCTTATATCCGCATTCGGAACAAATTGCCATCTTGAGTCTAACCAAGAAAGATTGAAACACACGGCACTCCGATGGTTATTGATACAAGCTTCTGTCCTTCCTGTCTCGGCGGTGTAGGAGTCGCCGCACGGTAGCAGGGATGGAATCCATTAGCAAATAGGATACATCGGGGCGCGCTAGATCGGCGAAGCTAAGAAATCTCTTATTTTCTAGAAGGTCCACGGGTATGCTACACTACACTACACTACACTACACTACACTACATATTACACTACTACTCTGGCAGAGTCTGGCTGCCAGGCTGCCAAGCTAAGGGTACTAGATTAGTAGATATACCTCCAGCGAGGGCCACTAAGTATCTTGGATTCTTGGTAGGTACTAGACTGCCAGGTATGCTAGCCATGCTAGACCAGGGGTTTCATCTGTGACGTTCACGGTACACGGTTCACGGCTCAAAGGTGCTAGCGTCGGTAGCTGACTGAGGCTTAGCTCGACTTCTCTCGACATATTTGTTACCAATGCATTACTACTACTGGTCTTGGGGGAATTCGCTTTGGAAAGAAACAGAGTCACTTTTGTTGATGAAATGCAACTCGTCTTATTTGATTGCTTCATGGGCCGGTTCGTCATCATCAACCACCAATAACCCAGCAACAAGCCTAGACAACTCAGACCAAACCCATTGCGGGACCATTCCCCCTTCTTTTCCCTTTTCCCCCTCCCCCCCCGTACACTCGGTATCGTGGAGGTAGACCGGCGTTTGGATCTTACATGCTACACTAACCACTATTAACTAACCTTCTCCCATGGGATTAGTCAAGGTACTGTATAGGGTACATATCACATAGTAACTACTAACTATAGCCACCCGCAGTGGCACCCGCCTCGACCACGTAACGTAATGTTATCTCGTCGATCATTAGGGCTTTTCGTCACGAACAAGAACCGGGAAAAGCCGGTGTGATTGGGGCTTTTCTTGTATAATGGAGCTCACCCCATAGATCTTATCCCATGGATGTATGGGGCCATGAGTTCGTGTGCTACCAAAGTTGAACTTGACTATAGTAGCACTACCTTACATACACTACATACATACATACCTACATACATGTTACCTGCCTAGTACTACATAGCAGTACCTAGCATGTGTATGAGACTATGAGTGTGTAAGAGTACAATACAAGTATGCTTCCTCGGTGAAAGTCAAAATCCCAACCCACCCTGACTACTCTCGCATTAGTTTTTTAGTATAAGCCCTTTCCGTTGGCCACATAAACATAAAAAAAATCCTGAAAGAGTAGCCCTTTTAAACTTTCGGCCTCAGATCACCACCACCACAAACAAGTCGGGGCTTGCTTGGACACACGAAAACCTTCCGTCGTCAACCTCACTGTCATACTTGCTTGTCAAACCTCACCCTCACCTTCACCCTCACCCTCACCCCTCCTCCTCGTGTCTCCTCACTCAGCAAATTTCCTCCCTCCGCCTCTGGTCAGTAAGAAAAATCCCGTTTTACCTACTCACCTGGTAATAACCCCTCCCTCCTTCCCTCCTCAACGACGAGAGAGACGCTAGCCAGCTCGAGATTCTTGTGGACAAGATGGCGGATACGAAGAACGAGAAGATGTTCGAGTCGGACTCGCCCTCGGCGCGCGACATGGGGTCCAGCACCGAGGTCGTCGGCCAGGTGAGCGACATCTCGGGGTTCGAGAAGCAGAAGGCGGAGCTGGGCAGCGCGCACTTCAACCGCCTCGGCTGGAAGCGGCTCACCGTCGTCCTCATCGTCGAGGCCATCGCCCTCGGCAGTCTGAGCATGCCCGCCGCGTTCGCCACCCTCGGCATGGTCGCCGGAACCATTCTTAGTGTGGGACTGGGACTTGTGGCCATCTACACGAGCTACGTCGTCGGCCAGGTGAAACTAAAGTTCCCGGAGGTCCAGCACTACGCGGATGCGGGCCGCCTGATCATGGGGAAGTTCGGGTATGAGCTCGTCGGCAGCATGTTCGTGCTGCAGCTGACGTTCCTCGTCGGCTCGCACTGTCTCACCGGCACGATCGCGTTCCAGAACATCAGCAACAACGGCGCGTGCTCGCTCGTCTTCGGCGTCGTGTCGGCCATCATCCTGCTGCTTCTCGCGATCCCGCCGTCCTTCGCCGAGGTCGCGATCCTGGGGTACATCGACTTCGTGTCCATCATGGCGGCCATCTTCATCACGATCATCGCCACCGGCGTGCAGCGCACGGATATCGGGGTGGTCTCGGGGTGGTCCGCGTGGCCGGAGGAGAACCTCACGTTCACGAAGGCCTTCATCGCCATCACCAACATCGTCTTCGCCTACAGCTTCGCCATCTGCCAGTTCTCCTTCATGGACGAGATGCACACGCCCAAGCACTTCGTGAAATCCATCTGGGCTTTGGGGTTGATCGAGATCGTCATCTACACGCTTACCGGAGCGCTGATCTACGCCTTTGTGGGCCCCGAGGTCAAGTCCCCCGCCCTGCTGTCGGCGGGCCCCTTAGTCTCCAAGATCGCGTTCGGCATTGCGCTCCCTGTCATCTTCATCTCCGGCTCGATTAACGGAACGGTCGTGGGACGCTACATCCACGGGCGCGTGTACCGCGACTCCGTCACGCGCTTCATCAACACGACGAAGGGGTGGGTGACGTGGATCGTGCTCATCACCGTCATCACCGTCATCGCGTGGGTTATCGCCGAGGCCATCCCGTTCTTCTCCGACCTGCTCGCTATCTCGTCCGCGCTGTTCATCTCGGGCTTTACCTTCTACTTCCCCGCCGTCTTCTGGTTCATGCTCATCAAGGAGGGCCCCTGGTACGCGAAGGAGAACATCTACAAGGCGGTGCTCAACGCGATCGTGTTCTTGATCGGCATGATTGTGCTGGTCGGCGGCACGTATGCTAGTATTGTTGATATTGTAAGTTTTTCCCCCAGTTTTATTCCCTTTTTTCTTTTTTTCTTTTTTTTTTTGGAGAGAGGGAAAATGAAACTAATATTGCGATTTTGCAGATTGATGGATACACCACCGGTACCGTTCGCGGCGCGTTCACCTGTGCTCCGTTCGAGTAAATTCGAAGAAGCGGCATCGAGGGAAGGATAAACAAATAAATAACAGAAAATTTTAAAATAAAATAATATCAATAAAGAAGGGTCTGAAAGCAGTTATACCCAAAGTCACAGTCGCCAGTCTCTCTTAGCGATCCGACTTACGTACTTTTTTTTTCACCTACGCCCTTCGCAAGACCATCATGTCAAAAAGGGCGCGCGCCCCTTCGCTCCACACTTTGACTAAGGGGTAGGTACCGTATACCTACCTACCTACCTACACCCGCCTACTTACGTTAAGGCGCCGCCATACGTACTCAGTACATACATACATACATCACGATACTTACCTACCTATGTGTTTTATTTCCTATCTACGGAGCATTCATCTCACGTGAGCATGGAGGGAGGGTGCGGGAGTGGGGGGGGGGGCACATAGATTTAACGTTGTTATTATCTAGAACAAACGCTGGTGGATCTTTTTTCTTGTTTTTTTAACGGCTACGTACCTACGTACCTACCTACAGGACAAACAGCTTCAAAAACATGTGTCATGGGATAGGAAAGGAAGGATCGGATTGCTATTGTGTTTGGGATGAAAAACCTTTTGCGAGGGAGTTTTGGTTGGTTGTTTGTTTTTGCTGGTGGGTGGAACGCACGATGTTATATTAGTACTAGGTACCTTGTACGTTACTAGGTATGTAAGGTCTGGAAAGTTGATGTTGTTAGGTGCGAGACGAGTGCTTCTGTGGGTGGGTATGTAGCTGCAATGGATCGAGTATGAGTATTGAGATGAACATGAGTACGAGTATTAGTATGAGATGAGATGAGCAGCGGCGTGATTAGTGAGGATATGTCGTGTCATGTGCCATATGTCACTTTTCTTTTTTTACCTTGTTGAAGATTAGGTATCCAGACCGAGTCCTGTCAGATTATGCCACTACGCTAAAAGGTGAATACAATTATTTCATCATCTGTCTCTACTTGCTTGTGTCCTCAGTATATCTGACAACTCCTGTCGTACTGCGTACCTAGGCATGTAGTGCGGAACTCATCGTGCTACTTCGGAACTGTGGTTATTGGGCTGGTTGGGTTGGGTTGACCGAATGGAATGCGTGGATACGACACTGCACCGCACTGCACTGTAAGACAGAGTTACATTCAGATCACATTTCCAGGGTATTCTCCACGTTATGATGGGTAGGCACCCTAGGTCTGTATTGTACATGTATTAGGTAGGCGCTCATCTTATAGATGATTGCCACTCCGTTTGTTAACACGGTTTATCTGTCTACCCAATACCACCCATGGTCTGTCCTGTCTGTACATACAAAGTAGGTAAGTAACCTAGGTTAGGTATGTCTGGCCTGGTCAGCATATATCCATCCCAACCTCGGGGAAGGGGGGGTTGAGTAGTATGTATGTAGGTAGGCAGGGTAGGTGACAACTTATGGGGGGAAGTTGAAAATGGCCCTCCAGGGCTATTAGGTAATTGTTGCGGCTACTATAACTACTATAGGCAACCTTGCCCTATTAGATTATCACGGGCGTGCCCAGTAGTCACTTGGCGGCTCCGCGCGCACCCTAACTAGTGAGGCTTGCAACTACGTACTTTTAGTTAGGTTAGTGGGTTAGGTAATTGGAAGTCTTGGATGAGGAAATACTGTTACATCGTATGTTGTTTTGCATCGTCAGTCCGTATAATATAGTTGCACTCTTCTTTTTAAACCAAGCCGTGTTTTTCTCGTTTCTACCTAGTAGAGAAAGAGAGCAGCTTGCCTATCTCGACACCGAGTTATTTATTAGATGATGTTATTATATTTTACCACGTAGTAGTACTTATTTCCTTGGGAGGCGGAGGAATTATGTAAAAGCTTCATCACTAGCTCGCGGGACTGGGGGGTCTCGGAACAAGGAAATGGGCTGAAGCTAACCGATCTGAGTAAAGCAATTGGACGAAATTACCTCCGAGGTTGGATGGATGTCCATCGGAGGACCCCTGATTTTTAGCGTCGTGGGTTTTGTTGCTCCCTCTCTTTTAGTACGTAGGTAGGGTATGTGTACTAACTAGGTAGTAAAAGGCACCAAGATCATGCGAGGTTGCGGGTTAGATGCGGCGTTGGATCTTGCTTGAATACTATGGAGGCTAACCTAGGTTAGTTGAAGAGAAGTGAACATTTACCCAGTTGCTGATTGGCTTGAAGTGTGTTGGTTAACATCTTATCAATGCTGCATGTATAATAGACTCTCAGTCTATGTTTGTTATTAAGACCACTTGGTCGAGGCTGTCCTACAACTTGGATAAGTCTGGTGTTATGATTGATGGCTGGTTATGGCTCTTAGACAAGACTATTGAGTTAACTTAGTCGACCTCGAAAGGTTAGTTGGCTTATAGAAGAGAAAAACTGGGTTAATTGGGTAGTCTGATAGTCTATCAGCTACTCTGAGATGTGTTAAATCGAAACTCACCAGTATATGAGCTTTGAGTTTACTGATTCTCGAAAAGGAAAAGTATGCCAGTTACTGCAAGTACTTGACTTGTTATGGTTGAAGTTATCAACATGTTAGTAAAGCGAACACCCTTAGTTGGGTAGTTACTGTCGCCCAGGTTATGTAGATAATATTTCTCTATTAGCTTCATACTTACCTATTAATATAACCTAGCATCCATGAAATATCATGGATATGGAATCGTTTTCAGGGTCGGTTGAGTCTCTACTAGTATAACTACCGAGCTTACTCTAGAGTTCAGACGCGTAGTTAAGGAAATGTTAAGCAAGTCAACACAGATAAAAATCTAGGTTAGAGTAAGTAACTTGACATCAAAGTATAGGTAGTTGATCACCATAAGCGTCAGCCTCTTAGAAGGCAAGGCTAGCAACACGTCTTATCTTCCCAAAACACTAGGACCAGGTATTCATCTTATAGAAACTTTCTATAACTTTATTTACACGAAGTGTTCATCTCTCTATGAGCGGTGCAGTGTAGTGAAGTAGAGGTGGCATTAGTTATTATCTGACATCTGCTTCGTTGATGCTATGAAAAGTATCACATAGCCATAAGACCAACAACTCTACTTGATGGTAGGTCAGCCTCCTGAAGGCTATCGAAGATTGGCATATTCTTATTTCTCACTATTAAACTTTACGCTATGCTGGCCTATGAGTTAGGTATGTAGTAAAATAATCAATAGTCTTAAAGCTTCTCTTATACTACTAACGATGAAGGTCAAAAGTGTGAAAGGGCTCACACTTAGCAGATTATCTAGCAAGTTTTTAGGGATGCTATCTGATATTCTCATCGTTTAAAGAATGACACAGCACAGCACCTACACCAACTAAGAACTTATTTCAAAGGTTAAAGGAGATCTTTTAAAGGGATCATGGAATTCGCTGTTTACGTAGGTATTATTATATTTATCTACTTGGTAAAATACCTAAACACCATAATTGGCATCAACCACAATCACATCGTTTATTTCCATGGTCTCGCCCCTGAGACCTACTTATTGGTAGTTACTATTCTCGACGAGCCCACGTACATAGTAGTTGTATACTAAGCGGGTTCTGTGAACCAACATCCAACATCATGGGATCCAGTTCCCAAAATATCGATATTCCACAGAAAGGGAACGCCCCTCCCGAGAGTCGCCAGTACAAAATGGATCCATTCACCTGCTTGAATCTTGCAGCATCTACCATTGCCGTACTCGATTTTGGCTCCAAGCTGCTGGGCAAGGGCCACCTGATCTATAAGAAGGGACAGAAAAAAGGAGGCAACAGCAACCTGAACAAGCTCGATGTCGACAGCCTTAAAAGGCTGGTGCAAGCCCTGAAAGATGGGATACAATCGACATCTAGCCCAGAGCTAGTCCTGCCTGCAGACCAATCTGTGAGTTTTTTTCTTTGTGACCTGGGACAACCGAACAATACCTGTGACGATCTGGGGCTGATTTATATTATATAGAAGCTGCAATATATCGCGACGGAAACCAAGGGAATCGGCGGACAGATCCTTGTTCTCCTTGGGTCAACCAAAACACCTGATCCTGGAGGCAAGCCGTGGAAGAATCTCCACCACGCCGTGGCAGCAACACTGAGTGCCGAATTAATCGACAAAACCAACGGCGTGCTTGAGAACCTGAGAAACGATCTTGTCCTTCGCGTTATCCCCTCCTTCAAGTGTAGCTCCGATTTTCAGTCAGCTCGGTTGGATCCGCGTTTCAAAAGTATAGGGGCAGATCACAAGAAGATTGCCGAAACATTATTAGACAACAGAAATTTCTTCACGACTGGAGTTAATAGGTTCCTCAAGATATACGAAACGGAAGGCAGGCATGATAGAATTAGAGAACAGGAAACTATCGCGACAGCTGCAACCCTCTCCGGAATAATGGCCTCTGACGACAAGGTATCCTATCATACTAGCCCTGCTGCCACTGGCGACAAAGGAAGGGGGGGGCAGACTAGAAAAAAGGCGTCGCCGCTAGAAGACCTGACTATGATCCAGGAATATATCCTTCGCTTCTTGCGGTTCAGACACTTGAATGACAGAAGACATGAAATTCCAGATGCGTATGGAAAGTCCTTTGAGTGGATCTATAACAGCGGAAAATCCATCGGAAACACCCAAAATGGCACCGAATCCGATATCGAAGGACGGAATGACCTGAGATCTTGGCTTGAATATGGAAGCGGATGCTTTTGGATCACCGGAGAGCCTGGCTCTGGCAAGTCCACCTTGATGAAGTTCGTCGCCGGCGACTCCCGAGCCCGAAGTCTTCTGCAACTCTGGGCTAGAAACGAGCCCTTACTCTGCGCCTCCTTTTTCTTCCAGGGTTCAGGGACACGACTGCAAAAATCGCAACGTGGATTTCTACGCGCACTACTCCATGACAGCCTCATCCAGTTTCCCGAGCTGATACCGATAGTGTTTCCTGAATACTGCCGCGCGTTTGCAAGAAAGCCGTTGATTGGCCACGAACCTACTAAATCGGAGCTGGAAGCTGCTTTCGAGTTGTTGGTCCGCCAGAGAGTCAAGCCCCTGAAAATATGTTTCTTCATCGACGGGCTGGATGAATTTGATGGGGATGCTGTCGGCCTCGCTCAATATCTCCTTGCAGCATCAGAAACAGTTAAGATTCTTCTGTCTAGCCGTCCGGTGCCTGGACTCCATAAAGAATTCGCTAATTGTGGGACAATACAACTACACGACCTTACAAAAGGTGGCATTCGCACCTATGTCCTGGAGAATCTCACCAAGCACCCCCGAGTAAAGGAGTTATGGGAAATGGATGAGCTTGAGGTTATTGACATAATCGAAGTGATAGTTCAGAAGTCATCGGGCGTTTTCCTATGGGTTAGACTTGCGGTTAGGTCACTGACGGACGGTCTTCGAAAGCAAGATGGCGTACGAGATCTTCGCCGGAGACTCGACGCACTGCCAGCAAACCTCAACGATTTCTACCGGTACATGTTTGGCAGATTATCGTCGTTACATAAACAACAAGCCTCGATGCTGCTGCAGATAGTATACCGAAGCACATTTCTTACGGGTGGACAATCTTACCTGACCGACTTGGTGCTCTCGTACGCATTTGAGGACCATCCCAAAACGGCCATTAATGCGAAAATTTTGGGGTCCAAAGAGGAAGAGATCTCTCTACGCTGCGCTAATATTGCAGAGATCGTAGGCAGCTGCTCTTGTGGGCTTCTGGAAATGAGAAACCAAGAAGACAAGACGGACAACGCAAGACCTGTAGTAAATTTTATACACAAGTCTGCCGTTGACTTCATTGGGCAACCCGAAACATGGGCACATCTCCGCAGCTTAACCGCTCATACCAAGTTTGACCCCGATATTTATTTGGCATGCGGGTACTTGCTCGGCATCAAAAAGTTCCCAACCAGCGTGTACGCCCTTCCGTGGTCTACCAAGTTGGGGTTGTTGCCGGCTTCCGTGATGGAAGCCATAGCTTCCGACGGGCCCCTGAGTGAAAGCACCAAACAACATGAACAAGGAAATAACTTTATAGAAGGGGATATATTTTGCGTATTAAGTATGCAAGCAAGAGAAGCGCTCGAGGGTCTTGTTGTGGCAGAAGGATCAGCGAACGAAGCACAAGTACAGGAAGTGATCGAGGATCTTGACACTACCATGCAAATGCATTACTTGGCCCTCAAACATGCCAAAAACTGGAAATCCTTCTCCCAGGGGCAGTTTGTCCCTCTTGATCACTGGACTGTTTTCCAGAACGACCGCGAGGAAGGCTGCTTACCATGCGACTCAATGTTCGCTTTAGCATGTGATATTGGCCTTGTGGGTTTCATCAAGGCCAAGTTACAGAAAATATCAAGTATAGATGAAGCTGTATTTGATCGCCTGTCTCTGGGCGATGTTCCTGCCAAGCGCAGCCCAAAACTTTCCCAAACCGCCATGGCAAGGGTGGTCAATGGTATCGCCAATAGTGACTCAACCGAGTTCAAAGTTTCTTTGTGGAACAGACACATGGATATCTTGGATCTTAGCATTCGGCATGGAGCAGATACAAATGCAATCATAGATGGCGGGAAATCGTTGTGGCATCGGCTCTTATGCTCCATGCCTAATTACATATGGCATATGGAAGAATTTGGGATAGTGTTGGAAAAATTCATTAGATCCGGCTGCGATCTCAAGACTAATATTTGCGTGGAAACCTCGGAATTCCGAGACCAGCGCAGCACAGCCTACGGCCCGGGGGCCAAGGTTCGCTTGATGGTGTCACCTATGGCTATCATCTTTACCAACTACAGAGCCGCAGAGGAACGAGCAGAAATGAATTCTGCCGAAAGAGCTCGTATGATCAATGCGGTCAGCGATTTCCTCCAGAGGCTTATCGTACGCGGAGGAGGCAGGCTTCACAAATACGCCGAGGAGCTGAAAGCCATGAACACGGAGGATGGGCCCACTAACGAGGCTTGGAGGAAAATCGTGGATGTTAAGAGGGGTCATGATGTTGAGAAGTATTTGGAAATGCGCATGCTTAGGAGTCTGGACATCCGTGCCTCTCAAAGTTGAGAATAATAAGGGGGAAGTTTGGATTTTGGACTTTGGATTTGGTGTTCCTGGCCTGAAGCCGAAGATGCCAACCTGACCTCAGGCTCTTGTATTCAACTCGCCTGAGGGTAATGGCGAGGACTGAACATGATTGCTGTCTGCGATGGCTTGTGGTTCTCCGGGTCCTACATTTTGGAAATCCGACAGAAGCATTTTGAGAAATTTCTACCTGCAGCGATAGATAGGTAGATTACTTGATACCCAAGCTATGCTAATTACTGCAGTAGGTAGCTAATAGCGAATAAAATGTTTGTTGCCTTTGCATTCAAAGACTTGGTAGAGAATGAACCTCAGTGCTGGCCTCGGGAGTCGGAGGTATTGGGGCTGATTGGCTGAGTACCTACTTATCACATGAGGTACAATACAGCGATTGATTGTAAATTTGAAGGACAAAGACAAAAGACAACATTGGAAGACAAAGAACGGAAACTCGAAGGTGACGGGTATCGGTGATGTCAAGTTCATTATCAACCTACATGAACTCATCATAATTGACTCAAAAAGCTGGTCTTATCGTAACTATGACGCGCACAAGTGGAAGCACACGTGGGAACCATGAGTTTATATCAAGGGAAGGTGCTATGTACGTATTACCTAGGTAGGTATGAGCTGCACCTGCAAAATAACCATCCTTAAGGTAGCCAAGATACATGTAGTACGAATACAATGCACCATTGTGTACCGTACGTCTATCAATGCATGTAAGTTTGGTGTTATAAAAAAGAAAAGCACAGGAGAAATAGAAGAGATGCCAAACGATTGGTAAGGCTGAGGAGCTAGGATCTGCAATATCTGCGAATATCTGCAATACCCGAAAGCACGTGAGGGGGGCTTTAATTCCAAGAATCAAAATGATCACCTCTGTCGTCGCTGCAGTTCTTTAAGTTCCGACTTCCGACCTCCAATAGGAATCTTCATTGGCCTGTGCTGCAGCATCAGATAACGTTAAACCGCATAGCCCCATTTATTCAAAAGTTTCATCTAAGGTTAGTTATTTGATGTAGTACCTAGTTACATAAGTGTGTAATAATACGTACCTAGGGCTAGGCGCTCGGTACTTCTGGGTAGTGCGTGAACATTTAATGCTGAGCACTCAGTTGAACTTGCAGCAGATTGAAGTTGTGTATTGTACATTCTAGTATTATTATTAATTTACTGTTTTAATATAACTACAGATAGTTACTAGGTAGTTACTCCAATGTTGGGGAAGCCATGTATGTACATAGGTTCGAGATAAATCACGTCTGTGCTTAGGGTTAGATGATTATTTTACATCTAGTACTCACCTACACTGATGTCTCAATTTTATAGTTCAAACTTGAATGTTGAGATCAATGATTGTAGGCGACTAAAGCTATGTAGTGGTTAGTGGTCACTGCAAACATATTGACATACATACATGTAACATGTGCAGTACCTACATACTAAGTACTATTCAGCTAACTATGTAGTACTTACATAGTACATGGTTACACCTACTTATCGTGCCTGCAAAGTTATCCCGTGGGTTTTACAGATAAGGCAGGTTCTATCTACCCAGCCTCCCTCTCAGTCTAAGCTAATCCACAAAGAGGATAGAACGCTCTGCCAACCAAGATTAAACCTTGCAGCGCCCCATTAAGATGCTACTATGGTACAGATGTACCTAAAAACGCAAAAACCGTACCATTAACGTACCACTGGCTTGTCCCCCGCAGATTAACCGAGTGGCTCATTTGGTCAGTTCAATGATTGATTTTCCAAGTTGTTTCCCAGCTTAGCGTAGGAAGCTTTGATCATTGATGGCAGTCGTGCATTTCAATGTTCTTCAGGCTACCGTACCTCCAATCTTCAAACACTCTAACCTACCTAGTCCCTAGTAAGCACTTGCAGCCCTGGAGCACTTTACTTTTAGCACCCCTAGCAGCAACATTGAACCGTGGGCCTTCAGAAGTTCAGCGACCTTCGGTGTCTCCACAGTGCCACCAACCAACCGACCTCATTTCGTTCCATTCATCCAACAAGGAGTCCGAGTCGCGCATCTACACTTCGACATCATTCTAAATCATCCACCTAATTATTTCTCTTAACGACCCTCGAGACGAACGCAGCAATAATTAATAACGATTTATTTCGATAGAAAAAAAGAAGAAGAAAAATATAAAAAAGGGAAGAAGCCGCTCGGCAACGAACGTCGCTACGAAGGAGGAAAAAAACCATTGGACCTACACCAATCGAGCGATCGATCGCATGTAGTCACTAACTTACCATGTCCGTCGAAGCGACTGCCGCAATGGCGTCTGCACCCGAGACTCAGATGGTTGGAGTCGAGGTCGCAAATGATGCGTCAAAGCAAGACGCTCACGATGCACACGATAAATCCAATGCATCTAACACCACAGTCAATGCTAAATCCACCGGACTTCATTCGCCGCCCGATAGCAACAGCGCAATGAAGTTGGATAGTAGCGATGAATCTGAGCTGAGTGACTTGGACGATCCTTCTATCATCGATATCAACATGAGTTCACCACGTCCTACTTCCTCAGGTACTACAACGCAAGACAATTTTCAACCGGAGGAAGAAGAAGACATCGGCGAGGTACTTCCCGACCATTGGTCCGGTACCGTTCCCGTCTTCAAGCCGAACATGAATCAATTCAAAGATTTTAAGAAATTCGTATGACTCTTGCTTCCTCCATATATCTAAAGTTTTTGCTGTTTTGCTGTTTTTGCTTCCATATTGCTCAACGCTTTCAAAACTCACTACTACTTACCTAAGGCAACTGACTTATTTGCTTCCATAGATGACTAAAATTGACTGTTACGGCATGAAGTCTGGCATTGTCAAAATCATACCCCCGCAAGAATGGAAAGATAATCATCCCCCACTTGATGATATGATCAAGCAGATTAGAGTCAAGGAACCTATCAAGCAGGACATCATGGGTTCTAATGGAACTTATCGACAAGTCAACATACTACATCAACGTTCCTATAATATCCCACAGTGGCGCAAGCTCTGCGATCAGAGCGAGCACCAGCCTCCTGCTAGACGGGGTGAACGTCGAGCGCAAGCTCCTCCCAAGCCAAAACCGGTTCCAGCATCAAATTCCAATTCTAGAAGACGTCGATCAACTAGAGGCAAGGGCAAGCGTGCTGTGCTTAGAGACAACGCCGCCGATCCGGAAGATCGTCCCATAACACCTGTTTCACCTAAACCGAACGAGGATCTCATCGAATCTGTGGAGCAGGATCCAGGCACGGACGTAGACGACGATGACGACCCTCCCGTTGTTGGTCGGATGGGTGGCTCTAGGCAGGCAAAGCCCAAGACTCAGTCTACGTCTGCTCGAAGAAAGTACGCAAGGCGAGAGGCGTCAGCTAGGATCGACGAGGAAGCCTTCAAGAACTTTGACTATCATATGGACATCTCCGATTACACCCCCGAAAGGTGCGAGGAGCTTGAGCGTATATATTGGAAGACTTTGACGTACGCACCGCCGTTATATGGCGCGGATCTTCCCGGGACGCTTTTCGACGAGGATTGTAACTCGTGGAATCTCAACAAACTTCCCAACCTCCTTGATGTCCTGGGCACGAAGGTACCAGGTGTCAATACGGCCTATCTCTATCTTGGCATGTGGAAGGCAACCTTTGCATGGCATCTTGAGGATGTTGATCTGTATAGCATCAATTATCTTCACTTTGGCGCTCCAAAGCAATGGTACAGTATCTCTCAAGGTGATGCGCGTCGATTTGAAGCGGCCATGAAGAGTATCTGGCCCACAGAAGCCAAAGCTTGCGACCAATTTCTGCGGCATAAGGCTTTCCTTATTTCGCCGAACCATTTACTGCAGTATTACAACATCAAGGTTAACAAGTGCGTCTCCTACCCAGGTGAATTTGTCGTCACATACCCCTATGGCTACCATTCAGGATACAACCTGGGCTACAACTGCGCTGAGGCTGTCAACTTTGCACTGGATTCCTGGCTGCCAATGGGGAAAATCGCCAAGAGATGCGAATGTGCCCAAGCTCAAGACAGTGTTTGGGTTGATGTATACGAGATTGAGCGCAAACTAAGAGGAGAAGAAACAGAGTACGAAGAAACAGAAGATGAAGAGGAGGAGGAGGAGGAAGAAGAAGAAGATGCCGACACTGGAGTGCCAACGCCAATATTGTCGCACGTGAGAGTCAAGCAGCCCGGGCGAAAGCGCAAACGTGCAGCAACTGACAAAGGGGAGAAGAAAGGCAAAAAGATACGACTCCGTGTTAAGAACAACATTGAACCCCCTTGTTGTCTATGCCCCCACGATATACCTGGACAGGAAGTGCTACCGACTAGTGATGGCCGCAAGGCTCATCGTATATGCGCGCTTTACAGCCCGGAAACCTGGGTCGAGACTGTCGAAGGAGAAGAAGTCGTCGCGAATGTGGACGGCCTCAGTAAATCACGCATGGAACTCAAGTGCTTGTATTGCCGTTCTAAAAGAGGCGCTTGCATCCAGTGCTCTCAAAAGAAGTGTGCTCGCCCTTACCATGCTACTTGTGCTGCCGCAGCCGGTGTGTTGGTAGAAGAGGCAGATGTCCCTATTTTCGGCGAAGATGGCACTGAATATAAGGAACAAGCTTTCGAGTTTAGTTGTCGCTTCCACCGAACTAAAAGGGACAGGAAGCTGGACGGTGAGGCTTTGGACGAGTGCCAGAAAACTCGACAAGCAGCAGCGGCCCTTAAGAAAGGGGACATATGCCAACTTCAGTATTACCGTGGGGATATATTCGCCGGCGTTGTTGTCGAAAATCGGCCTGACGAGCGAGCTTTCCTTCTCGACATTATTCCGCACGGGTATGAAACATCTAAACAAGTTGATAGGAAACATTTGCTGACTTCATATAGGGAACGAGTTGAAGTGGAATGGAAATGGCTTCTTCTCCCAGACCCAGCCGATTTCCACCTACAGAGAGCATCGGCAAACGCTATCCCTATGCCGACATCACGCAAGGCTAAGGATCAGATTAATGCTACTAAGAGGGTCACGGAGGAGCTTCCACGCGCGGAAGCGCCGTTTGTCGACGGATTCACTTGGGCTGAGTTTAATACATACGATTGCACCAACCAGGCACAGGCCAAGGTGGATTTGAGCAAGGACAATCAGCTCTGGCACTACATTGGTCGAACGTCAACGGAAGCCCGCGCTCAGTACACGGAAGACCCTAGAAGGATGAAGCATAATCCTAAAAGCAACTTTCTGGACACGCTTCCACGGCCGCCGCCACCCGTCCCCCAACCTCGAAGATCGTACGGACCCGGCCCTGCGCTCCTGGCACATACTCAAAGCTTGTCAGGAATCAAACCGGAGAAGCCTTATCAGTATAGGCCGAGAGATCCGATTACACCTTATGCTCGCTCACCCTTCGCAGATCCACGGTTTGCCCCGAACTCGTCAACCTTTACCACACCACCATATGTACCTAATCATTCACTCTATCCTCACGAAGTGGTGCAGCCCACCGCACCAAAGCCCAATCTGGTTTTTGCGCATATGCAACTTCCTCCACCACCTAAGCAGGCTCCCACGCCTAAACCAGCACCAGCTGTTGAAGCAGGACCGCAGCAAAATGGACAGTATGTTACACAGAAGCCTGTGCAGAAGCTAGAATCGCCACAGCAAGCTGGCTACTATTTCCAGCCCCCTGTGGGAAAGCCGGTTTCTGCAGGCCCACTGGACAACCAACGCCATTCGCAACAAACAGCACCAAGTTCAACGACTGCTGCCTCTCTACCACATCCTCACCAGTATTCACACCAAGCCATATCCAACTCTGCCCCTATACCCCAGCCACATGACCAGCTTTCGTCGCAGCAGACTGTACCAACACCAACTGTGACATCCCAGCAAAGCAGCCAGTATTCTTCACCGCAGGCTCTGTCGAAACCACTGACTAAATCTCGACCAACTCCTCCGCAGAATGGACATAGACGAAGTCGCTCGTCGCTTGGTGGCCAGAATAGTCAATCGTTGGTGTTTGGCTCAGATAACCGCTTTAGAACGCCGCCTTTTTCGTACGGAACTAGTCGCATGGATTCCACTGCCAAGTCGCCGTTTAGTCATGGGTTCATGCAACCCCCGGGCCTTGGGCCCTCTCCATCACCACAGAATGGTCAACTTTTTCAAGCACAAGCTAGAGCTAGATCATGCTCACTGGCATCTAATCGCTCATTTGATATGCCAATGACTTCCTCGGCCATCCGACCATCCTCAGCAACCCGACCTTCTTCATCTGCTTCCGCTCAAGGGACCGTTGGGGAAGCACAGTCCCCACAACAACAAATTGTTATTAAACCACGGCCAAACATTGTCCAGAAATATGCTTTCTTCCAAGTTCATCACAACAGGTATAGCGATTAGGTTCACCCGACTATAATTTGGTGCTAATTTTCTATGTAGGGACTCTACAAAGTATAGGACTCCTTACGCCCATTGGGGTGGTTTTACTAATGGATACGAGGGAAATCTCAGAGCTCATCTGATGAGGTCGCCTGAAGTATTGTTTGACATTAGAAGACGATCAACAAGCTTCAGTATGACCCCCTCCAGTCTTTCTCCTACTGCTGGGATTCCATTTAGCAAGGGCACCCCAACCAAAGATAATAATCCCAATTTGGCATCGCGCCTCAGTAGTTACGGTTCGGCTCGACAGCAGCCAAATGCCCTTTCTCCTAGCATATTAGCTACGCAGAAATCTACAGCATCGATGCCGCCTCGCGGGCCAGACGGTAATCTAGGATATCCCCAAGGATCATCAAAGCCCATGAATACTTGGCAGGTAAACCCGGGAGCCGTGGCGCAGTTACACCCAGCAATCCGAGCTCAATATGCGGCGATGCTACAAACCGGCAATGCTGAAGCTCACAGCCAAAAGAATATCACCCATGTTCCAGGTATGCCGAACTCACAGTCAGTGGCGGCTGCATCAACATATTCTCAGGCTACACCAAACTCAACATTTCGTCATACTTCAATCTCGAACGTTAACTTGACTCTTGCAACTACCGACTCGACCTCAGAAAACCAAAAGCCTCTTGCATCGACCGCACCGAACACGTTTTTCAAAGGACTAAGTGTGCTAAAGCAGACGTATGTGCCCCCTCCTCGGCCTTGGGAAACACTACGAAAGGCCCAGGCCTCAGCGGAGCCATCTCCGGCCCCAAACACAACTTCGGCAGAGGCGGTTGCATCCACACTAGCTACACTAGGAAGTATGACGAGTACATCGGTTGCGCCCAGCAGTGATATATGTCAACAGCAAGATCATATGATGAGCCCAGAGCTCGAATCCAGCAATGTAAGCGGACCTTTCTGGTAGAAATATCCGCAGACAGTGCCTAACAGCATGAATAGGGTCAGCTAGGCCAGCCTCGATCCGTTTCGCTCGCCCATGTAAAACAAGGCACCACGCAATCACAAGGTGTCGCAGAACAATCCCCGGCTTATGCAACACAGCAACCAGCAGTAGAGCTCTCAGCAGCAACAATCGTGACGAATCCATCAATATCAGTGTCCCCTCTTTCTCAGCCTGAGATTATAAACGATCTTCCAGAAGTTCCGGACGAATCAATGAAATTAATCGAGAGCATCATCTGGAATGCTAGAAGAGTCAGTGACACATATTCAGACGATACGACTCGAAATACCTAGGTTTCCATTTCAAAGTGAGACAACAGATGAAATGAACAAGTACCTAGGGTAGGGATGAAGAACGAGCATTACGCAATCTCAATCATGGTTTACTTTGGAACGAGGAGCATATCTTGCGGAGTTTGGCGTTGACTTGATCAAAGAGGGAGTGTGGTCCCTCGAAAAGTTAGTCGCATCAGAGTTGCATCGGTCTGCATGTAAAGACGTTCCCCTAATTAGATGTCATGCCTGCGCAAGCTTGTTTCTTCTTCTAACCCACGATATAGGGGTTCAGGGATAGGAGCGTCATTATTTTTATTATTCTCGATTCGTGAATGGTGGCAGGCGGATAGGGTATAAGGAGTCGAATGGATGCATTGATGTATACTACGGTAAAGGGGAAGGGGAAGGGGTTAGGCTACGACCATATCTCGAGACCCCTTTAGGTTGCTTATCTGTTTCTAAAATCATTCGACTGTAATGGTTTTTGGGCAGATTCTGTGGTGTATTCGTACTAGGTAATAATGTACTCAAGTAGGTACTACTTAGGTACTGATGAATTGTAATACCTAGAATACTTAGTATACTGGATTGCAATATGCACCTTGTGAATGCTTCAATGTTGATATTCTTCCGTATAATACGTCTCTAGATTCATACTAGGTACCTACATAGTACCATAAAATAAAACCGTACCTAATTGGTTCGATGTTTGCAGTACAGTACCTATTATAGCGGGGCCAATGACGGTTTAAAAAACCCAGACCAACCAAAAGAAAGCACGCTAAATAAAAGTTTTGTATTTTATTTCTGATTTTTTGATTTCTGTCAGCCTCGTCGCCATCCCGATTTCTTTACCTCTACCACAAACAACAATAATAACAACAACGACAACCAATTGTCCAACACCCATATCCACGCGCCATCTTTCTACGTCATCGAAATAGCCATGACTGACATTTCGAGCGGTAAGGACGCGCGCAACGTCAAGAAGCGCACGAGCAGTCCCGATGTTAATACACCCTTGAAGCGCATTAAAACGGAAACCGAGGACGAATCGAAACCAGACAAATACAACCCTTACCTGGCACACTGGAGCAATGGGAACGGTGCGGATGGTGATGTACAGGACGAAAAGAATGGATTCGGCTTCGAAGATAGGCTACCAAAGGGCTCGCCGCTTGCAAAATTTCAACCGAGGAATACGACGGCAAAACAAGCATCTGAGGCTGAGGATAGCGATAACAATCCCTTCACCGGAGAGCCACATTCCCAGCAATACTTCAACATCCTAAAGTCGAGGCGTAATCTCCCTGTACATAAACAAAGGTTAGTCAGATTGTAGCCCATCTCATATAACCCTATGATTATATCCTATGATTATATATACTAATGCATCAAGTATAGACAAGAATTCCTAGATCTGTACCACAAGTCACAAATTCTCGTTTTTGTCGGTGAAACAGGTTCAGGAAAAACTACCCAGATCCCTCAATATGTTGTATACGACGAACTGCCGCATCTTAACCGAAAACTCGTTGCTTGTACCCAACCTCGACGAGTTGCCGCCATGTCCGTCGCCCAGCGTGTCGCCAACGAGCTTGACGTTCCATTGGGAGATGAAGTCGGTTACAGCATTCGTTTCGAAGACAAAACCAGCTCCAAAACGATATTGAAATATATGACGGATGGTATGCTACTAAGAGAAGCTATGCACGATCACGAGATGTCGCGATACAGCTGCATCATCCTCGACGAAGCACACGAACGTACTCTTGCCACCGATATTCTTATGGCCCTTCTCAAGCAAATCACCAAACGCAGACCGGATCTCAAACTTATTGTTATGTCTGCTACACTCGATGCCCAGAAATTTCAACGATATTTCTTTGATGCGCCCCTCCTCGCAGTTCCAGGAAGAACCTTCCCCGTCGAGATCTTCTACACCCCCGAGCCAGAGAAGGACTATGTGGAGGGTGCCATACGGACTGTGCTCCAGATTCATGCTGGCGAAGACGAGGGAGACATACTCCTTTTCCTTACGGGAGAAGAGGAAATCGAGGATACCTGCAGAAAGGTGTCACTCGAGGTTGACGAGCTCGTGAGGGAAACAGATTGCGGCCCCATGGCCGTCTATCCACTTTACGGAACTCTCCCACCACATCAACAGCAGAAGATCTTTGATCCAGCACCACCCCCGCTCAGGAAAGGGGGTAAGCCTGGTCGCAAGTGTATTGTTTCGACAAACATTGCTGAGACATCACTGACCATCGATGGCATTGTTTACGTGGTCGATCCTGGTTTCAGCAAGCAAAAGCTCTATAACCCTCGACTAAGGGTAGAGTCACTGCTGGTGTCCCCTATATCGAAAGCTTCTGCCCAACAACGAGCGGGACGTGCCGGTAGAACGAAGCCTGGAAAGTGCTTCCGACTTTACACCGAGAAGGCCTTCAAGGAGGAGCTGATCGAGCAGACCCATCCCGAAATTCTGCGTTCCAATCTAGCGAATACTGTGCTGGAGCTGAGGAAACTTGGTGTGGAGGATCTCGTCCACTTCGACCTTATGGATCCACCTCCTCCCGAGACGATGATGCGTGCCCTGGAGGAACTCAATTATCTCTCTTGTATCGATGACGAGGCGAATCTAACCCATCTGGGCGGTTTAGCCTCTGAATTCCCCCTGGATCCCGCCTTGGCAGTTATGCTAATATCAAGCCCCGAATTTTACTGCTCAAACGAGATGCTCTCTATAACAGCTCTGCTCTCAGTGCCTCAGATCTTTGTGCGTCCGGCGCAGAGAAGACGAGAGGCTGACGAAATGAAGAATCTCTTCAAGCACGACGATGGAGATCACTTAACGATGCTCAATGTGTATCATGCCTTCAAGGGAGTGCTCAACCGCGGCGATGACGCGAAGGCGTGGTGTCATAAACACTACCTATCTTTCCGACACCTTTCCAGTGCAGACAATGTTCGTGCCCAGCTGAAGCGCATCATGGAAACACAGGGCCTGGAACTCCTCAGCACGGATTTCAACGATAAGAGTTATTACACCAACATCCGCCGGGCTCTAGTCAGCGGTTTCTTCATGCAGGTTGCCAAACGCGAGGGCCCCAAGGTGTATCGTACCCTCAAAGATAACAGCCAGCGTGTTATGCTGCACCCGAGCACGGTGCTTCAGACGGAGTACGATTGGGTCATCTATAACGAATTTGTTATGACCTCGAAGAACTACATTCGGACCATTACTGGCATTAAGCCAGAGTGGCTTTTGGTAAGTTTTAATCTCTTTCTCTTTCTAGCCTATTCTCAAGAATAGTTGACTAACTAGATGTCTGATAGGAACTCGCGCCGACGTATTACGATCTTAGTACTTGGGATGGCCAGAAAGATGTCGAACTGGCGCTGAAGTCGGTCGCCGATAAGATGAGGCGGAGAGCTGCCATGAAGGGTGGCCGCTAAGAGGCCCTTACCATCGATACGATGAAATGAATGATAGCCCGCGAGTCGACAGCTTTAAGAGTCGTATCGTCGTATTATCCGTTGTCGTCTAGAGCCACTTCCGCATCCTCGAAAATGACAAGACACCACATCTCTAATATAGAAGACTTTCTTACGATTTGAGTATCACCAGATGCTTTAATATGGGATTAGAAGGTGCAGAACATCTAGAAGACAGCGTGGGCATTTCTATTTACCTCATGTTACTGCCAATAGGGAATTACCATGGGTTTACAGTAAATTAAAACTGTATCTACACTGGAAGAAGAGATGTGAAATACCTACCTACCTACCTACCCAGTTATCCAGGTGGTTAGTTAAGCAGGGCGAGAATATGGCTTTCCTGGAAGTGAGAAAGATAGATATTAATGTATTCAGATGTTACCTAGAACGGGGAAGATTGTGCTACACTTTACAGGGCTTTAAAGCCACTTCAGTTGGGCGTCGAACAGACTCGGGGGCTTATGGTATCTGGATTAGGTTACGTAGCTGCCTACTTACCTAGGTAAATACCAAAATACATAAATCACGTTTTCCCGTCGGAAGGGCTCGTATAAGTGCCTACGTACCTATTTATCTATGCGTTGTTGGTTGTTGTCAGCTATGTGCTTGCATGCTTGCTTATCCCCTTCCTATCGTTGGTGTTGAGGGGTGAGGTAAGGTGGTAGCCTACTAGGTAGTATGTAGGTGTGTCGATACATTCTAAGTGCCTAGGCCTAGGTATTCGAAAGAATAGGGGCACCTATGGTAGGTAGTGAGTGAGCAGTGAGCGAGCAATATGTCAAGCACGTGGTAGTAATATACTTTTTTGTCTCTGCCTCGGCCCCCCCTTTCTTACCCCTTTTTTTTCTCGACCGGCGGGTAAGTACCTAGGTACCCAGGTGGATATTCATCGATAAGCTTACGCGAGCGTGTGAGTGTTGTAAGGCAAAACTGCTGGGACTAGCTACCTAGGTACTTGGGTGTGTAGATCTTGACATTCCTACCTCAGGTATTGTTGTTTCGGTAAGGAAAGGCTTTCTTTGAACCCCCACCCTCCCTGCCTTCTTCGTGGGGTCACTAGGTACTATAAGTACCTAGGTAGGCTCCTGACTCCGGTGTTTGTGTAGGTACCTACTACCTAGGTTAGACATTATATATTTAGATAGGTAAATACCTCGGTTAGTTCGATGCACCGAGGCTCGTAGAGAGTGGTTGATGTTTTGTTTACAGGCGCGAGGTAAGGTACCTAGGTATGTAGATATGTAAGATAGGTGGTATTCATCGGAGCTGAAAAATACATCTAGGTGCTACCCCCGTGGATCGGACGATTCTGTGTAATGTTATAAGATGGGATGGGATATGATGGGATGGTTCAGTGTGTGGATATGGATGGGGGCTGGTTTGATTCAGCTCAGCTTGACGGCGGCAAGGCTTCTGAGCTTTCCAAGTTGCTTGAATGGGTATGCCGAATTACTAGGTACGTACTAGGGGTGGAGGACCTGTAGGAGGATATGTATGAGCGAGTAAGTGGGTGGGAGATGCGTAGGTAATTATAGACAACCTTGTTTATTTATTGATTGGTCGGACAGTTGTGTGATTATGTTTTTCAGATGTAGCTGGTGCTCATCGCTAAAGTCATATAGGTCAATGTATGTGCGATCCTGTCAACACCTACACCGATACCAGCACCACAAAGTCTGAGGCAAGTGACAGGTCTAAAGCTCTTAGCAGTGTATCCGAAAATGGCCTCTAGGGACTTCCAACCTATTTCCTTCAGGTACCCGTACCCGTACATGGGATTGACACCTGCCCACCGAGGCAGGTTACTCACTAACGTAAGCGGCGCCAAATGAACATAAGAGGAGGCGTTCCGGTGCTACCACACCTGGGCATCCACACGCCAATATTGAACTTGATAGAAACAATTGGGCATTTATATTTGTCACGGGTACCTACATGGATTTCCTTGGAAGCAGCACGCATCCAGTCCTATTGGTCCAAGGGAAACCAGGACATTCGCACATGGTATGGCGGTGGCTTAAATTGGAGTCCAGCCCCTTCTTAGTAGGTAGCCATCCCATATACACCTGGATCGTGTTACTCGACGACTGGGTGTGTGAGCAGAGCCAAGTGATTCCGTAAGAACTAGCGATGAGTATTTTCGACATTACGGTATAATACAAAAATAAATCGTATACTTACCGGTTAGGTAGGTGTGTAGATCCCTCTTTGAAACAATGAGGCTCTCTGGGCGGCCCCTGGTGGCAATCCCCTATCCTAGACCGCGGTGTCTGAAATGTCTTGAATAAGCCTTGATGAGTTTTACAATACCTTGCACCACCTACCTAGGCATCGACTAAGCAAGTACTTTATCTAATGCCTCGATGGGTATTGGCTTTTTAAAAAGTTGAATTACTAGGCAAAAGACGTTCTCAGCATTATCCGCCTACCTACCTGGTAGGTGTCGCTTCTCACTATAGTTCTCTACAACTCGGCTTGTGTAAGGTGACAGAAGAACAACACGACTACTGAATACGAACACGGCATTTACCTGCTCCTAGAAGCCATGGGATAATAGATAGACGGACGGATAAACTGAAAGTAACGAGACGAGACGAGACGGCGGTTGTCACGTACCTATCTATCAGGTGCGTAGCAGAGAGGCCAGCAAAAGTGATCATACCCCCTTTTTCGACCCGCCGAAATTGTCCATAAAGGAGCTAGTAGTTAATTAGCAGGTGGGCATCGAAGTTTACGAAAGAATACACAGGAATAAGGCAAAAAACAACAAAAAGGAGGAGTTTCCAAGAAAAGGGGGGCAAAGAGAAACGTCGCCCACGTCTTGCCATCTACCTACCTACCAGCTAGTTGGGCCCGCGGGAAGCAACCATGTCTCTCGGCCCGCTCACCACGAGCTTCACCCCGCCCGCATCGTGCCTCGCCACGTCGGCGCTGTACTGGATCAACACCGCGTCGACCTTCTACTGGCTGCACGGCCAGCCGCTCCAGTCGTCCTGTTTTCCGAGCAACTACTCGCCGGGCCAGGACCAGTACTACGAACCCGGTGTATGCCCCGGCGGCTATACGGCGGCGTGCCGGGCGTCGACTACCAATGGCGCTGCGGAAAAGGTCACGCGCACGACTTGCTGTCCGTAAGTGTCTCTCCCATCCCATCCCATCCCTTCTCTTCCAATCTTCCCTTTTATTCGAAGGATCAAGAGAGGCGAGCCGAGTTGAGTGAGTACACGGAGGTTTTCAAGGTACTTGGCTAGGCGTGAGTGAGCGGCGCGTAACCCCTAAACCAAGTCAAGTCAGGTCACCCAACCATGTCCACACACACATACACACATTACCAGACCAGCATATTTCTATATTTTCTAACCAAGAAACCCCTCCCCCACCCACAGAGAAGGCGACTACGCCTGCGCCCCAACATCAAACCGCTACGACTACCCCTGGGGCCCGACCCTGCGCTGCATGAGCGTGTACAGAGTCGACACAACGACGAGCTTCATTACCATCGATGGCACGCCCCGAGGAGGAGAGACGGCGGGCACGCCGATGGGCTTGCAGGCGCCGTGTACGGTTATGGCGTATGGGGTTGTTGTGCAGGATGGTGGGGGGGTGATGAGTACGACGGCGACGGCTGGGGCCTCGGGGTCAGCTTCTAGCGTGCGAGTGTCGGAAACCGGCTCGGCAGATGCGGTGGCAGGCAACTCGCAAACTGATATTAGCAGTAGCAGCAGTAGTAGCAGTAGTAGTAGCGAACACGGCGGACTCAGCAGCGGCGCAGCCATAGGGATAGCAGTCGCCGCGGGGCTCGCCACCATGGCCTTAGGCGGCGCGCTGCTATTCCTGCTCTGGTCGCGGAAGCGGAAGCGGAAGCAAAAGGAAGCGGAACGTCTAGCAGAAGTAATGCGTCCGAACCCCTGGGAATCGATAGATGACAGGGCAGTGCCTCTCCAACCCGCGGTGCAGGTAAACTGGCAGCCGGTGGAGTTGGCTAGTGAGAGGGAGGCTAAAGAGATAGGTGGTGATAGCCAGGTGCCTGTTGAGAAGGATGGGACGAGCTTGGCCCGGCGGTAGTAGGTAACGTTGCGGAAGGGATGGGAAGGGATGGGAAGGGGGGCGATGTGTGATACCGCAGAGTGGGCTTGTATATAGAGGTACCTCGTAATAAAAGGGGGGCCTTTGGCCACATAAAATATTTATTCAATGAAAACGGCATCGATGCTCAGGATTGAAAAATCAGTAGTTGCTTGCCATGTAATAATTTTGGTCGTGGCCGTGAGAAGATTGTAATGGGCAAGAAAGCTTACGGAAACAGACCTTTCCTTGCGCTTACCTAGTACATTGTGTAACAAAACCGGAGGGTTTGACCAACAAAAGCTCGTGTTATCTAACTACTAGGCACCTATACGTACGGTATTAAATCCGACTGGAATCATAATCTTGTTAGCATATGTCCTTGTTTTATGTATTGCCAAGTACTCCGTTGAAGGTATGCCTAGCATATATTGGTTAAGGGGGGCCGAAAGGGGTAAAAAGGGGTAAAAGTATATCCGTGATCAGGCCAACCCCTCCTGAAAAATTGAGCAAGGTTGGCAAAGCTTCAATACTCAATTCGCAATTGAATTTCTTCTATTAATCCAAGAAATTGTATCCGGAAGCTTTGTAATTGGAAAGATGCATTCAACTTGTGTTCCAGCCGATTTCTGGTGTCCAGGGTTAGTGAACAATCTGCAGGTATTCAGACGAAACCGAAAATAAAGCCACGCAGGTCGAACAAGACTCAGAGCCTGCCTAATCTGGCTTTTCTTGTGACTCCCAGATATCATAGCGGTTAACGGTAGGTATATCGGAAAGGTCATGATAAGTGTCCTTCCTGATTCGCCACGGTGAGACGTTACGAAGCGTCGATTAATAGGGGCAGATTAAACATTTCCGAGCGGTTACCTAGCGCAGAATCTAAGGCAAGTGAGATGAGCACATATGTAGGTACGTACGTACACAGCATCGAGGATCCATCCGAGTAACGCCCGAGGGTATCCACGGCGGATATCGAAGTCGGCTAACCTACATCTCGAAAATGTGGAAACGTCGTGTATCGGTTCCTACCTAGGTACGCCGGTTGAAAGCATCTCCAGGAAGACATCGGTCATGGGATAGCCTCGCCCGCGTGATCTTCGGTCTAGATCAGACCATGCTTTCTAGGATGGGTGTAGTTACCTGCCTATGTAGGTAATGGTGTTGCAAGGTCAGAGTTAAGCTTATATGGTTAGGTAACGATGGCAGCCTTCTAGGCCTAGGCCGAGGGCGATGGTGAGGGCCCGTCTAGGCGGATTTTCCTCGTGATACAGCGATGTCATCGTATCGATTCCATCTACAATGATCATCAGCCCGAAGGAATTTGCTAATAGGAATTCGGCTCCAGTATGAGAGCGAGTACTTTTCCCTGGTTTCGACTGAACGAACCCCGTGCCGCTTCGAGGGGGGACTAAGCTTACTGGCCTGTCAAGAGGGATCAGCTTGGCGGCGGTGTTGGGAGGGCATCCGTATGACGTTCCCAGAGATAGGCTATCCTGCTGTGGCGATCTTCAACTATCTAATATGTTCACCAGAAATGTGACGCGTCAGACCACGAGCTTGTCACAAGGACTCAGCCCATGCCGGTCGCCTTGAGCAGGATATACGGACTTGGAATCGCCAAATTATTCCTATCCTCGCGTCGGTACTGTGGACCGCGAGGATCGTCATGTGTCGAAGAGCATCAGCTCTCGTAGGCGATCATTGCTATCTCAGTGTCGGATAAGCGTCACATGTGGAATCTGTAGAGATCTCAAGTTTTCCGAATATTGCCACCACCAAACACACTCAGAGCATAGACAATAAAGCTCGGAAATTAGCATGCGTTCGTTAAACGGGGATAATGGGTCTTCATAGTCCGAGATTATATATGCGGCTTTGAGCTACACGCACTGAATAAAGGGCATTGTCGAGTAGCAATGAATTAGGGAGATACAAGCTTGGAGATATCGTAAAAGTGTATGGTTGATCAACCTGTGCTTCATGTCAATGGAACATACCCCCTTTTGTGGCGAGTCATCTGGCAGCGGCCAAAGCACCATGGACGCAAGAAATGACCGAGTGACTCGCCCGCCGGGAAGCGTAAGGCCAGCTTCCCAATAAGTGTGGATGTACTAGGCTCCACTTAGACGCAGTCAATAGAAACACAATACTACCAGGTATTGGACGCCTTCATCTCATGCTCTATGCATACGAAAGACTTGATCTGGCTCATAAGCTGAAAAATGGTATGAAGTAGGGGCATATGTTTCTGTATTCGGCGTGATTCGATCGCTCGCTGAAGACGAAAAGGGTGGCCCCTACTTACTCTGGAGAGGTTCTAGAACAAGACGATCCAGTATCGTGGGAAAATTGCATCCTAAGCCATAGATAGAAGCCAGGGTAAATTGCGCGTACACTAAGCAGGTACTTACGCAGTGGAAGGGGAGCCTATGTAGAGGCGGATGCAGTACGGGTTGCGATGATACCCTCTGCATACAGGGGCCTTCTTGGCTTCATGTAAAATGTCGTAGGTGTATATCTAGACCGTTGAGGCCGTGATACGATCCACAATATCTTTCTTCAGCCGGCTATTATTACGCAGCAGCCAGTGAATGTAATGTATTGAGGATGCTTTAGAGCCACCGTAATGGCCCTTTTATATGGTTATAAAACGGCTTGTTTGTAGTAGGTTTCGGTGTCGGCCTGCATAGGTACTTAAATTCAAACTAGGTCATATGCAAGCACAACTCGATGTTTGTAAGAGCGTAAACGTCTCATCTGATGTCTTGAAGGCTTATTCTTGCTGATCGGGTACCTAGTAAAGCTTTTCTCAACGTGCTTATACGCCAAAAACCTGCTTGTCAGGTGTTGATCAGGCGTTTCTAAAAGTACTAAGTACTCGGATCTAAGTCATATAGAAATAATTATTAGCAGATATGCCTATTGCAGGTCTAGCCTCCGTGTTTCTGTTCTAATTTCGACTATCTTCGTGCAGTTATATTCGTGTGTTTTCGTCCCTAAACTTTCTGTTATTGAGATACAATTGGTCGTGCTTGGCAATTTTCTACTTGGAGCATACCTAACTATGTAGGAACCTTCTTTGTTTCCAATAATCTATAGCCTACGTAAGTCTGTATTGATACCTGCAAGCTGTATTATTACGTGACATATGCACTGATAGCGTCACACTGCATCCCATCGGTGGAATAGGAACCGGACCTAGGAAGAAACTGGCCTCTCCAGTAATAGGCATACATATAATGTAGCAAACCCAACAGCCCGGTTTAGGTAGCTTGGATCAACATAGTTTATAAAACCTAGCCTCATCTGCCATTGTTGCGGTCCACTAGGCATACTTCATTATAGCAAGAAACGAGTTTGGGGTGAGCTTGCCAGGTAGTAAAGCCAGCACTCTGTAATGGTAAACATACCTAAGCACAGCGTAGGGTAGTTACGACGTCCGCCGAGACGGGTTATACTAGACGAGAAACTGGTTTAGGGTAGGTCATGAAGTTATATGATAGATATTGCGAGCAACCAATCATGTTGACAGACAACTGTGCATGAAGAACTGGATGTCATGTTACACAAATTAGTTATAAAAGTAAACTCGAAAAGAAAAACAACATATAGGAACTTACCGAGCAACCGTTCAAATCCGTAATTTATACATATGTACATGTTGACTGCCGTTTAACTGGCTAACATGTGACTTAATTGGCGAGTCACACGCCCGGGGGGTCTCGATCCCGTCTATACTAGGTACGGTGTAATCTATAGTCTCCTTGGGACGTGGGAAAGCATGTATCACCTGCAGCGGCATGGGCCGTGCATATACATCAATGGCATCTCAGCCCGTGGTTTTGTTGTGAGACGATGGCGCTAGCTACCTCCGAAGCATAATTTGATGGGGCGCCAAGTGGGTGGAGGGCTTCGGCATTTGTTTAAAAGAAAAGCGGATGACATCCTAGCCTTGCTATATGACAAGATGCCGCAGGTTTTCTCTGGGAGATTAAAAGCGATCTTGCAGCAATCGGAAGCTTCTCATCTCGACTGACGCCCCTTAAAAGCCACCGGTTGATACACCGGCGAGCGAGTGGCTGGCGTGGAACAAGCACTAAAGGGTTATTGAGGCGCAACATCACGGAGGATATCTAGATGGAAACACCCGGTAGCCGGGGTTTCAGGGAACAAGTCGTCGAGATCCAGTTTTCGACGCAGTAAATGACGGACTTTAGCTACACATTAGCAGTCATGAACAAGAGCAAGGTGAGATAATTGTAGCTTTGAAAAGTACAACTTCCAATTCAACAAGCCACCCAATAAGCTATGTCGTAAAGATGAAGGTGTCAGAAATGCTTTGTAGCGTAGCAATGGAAGCTCAGATTAAGTTGTAAGCAGAATACAAAAGAAGTGCCCAGATGTGTATTGACGTCTCTGATTGCATGTAGATGTTATAAAAACAAGATGCTCTGTCTCATAGGTCAAGCTAGTAGGGGCAAGAGGCAAATCGCGGCACTCCCGGTCAAGCACTGCAAACAGATCGATGCACGAAGGGTGCTGGCGATGAGGTTGCAGTGTTTATGATGATATGACCGAGATGAGCGGAAAGGGTTAATTGCATTCAAAGATGCATCTAGACAGATGCATAACACGCATGATAGGTAGAAGTAATACGAGAAAAATGAATAGTGGTAGGTTAGGTTGGAAGAAATGATGAATTTTGGTGATTAATTGAAGAATGAAGAAAGATGAAAGATGAAAGGTGGAAGAAAGTTACATAAGTCAACTCAATGGAGTACAATGTTAGGTGACCTAAATGAGATATTAATCATTGATAGTTATTTGATGTTGTTGGCACGATGTTAAGTTTTATGTTGGTGTGGCAAATCCCGGAAAGTAATGTCAAGGGGTCTTTAGGCCCTAACTATATTCATAATAGGTAACTAAACTCTATTAACATAACTAAACCCGGAGAATTATTTTTGGATGACGGGTCCTTACCTAGCTAGTAGATATGTAGGGGTCTTATCCGAGAAGGAGTCTGTAGGACCCATTTGCTGGGTCCTTGATACTACCTAGGGTACCTACTTAGGTATGTAATATACAACTTACTTCCATGGATACAATATAGATAAGTAGGGGTAGCCCTGGAAGTAGACACTGTGTACTCCGTACTATGTAAGTAAGGGTGGTCCCTTATATATACAACCGCAACGTACATGCATGTGTACAGTGTACTAGGTAGGTATGTACGCTCAAATTCAATGTTAGTGGTAACAACAGAAATTCGGGACAGGGTTAGAACATCACTGTAGGTTAGGTATGTATGTATGTAAGCTTACAAAAGCCTTCACGGTTTACATCCATGGATAGTATCAGTCCACTTTGGTACGATACCGACAAGGAGAAATGTTGAAGTATGTAATGAAATTTGCTCCCATGGATGTTACATATAAAGGTAACATGCAGTGCGGTGTAAGTCAGGAGATATGTAATTAACTTACATATGTACATGCCATCGCAAGATGCTGCAGTCTGCCGCGGAGGCCTTCCTGGCCAATGATGAATTCAATTCTATCAATCTTGAGCCTCATCTTTGGCACCTAAGGTGTCATTTTTTATTCTTTTTATTGTCATTGAGTTATCCATTGAATGTTGCTAGATTATAACCGAAGCCGATAATTGGGAACCGATATTGCTGCTACCCTTCCGACCCTTATTAGGAACAAGCTTATGCCTGTGCTACATGCTACACACTCCGTCTCCGCCGCCGCCGAGATCTTGTCCAAAGCAGAGGATCGATTATAACGGCTGAAGACGAACAAGTAACAATACCAATCTGGAAGTTGTTCAAAGGTAAATAAATAAGGGTATTAATATATCCGTAGCCAACGAAATATGTGGGAGCGATCCATCCAATTCTCATCTGTCATAACTCAGTTCTCACCTCACTCATGTAAATTCGCCAACAGACTTCATACATATTTAGGAACCAATCAATGGCAGAGAATCCAGTTTACTCTCCTCACATGTTAATTCATACCAGCCACACATAGTACTAGGTAGCAATAAAGTACGCGGCCAATCAATTTCTACCCGCGTTCCCGCTACCTAACCGCTTTCCGTTTTCTCGAAAACTGCCTTGCTGGTACATAGGTTGGTAGGTATGAACCAGGACCTCGATTCCTAATTAGGTACATCATGTAATATCATTCACCTAACTAGGACTCTTGTCAGACGGGCCATATGTGGCATTTTTGCAGCGTATTATAATCAAATGATAGATAGATACCTACTCCGTACACACGGGCCTATGTTATGTACCAGCAGCCCCTTGCTGTACAGGGACTCATATTGATACATTACAAGGGGTGCCGTTGCGAACGACCGTCAAAGACGGGGTACTTTTAACATAAATAAATGGTTGATTACAATGTCTATGGTGGATCAAGCCTGATGGGATGCTCCGGGAGATGATAAATAAGGATGGTTCCGCACATCAACCTGGGGCCGATCCCTCTGTGTCTTGGGGCATCCTTGCAACAAGAACTTGCTCAAGTTCTATCTCATACCTAGCTACCTCTATTCAATATAACCCAGCCTTAATAACTTGCTAGCTTGGACTTCGTAGTCCCGTTAGCAAAATCAGGTCGCTTGACTACCAGCGGGTAGTAGTATATACTTTCATCTCTTGCTTCCACGATCCATTCTTGGATCCATTGGTCTACAAACCAAGCGTCTCCCCATCCATCCTAATAGTTAAACAGCCTTATAAGAGGCTAAACATCATAGTCTACCATGAGTGGAAGCGGCGGCTACTACAAGTACCGATGCAAGTACTTCTATACTCATAACTGCCCTAATTGGGTTTATGTCAACAACTCGCCTTGCGCAAACTGTTGCGTACGTCACACACATATATGGGGACATCACATCGTCTTGAATCTATCCGCGATTTGCTAATGCTTTCAAAATGTAGGCCGAAGGGCGAGACGTTGAAGGAGCGCTTCCCGAGAGGTATTCGCACGATATATGCGTCCCTCGAGTCGAGGACGGCATCGTCCACTACACGCTGATGGAGATCGTCGCCACGGACGAGCCTGGCAACCACTGGATGCTTAGGTACAAGGTCAATCAGACTCAAGTTCCCACCGTCATGACCACCAGTGCCACCCCTGGACCCCCGGCCCCAGCGACTAGTTTCTAAGGCGTCATCCGGCGTAGTCGATCACGACGAGCCCATTATAATAACTAAGGGAAGCTATCTACTAGCCAGATAGACTAGTTCCTTAGGAATATGGAATAGGGGGGTGATAATACCAACGCTGGGAGGGAATATTTTACGGCAGTTAACATGGATGGTGGGGGGGGGGGACTAGCCACCAGGATGTAATGGGACGGCGGTTGTATGTAATGGCGGAAGCGGCGCTATGTTCCAAAACCCACATACTTGTAGGATTCGCTAGAGCGGTTAATGAATTGGTCAACAGTGACGATTACTAGATACTCCAGACTGGCGTTAAGAAAATCCTCTAATTATGAATTCGATCGTTTCCCCTTTTCAGAAATGATAGCTGTGTCGTTGGTAGAATTTGCGGTGTTCCACCGTAATAGCCATAGCCAAAATTAACGGAACGGCGTACCAAAACGCGACTCGTTTACCACGGCTCTTCCATATAAGATGTGAGCCAAGTTCTGATTAGCAATAGGGAGATACCTACGATATTACATAATATCCCAAAAACAATACATATGAAGTTAGAAATCTATGTTGACCGGACCATACGCTATTCGATTTAAGAATATCCGCGGGGTTCGGAAATTACTAATCACGTATGAAGTTAGGAACCGTACCTCGCCGTGAAGAAACGAATATTAAAAACCGGTAACCTAATAGATAGATAGGGATGCGGTATTCGAGTGACGGGCCGATACGTAGTATCAGCTCGTGACGAGCTGGAACAGTGTTGCAATACGGGATCTCACAGTTCCCAAATCGGGCCTGCTGCATTAGATATCGCGTCGGCCTTGACACCCGTGATGAGCGGCCTACATTGCTGGGTCCTGTCTGCAACCTAGAAGCGACCGCAAGTCCGATTTTCAAACACACCTAGGGTAATATAACTATGTGATATGGCTCGTGCTTATCGCATCCGCGCGTGGTTAGGGTTATCGGCATATTGGGTGGTTGATCTCGCTATTGCCAGAAGGGTCCGGACGAGTCGATGCAACAGCATTATCCATTAGTTCATCATGGTGTTGACGGGAAGGCGTCTAAGGCGGTAGTTATCTGCGAGACAACGCAGTTTGTGGTGACAAGTTTTCGAGAACAGGAAGTGAGGGTTGTGTTGCAAGGATACAACCATCAAAAGACAAAAGAACATCTACTGGAGTTTCCGCGTTGTTGGCCGTTATAGCTAGGTCAACGTGCTGCCGAGGAGATCCGAGAGGTCCTTAGTAATACCTAGTACATATTTATGGACAATACATTGTAGAGTTGAAAGGTTCAAATCAAAGTTAGAAATGAGTTAGAACGAGGTGGTGTGCTGCAAAAGGGTTGATTGAAATTGGTTAGCTTTGGGGCTACGCTAACACTAAGTTTCGGGAACGCTAGGACGTACCCAGGTACCTAGTTATCCGTAACCGTTACTAGGTACATATGTAGTTATTGCATTTGTTGGAAGTGGGGGATACCAGACTTTCCTTCCCGCTGTGGGGTACCTGGTTTTCGATAGTCCCTGCTGTCCTAGTCCAACCACGTGCTCTGCCATTAGGCGCTGCCCGGGCCGCTTGCTCCACCCTTGGACCTTTTTTGCATACAAAGATACTTTTCCAGGTTCTCGTAGTTGCTTGTCTCCACAATGTCTAACGGCTTCTTCCTTTATTTTTATTTTTTCTATCAAAATCAGTATTATGTACAACCTATCGAATGACCCCCATACTCCGTACCTCCATCAAATCTTGCATGATACATATCTTATAAAGCACTCGAGATTGCATCAAAACTTGGTACATACTAAGGATATATGTAGGAATGGGTACATGTACCTACCTACTACCCAACATTGAAGTATCTAAGGTTAGTAGGCCTCAAGTCGTCCTCATCTCCGTGCTCGTCTCCGTTTCCTGCAGGGCTTATGGCTGCGATGTCCGGGTTCCGCGGCGTTCTTACCTGCAAAAAATATGACAGCTGCAAATCTCGTACGACCTCCCTCCGATTTATTAATGTCTTGTATGTCGTGCTACCTTCGCATAATAACCCTTTTGATTCGCCCGTCTTCTATCCGTCTGCACGTCTGCATGTCTAGAACATCTATCGTACATGCTGCGTTAGATGTCTTGTTTGATTTTAGCGGTACCTATCAGTTGGTAATACGGTAGAAATTAGTGATCTACGCTAAGCGTATAACCCATAACCCTTACGAAATCCATGGATCTGAAAACGTTACATCGGCCCGAAGAGAAAATTCATAGCCGTATTTCAATCCTCTCCGTCCCCAAACGTGTGGGTTCAACGTATTCGACAGATACCAAGCTTCATTCCTGGTAGCAAGTACATATGAAATCACCAACATGCTTAACTATTACAGATATAGAGGTTTGCTTTATCACATTCGATACATCAGAAAGCCGATTCGCGTAACTCCAACACGGGACGGTATACTGTCTTAAGTCGGTTAACCCCGCAAGCGAATTTCCTAACGACAACCCTTAGCAGCCAGAAAGTTGGAGATAATTATTCCCTAACGCAATCTATACTCCTTCATCTGATTATGAATACGACGACGACTCCGAATCGCGTTACGAATAATGGGGAGGATGGCGCCAGTAGCGCCATTAGCTTGGGTTTGAGGGAAGTAAAAGAACGCAAAGGACGCAAATAGTAGAGACTGGAACCTAATAGATCTCTGAATGAGCAAATTAATGCAACTGGACAAAAGGGGCATATCAAAACCCTGACAAGACGGCATACTCAACATTCAGGATCGCCCACGATGAGGGCGGTGCAGGTCGTGTCAGATTCTTAACAACACATACCGATACATACTATACCATATGGGTCGAGCCGTCATCTCTAGGTAGGTAGTCAACAATTGTTTGCTCTATAGCGTCTGGCCTTATACGAGACCCAAGGCTTGCCTCTCCCGCTTTGAGATGAGATCCTTGCAGTTCATAGGAAGTCGCCATCTACATACACATTCTGACATTTCTTAGGATGCGTGGCTTTCCGCTAGTCGACCTTACATGTGAACATACAAATCCGCGCGATGTTGGTTATCTTCAGTATACGCGACGAACTAACCTAAGTACAAGAGCCACCAGGGAGTAACTATTGCAAAGACCTATTATTCGCTACTACTACTTAAATGTATCCATCTATGAATATTCCAGGCGACTTAGATGCTATCCACGATGTCCCAATGATAATATTGTACCTGTCACATATTTGAGTTCGTCACCAACCACCTTTGATGATCGTTGCCTGGTTTGAAACCCTTCTCGGGTAGGAAGTATACATCCGTTGGAGCGTACAGTTTGATCGAGTGCTCCTATAATATTGTACATATGTATATACCTATGCTTAGGGATAATAGTGGTTCCAGTGACAACAACAGCCAGCGGGTGCTTCCTCGAGAATGCTACCCTTGTTTTCCCTCCCAGACCACACGCCAGACACCTATACCTATAGTTGACTAATGCAACCAGGGAAACTAGTCGAATAGAGGATTCACTCTAGCAGTTTAGCCTCGGACTACCTACCAATCCCAAATCCCTAAGTGACAAAGTCCTTCACAGCAAGGGATGAAAGTAGGTATATTCGGTTATCTATGCCGGCCTGAGGAATATCACTGATGCCCAAACAAGCAGTTTGACTCATAAGTCAGTCATCACAAGTATGTATGGGCGTAACTCCATTACCGGAGAATTCCGGCTTATCTCTGGGATCCCAAGTTTGGCGCATTTGGCTGAGTAGAGGGCCTACTAGTCACGGCGCCTAGGTCAGTTGAATTGGCAAATAAAAGCCTCGAGCGCCTAGGGAACTCACTCCCCGAGGTTAAAATTCTTTGCTGTCTTCGTGGAATAATCCCTGTGGCTTATAAATTTCAGCAGCCGCGTTTTCCAAACCTCCTACGTGTAAGGTAGACCTCCCTTTACGGTTCTGTTTCATGGTGCTCCTACAATAAATCCTCTTCTCCAGAAGGCCACTGGGGTGCGTATTCGGCAATAGAATATTGGCCTCTTTGGCGCATACCTACCTTACCCCGATCGGTTGGCTGCTTCTAAATCGGATGGCGTTGGTGTTGCGGATCAAAATTATATGGGCCGCCGTTTATTTCCATGGAATGGTTTCGTCCATGGCTTTTCATTGTCTGTAAACAGATATTTTCGAATATCTACTACCATGGTAAAGATGTCCGTTGGCTTTATATACCTATGTATCCCGAGAATTTACCTGGTAGGTTAGGTAGACATCCACAAATAGGTAGGTACCTAGGTATAGGGGCTAGCAAATCCATTTTCTCGTGCGAGTTACTGTACCCACTAGGTAGCCATCTGTGTGCGTATGCCGAACGTTCGACTCGCGTAAGGCGCCCAGTCATCAGCTTCCCTTCCTGTGCTGACAACATACCTACCCAGAAAGCCATGTCTAATAGAAATTCAAGAACCAATCCCCAGAGCCCCATTTTAAAGAGTAACCCTAGTGGAGCTTTCTGGAAAGGGAAATGGATTTTGGGATTAGTTAACCCTTCGGGACATATCGTCATCCCATCTCTATTAACTACTAACTGGTTAAGATTGGGTGGGTCACGTGATGCATTCAGGGGCTATCTATGCCCTTGGCTTTTGACTCGCTTTGACCTAACCTAGGTTATTCCAAATCTTTCCTTGCTAATGAATGTCGCGGTTCTTTCTCCAGTTTACTTGCAAGCATGTCTTTCATGGATATGGCTGGGTGAGTGTCGTATGAACATACCTGAGTAATCTGTCTGCCGTTCACTACCTATGAGATAGAGAAAACATGGTGCCCCAGGAAATGTCAAGGATCTAGTCAAGGGCTAACAAGTCGAAGTAAATTATACGGGGGGCTATCTTAGGTAACCTCCCTAGTCTCTGGCGAGACGTTAGAGATCACTGCGCAATAACGATATTATTCTGCGACTTCTAGGTTTTGCATCATGACAGGAATTAACCCCCCCCTTTTCTTCTCCTTCCATTGTGCGATCTACAAGTGTGCTTGGCCTATAAAGGCCAACATACTTACACAGCAGTTGTAGTCTTTCAGGTTCGGCCACGTCATAATGACAAGTAGCAGAGATAGAGGCTAAGTTAGATATCACTTCACAATACCTAGGCAATTCCCGGACCATAACATGAGGATAGATGGGCTTGGTAGGATAGGCAATGAGGTTGGTTTGTTAACATGGAGATTTGAGCTTCGAATAGGGGTAAGTGACTTTTTCTCAGGACCTCTATAGAAGTGTTAACTACGTCCTAACTACAAGGTACCTTAGGGTATTATCCAAACTTCAGTAGGCATATACCTAAGCATGAATATTCCCTGGTACATGACAGAAACGGTAATCAAGTCTAAGTCAGTACTGTCTCATACACCAAGCCTTGATCTCACTGGTGGTATCCAGCAAGCACACCAGGAAGGTACGCCCCTTAAAGTTTCCTCCTACCTCGTACCTCCTATCCGGAGAAAGCCCAGCCATATAATGCCAAATTAAAGCACCTCCTCCCACCAATAAAATCTGCCGCAGAAAGGCTTCTATGGTGACACAGGGTCCCTTGCTTCTTAGAACTAAAGCCTTGCTACGGCAAAACTCGGCAGGCTTTATTTAGTAAGTCGGCGATTCAAACCCTCGACTGAGCATTCTTTTTTTTTTTGGGGTTTTTTTTTTTTGAATCTCCTTATTTATTCGCCATGAATCCTTGCTGTAATTTTACCAATTGACGAAAAAATGCATGCATATGCGCCCATGTAAAAATCATATTCAACGTCTCAATTTAAGTATTCGGTGTTCTCGTCATCATACCTCATGCATTTGCACTCTTGGCCTCCTACCTCCTACCTCCTACCTCATGACCCATATCGCATAATCACAATAAACAAAGCCACAGCGCCATAGCCACCGAAAGCCAGCTCCAGCTTCCATCCCAGCGGATTGAGGACCCTGCGTTCCCGAACCCACGGCCCTGGTACCCAAACGTCACGTTCTGGACCACGGCGGGGTTGTAGCAGTTCCCACCCACGATATCCACATTGCGCAGATCGTCCGGCGTGACGAAGAACATGTACTGGCGCTGGTCGATTCCCTCGAAGCCGGATGTGTCGTATGGGAAGAGATCAGTGGCGTCGGTGGCGGTCGTGTTGCGCAGGAAGATGCACTGGACCTGGCCCGGGTAGTCGCGCACGAGCTGGGGGTAGTCGCTCATGACGTCCGAGTTGGACGTGTCGGCCACGAGGACGAACTTGCGCTCGGGGAATGTCTGGAAGATCTTGTCGAGAAGGAATTTGCGGATGGAAAGGGTGGCGGAGACGTCTGAGAAGTTGAGCGGTCTCGTGTCGAAAGAACCTAGGGGGTAGGTTGCGTAGATGAATCTGGAGTTCGCGTTAGACGGAGTTGCGCATCATATCTTGGCATGGCGGTGGGTAGTAAGGGGAGCAGGAAGGAACAGAACTCACTCCATGTAGTTTCTTGTGACTTGCTCTGGGGTCGTCGTGAGATAGTGGAAGTGGAAATTCGGGATCGTGGCAGACCAATTCGCGTAGATATCTGGCATATTCATCCAAGGGGTAAACGCTCTAGCAAAGGAGTTTAGTAGACCTTCCACTGGGTCGTAAATCTTGGTAACTCGAAGGATGTCGTCGATATCAGAAATGATGGTGAATCCTGTAGGCGGGACTAGGTAGGCTGTTGCATTTCCCGTGTTGGTCCCGTTGGTGTACATATTGAGTGCTTGGATCGATGATGTTGTATTTCCCGCTATTAAGTGTCCTCCATTTGGGCCTGTTGTATTCTGAAGGATGATGAAGGTATCGAAATCACCTTCAGGGGTAGTTTCATATGGGAGGTCTATCGACTGCACACCACCTTCCTATACGATGAGTTCACAATTAGTTTTCCAACAATGCTAGTAGCCGTCATATATGAGTATAGGCCGACTTACAGCATTTACCACGCCCCCACTTGCATCCGGGCGAACATCAACATCGTTCTCGAAGTTGATAGTAACATTTACGTCGGGCTGCTGGACAACAAATATGGAAGCTGTGAAGTTCCGGGCTTGCTCTTGCTCTGGTATGGCCAATTCGTCGATGTCAGTACCAACGAGGAATACATTGGCCAGATCATTAAGCCTGTCTTCCGTAATATTGGGCTGCTTGTATACATTGCCATGAACCCGTACGTTCCATCCCTGCTCGGTCCAGTTGCCATATGCTCTGAAGCACAATTCCCATTAGCGTTGGAACTAGAAGTCATGTGATGATATTCTTACGGAATATTAAGGACCTGGGTCGGCGATGGGGCTAGGTCTGAGTCGGTTATGCCCAGAGAACTTTCGACAGCTTCACCACTAGGGAAGTCCTGGAAGAATTGAGGTACACCGGATGCTATATAACTTGATACATCGCTTCCAAAGCCACTTATGATGCTTTCGATATAGCTACCTGGGTTCAAATCGCGTTGAACAACTCGGGCCTCTAAGTCTGGGGCTGGTGTTATCATAGGATGCGCCGGAGGCACGGCTACAGCTGTTTTGGCCAAGAGCAGTATTGGCCAAACTGGCGCGAAACTGGATAATAGGAATGCCATTCAATTTGGTTAGGTAGGTGTTTAGGAGGTAAAGCACCTCTAGCTCCGTCAATAGGTGATAAATACTTCCAACCTATTATAATGATTGGAAAAGGGTCAAGACAACTTTGGGCCTTGAGTTATTAAGAGGTAAGGAAAATAGGTAAGTAGTGTGCCAACTTCTGCCAAGTAGGTAGGTAAGTATTAAGTATTGAATGATGTATTCTATAAATGTGAGGTAAATAATGGCTACGACGCCGATTACACACGTGGCTGAAACAGATGAGACATTCTCTATCTTTACCATAAGCAAAGTTAGTATGTGGTAGGTATTAATTTGTGATTGTATTGTGTAGTTATTAGGTATGTAGCTGGGATGGTTCCCAGTTTATGATTGGAAATGCTTTGTTTTCCCAGGGGCTTGGCTATGACATCATTTGCATGGTTGTGGTTCCTTGCATGTGCAACTTCAAGTGGTCGATAATCTTGAAACCTTGGATGATGGGCATTTGGAGATTCTCCATCAAATAAGGTTACCGTGTACATGTAACCTTGAATCAGGACAGGCCTGGGCAACACATGGCAGCGGCCAGTTCCGAGTGCTACCTACATGTACCTTGATTATCTATTACATGTATCCCGTCACTGTACTAATGTACTATCATTGATATATCTCCTGTCTGCCCCGCCCCTTAATCGGAACTTCAGGAATGCACTCATTGACCAGGGACATCTATCTATATAATGCATTAGAGTCAACTCAGTCAAAATCAGAGACTAAGAATTCAAGTCAATAGACAATCTTGGAAGTGGTATTGAGCTTTGAGGTTATGGTATCTAAGCCTTCTTCGAAGCTATAATGCTTGGTGTAATAGATAACCATAAAGGACATTCATTGTCTCATACTTGAAGACCCTTAACCTAGGTACTCATGTGAGTTTCCCTACTCGATAGACTACCTATAGAGTTCTCCATGGTCGTAACTCGTAATCCTAGGCTCAAATTGGTATCATCCGACCTTCACAACGCTTGCTTATATTGGATATTGGTATTGTCAAGCTTTACGTCTAATAGTCTTGAAACGATATGCAATCTAAATACCGGCTAGTTGATTGGTAGGCGTTTGATATTATGTCTCGAGATTGATACTGCGTCCGAAACGTGCGTAGAGTTCGACTTTCAGTTGCGTCATTTCGTCTTTCACCGTTCCAAGCTTGTCCTCTAGGACCGACACATCCTCCTCTACTTGCGAAGTCGACGATAATAACATTTCTTGGGCCTGTGGTAACTGCACATGGAAAAAGGCGTCGCCGATTTTGTATCTGTGAGACGGGCTATTCGTCAGCTTTTTTTTTTCCATGTCCACGTCACAGGTGTAAGAGATGAGAATAGATGCTGAGACACGCATTTCGATAGCAGTTTCTAGCACAAGAGCTTGAAATGCTGGTAGTAATATTGGAGGGGTCCTTACGGTATCTTGTCATCCTCGTCTGCTAGCTCAAGCTCGGTGCTGATATCTTCAAGCTCTTCCTTCTCTTTCTACATGTTCCAGAGAGCTGTTAGCAGTGATAATCGTGGAGTGGTGCGACAGAATATCTCGTTGGTCGTACATTCTTTAATTTGAGCTCCTCTTCTAGATTCAATTCTCGTTGGTGCAGGCGACTGAACTTGTTGATCTTGTCTTGGTCTTCGCGACGGACCTCGATTTCATCACCTGCCGTCGCCTCCTCTTCCTTGGTAAGCTGCCAGTGTAAAAATGCAACGGTCAGCATAAACCCTAATTCAAGATAGGTTTCAGTAGAAACTAACCATGCGCCGATTCATGATGAGGTATTAAGGGTGAGATTTGCGGTATGCTCGTTTGGTGTAACAGCAAGCTATGTGATGAAGTTGTCGCGAGTGCAATCCAAAGCTGGAGCTAAAGGTGGGGGCAGGTAGTTATAGTTAGTTGTATGTAGTTACATGTAGCTAGACTGGGACGGATTGAACTTGGAGGGGTCAAAGGGCTGAATCACATGATTGATAAGATACTAGATAAGTTTAAATATGCATCAATCATGATCAATTATGTATTGAATATGTACCGTAGGTATTCTGTATCAGATACAAATTCAATGTTTGAACAAACATCAATCGTTAATCCCATGAGCAATCTCCCGTCAACTTTAACTCAAAGCTGTTGACACGAATTTTCCACGTTTCTAACGACATCTACATAATATATGCATATATCTCACAACCTAGAACTTATCCCAAAGAATTCTGAGTATTCACGATTTGAGTATGTACAATACCTAGCAGGTAGTTTAGGTAGTTACTTGGATCCAAGCAATTATTGAGCCAATCAAACCTTCTAGAAATTAACATTGATTTACAAATTACACCACGTCAACTGGAAGGCACATGGCAGGTACTATCGGGTACATGATACTAGCAAACATTGAAAATAATAATTCAAAATACCTAGTATGCATCGGTTTGTACACATGTAGCTACTAACTAAATCTTTCTCAATATAAAAAAGATGCGTCGCCTAAAGTGATACGGATGCCTTACCAATTTGGTCGCCGTAATATAGTATATAATCTTTAAATCCTGACCTTCGCTTGTAATTCACCAAGCCGTTTTACCCTAAAATCATTAAAAACATTACTTCGTACAATTACATGCGATACATGTAACCTAGTACAATACCTATCATTCATACATACCCTCCTTCAGGGCTTCTTATACATAAAAAGTCCCAATAAGGAACCCCCCATCACAATAACAACTACAATTCATTTTCACCAATAAACACTCTTCATGATGGATGACCACATCATGGATTCTCAAAATGAAGACTACGGCGAAATTCGCCCGGCATTTTATATTGGCCAACATGATTCAACGAGAACGGATACACTGAACGATCTACAATATGGCCAAATTCTGAACGCTGGTGTAAGTTTTCACTCTCTGCTGCTCATGCAGTGACATGACAGCACTCAGTACTTACTAGACTACAGTTCAGTTTTGTAACATCGCCAATCACCAATGAGCACTTTCATCAGCGTGTGGAGAAGCTTCTCAAAGCTAGTCTCTTGGATGCTCAGAACAATGAGCGCGCTGGCTCTATTCCTGTTCCAGTCCTGCCGCCTTTGACTATCAAGGACACGACGCTGTTCCCTGGCACATATACGAGTGGGCTAATTGCCTATTCTTCCCCTTGGATTGACCTATGCTCGCCGAACCATGTGATCTCCAGCATTTCAAGACAAGTTTTGAACGTGGAAATCTCTTATGCCAATTTCTGTGGCGTACGAACTATTATAGTCCCTGGACCGAGACAGGATTCGATCAAGATTGGCAATGGCCAAGGTGTTTCGCAGTATGCTCGAGCCATACATGAGATCCTTTCAATCGGAAGCAGAGTCAGCATTATGATCCACCTTCCTATGTATCGCGAGCCCGGTTTGGAAGAGAAAGTACCGCTCTTGGGTTCAACTGAAGGCAGCGATAAAGAGGCAGGGGCAGGGGCAGAGGGAGAGTCGGACCAGGAAGAAATTGATTTGTTCAGCTCGTGGGATTCGTGGAACACTATTCGTTCAATCTGCGACTACGATCCTAAGCTCTTCGTCGGTAAGCATTACCCTTCCCAGTAATGAGCTTGCAATGCTAACCAGAGAATTCGTCTAGCTCTCAGAATTCCACGAGTCCTTCCTGAGAAGCAACTCCAGACGAGATGGTTTTCTGAGCCCCTTCAGTATCTTACCTTGAGTGCTCACGTGTTCCAAATGAACAGATCAGACGCCCCTGCCCTCAGCCGCCGGCACCAGGACCTGATTTTCACATACATGCGCTTGAAGAATGCGCCTTACTTCCTGCTAAGCGACGTCTGCCCCGAGCTACCTACCGAAGCTGCCTCCGTCCCGGATCCATCTTCAACAACAGACTTCCCAAGCTTGGCGCAAGCAACTGCTAATACTGCCCAAGGCACGACGAGAAACCCCAACGCCAAATCACACACGACGACGAACATCTATGTCTCGTATCTGAAACACCTCGAGAAGAAGCAAGAGCCTTTCAGCGACCTGGAGCAGAATACATTGACTAACTTCCAGGACTGGCTACAATCGCCCTTACAACCGCTCTCGGACAACCTCGAGTCTGTCACCTACGAGGTATTCGAGGGCGACCCCGTCAAATACTACCAGTACGAAGCAGCCATCGCAGCGGCACTCCGAGACTGGGCTGCGCAAGGCAAAGCCACCTCTTCTCCTGGCGGCGAAGTTGTCATTGCCGTGGCAGGATCAGGCCGCGGCCCCCTAGTCACCCGCGCCTTACGCGCCAGCGAATCCACTGGCGTCCCCGTGCGCGTCTGGGCCGTAGAGAAGAACCCGAACGCGTACGTCTACCTCCTCCGCCAGAACCAGCGCGAATGGAACGGCCGCGTAATAGTCGTCAAGACAGACATGCGCGCCTGGAAAGGCCCCCTGATCTCCTCCGATCCCGATCACCCCGTCTACGGCAAGGTGGACATTTTAGTATCAGAGCTCCTCGGCTCCTTCGGCGACAACGAGCTTAGTCCCGAGTGTCTCGACGGCATCCAGCACGTCCTCGCCCCCGGCCACGGCATCTCGATCCCAGCCTCGTACACCGCGCACGTGAGCCCGATCTCCACGCCCCGCATCCACGCGGACATCGCCCAGCGCTTCGCCTCCGCCGACACCGCCGCCTTCAACACACCCTGGGTCGTGCGCCTCTTCGCCGTCGACTTCGTCGCCGAGCGCGGCGTCCCGGACCACCCGCGCTTCCAACAAGCATGGGAGTTCGCGCACCCGCTGCCCGCATCCACTTTACAAGCCGTAGAAGCGCGACGCGCTGGCGGCGTGGCTGGCGGTGGCGGCGGCAGCATGGCGGGCTCGGTCGGCGCCAACGACCACAACGCGCGGCACTGCCATCTGACGTTCGTGTGCCGCAGCCGCGGCGTCGTGCACGGGCTCGCGGGATACTTTGAGGCGGTGCTGTATGCGCCCACCGCGAGAAAGAACGGGGAAAGGGAGGAGGTGGCGGAGGAGGGCGAAGAGTACGAGGACAAGGAGGCGGATGAGAAGGTCGAGCTGAGCATCCTGCCCGACATGATTGATCGCAAGAGCAAGGATATGATTTCCTGGTTTCCGATCTTTTTTCCCTTGAAGGTACGTTATACTTACTTCGCTTGCCTACTTTCTTTTTTTTTTTTAAAAAAAAAAAAAAAAAAAACTGGCACTTACTAACTTTACTACGTATCTATGTAGGAGCCTCTCTACTTTCCCCCCGACACCGAGCTGGAAGTCAGCATGTGGCGCCAGACGGACGACGCCAAGGTGTGGTACGAGTGGATCGTCGAGGCGTACATGTGGATTGGGCCCTCGCAGCGCGTCAAGGTCGGCGGCTCGGGGCTGTGCAGTAGTCGCAAGATGGCCTGCTTGCTATGATTCACCCAACCTTATGTACATGATACCGGGGGGCGGTGACGATGCGGTACGATTTGAGGGAAGGTTAGGAAAGGCAGGCAGGCAGGCAGACAGGCAGGAAGGAAGGGGGATTTGGGAGGAAAAAGCATTTGCATTTGAAATTCCTTAGTTCTCCAGGGCTCTTTTTGAACCGTTATGTGACCACCCACTCAAAAAGTTCAGGGCTATTGTGTGGATAGGTAGATTAATATGTTGCTGCTGCTTGGCGATGAGTCAAGATAATTAAAAACCGCCACGACCAGAGACAAAACGCCTAGTTTTTCTTCCATTATGCTTTTTTTCGTTTTGCTTCTGCTTCTGTACCTGCTCTGCTCTTAGCCGAGTACCTACTTAGTATAGTAGTCGACTATCCAGAGCATTAATCCCTTGGCATCTTCTCTAGTAATCAAGATCTCCCTCCAGTTGTCCATGACTAGGTTGCCCAGGTATGTCGTGTTGTCCTAGGTTTGTCTGGCTCCTAAATCTCGCGCGTCCCTCTCTCGACATTGTCCTTCAGCTTGGGGGTATATGTCTTGTCTGTCCGCGTCTCCCTCGTAACCGATCCCGCTCCATTTCCATTCCAACTCGGTTCGGTTTATCAGCCCATACTGACATCGCCGTTTCCACCGTCCGCGGCCTTGATCCATAATACGTTATTGCATCTGTAAATTTAAATTAAACCTGGATTAGCCAAACATTCAATTCAATCCAATGTATGAACGGCGCTGAGTTTCTTTCTCTCGTCATGGGGGTAATAATGTGGTAAGAAAATCGAACGCACCGGATCAGGATCTGTCCCAGGTCGCTCGTGAACTTCTGGTCGATGAACTCCTGGGCGTTGGTGAGCTGAATGTTCATATAGCTGTCGGAGCTGACGAGACGGCCGTGGTATTCTGTCTCGCCCCACTTTAGTCGCACGACGATGTCCTTGTTGACACTATGTATGTTCAATTAGTCCTGCTGTCTGTCGTCTTGTTTGGAGGGTTAGGATGGGTCGGGAAACGTACAGGTCTTGCAGCATGGGCCGCGGGTTGATGGGCACGAACTACATATGAATTGGTTAGTCGGTGTATACGCGATTATTATAGTTGCAGAGCTTATGAAATCAAGATGGGAAGGAGAATGAGAAATTTTAAACTTACACTCATGGTGGGCAGAAATGTGCGGTTCCGTGAAGAAATTGGTTCAATGTTTGGTGTTGTTGTTGTGTTGTTGTGTTGTTGTTTTTCGTCGCGTTGAACTTGAAAAGCTTCAATGTTCAAGGCTGAGGCTCTGCAGTTTCTATATAGGTAGTTATGTACTTTGTACCTTGGAAGAATGTTCCTGGGTTTGCATTTAGTCAATCAACGCCGTGAATGAGTGTATGCGTTTATCGGTTACTGCCCCGCACAGCCTAACTATGTAGTATTTATGTACTACTAGTACGAAGGTTGTGGCCAAAAGTTTAGACCAAGATATATCTCAGCCCTACAGTACGCCATTCTTTTTTGGGCCTTTATCAATAATAGGTATATATTTAACGTTAAATCCCCCATAACCCTTAAAAGTATAGTACCTTATAGCATTTTATAGCATACTTAAGCGTTATAATATGCTATAAATTTAAAGCCTTCAATCCTAAACAACCTTAGATTATTATATAAATATTTATATTAATTTAATAAAGAAAAAAAATTACAAAAATTTCTATTATTAAATAAATTAATTAAATAACGTAATAATATATTTAATATTTATTAAATAAATTTATGAGGCTTTATAAGTAAGTAGGTATATTGGCGATGATATTTCCTATAGTGGTAGAAAAGTGGAGGAACTGTGGGGCTGAGGTATATCTTGGTCTAAACTTTTGGCCACAACCTTCGTAGTTACTAGGTACCTGATGCGACCAACATTGAACATTGAAGGTATTCAAGACTTACATTGTGCTATATCTATGCTTTTTTCAAGGTTGAGTGATGTGTAGATAAATGTTGGTCCGTATGAATACCTAAATTGTCTACGTCCATGTAAGAAGTTATTGTTCAAGCCCTCTTGATATCCCATTTCAACTCCTTGATGCTCACTTCATCACCAGCCTTTTCATCATAATCAAACCACTCGCCTTCTTGTAAGCAATCGATTCCCTCAAATTTGGTGTTTGATTCAAGACCATCAGCCAACCACTCTCCCTAGTTTTTAATATTAGTACGTGGAAGAAAAGGCTACGATGGAAATACGTGGAAACTATCACTCACTTCCGGAGAAAAGGACGTGAACTCCAAGCCTCGGCAGTCAAATTCCATTATAGACTGCTGTTTCGGCGGTTCACCTTGTTCATAAGCCTTGGGTGCCGCCTTGATTGAGCAAGAGGATTCTCGCTACATCAGAAAGTATTAGACCCAAGATTCATCACATGTCAGGATGTTTGTAGGAGGGTGTTTGTATGCAAACTAACCTTGCAGTTCTTGCACCTCCATACGAAGTTGGCCTCCCCTCTACTACCACTTAAATCATTTGTCTCCTTAGTATAGAGTTAGTTTGGGCTACAATCTTTGAAGTATAAAAAGTAAAATATCAAAAGCAGATACTGAAACTACTTACAAATCTGCTAACAGATATGGGATTTCCGTGCACCTCACGACACGAAGTGCACTGGACAGTGAAGGTATACCAGAATGGAGAATCTGTAGTGTCCTTAGGTCGGAGGTTGGTGACTCTAAAGGACTTATAATCAGTAAAGAGTTCAAAGAAGCAAAACTTTCTATGTGAATATGTATTAACTAATTACCCATTTAATTCCGCAGTTAATGTGAGCGCATACATGATGATATATGTTGCTGGATGATATTGGGTACGACGATGAAGGCAAGATTGACTTGAAGATTGAGCCTCAGCGATTCAATATAGTTAGAGTGATGTGGATGCATTAATCGGATGTTTGAAAAAGAGAGATATGCAACTATGCAGGCTTAACTTTTTTTTTCCTTCTTTTCCCCCCCCCCCCCCCCCATAAAAAGAAAAGCGACGTAAAAATGCCCATGTAGATACGTCAGAAGCAAAGAAGCAGAGAAGCTAGAAAAAAAAGGTTAATAATAAAATTAAAAAATAAGAATAAGAATTATTACTCTATCCCCTCTTACCTATTTTTGCTTAGCTTCAAATATTCCATTCTCGGCTTCTTCCACAAAGAACAAAAGAACAAAGATCGAACCATCGCATTATTATTTTCTATCAACAAGCCTTTACAAACCACGGGCAGTCCCAGGACGAGTTACAAACTCGCCAATTGGGTTCATACTCACCTAAAAGACATGCCTTAGCTACATAGGTATGAATTCGCTATGGTCGAGGGCTGTCCAGGCGCAGTCTTCCTGCCGCTGCCGACTATGCCACCACTCCGGTCACTCGATCATACGGCGTTCCGCCACGACAGCTACGAGGCGGAAGGTCTCAGCTGCGGATGTCTTTACTGCATGCTACACCACCATCTTAGGCACTGCAACTATCATAGATGCCAACAGGAAAGAGGCCAGGAGGAAGGACCTTGATCGAAGACTGGAGCAGGCCAGGGCCGCGTTGGGCACCCTAAGCATGAAAGAGTCAACTGGTCAGCGAAATTGGGGCGGTAGCGATCCTGATAATGCTATTACCATAGACCCTTCAAGGATTCAAAGCCCCAACTCGGAACGCGACGCCCTATTGCAAGAGTTGGGGGACATATGCGAGACCACTCGCCGGCCACTATTGCCTCCATCGTGGATACAAACCCAACTGGAATGGGCGCAGGTTGAGGCCGCCATTGCTGCAGAGGAGCGAGATCCGGAAATTTTCCTCCGAGAGCCAAAGACAGATCAGCAACTCCAACGAACGACGACGATGGTTATGGATCTAGTAGATCAACTGATATGGCATAGTCAGACGCAAGAAAGCTTGCGGAAACAAGATTATGAAGATAGAGGACATGTCAGAGCAGATCACCCCCTTTTAAAAGAGCTAAAGGAGGAAATGCTACAAAATGCACACTATCCAAGCTACCACCATCCATCTGCAGACGTGGATGCTGCCGCAAGATCACGCTTTCGCCTAGGTGAAGCTATACGGCGCATCTTTAATCATGCCACTACCTCCAAGGAGATTGTGGCTAAGATTTGTTACAATCTCATTACATCTAGCTCGCCCCCAAGTATTCACACTTACAACGTGCTCATCGCTGGCTTCAACAGGATACGACGCCCAGATCTTGCGCAAGTTGTCATCGACTCCTATATCTATAATACAGCATGGCCTGCTACCCAGCAGACCATGGTATGCCTACTCAACCATTATCGAGGTATAACTCATGTCCAGGGTTTACGAGATACCATCCAGCGAATGAGGGGTGTAAAGGACACCGGTCTACATTTTCGAATCGTGAACAAGAACCGCATCAATACGCGTGATTGGTTAGACTGGGCTACTAAGTACTGTGCCTCACGCAAGTATGCTTATGTGCAACGCGCACGACGGGGAAACGATGTTTTCAATAGCATTATACAAGGCTGGCTTCACTGTGGAGAGATTGGCCATGCCAGCATGTCGTTTATATCCTGCCTGCGTAATGGAGGCATAGTGACTATTGACACCCTCCAGAAACTCCTTACAGCTTGTTTAGCAACAGTTGACCATGCATCGGCGCGTCGATTAGCCATAGGCTTTGCCAAGCATGCGCGAAAATTCGCAACCATGGTCCGCCAGATCGTCTACCACGAGTCGATAACGACGGCTCGTCAAGCGGTGATGAGCCTTTCTCGATTACTAGACATGTGCTGGCTTCCTTATCAAGATATATTCATGCCCGTTTCGGTAACATATGAGAGTACGTTGCATCAACTTAGGTCCCTGGTTGATCGGGCTCGACTCGAAATCGAAATACGAGAGACGGCAACTTTATGCTCAGTTACTCTCAAGGAGCTCGATTTTCCCGAGTCTTTGCTTAGTGGACTTGATAGAGCTATTGTAGCCATAGAATCTGCTCAACGGAATACGAGAAGGGCCACAGAGCTGCTCGCCAACTTTAACACACTAGCTAGGACGTTCGCTATCGATCGAAGGTACCGTGATTTGGAGGCAAGAATTAAGATCATGACGGCTATGGTGAAAGTGAGGATCGTCAACCTCAAGACGGGATATAACTTGGACCCTTCTTCACTCCTTGATCGTGAACGACCGAAACAAACCTACCAGCAGAGTCGTTATGACTCTATTTGCAATGCCCTTAAATACATCCAAATACACGAAGGCCCTATGACACAGGATGATATCAAGTCACAGCTTTTTGAATATATGCCCGATCAAAAGCTGGCGAGGAAACTTAAGAACTCTGGGAATCCGGAAAACGTCAGCATACGATCCCTCGTAACATTCTACGATGTGATCATCCCTCACAGGCCACAGAATAATGGCCAAAACGCACGTATAAAAGCGCTAGAGAGGGAACTCGCCAATATCAAAGATACGATCAGGGCAACGATATTTGCGCATCTTGGCGGCGATACTCAGTGGAGGGTCAGGTTTAAACATCCTAATTGGTACAAGACGCCCCTGGAAAAACTGGTGGAGTATTATCTGCGAGTTCGCCTCCGTAAGATTCGTACAGCCATCATTACGAAGCAAATAGCCATCGTCGAGACACAGGATCAAGAAACTTCCGTACAACCAGTTGCTGAGGAACAGCCCATCGCCATCGTTACGAAGCCAATAGATATCGTCGAACCACGCGATCAAGAAACCCCCACAAAACAGGATGTCGAGAAACAGCCCACTGCGACTAGGATCGAAGACGAAGCGAACTATTTCTCTTCCCAAAGTCCTACACCGAACCTTGCAGGCCTCGTGAAGAAGCTGCACTCAAAGCGTTCGATTACCGAGAGCGACTGGTAGGGTCATCCGTGGTGCACGACGAGGATGACTTTCCCCTCGCGGCATTGGGATGAGGATCCCAAGGAAATGGCGGGGTTCAAAACGAGGTATGCCTTGCAGAACAAGAATTAAGGGTTCAATTGGATCCGGGGGAGCTTGCTTGGCATAAGACCTAAAGAGGCTCGAGCCATCCCTTGTATATACATCTTGTAATAGCATTGTATATCTAAACTGCCTACATAGGCAGAATATGTAAAACTGACCGTTCAAACAAATTTAGTGGTAACCTACGTAGGTGGCTTACAGCTGGGGATACCGATACCGGATGTTAAGTAACATATCGTTCAAGGGGCGCCACTAAGATCCATTATACCTGCTATATGTACATGCCAGCATAGATACCTACATGCCTACTTACGTGTCGTTTTCTAGGTACGTTATATCTGACGGCTATTTACTAACCTAGGTAACTAGGTAGGTAAGAATATAGGTGTAGATATAGACGCAGATGAAGGTGTGTAAGACGCGTCAAGTGTGCGGGATATTCTTCGTAGATATAAAATTCTTCGTAGATATAAAATGCCTGCCTAGCAGATGATATGCGTAGATAACCATCACATAATACCTAAATGGGGTGTCACCCTGATACAGTACCATTGGCAGCAGTCTGGGGCTCACCGCGAGGACCCGTTCACCACTCTGGACTTTACCCCATGTCATGCAGTGGAAGCAGTTCGAGTCCTCGTGGTTGGACGGATGCTGGTCAACCGTTCAACGAGCTGTTGTGTTAAGCAACGAGGATGCGAGGCCGAGCTTGGCTGGCTGGGAAAGCACGCCGAGTGGATAGATAATAAAAATTTTTATGTATGTGTGGGATGGCGTTGATTTGAAGGTAAAACCCGTTTGCATTATAAATAGGCGTTTGTAAATCGAAAGTTGGCCATACCAGTGGGATGTTTGCGATGTTTGCAACTTCAAGATTCGAAGATTTGAAAGTTATTGGGTGGAAGATGTACATAAGTACCGAGTAGTTACCTAGTAGGTACAATACCATAATTGGAACCCACTGCACCAAAGTGGATATTGGTGGGTCATCTTAGATGGGCCTCCAGTGACCAATCAGATATCAGGAACAACATCACGTCTCTCCACGGCAAGGATTTACTGGCCATTGAAATCCCACGATTCTCTTACAAACCCAAGAAGAAAAACTCAAATCGTTCAATTCAACTTTCACCGCCCACGAGATAGTTAAAAAAGCGGAGTTAGCGTCTATGGCATGCTTTAGGGTTTATTAGGTTCTTTCAGCGAGCAATGGAGCTAAACTTAGGGCGTGAAGGGTCCGGCATGGGGCTAAATACTAGGGATGTAAGCCCCTACACATGTACAAGGGCCAGGTACGGTACAGCTGCATCTTCTATCGCATGTGCTTCGGACATTTCCAAGCTTCAATGTTCATCTTTCTTTCAATGTACTCCCCCAGACTCTTCCACAAATAGCACAGTGACATATGGGACGTGGGACCTAGAAACATTCTAATACGGGTCCCGGTAGTGTCATTGAGAGAAAGCTTGACGAAAAGAGAAAAAAAAAATAAGTTCGATCTGTCTTTAGCTTGCCACCCGTATCTTACTATCTTACCTACTCAACTTACTTCTAGGTTACTTATCTCTTCATCCCCCCTACTATCTTACCTACTACCTATCTACCTTGTACTGAGATCTTTCTTCTTCTTCTTCTTATGTTCGTCATTATCCTAGACGAGGAAAGTGGTCATTACCATCCCTGAGTCTGATACATATCAATGGCTCCGAATATTGGCCCTCGACAACAAGAAACACAGTCGACTGGCTATTCGTGAGATCCACCGACCACATCACCATGCTGATGTTCTAGATTTTTATATCCTTATCCACTCATATATTCTCTTCATACAGTCGTGATAGAACAAACCGTGCTACCTAGGGTCACTGGTCACTTAAGTGTAAGAGCTTACGGCGTGTAACACCTCTGATCAAACAACAACATCAAACTAACTAATACTTAACTTCACGACGCATCAGCCACTTCGCCCAATTTAGTTTAACTACAAACCCAGATAAACATAAACAAGCACCTTGCTTTTCACTACTCGATTAGAGTCTACCTTCGACTTAATCTCAGAAATATCCTAATCCTCCTTCCGCGAATCTTGTCGCGTTCCCTCTTTCACACACGCAACCCGGACGGGAAATTGCAAATATGAAGTTTGGAAGAAAGTAAGTCCCACATATGTGATTTCAGCACTATACAGCTTCCCTAAGTACAACAGCTCACAGTTCGTTGCAGTTTACCCCGTAACCAAGTCCCCGAGTGGGCGGCTTCGTATATCGACTACAAGGGTCTAAAGAAGCTGATCAAGGCGGCTACGAATACTGCGAATGCAGGGGAGAATGTTGATCTAGCAGGTGGGCTAAATTCTTCGACGATATGTCGATGCCGGTTGTATCCCCTAACATAATCCCTAACAGAGTTCTTTTTCGCCCTGGACCGTAACCTCGAAGATGTCGATTCCTTTTATAATAAGAAGTTCGCCGAGGCCCACCGCCGTATCAAGCTATTGGAGGACAAATATGGCAGAAGCCCTGACGTAGTTGTAGACTTAGACGACCAAGAAACTGAGGAGCTGATGGGAGCTCTGCTTGAGCTCAGAAACCAGCTCAGAAATCTACAGTGGTTCGGAGAAATCAACCGCAGAGGGTTTGTCAAGATCACGAAGAAGTTGGACAAAAAGGTCCCCAACACCACTACGCAGGAGCGATATATCACAACCAAGGTCGATCCGCAGCCGTTTGCCAAGGATATTACCACGGCAAGGCTCATAAATGAGATTAACAAATGGCTCTCGGTACTGGGAGACGCCCAAAATTTTGACGATGCCATGTCCGAAATGTCCACGCGCTCAGTACGCTCGCTTGGAAGGGTGACCGCCAAGGCCATGCTGAATACGTCACAAGGCGTCCTCGACAAGCTAGATGCTGCCATACGCAAGGACGATGTCACAACGTTGCAGAATAGTCTCAAATCCGAAGATCTTGTGACACAAGAACAGGCCTCCCAAGAAATGCTTCTAAGCCTTCTTCAACGATCTATCACAGCACGCTCAAGAGATTGCATTACACATCTCTTACAGCAAATTAAGACATTGGACGAGCCAGCAGACATTAATGAACGCAACTGCATCCACCGTCTAGTCATATACATTGGACGTAGTAAATCATCTTTAGCAAGCGATCTGGAGCCCAATGCGGTTTCACTACCGATAAAATCTCATTACAATAACCATTACGTTGCACCAGCACAAGCCAACGGCTCAACGGTCACACGGCCAATAAATGGTGACGACTCAGGCCCCAAACTGTTGAGCAAGGACGACGAAACGGTAAAAATCTTGTGTTACCTCCTAGATAACCTACAGGGGGAGCAGCGATGCGCACTCACGACTCAAGACTCTTTGGGTCGGATTCCTTTACATTATGCTGCTCAGTTTGGCTTCGTCGTTCTCTGCCAGGTGCTCATGGCGAAAATGCAGGAGTGGGGCCAGTTTAACGTTGAGGATGGAATCGATGCACCTAAGTGGCAGGATAAAGAAGGGAATGCACCCCTTCACTTGGCGGTCATTGGTGGTCACCCGTTGACTACTCAATGCCTTCTCCAGGGGGAGAACTGGCAAGGTCCGACTCACAACGAAGGCGCCCCAAGGAAGCCTGTGTCAAAGTCTAGTGCGGTTTTGGCTCTGGCTACGAAGTCGAATTTCGTTGCTATCGTGCGAATGCTTGTAGAGGCTGGAGTGGACATCAATTGGCAAGATGAGACTGGCGAGACAGCATTGCACATTGCTGCTAGGTTTGGACACGCAGAGTGCGCTAAGATCCTACTTGAGGGCTCGGCCGAGCAAAAGGCAAATCTTGAATTAGCTGAGAAGTCGTTCGCCTGGACTCCTCTACATATATCGGCCGTCGACGGCCATCTTCCTGTCGCGGAACTATTAGTTGAAGCAGGAGCAGAAGTCGGGAAGATGGACTCCTTTGGATGGACAGCAAAGGAGCACGCGGCTCTGAGAGGACACCTAGGAATTGCGAGGCTCCTCGCGAAGTTTACAGACACTATTCCGGTGGTCAACAGCGCAGACGACACTCAGGCGACCCCATCTGCCCCACCTACGCCCCCAGAAACGTCTTCCCTCGAGGACAGAAGATCAGACGGCAGCACTCGAATCGCCGAACCGATTAAATCTTTCGGTCACCGCTACCTCAAAGATAGCAGCCTTGTCATGGTTAGTTTGGGATCTATGGATATGCGAAAGAACATCGAACCCGTTAAGCTCGATCGAGTTCCTTTAGCAGAAGCACATACGAACCAGCTTGACACGGCCCTATCTGTCGTGGTGTCTGCACAAGGCGCAACTGGAGAGCCAACAATCATTGATTTGCCGGTGCACGAGAACATTTCCACCGAGCCGATTTTGTTTACTACTTCGGACGCTTCCAACGTCAGACTACTGTTTGATATTGTGCCGACTTACTCCGGAAACGAGAAGAACAAAGTAGGACGTGGTGTTGCGTTGCTATCCTCCATTCGCCCTTCGCTTGGCACCAAGAGGATGAATCTCCAAGGCGACGTGTGTGTCCCGATCATGGGTGCAAACCTTGAAGTTATCGGGGCCGTCAACTTTAACTTCCTTATTATCACACCGTTCTCGCATCCAAAAATGGAGGTCAATTCACAGCAGACATACTGGAGGAAGATGTCTTCCACCATGGTTTTTGGTCACCGTGGCCTCGGCAAGAACTTCCTTGATAGCAAATCACTTCAACTAGGCGAGAATACGGTCTCTTCTTTTATCGCCGCGGCTAATCTAGGGGCTCATTATGTCGAATTCGATGTTCAACTTACCAAAGACCATGTCCCAGTCATCTACCATGACTTTCTAGTGAGCGAGACGGGTATAGATGCGCCAGTGCATACGTTGACGCTCGAGCAATTCCTTCACATCAACAATGAGTCTAAAACGAGGCCCGGAGGAGATCCACCTGAGTTGAAGAGGAACGAGACAAATGGCAACGGTACAAAGGAAACCGGGACAAGACAACGATCCCTCTCTGTCGATTTGGCCAAGAAGGGGAATGACAATCTTGACGAACGCATGAAGTATACACTCAACTTCAAGAAGAAGGGCTACAAAGCCAATACTCGCGGTAACTTCGTTCAAGCTCCCTTTGCCACGCTCGAGGAACTCTTCAAGAAAGTGCCCGAGAACGTGGGATTTAACATCGAGATGAAGTATCCCATGCTGCTCGAGAGCGAGAAAGAGGACATGGACACCTATGCCATTGAGCTTAACTCGTTCTGCGACACAGTATTGACGAAGGTCTACGACATGACCGCCAACCGGCATATCATCTTCAGCAGTTTCAACCCCGATATATGTCTTTGCCTCAGCTTTAAGCAGCCAAGCATTCCGATCATGTTCCTAACCGATGCGGGCACCGAAGAAGTCAGCGACATCCGAGCCAGCAGCTTACAGGAGGCAGTTCGTTTTGCTAGTCGATGGAACTTGCTTGGAATCGTGAGCAACGCGGAACCGTTTGTGAACAGTCCTCGGCTGGTAAAGGTTGTGAAGCAGACAGGTTTGGTTTGTGTCAGCTACGGGGTCCAGAATAACGACCCTACTCTTGTGCAGGTAAGTCCATTATAAACTTCTCATCGGAAATACTCTTGTGAATATGAGACTAATGTGTTATTCGTGTTTTAGCGGCAAGTCAAAGAAGGTATCGACGCGGTGATCGTGGACAACGTCCTGGCGATCCGGCGAGGACTAACCAAGGATGACTGATAGATGGTTGGCGTACATTACGTACATATCAAGTGCCTGGGCAGCTGATAAAGAGTCGTAGTCTCTAGAATTAGCAATATAATAGATTTCCTGTGCACAATTTAGTCGTATCTAGTACGACCTCCACGTTTATTTGCGAATGTCTGCAATCTTCTACATATGTAGATAATGCGTTTTGGTTTACTAGGTATTATACTACAAAGGTATAATATCAAGATGTAGAGATACTATGTACCTAACCTAGTAATATTGCTCATGACGACATTATGTATAGGTACATAAAGCGTGCGGCGTTTGAGCAATTTGATGACTAAACTACCGTCTAAAAGAATGTTAAGATATCCGGGGCTAAACTTTCGCCGAAGACCGGCCGATTGGTAAGGCCAGCACCTGCCGATGGGATCATCAATGTCGACCTTAACAAACCTTAAAAAAAGATTCGCCGCAATTTTCGTTGAGGTTCTAGCCGATACCCCTAGGGACCTATTGGCCTACTACCTGCCTTGTTATTCACTTAGTCATTTCAACTTCAACCCTCGCTCATTCATTTATCTGAATATCTCATTACAGTGACTTGTGTCTGAGGAGAATGCGGCCTCCTCCTTATTTACCAATTAGAAGCTAATCGCTCTTCCGTTTTCCCTTCTTATCAACCTAGATTAGTTCTTTTTTTTTTTCTTTCTTCTTTTTATGCGGTAATTGGTGGTGGCGTTTTTATTACCAAACGTGGCACCGCCGCTTATCCTTGCGCATATTTCTTCTTCACTCAACACCACATCGAAACCGAAAGCCAAGTAGTGTTCGACCTCGACTGACTGGCGACACGCGCATATACCACTAGTCGCCATGGCGTTTCAAACGTCAGCTCTGCCGGGCATCGCGGCGGCGACTACGGATTTATGGCCATCCATCATGGGTACCCTGATGATGTCTTTCCGAGCCCCGTCGCTACCCCCGTTGAACCCGAGGTTGCCCCAGGCCAAACAGAGCCAAAAAGTCGATTCGAGTTCGCAAACGGCGCATGTCCAACCAAAGCCGTCTTCAACGTCTCCCAAGTTTGAACTTCCCGACTTTCTACGGGATGCTCAACACGATGTCGCTCTCCAACCTCTCGTCTCTAGGCAAAATCATATCCCCACTCCATTCGATATTCGTTCGTCTATCTCGTCTATGCCGCGCTCCGCTCTCCTCGCTTCAAACCCGGTAGTGCATCGTCTGTACCGCCAGAGCCTGCCGATTCGATCCATGTCTACGTTAACCGCTATTCGTTCATTGCCGAGCCCGTTCTCGAAGATGGCTATCTCTCAGCGAAGGTCTCTCCAGACTGGTGGGCTGTCAAGGAATCTGCTCGCTCATATGGAGGAATCTGCCAACAGGAACCCGACTAGCGCTACTGCCCAGAATGCATTCTATCAGGCTTTGCTAAAAGCAAACATGCCGGCCATCATTATCGAAAGATACCAGTCCGGGCGTTTTGCTACCAATGTCGCTGCTACCGAGGCATATCAAAAGGCGCTAAACATGTTGTCTCCAAATACTGTACAGGGAATGCAAGATGATGGTATCAGTCAAACGGTCAAAAACCTACCCGGAAATCTAACCCCCACCCAGATTCAAGCCGTTACTCAAGCCCTGGCTGCTCGATCTCGCGGCAGTAACTTGGCAGTCTCCAACGCTAACACGGCTTCTGGAGGCAAGGATGGGCCCCTTCACGTGGTTGTCGACGAAACGCTCGGTGGTAGCCTCTTCCGATGGGTCAAGTTTATTCTATGGTTTTGCTTTTTCACGTATCTCAGTTTAGTTCTCGTGACTATGCTCATCGAAGCTCTGAGTCTGTTCAAGCGACCCGGCGGCAAAGTCGACAGTGAAGTCAAGGCTGAGCACCAGAAGACTCGGTTCTCCGATGTCCATGGTGCTGACGAAGCGAAAGAAGAACTGCAAGAAATGGTCGAGTTCCTGCGTAACCCCGAAAAGTTTTCTCAGTTAGGCGGGAAGTTGCCCAAAGGTATTCTGCTAGTTGGCCCTCCTGGTACTGGAAAGACGCTCCTAGCAAGGGCCGTCGCTGGCGAAGCTGGTGTTCCGTTCTTCTACATGTCCGGTAGCGAATTTGACGAAGTCTACGTTGGTGTCGGCGCTAAGCGGGTCCGTGATCTTTTCGCTGCCGCCAAATCCAAGTCTCCTGCCATTGTCTTCATTGATGAACTCGACGCCATTGGAGGTCGCCGCAACGCGCGTGATGCAGCTTATGTCAAGCAGACTCTCAACCAGCTTCTTACTGAACTAGACGGGTTTGACCAGGCCAGCGGTGTTATTATCATCGGTGCGACCAATTTCCCTGAAGCGCTTGACAAGGCCCTTACTCGCCCTGGCCGTTTCGATCGTCATGTCGCCGTTGATTTGCCCGATGTGCGCGGCCGTCTCGCTATCTTGTTGCACCATGCCAAGAAAATCAAGGCTGCCAAGGATGTTGATCTCCAAGCTATTGCCCAAGGCACTTCCGGTCTTTCTGGAGCTGAGCTTGAAAACATTGTCAACCAAGCTGCAGTGCATGCGAGCAAAGTAAAGGCGTCACTTGTCAGGAAAGAGGATTTTGATTGGGCCAAGGATCGAGTCATCATGGGTGCCGAGCGAAAGACCATGGTCATCAGTGCCGAGGAAAAGGAGATGACCGCGTATCACGAAGCAGGCCATGCACTTGTCAGCCTATTAACGAAAGGGTCCGGTGCAAGCTTGTACAAGGTCACTGTTCTCCCTCGTGCTAATTCGCTTGGCCACACGGCATCACTCCCAGAAATAGACAAGTACTCCTACACCATCACCAACTATCTAGCTCAGATAGACATGTGCTTGGGAGGGAAACTCGCGGAAGAGATTGTCTATGGCCTCAACCAAGTTACCAGTGGTGCATCATCGGTAAGAACCATCTCTCGCATATATCCTTCATCGGTTGAATATTTACTAACACTTTTCAAATAGGATCTTCGAATGGCTACTGCTGTTGCGTTCGACATGGTCGCCAGCCTGGGAATGTCTGCCAAGCTCGGTAATATGGAGTACAGGAGTCGATACGACACATTGAGTAGTGAGACCAGAGCGCTAGTCGAGTCCGAGGTTAACCGCACCCTCAATGAAGCATACGAGCGCGCTCGTCAACTTCTATTAACTCATCGCAAAGAGCTTGATCTCTTGGCACAGGCACTCGTCCAATACGAGACTTTAAGCAAAGAGGAAGTAGAGAAGGTCATCCGTGGTGAACCGCTACCTAATCGTATCGCCGTCCCCAAAGGCTCCATGATCGTCCCAACATCTGCTAAACCTCCGGCTCCGGGCGAATTAGCATCTCCCACTCCAGGGGCAGGGGAGAGCGGTGGAGGACCACCACCCCCTGCTCCACCGACACCAGGTGGACTCGCTCCCAAGGCCGACAGATGATCTACCCTACACATTGTCTACGATATGATATAGGAGCCTGACCTCGTTTATAGAGAGTTAGGCGAGACAATACAGGAGGGAATATACTCCCAGTAGGCATAAGATAAGGGGGTTCAAGGCTGATCAACGTTATATGGCTCCTGCCGCACGAGGAATACGCAATGTTATGCAACATATCTGATGATGAGGCGAAACATGCAGGGGGGCACTGGAGGCGTTGATACGTTTAGTTGTAGCCTGAGGAGCTATAGGTCGGTAGGGGCACGGAATGCTGGCAATATCCCGAGGCGAGCGAATAGGTCAGGATGGGCTGGGATGGCATGGCATGGAATTGGATGGATATAAAAGTGCTACCTCCCATACATACATTTGGGCGGGCTCTTTCCTCCTCGCAGAGAATCATCATTAGCAAACATCCCCTTCTCTTTGTCCTCGCCCATCCCAGCTTGAGTGTATGTGTTATATGAGATGAGGTGCGTACAAGTTGTACTTTGATAGGTAGGCACCTGGGTTAGGGAGGTAGGGAGGTAGGTAGGTAGGCGCACTGGAAAATCACAAAAAAGAAAGAGAGAATTTAAAAAGTACCCAGCTTGTTCTTATGTTTTATGTTTTGTGTTTTCATGAGTTGTAATTGTAGGAGGGTGTTTGGGGAGGGTTTGCCTGCTTGAGTGCCTGTCTATCTACTGCCTACATATAAACTAGGTACATAGCCGCTCGTATGTCGTTGTACCTACCCAACTTGCTTAGATTGGACGATTAGGTACCAAGGCAAGGTCGCTACTCCGTGCTTACCAACCTAAGGTATTTTGTATATACATTTCGTAGATATTTGTATAAAACGAAAGTGGTAGGGGGGAGTGAGGGAAGGTGGATAGATGGATGGATGGCGTTTGGTGCTGATTGGGATCTGGGGATCTAGGGGGGTTGAGAAAGAAAGGGGGGAAGGGGGAGAACTCGCAACTCTTTATTGTGCCTAGGTAGACATCTAACCTCAGGTGGTTTTAAATACATATTTTAAAAGTAAATTTGACTGACTGTTCTGCGTGAGTGTGCGTGTGTGTGTCTTCTACTTAACTAATCTACTAGGTAGCGTGTTGTAGTTAACGTAGGTTTGTCTCCCTAGGTAATGTTAGGTATGTTTCGGCATGTGGTCTTCTGAGTTATGCTAGATGGGACGATGTGAATAGCGAAGTAATTGGTGTCAAGAGTCTAACGGGAGGCCGCTTCAACCCGAGGAATCATCCCGTCAAGAACGACCTCCTCGTAATCCAATCATTGGGATGCGTGGATTTATTCCATGCGTTTAGAATGATTCCAACGGATGGATGGGGGGTTCTCGCTACGGTAGGTATGTAGGTATGTACGCATGGGCCTAGATAGCTTCTATACTCGAGAGCATGCCTACTAGGTAGGTAGGTAGGTACCTATCGACTCTTCTAAGTCGGATGAAGTTTGAGTTAGGTTGACGCATACGTACATGCATACAAGTATGTATGTCTTATGGTAGATGCCCCTGAGCCACGCACAATCGCTTTGGGGATTTCTCAACCCTTGGGTAAGTATTCTGGAACAGTTCTATTCATTCAGGAAGAATACTAACTAGTTCCAGGTGTACGATTGATAGAGATTAAGAGAAATTGAGAGAAATGATTACCTACAATATTGAGAATAGTCGATGTAATGGTGAGATCATGCTCAGCTATTGCACTCTGGTACCAACTAACACAGGGAAAGTAACACTTATCCAATACTAACGACCAGCAGTCCTAGAGCTCAGTGAAAGAGTTTAGCAAGCTTGCCTACCTACTAAGTATGTTAACCAGTAAGTCGGCAATCAGCATAATGAAAAGACGTATAAACTGCGTAGGAAGGGCAGCAGACAATATGGTAGGCACCTAGGTTAGATCAACATACCACTTACTCACAGCCAACTCAAGATAACGTCAATACTGAAAAGTCGACTACTTACGTGCCTATTTAGGACCATTGTAGGTATCTACCTAGGTACCTAGGTAGGAAGACAACATATCCATAGGCCCCCTTAACGCCCAAGTCAACAAGCAATACCAACCTTACAAAGCTCCCGTGAGGCTATCATCGTTCCTAACTACCTAGGTACCTAATCGTCCCTTTGCGGGAACCCCATATTCGCGAGAATCATTATAATTCATCCAATGAATCCATGCATAAGATTGATAGAAGTTGGGAGAATTTATTTCAATTTGAGGAATTATTCTACTTTTACGATTCATCTCAGACTTGGGGGAGACAATGGGGACAGTAAAGCAAGAACTCGTGTATATAGTATCAGAGTAACTCTAAACGCCGCATACCTTTAAGGAGGCTGCGCGGCCAGCCCCTTACCACGGCGTTAAATGTACCAGCCAGCCATCCAGCCAGTCAACTAACCAGAACGCTGCAGGTAAGTAAATAGATGGGGAAGTAGAAGGTAGAGAAAACAGTCACAAAGTTACCATCGTGTACTTGGTCAAAATGGTATTGCATCCTCGTTTCCTTTGTATTCATAAAGAGCTCTTCATAAAACTATCGAAACTAAATGTTCCCGTGTTTCTATACTTCCATTCACTGAACTGTGAACAGTGAGATGAGAACTTCTGGATTGTGCTCATGGCGTCGCTAACTACAATGTTACAACTCCTACGAGGATACAGCCTCGAAATACAAACGATAAACACATAAACCATTGCATCCAACGTGTCACGACTTACCTAGGGCCAGAGACAGTAGTAGATTTCATCAGTGAATCAGTCGTTGGCAGTACATTAGTTCAAGCAACATAGTACTAATCTTGGTTTTAATTACATAGTCTAAGATATATAGAGTGCACATTATTTGTTTCTCCTGTTTCCATAAGGTTGATACTGTTACATAGCATGTTCAAAGCCTCGCATAGCCTAGAAGTATATTATGCTATTTCCTCATAGTTATTATGGCTGTTGTACCTATCCTAGGTGCTGCAAATACAGTCAGAAATGTTCCATTCAGCTACAATTGAACTTTATTGTGCATATCAAACTATTTTCCACAGCAACCAATCTACACCCTATCATCACAGACTTGAACTATGTCAAGATGCTAATTCTCTCCAAGTAACATTTGACTGTGAGTATATTTTGCCACTCATTTACTTTGAGTCAACCCCTTTCTACACACATATTGGGCATCAACACCTGTCCTCTCCTCCACAATAAGAGGCCTGCTCACCGTAAGGAGATAATTTAACGTATGCTACCAGACACTACAATCTACGCTCAACGCCAGTTCATACCCGTATGATTACATTGCATTATTTGGTTTATTCCCCTTTCATCTCTCCAAGCCCAGCGTGCTAAGCCTCTTAGAAAGAGAAGACAACAAGGGAATTGAGCACAATGAAAGGGGACCGCAGGAGAATACGAAACCACAACACCAATCCTTCCCTGATCGTCGCCAACCCAACTACCGGCCAATTCGGCGGTATGTTGTGCCCAGGTATCAGATGAGATGCCAATGTCTCTAGGTTCTATGGCCAGTTGACGACCACCGTTTGATGTCTTAGTTTAGGGGGGGCTCAGCGTCATGAGATCTTCCATGATACGAGTTGCCAAATTTGTGATGATTTGAAGTCGGTGTTATCCGTCTTCGTGGCTTGCGTCAAAAGGGGGAAGAGCAGCTAATGATTAATACTTGGGTACCCTATATGTTGTTGACGCCGGAAAGAATGCCGCTGCTAAAGTTACCGGGAGCATGGATAGGCTAGGCGTTAGGGAGCTTTTTTTTTTGTGTATGTGTGTGCTCTTTGACCTCGTCTTAGTTATCTGCTGCTGCTCCAACGAGTCATCAATAGCATCACTGAGACTGCTCCTGAGCTTAGGCCGGAAAAGTCTCCGGCGTTCTCTGACTCAAGGTGATGTTCGTCCCACCCACAGCCCCTCTGTAGTACCCATCGAGTAAACCGGAGTAATATGAGGAGAATTAATATCGTAATTATACCTAAGGAGATGGTATATTCCGTAAGCAGGGGCAGGCTGATGAACTCATGGAACACGTCTTCCTAGTAGTATATATCTCCTGGACAATAAGTCAGCGGTGACTATCCCCTTTTCGAGCTTCTCTCGTTTCCTGGTCTTTCTGGTTTGGTCCGGTTGAGACAATGATAAGCCTCCAGGGCTGGCTAGTACCGAAGACAGAAGCCATATAGGATATACGTTATAGGTGGACAGAAGGCGTTAGCCTCGTAGGTGACATTTGAGTAGCAGGCTAGGGGATGTAGGTAGGCTTCTCTAGCGGTCAAAGCGAATAAAATCTTACAACCGCTTGATGCTGCTAATAGTACCTAGCCTCAAGAAGGATGGGATGGACTTGACAAGGCTATACGTATTGAGGGTCTGAAATTCACGTTCGCCACTTCGGCAGAGCCTTCACAGGGGGGGCAAGGGGCGATGAGGTGTCATCGCCAACCTAGATCGTGCCTCATCCTAACGACAGGCACATATAGCATGAACAACCATCATCAGACTATTCTGTTTAGGCTTCTTCTAGAATTCCACACAGAAGGATGTGGAGCATGCCTATTTTGCATGGTCTTTACCGCTCTCTCCGGCGAACCTGAGGTTAGTTGATGGGGCTCCTGCCCTGGGAAGGGCTTTTCGTAGGTCCAATCTTAAGTCGATCCAGAAAGTTGTTCATCGTTCTTCCTATTCTAGATGATCCTCAGCGGACCAGGAGCGGCCGATGAAGTATCCACCCGTCACTTTTGCACATATAGCCTCCACTGATGTGTATACAAGGCCAGGCGTCAGGGCATGGTATAAACCCGAACGCTCAGAAGAGATCCGTAAAGCAGACAGGTCTGGCTCTCCCTCCCTAATCGGTATTTCCCAGAAAGAAAGATCCACCAGCCTCTGCCTACCTACCTACCTAGGGTTACATACCTAACCTTACTATACTTCTAGGGTCAGAATTATATTCGGACTAGCCATCAATGATCATAGGCTTGC